GCTCCATCCTGCTTCCTTCCTTAGTCTCTTCTTCAGCTTCTCCTCTTCCTGCTCAGCTCCACCCTCCCTTGGGTGGGGCAGGGAACCTCCCCCTTTCCTGGGGACCACCCTGTTACAATAGGGTAGATAGCAAACCTACTAATAAAATAAAGGGGCAAGTCTTTCCAACACAATGTCACCTAGACTGACAGGCAGAGATTGGGACAGTGGCAACAAGATGCCAACACTCTCCCCAAGCGGAAAGTCCTATTCACCACTATGCAGTAGTGTGCTCCAAGATCCTCACTCATAAGGCTGGTATGGATTCACAGGCCTTCCTGATGGAACTATTTCCAGTCCCCAGATCCTTTGGCTGAGCCTCCAGCAGAGCAGAGCATAACAGGGACACAGATGACACTTTCCAATGCCATACAATCTAAGTTTCCATGCTGCAATTCACCCCAAAACCCAACAACACAGCACAGCTCAAAGAACACTCCTGAGAGAGGCATTCCAGAAGAGTCATCAACATGCGTGTCTGCCGGTCCCTGGTCTCAGGACACAGGCACAGGTAATCACCACCTCAAAACTGACTCACTTGAGCTTCCCTACCCTGAAGTACAGTATTTAAATAAGGTTTCGTTTACAGATATTTAAAGAAGATAGTCTGGCATTTTCCCCCTCCCATTTCCTCCTTTGCGCATATCACAGCTTCAAAGAATTAAGAGTCTAAGCCACTTCCAACCTTTTCTCTCATTATTTCACTAACTTGTTATGCTAAGTTCCAGTTCATAATCATTCACTAATGAGATGGCTAGGTGCTATAGTAATATCCTTGTTCCCCCAAAAGAAACAAGACCCTCCATCATCTAGAAAACAGACACAGGAACTAGTAACACTAGATCTGAAGTGAAAGGAACTAACTCAATTAAACACTCTGGTTTATTGTGCAAAGAGCTTCAGAATACTGTCCCAACATTTAAGAAGAACAGATCTTGGTTCACTGGCATCCACATCTGTAAACAGACACAAAGAGGTAATTGTAAGTTATCAAGACCTAGGGAAATAGGGGTTACCACGCAATTACCATTGTTTCGATCTGAGTTACCACATCTTCACCTCAAAACAACTGGCAGTCAGGGTACAATTAACTCTCCTTACTGCCTTGCATTTATCAAAAACAGTTGTGAAATCATATTAGTTTTAAGTCATTTAATGCAAAGGAAAAAGACTTATCTCTAAATCCGATAGCACATGGGGTCAACTCGTCTTCCGGGTTACTCACCTTTCAGAAGAGTTTGTCCAAAAATCCAAGGAGTTTAAGAAACAAACCCACTAGTATCCTAGATTAAAATGTCAGCTCAGTTCTGAGAGTCCAAATTCATTTAGATTTGTAGATTTTTTTCCTCAAATACATTTAGTAGTCAATGTAGGAGTCAATGGCTTCTCCCTGTGTTCAAGTCCCTATCTACCCAATCACCCCCTGTGAGAAATTAGAAAACAGATAACAGTCTCCAAACTGGCTAATGAAATTTCAGCTTACAGGGTATTTTAATACTTTAGTTATAACAAACCACTGAAATGAAGATGACTAGTCAACAGCTGAATAACCCATACAGCATTTGAAGCCCAACATTAGGATACAAAGTCCTAAGACAAGAACTAGTAACACTAGATCTGAAGCCAAATGTTTGTGCATGTGTGTAGGTGTGTATGCATGTATTTATACATATACAGAGATGTATGCACACTCACATACACAAGATACTACTACCAATTTTCCATTCCTTTGAGTCACTCTTCGCAGAGCCTATTGTTTGCCCAGTCCTAGCAGTTCATGTTAGTGCTTTGCTTGCTAACTAATAGACTCTCTAGCTGCATTCAAGTTGGAATTCAGTAATTCGGTATCAGATTCCACTCTAACCCCTTCATTACCCCTAGGATTGCCCAGGAAGTTCTATTCAAGTTAGTGTTAAGATCCATCTACAGATGCTACTAAAGCACTAGAACCTAAAACAAGTGACAAGTCCTCAATTTGATTCTTTTTTCCCAAACATTTAAAGGTTTTCTTTAGCATGTCTAATGCTGACTTTACTACAAATAACCCAAGCAACAGTTAAGTCTCTGAACCATTTGGTTCAAAGGGCCAATTCACACAAAAAACACACTCGTAGCTGTTGTGGGGTTTAGAAAAAGAAAAGAGGATATTCTTTCTGTTTCAGCCACTGCACCACAGCTCAAGAGGGCTAAACCAAGGAGTCTTGATTGGGTATCTCGAGTGGACAATCTGGTCAAGGTGAGGTTGAAAAGTGACCAACTATTGGACATGAATGGCCCCAACAGCAGGCAAAAGTAGGTCACAAAAGTTCTGGTTAGAGACCAGCCCAAAGATGCCAACAACACAGTGGGGTTGGCCTACCACAGTCATTTATCTAATGCAATCCACTGAGTGAACTTTCAGCACCAACCTACACCTCAGCTGAGTGGTATTAGTCATCAGGCCCAACAAGAGTGGAAATATTACAACATAACCCTGCCTCCCTGCAAAAGCAACTTCAAACCTAGGTCCTGATGGTCATCTTTGTAGACCACAGGGGGCATATTATTATCACTTGCCCAACCTTCAACCCTAAACTCACACAGCTGGAAGCAAAGGAGGATTCCTATAGTAGAAAACATTCAAGGTGCTTATTACGCAATTTAAAATAGCAACATACAAGGCAAATCTTGTAAGGGAAAAGATATGCCCTCAATTGAATACTCCTCTGTATTGTGAACACAGGGCTTGAGATTTACCTGCCAGAAAATACCCAGGTGACCAGCTTCCTGTGCCAATTTCATCAGGAAACTTTGTTTATTTTTATTTCGATTGCTATAGTCCAACGGTGCCTAGGAGAGGCAACAGAATTCGTCAAGAAGGAGCATCACTTTCTGTTTCCTTCTTCTGGTTACTCGGCCTGTCTATTCTGAGTCTGGCCAGCCGCCACCTCTCCTCACCTCTTCGAGGCTTCCCATTCCCCTTTGCTATTACAGTCTCCCCTTCCCGATCCTCCCCTACCTCACTCATCCCTATTCACCCCACCTCTTTATCGCCAGTCCCTGAAACCTGCCAGTCCCTAAACAAGGAAGTTTTCCTTGACTGCATCCCAGTCAGACACTTTCTATCACATCACTCTTATTTTCTCCAGCACTTAGCAAAGCCTAATTTATTTGCTATTATTTGTCACCAACCTTCCCTCACTCGACATAAGCACCACAAAAGCTCACACCTTTTGCATGCATTCACCTTTGAACACCTGAAACATTGCATTACCCTAGGCAGGCCAGTTTAATAAATGCTTGTTAAGTGAATGAATTTTGGACATATTATTCAATGGCAGACTAGGTTTCAAATCAATTAAGGTGAGAACAGTAGGCATTATTTTGTTGCTTTCTCTATGAAACATCTAAACAAGCTGTTACTTGCACAATCAAGGGTTAATGTTCTATTTTTTAGCCCCCCTAGCCCTGACTAAGTAGGATGGAAACCGTTATCCTTCTTTTAGCAATATGCGTATTAACTCACTTACAAAGGAATAGGATTTATACACTTTCTAATCAAAGGATCCCTAAAGTTTTGGCCCTCTTAAAAGTTCTTCAGAAAACACAGTTCCAGATTCAACAGCGAATTTCCAAAGAAAATACCAACACCAAAATAGCAATCATTACACTTCACTCTGAATTCCCTACGACAGACGAAAAGAGCACTACTTGATTTTTTTTAAAACCAACACAACATCAACAAAGGAACCTTCTCCCCAATCACTCATTGCTTTCCTCAAATAATCTTTTCACATCCCTTATTGCTTTGTATTCTTCTTTTGAAAGAAAACTAAACAGATCACATAAGACCACCTAAACACAAAGAATCAGCTCCATAAATAAGATGGAAATCAGCACAAGCCGAATGTGTCACTGAAGACTTGTGTGCCAGACACACAAATGCAGAAAAGGATAAAAGCGCTATTGTCCAATTGTAGAAACAAAAAAAGTAATAGGGGGTTTTCTGTTCGCTGAAGTGCATCATGAAGTGTGGGTGGAGAGAAACACAGAAATCCAGAATTAGCCCAACATCAAATCATTCTGAAAAGAGTTGACAACATGTAAATTCCTCACACATAAAGTATTTAGAGCAAGAGACCTTGATTCCTGGGCTATGATGCCATTTAGGAATCCTTGGAAGGGCTGCGGGGTTCCAGCATGCATTGGAGAAAACTGCTCGCCCCAAGCCGGGCAGCGAGGTACTCCCGGGCGCGGAGCTGCTCCGTGCCGGGCTCGCAGGGAGGCTCTGGGACAGGCTCAACACCAAATTCAAAAGAGGTAACCACGGCACCAAGTGCCATAAAAAGAAAAAAAGCGCGCACGCACACACCCCCCCACGGGCACCACCTCGCCCCCCGAAACTAAACTGCAAACAGGGGTGTGGATGGGAGGGGATGCGGGGTGAGGGGGGTGGAAAAAAAACCAACCACGGGTGACCCCCGTCCCACACCGGACCGGCACCGCCTCCAGCCCCATTACCTCGGGCGCAGATGGTTATCGTCCGCAGCCAAGGTGCACAGGAAGGCCTGCGGGTCCGACCCCTTAATTCCAGGGATGTTAATGATTAAAGAGGCTGGGGGTGGGGAGGACAGGCGGGCGGAGGGACTGGGAGATGCACCCCCGCCCCCCTCGGGCTCCCACCTCACCGCGCTCACCTGGGGCAGAGGCCCGGGGGCCGCACCCATCCCGGGCCGCGCGGGCCCCCCAGACCCGGCGGCGGGGTGCCGGGGCGGGAGGCAGACCCCGCGGGGAAGTTTCTGCGCCCCGCGGCTGACACGCCACAGGCTCCCCTCACAGCCCCCCCGGGGGTGCCGTCCGGACGCGGCGCCGGCCTCCACCCCTCCCCTTCCACCGCCCCCCTTTTCTCGAAGGTACCCAACCCCCGCCCTTCATCTCAGCACCCCCCCATTCCTCCAGCCACCCCACCCCCCCAAACTCACAGCTGCTCCAGGGGTTCCTCCAGTCAAACCCGCTCTGGAAACGACGGCGGCCCGGCGGGTCCAAATCACCTACCATCCCCGTTCGCGTTCCCAGGCGCCCCAGCCCCGCCGCCGCCGCCTCTTCTTCCACCACTGCCGCCGCCGCCTCTTCATCTGCGGCCCACCGGCGGCGGCCGCGCCGAAGCCCCGCCCCCCCATCGCCGCCTGCCTCATCACTTCCGGTAACCCCGCAGGCCGCCCGCCCCGGGCGGGGGCCAGGCGAGGGCCGGGCCGGGGGGGGGGGAGTGCGTCACGACGTACGCGGAGACGTGCGAAGCCGTCGCCAAGTAAGGGCAAAGACCGAGCGAAGGGGCGGGTGGGCGTGGAGGCGCCGGGCTGGACCATTGTGGGGGGCGGGGATGGCAGCAGGAGAGCGAGGGGGCAGAGGGCCGGGCGGGAGGGCGAGGCCGGCGGCTGTGCGGGGTGGACGGCGCGGGGTGGGGCGAGCGTGAAATGGGAGAGGCTCGAGGCTACCTCTGACCCGGGGCCAGTGCGCCCCGGCGGTCCGCCGGGTGGTTGGGTCCGGCCTGGCCTACCGACCCGCGGGCCCCGTCGGCCGCCGCTCCGCTGGCTCCCGCGCCGCCTCCTCGGAGCCCGCCGGGGGCTGCGGCGCTTCTGTGGGTGGGGGAAGGCAGGACTGACGCAGAGTGAGTGTAGGGGATGGAGACGCCGACTCCTGGCGCGGGAGACTGGGGGAAGGGGTTGGCTCCCCAGGGGCAGGGATGGGGTGGGGGTGGGGGGGCGGCGTTGCTAGGAGACGCGCTAGTGTGACCCCAGCCGCGCGAGGGCGACTCGGTGTCATCGCCACTGGCCAAGGGAAGCAGCCCAAGGAAGGGGAGGCCTGGTTCGGGGGCGCTGAGATGCCGATTCGGGGCCCCTCTGAGACCTCTGAATCCTTTGGGTTCCTGAGTGTAAAGGGGCCTCGGAGGGGGCAGTCCCGGGGGCGAGAGGCGTCCAGCTGGGGGCGGGTGGGCCCAGACTAGGCCCCAGACAGGAATGGAACCCTCCTGGCACGGTGGGAACCTGTGTCTTAAATCCCCCCCGGTCCACAGACTTGAGGACAAGACTGAGGCCTTGCTCGGTGACCTTATTCGAGCCCAGGGGAATAAGGAAAAAAGCAGCGAGGGATAGAGGCCCCAAAGAATAGTCGTGGGTGAGGTGGTAGCAGGCCGGGGAGGGCCGCTCCAAATCCCGTAAGACTATTCAAAAAGGGCCAGGTTTTGCAGAGATCTGAGAATAGAGTGAAGATAGAAAAGGAGCTTTCTAGGTGGAGAGAAGAACCAGCGGGGAGGGTTCTGAAACGGCGAGAAAGCCAGGTGGCTGGAGCTGAAAGAACCAGGGCAGAGTGGTCTGTGATGGAGCAGTGGCTGGGCCTGATCATGCAAAAGCTTTTAGCCCAAGGTAAGGGTTTGACTTATGTTACCTGCGGGTTTTAAGAAGGGGAGCGACCTGACCTGATAGACATTTTTAAGAACTCACTCTTAACTGCTGTCTAGAAAAGGCTTGAAACAGTCTGACTATTGGGAGACTGTTGCAGTATAGGCCCAAGAGGAGGTGAGGGTGGTGTTGACAGCAGTCTCGGTGGAAATGGAGAGAATTAAATTAAAAATATCTTTTGGAGGTAGAACTTTCAGCACCTGCTGCTGAATTGGATGTGAAGTGTATGGGAGAGGTAGACACCCAGGTTGACTCTGAGGGAAAACCATTTAGAAAACCATTTAGAAAACCGTAAGCTCTCTTTTGAACATGTTGGGCTTGATAGGTCTATTAACCATGGAAATGAAGTTGTCTAGAAGTTAGATTTCTTCTGCTGACCAGTGGAATGCACTTCAGGGGGGAACATGGGGGGTTATTCCTACATCACCTAAGAAGTTGTAGATAAAGATGAAGTCCCCTAAAAATTTTGGGATTCTTTACATTTTGGCATTACCCAAAGAAGCCAAATACCCTTGGCACATCAAGGCCTTAAAGACAAAAGGAGGGCCCTTTAATATCCTGGAATAATGGGGCCCACTCATAATCAGTGCAATCCACGTACTCCCTGGCTATCTTCTATTCATCCTCTTGAGACATGGCTCAAATCTCCTCCATCCCTTCCTCTCCCAGCTGTCAGTACTTCGGTACCGGTAACTTGTGTCCATTATAGCAGTCTGACTGTAATCAGGCTGGGTAACAGTTTATATATGTCTGTCTCCCTGTGGACTGTTGCTTCTTTGTGTCCTGCTGGCTTCAACATGGACAAAGTAGGTAGGAACACTTTTCAGAAGATCTCAACCATGGACTTAACAGCTTCTGACAAAGGGACTTTTGTCCCTGCAGCTGCTGCCAGCCACCACAATCTAGATGGGGCAATCTCATCAAATCTAGAAAGGGATCAGAAGGATCAGAAGGCTTGGGTTTCAATCTTGGATCCTCTGCTGACCAGTGGAGTGGCCTTGAATAAGGCCCTTTCCTTTGAGCTAAAGGTTGGCTAAGACAGATTAAAGATTGCAAACTGATAAAACAGAAAAATACTGCCTGCAAACATTAGGTTTGGCCCCCAAATGATTTAAATTCTTCAGCTTTTCTAGTTTCTGTGGAGGATTGAAATCCTGGCTGGGTAGTTATGAATGAGTGACTGTAGTTGATCTTTAAGCATTGACCTACTTTTCATGTTTCCAGTATGCGTGCGAGCGTGCGCGCGCGCACACACACACCCCTCTAACAGTTCCTCCTACTTCTGCTAACTGATTCTTACCACTTCTAACTGACCCTTGCCTTGTCTTTGTCCCCTAAATATACTAAGGAGGAACAGATGCTTCCATTTCTTTGAATGGAAGGACAGAAGCTTGGTTTCCATTTTGTATTTCTACCCCGTGGGAAAAAATAGTTGCGTATCTCTGGGTTACTATAGCCTGATGGGAGTATAGTAAGGTGTGCTCCTATGCTAATATATTCAGAATGAATATACTTGTCTCATATGGTTGTGTTTGAGGTAGTATAGAAGTCTTTCAAACATCAGTGGTTTTGGTTTTTCTCTATATTTTGAAGATTCCCCACATCACAGAGCTTACCCTAATTTCTTTTTCTTTAGGTAATTTAAAAATATAGTTTCCCCTCCCTTCCCTTTCCTCTCTCTCTGGAACACCTTAGTCTTGTCACCTTCTGTGTAAAAAGATGCTGTTTCAGAGAAAAACTGTGGTATGATTAAGTATACCACACAAGCATATCCTGAGGTTTGCAAAACATTGTGTGGCATAACACTTCCCTTTTTGGATTCTAGTAACCAAAACTAAATCCAGGACAGGAAACAAAACTGCCGTGGGTGTGGGTGTGTGGCCGTGGCTGTGTTGATTGATGGAGGAGAGGGAGGAACTAGGACAGAGATGTGTGGGGCACCATTTAGCTTCAAGGTTATTCTGTTTGGGTAAGAGTGATAGGACACTGTACAGGGTAAGGGTATAGACCAGAAAGTAGAGAGTGTAACAGATCTAGGAGAAAAGCGCTCCAAAGGATAAGCAAGGAATGAAAGATAAAGGAAGGAAAATAGGAAGGGAAGCCCAGGCATGCGTTTGATGTTGGCACCTGAATTACATTTCCAGTAAGAAGTATGCGCTGTGGTCTAAAGATAAGCAATGCCTCCACAGGGTTATTCACTCATCCTGAAGAACAATAGCCCTTTACTGTACAGGGATTATTAATGATCAGGGGAAACAGGTTTAGGAAAAATCCATTACTACCACAAAGCAATAAATTTGCCACCAAGCCACACATTTCTTTTCCCTCCTCTGCAAAGAGGCTTCATTGTCCTCTCCTTATTTCCTCCTATTCAGGTAATATTTGCCTGTGCTAACTCCCAATGCAAGTGATTTGCACACATTATCTTATGAATAATCTTTACACCTCTGAAGAAGTTTCTGTTGTTATCCCATTTTCCTTTTTAAGAAACTGAGGCTCAAAGGAAGACTTGCCTAATGGACTGAAGTCAGAATTCAAACCCAGATTTGACCACAGCAACGCCCACCCTTTCACTCTCCACATCACCATGTGTGGGAAAGCTTTGATTGTCCAGAACCAAGACAGTCATTTTCTGCTCTACTTTCTGGGGCAAGAAAACCTGTTTGCTTTGGCATTAGAGAAGCGTTTCAACTCCTTTGAGGTTTTCCGAATGACAAAAGCTTTAAATTATAGTTTTCTCAGTTGGTTTTGACGCCTCATCATTTGGAAGCGATGGACCTTACTCCTCAAAAGGATTGTTTTACAAGAAAATTATTTTCCTTTATGTTTGGTTTTAAGCTTCACAGAAACAAAAAATCGTTTCAGTCTAGTGAACAAACCCTAACTGACCCTAAAAATATTAAGGATGAGGGTTATGTTGTAGCTAGGTGTCTTAACCTTCCCTAGAAGGAACAGATCCGGCTTCTCTCCAAATAGCAAAGTCTTCAGTTCTTTTTCTGATCCCCAGACGCCACACTCTCGTGGGGCTGATTGTGGGGTCAGGAAACCTACTCCAGGGAACACTGTCTATATTCAGAATGAGGATGGACACTGCTGGTGACTATCCTGTGTGTGTATGTATTCTTCTCACAGAGAGATTTTAAGCTCCTCGTGTGTGCCAGTCCTAAGGAGTGTAATGAATGAGACACAGTCCCTCTTCTCTCCCCACCCCCTTCTCCAAACAGACACAGTGTAGGAAGAAAAGTTAAACAAAATTACAGTGGAGTAGGATGAACATTACTATAAGAGTATGTTGGAGGGGCCTCAGATAACATAGCAGGGAGGCTGACCCCGTCTTTAGTGTGAAGAGGGCACCCCAGGAAAATGATTGAAACCCGGGCATGAGAATCAGGAGCTAGGTGTAAAAAAAGTACATTTTAGTTGTGAGTTGGGAACCTTCATTTGGCAAAAAGCTGGTCCCAGATCTAAGGAGAGAGGGCAGAAGGCAAGGGCAGGCCACCCTCGATACACAGTGAACACACAAGACAGTGATTTCATTTGGGTGAGTTTCACAATCACCGTCGTCACCCCAGCCCATATCAAAGTACTTGGGAGAGAAACTTGACTATGATGAGAAAAAAATTCCGTCTAAGCTCAGTCTTGAAAGAGTGCAAGGAGGGCTTTCTTTGCACCTGGGAAATGAAAGTTAATTCTTGCCTTTTCTTTCCCTTGTTTGTACAGCAACACTCTTTCTTCAGTAGGAAGCAAGGCCTCATGAGAGTCCAACATTTGGAATTTGGACATTCCTGAGACCAGAGTCATACTTCTATAAATTTCATCTGGGGAAAGGGAATTTTCATCTCTGCTCTTCAACTCCTAAATGCCCTGGGCGAGATATGCTGTCCAAAGGCTGGGGAAATTGTACCAAAGGTGGAGAAAAGGGCAAAGTGGATGAAGCCCCAACCACGAGCATTCTTCCCATGGACTCCTGTAAACCCAGATGGAGACGTGCCCGGTGCTTCTCCACCTCCCAGGCCCCTTCCGTACTTACACCCTTAACAGCCATCGGAGAGTGAGTGGGGGTTGGGGATGTATGTAAGTGTTTAGGGACACTGGTCACTGCCCACTGGGAGTCCACATTACTGACTCCAAAATAAAATCAGGGAAAAGCTTATGGTCTCAGGAAATAATCCAACTTTTTTAGCTTTTAATTCCAATATTCCAGTCAATTAGGTGGCATTCAGTGAAACTTTTTGCCATCTGCAGGGCTGGCAGATCAAGATATGTGATAAAATTTTAAACAGAACATTTTAAAAGATGTACCTCAGGCCATAATGTTCCACCTTGCTTAAAACCTGCCAATGGCTTCCTTTTGCTATGAGATTACAAGCCAAGCACTTTCCAAGGCCTGCCCATCCAACCTGTGCTGGGTTCTGCCCACCTGTCTTGACCTCTCCCCCTAGGTGCTCGATGCTCTAACATTGAGGTTGGTTTCCACCTTCTGACCTTTGTTCTTGCTCTTCCCTCTGCCTGTGCCACCTTCCCCTAGATCTTCCCATTAATAGGCTCCTTCCACACCATTCAGGACTTAGCTGTAGGTCACCGGCCACCCAAAAGAAAAGAACCCCCACCTCATTTTCATTCCTCAAGAGCACCTACCACCAGTGTTTTTCTTGTGTATTGACGGCCTCTGCCCTAGAATATAACCTTGAGGAGGGCAGGGACCACAGGTACTTAGTTAGCGCTGGGTCCCGAAAACCACGTGTACATCACACATGTGTATTTGTTAAGTGGATGAACGGATGCTTGGAAGAGCAAGGCCCCCAGTGTGGTAGAGGTGGTGATGAGCCCTGATGTTTCTTCTGTGATGTCAGTTCTCTTTGGAGTGTTGGGGACAGAGATCGCTGAGGGGAGTGGAATAGTCCTGCCGAGGGCACAGCCTCCTTTAAGGCACTGGTCTGTGACACAATTACAGAAGGGCAGTAGCTGGGGGGGTGGGGGGGGCGGGCAGGCAGATGGTATGTGGGAAACCTTATAAAAAGTTTATTGTAATTCATACCAAGGTACCAAAACAATGGTTTTTTGCCCTTCGTAGGAAGAGAAGAGGTTTGTAGAGTTCCCTTTGTCACAATTGGTTAAGATCTTTGAAGCAATTAGTAGACATCCATCCACATCTGCTGATGTCCAGCAGCCTGTCTAGTGATTGGAAGTTTGGGCCCTGACTCCAGACCATCTAGTCTTGAATCCTGGCCCTGCCTCTTACTAGCCGTGTAACATGTTATGCTCTTTGTTTCAGCTTCCTCCTTTGTCAAGCCTCTGGCGTAATAGTAGGTTTTACCTGATAGAATTGCTGTGGTGAGCTGGGGGGTTAAGATGTGCGTAAAGCATCTAGCCAAGCCTCTGACACAATGCAAGTGCAACGCAAATGTGGCTGTTACTATTATTATTACTCTGCTGAGCAAACACAGTGTCTGCCCTCCAGGAATTCAGAGACTCTGGGAAGAAAAATATAACGAAATTGCCAAAGAGCAGTAGCTGACTGTGACAGAAGCAGACAGAGGGTGTTCCAGAAAAGCTGGAGAGTAAACAGGTGTCTCTTAGGTGGGGTAGGTGGCAGGCAGTCCAAATGGACTGATCAGCTCGAGCCTGGACAATCTCCAAGGCATCACCCAGCGGGCTGCCTTAGAGCAGGAGTTCCCAAACTTCTGTTTTTCAGCATCCACCTCACAAGTTTTACTGTTATTCCCCTATATTTTGAACCAGCTTAAATCATTTTCATATATATATTTCAAAAAAGCTCTCCACCACTACAAAACCTAAATCACTGTAAATCATGGGTTCGATGGACTATTAAAAGAATCACAACTGGGCCTCCCCTGGTGGCGCAGCGGTTGAGCGCTGGACTGCGAGGCTGCCCGCAGCCTCTGCAGCGCCTGTTCATTCCCCGGCTGCCGGCAAGGGTCCCATAAATAAAATAAAATAAAATAAAATCTAAAAAAAAAAAAGAATCACAACTAAGAAAATATTTGTATTATACGTCAAAAATCACATCCCCAATCAGTTTTTGGGACACCTGCTTGAGGTCACATTCCCTACACAGGTCAGAGTCTCGGGGGAAGACTGGCACCAACAAACCATCGCCAGGGTCACAAGTGCTGCAGAGAAGACATACAAGCTTCAGCGGAGACCTGATCCAGTGCATGTGGCTCTGGGAGGAGGAATTTCTGAGACCTCCATGTTTTCACTGGAAACTAAAGGATGAGCAGAGGTTGGTCAGGTGAAAAGGAGAGCTCAGGGACAGCCTTCTAGAAAAAGGGAATAGCAGGGGTATGTGCTTCTAATGTGATTAAGAACATGATTCCCTCAACTGAAAAAAGTCCCATAAGAGCACGAGAAATGTTTTTCTTTTCTTGGAAGGAAGTAGTTGGCTGGACTTGTTAATAGTGCCAGTGGGGAAGACAGCTTGAGGCCCTGCTCTCTGGAAATCTTTGGTACTTAGGTTTTCTGGGTCACCTGATGTAGGCAAGGGAATTATCACCTATGTATGTCCCTTTCAGGATTAGTTTTCAAAACACTGAATCATTAATTAAAGTGTTTTTGAAATAGTCCTATTAAGTATCAAGCGTTAGTTCTGCTTGTTACCTTGAATACCCTAATTGTAGGGCTTGTCTATCAGATTATGGTACACGATTGGCTGCCATCTGGAGCTGTGGTTCTCGGAGAAGTAGAAGGAAACCAGTGAACGTCAGGCTTTGGAGAAGGCTGCTGCTGTTGTAATCTGCTAGACCTCCACCTAGCTCCTCGAGTGTCATCCAGTCAAGGAAGTTTGGTCTGCTAATGACAGGGAAGTGAAGCAATCATTAATAGAAGTTAGTTACAGACTCCCTGCCCCTCACAGGAACTGACTCATATTTTCATGTGAAGCCATGGAGTTTTAGGGAGAACCAGAAACTCAGAAACCTGTTTCCTTACCAGGAAAAATGCCATCATCCGATCTGGGTTGATATTATGATTAGCCACAAAGCACGATGTCTTCCCATGGTTTTTATGAATTCTTTTAAGCATTTTTCTGTAAAGAATCATGAACTTGAGATTTGGTATTGGATATAACTTCAGCCCTTTAACTTTTGCATTGGGTGAGGTGTTTTCAAACTTTTCATCAAATGGTTAAATTAAGCCTTGATTCATTCTGTGTTGCTCAAGAAAGGTCGCCAGGGTCAGGATAAGTAGGAGGAACAATCATATTTGAAAGAAATTCTCCATAAGGTGAATTCCTGGCATGTACTTAGAATTTCTAAATAAGCTCCCATCTACTTTCTTTAGCTGCTGAAATTCTCTTAAGCTCAGGACCACCCCAGAGCACATCATCTCCTTGGACAGCCCTCCCCCTGGGGTTGTAAACGGTGTGTGTTCCCAAAGGACTGGAGCAGCCGACTTCCCCATCCTGATGAGCCTGTTTGAGGAAAGCCCAGGACTCATAATGAGGTGTTCCAGTGCCTGGTCCTGCTGCCACTCACTCGCCAAATCTGTCCTCCTCTTCCTAGCCTGCCCATTTGTAAAAGGCACTGCAGTAATCTTACTCCTGAATCAGGCTAATCAGAATCCTCTAGTAGGGGACTTCCCCCTCCCATCTTCCCTGAATTGCTCTCAGATGGTGAAGTAAATAGTAAAGAAGTAGGCTAAAGTTTTTGCATACGTTTGAAAACACACACCTAATGTCTAACAGGAGACTAAAGTATATGGAAATATACAGCATGAACTGGAGCTACATATAACAACACGGACCTTACAAATATGGGCAGAAAAAGCAAGTTGCAGAATGACTGTACCTTTATAGACATAAAGATTTAAATTTGCTGAGCAGTACTCTATCATGGCTAATGTGGAAGTTATGTGTGAGAAAGACAGATAAATTCATGATAGCGGTTCCTTCTCAGAAGTAGGGACATTTGATTTGAAAGAGGTGTATTTGGGGATTCAACTATATATATGATGTGTGTGTATATATGTGTTATGTATAAATATGTAGATATTATATAAATAACTTAAAGTCCTTTGTGAATATATGGCTGTTAATTACATGCTCTAAATCTTTTTATAGATCTGAAATATTTCACAATAAAATAAAGATGACAGGAATTTAATTTTTAAAAATATAGTTAGCTTTAGGGAATATACTTAGGTCTCTTCTCATTTAGTCAAATCCTCTGAAATTAAAATTAATGTTTCACAGTAAAATACCAGAGGGACCTCAGGATCTTCAGTCACAGGAAAGATTGTCAGTTATACTCAATTTATGGTTCTTAAGTGGACAGGGCAGTAGACGAGCAATTCTGAGAAATATTTGCAACAAGGTTATAATAAATTAAGAGAGCCTCTGAATGGAATTGAGCCTGGAGACTCATTTTGTTTGCCCTTCGTGATACTCACACTTTCAAAAATAATGAGTTAGTATCTTTTTGAGATTTCATGTTTTGAAAATGTAGATTGCTCCCTGTTGTTCAATATTAGGAAATCTGACATTCCTAGGCCCTCACTTCTACCTGGCAGCAGCTGGCTGAGGTCATGTAGCAATTGTCCCCTTTTAAGGGGGCTCATCTCTGATTGGCCATAATCCCCATCCAGCTCAGCACCCTCATTTTGTTACCTGCAGGCACCAGAAACACTTGAGTTTGCTCCTGCATTAAATCCAGCTGTTCATTTAACTGGAAAATTCACTTATCCAAAATGTGTCTTCTCTTAGGTATTCAGGGGAGTAGTGCTCTAAAAGGAAATCATTAGTATTGAGATACTCCGGTGAAGAATGTACTGGTTTAAAGAATAGTTAGTGTGAATTTGGGTTTTGCTGTGTTCGGCCGTCGTGGCAAATTCACAGTTGGGCCACCCTCAGCCGTGGGGCTGCCCCAGGCCAGGCGAGAGAGCTGGCATTCCTACCAGGCCACTCTGATGGCACCACCCAGCAGAGCGTTGAGAAAGAGCAGTTATTTCTAGACTAATTAAGGAGCTTGATTTAAAAAATGTACATCTGCCTAGCTGCCTACTGTCAAATTAAATTTTGATGCAAATTTTCCCTCTTCTATTTCAGCGGGTCTGACGATGACAACAGCAACACGACACGAAGTCCTTGGCCTCTACCGCAGAATTTTCAGGCTTGCGAGAAAATGGCAGGCGGCGTCAGGGCAGATGGAGGATACCATTAAAGAAAAAAAGTACATATTAAATGAAGCCAGAACACTGTTCCAGAAGAACAAAAATGTAAGTAGGCCCCCTGTAGAGAGTGCAAGGAGAAGATCAATTTCTTGTTTTGTTCATTGATGTCCTAAAATTGAGAGGTCAGAGCCGCGAGTCACAGTGGCCCAGGGTGGGGCGGCAAGGGGCCGAGGCACAGCCTTGCTAACTTGCACAGCCCCTGGGGAACGGAGTCCAGCCTGGGTTTCAGGCCTCTGTCCTACCAATAAAGGTCCCAACGGCCCCCCTCAGAACCCCATCCCCCACCCCCACCGCCTGGGTGGCAGCAGTGCCCATGGGTGCGATTCCTCCCGGTGCTGCTGCCAGCCACTCCCAGAGGAGGCACGCAGCTCAATGCTGTTTTCAATTCAGAAACTGTTCAAAGCCTCCAAATATAAACCCATTCAGCGGACAGAGAATAGAGTTAAGACACAGGGTTCTCTTCATAAGTTAACTTTGAACTTGAGCCTCTTTGACTACCAGAGAGTTTGCCCTTTGGGATCACAAATTAGGCGAAATAGTGCCTCCATTAGCTGGTGGAACAAAACTGAACACCCAGGCACCAGGAGCCAAAACCCAGTTCTAAGAGGCTTGATTTGACCCATCCCAACAAATCATAAAGCGTGAGCTGTTAGCATGGAGAGTGGCTTTCAGCTCCTGCCTTTTCTTTTCTCCTCTTCACTGATACCATGGATTCAATGGTGTCACTGTTCCCCTCATGAAACCCCTGACAATCTCTCCTCTTTATTTTTTTCACCCTGACTGCAGTTCTGTCTCTTTTTTTTTGGCCCTGTCTTCTCCGCATACCCTCCCGCCAACTGCAGGGGCCTCTGAAGGTCAGCGCTCTGCGCTGAGCCCAAGGAGCAAGCTACCACCTCTTGGCTCCAGTTTCCATTTCTGAATATCCAGCCTCCTGAAAGACCTCCACAAATATAATGGTCCAAAGCAAAACTCATCTTTCCAACAGAATGCCTCCCTTCCTGGCTGGCCCGATTTGGTCATGGCTCCTGTCACCTGTGTGCTTATGCTTTCATTCAGCAAGTGCCCACCATGTGCCAAACACCAGACTAAACATTGGGGATAGAAAAGAAGCAAAGCCAAAGCAGGTCCCTCAAAGATGTTTTAGCATTAGATGCAGTGAAATGTAGAATGACCATTGGAATAAGAGCTACAACAGAAATCTCCCAAACTACAGTACCGTCCCCTACTCAGAATCTCTGCAGCCTCCTCTGCTTTATAAAACGAACCTCCTTGTGAAGTTTTCTCAATGCTGCTGGCTCCTCCAGACCTTTTCTGCACCTAGGGAAGATGATGCATGCCTCTCCAGCCTCTTCCCCCCTGCAGTCTTTGAACAGTCTTTTGAAGAATGGAAATAAAATATTGCAACTGCTATTTCTATTTATTGTTATTGCATCTTTAAAAAAATGTCTATTTGTGTATGTGTACAATGAATTGGTTAGTATATTCAGTGAGCTTATTATTTTATAAATCAATGTAAATACTATGTGTGCTTAGAAACTTTTTATTGAAAAGAGTAGATAATCGAAGAGTTTGGAGACCATTGGCTTATACTCACCCCTAAGTAGTTGGTCATCTCTTTTTGTTTCATTTATGTTGATGTGATCTCCCAGCCAGACTGCCACTCACTTGAGCACATAATACTTTCCTTATACTTTTCTAGTATGTCCTATGAGACCCTGCTCTTGGGTGTCACTAAATGAATATTTACAAATGCTTTGATTTCATTTGGCCTCCAGGAAGTATTCCTCAATTGCTCTGCCCCCACCCAACCCCGTGATGGATACCTGTTCTGAATTCCTGCATAGCAGCCTGCAGCAGTCATTACCCTTGCTGCTTATATACCACCATGCCTTTTCTGTAGCTTATGTCCGCCCAGTAATGATCTCAATAATTGAAGGTAGGGATGTGGCTCACAGTGTCCAGCCTATTGCTGGGGAGATCATAACAGTGCATGCCCAATAAGTAGAGCACTCACCTGAGAACTGCCCTAGACCCTTTGGATATTCACTTAGGGCCATATTCAGTCCTTCCTTGGCCTCTGCTTGAATTGGCCTAATGTGGTATGTGACAGTATGTAAGTGGGGAATGTAAGGATTTGTTGGAGATGGGGTAGGGGTGGGGGTACCAATGGGTTTTTAATTTTAAGGTATGTATTTATTTCACTATTAGGAAAAAACAGAATATTACACCACAGTTTCACATATTTAGGCGAGATTGCTTGAGAAGAGTGTGCATTTAAGGAAAAGTTTAGTATAGGTGGTGTGTGGATATGGTAAAATCATGCAGGTGGCCTCTGGATGACTGAATTTGGAGAACTCTAACCCAAACTTGTTCAGGTGGACTGCTGGAGTCCCAGAATCACTTAACCTCCTTAGCTGTATCTTTATCAGAGACTTCTTTTCCCCATTCCCTCATGCAGACATAAGTAGTTTCTTGTAACCTCACTTGCAGGAAGTCTTAATCATAAATTGCTCTGAATCCTAATAGGCAAATGGGAACATGGAAATCTATTCCCAAGGTGGACATCAGAGCAAAAGCTTCTCAGAAGCACAGGGGTCAGAAAGCTGGGCCTCTGACCCAAGGGACCCAGCTGTGGTTCCAAGTATTACAGTTCCTGGAACTCTTCTGCTCCAAGAGGTACCATAGGGCAGGAACGCCCTTGGAATTTCCAAGCCACACTGACCCAGACTTCACTGTGGGTGTCATCTGGGGCTGATGCAATCCCAGCTCTGCTTTGAGGCCCCCTTGCAAATTCTTAGCAGACTCATATGTTGACTCATTTCCCAGCCTCAGGATGAGTTTCTCCCCTTCTTCTACCTGGCTTTCTGTTTTTAAAAATGAACTTCTCCTTTATTTGAAACGAGCATCCACAAATTGACTATTTTGGATTTTCAAAAAGTATTTCTTCCCATTATGAATGAAAAAGGCGGTTTATAGTTAAAAATAAGAGGCGGGTCATCCTCTAATATCTTACTTATGGGAGTTCTAGAGAGTAGTTTCTAGAATAACTGGGTTGCTTCAAAGTTTGACCAACATAGGAGGGTTTGGGGAGAAGCACTCTCGTTCAGTGTTCATGGGAGTGTAACATAGAAATTGTTCATGGGGGATATGAATGTGTGCAACCTCTAGAAGGAAAGTTAATTCTAGAAGGAATAAATGTGAGAATTACAAATTCATGAACATATACCCTTTGATCCAGCAATTCTCTCCAGGAATTTATCTTTTTGTTTCATTTGCACATGAACCATGAAAGTTTTAGAGGGATCTATAACAGAATTGTTTATGTCAAAAGATTATAAATAACCTAATATCCATCAATAGAAGGCTGGTCAAATTCTCATATAGCTTTATGTTGGAGTTTTGTGGAGCTGTTCAAAAGAATGGGGCAGCTTTGTATGTGTAAATATGGAAGGAGCTTCAGGTTGTTTGTGAAAAAAACAAAATTCAGAACAAAGTTAGATATCATTTGCATAAGGAAAAAAACTAAGCACAGAGACCACTGTGTAACACCATGCACACAGACTAATTGAAAATGGATAAAAGACTCACATGTTAAGACCTGAACCCATGAAATACATGGGAAAAAAACTTAGGCCACATGCTCTTTGAAATCAGCTATAAAGATATGTTTGGGGATCTACCTCCAATGGCATGGGAAACAAAAGCAAATACACAAATGGGACAACAGCAAACTAAAAAGCTTCTGTACTGCAAACGAAACTTGCACCAAAACAAAAAGATGTCTTATGTGGGAGAAAATATTTGAACATCATACTTCTGACAAGGGTATTAATGTCCAAATATGCCAAAAACTCATAAAACAAAACAACTTGATTAAAAACAGGCAGAGAATGTGAGTAGATACTTCTCCAAAGAAGACGTAGAGCTGGCCAATAGGCACATGAAAAGATGTCCATCATCTCTTATTATGCAAATCAAACCAACAATGAGGTATCACTTCACACCTCTGAGAATAGCAATTATCCAAAAGATAAGCAACAACAAGTGTTGGAGAGGATGTGGAGAGATGGGATTGTAAAGCAGTGCAGCCATTATGGAAAGCAGTATGGAGAGTTCTCAAAAAATTAAAAATAGAAAATCCATATTCCAGAGATCCTACTTTGGCTATCTACCCCCAAAGTGCAAAAACAATTTTTTTTTTATTTTTATATTCCCCATACAATTGCAACCCCCTGATTTTGACCCCAATCTCTCCTTTCCCCACCCCCACCCCGCAAAGTGTGTCTCTGGTTCATAGTTATTTGTTGATTTTGATTTTTTTTCTTCCTTATAGTTATTCTTTTTCCTGGTCCCTTATTTCGGTTTTCTAGATACCTGCTAGGAGTGAGACCATCCGGTATTTTTCTTTTTCTTTCTGGCTTATTTCACTGAGCATGATCCCTCCCAGCTCCATCCATATTGCTGCAAATTGCATGTGTTTATCTTTTTTGAATGCCAAGTAATATTCCATTGTGTATATGTACCACATCTTCTTGGTCCAGTCATCTATTTTTGGGCATTTGGGTTGTTTCCAAAGCTTAGCTATTGTAAATTGTGCTGCTATAAACATAGGGGTGCAGGTGCTCTTTGGAATTGATGTTTCTGTGTCCTTTGGGTAAATACCTAAGAGTGGAATTGCTGGATCATATGGAAGCTCTATCTTTAGTAGGCTGAGGAATCTCCACACAGTTATCCATTGTGGTTGGACCATTTTGCACTCCCACCAGCAGTGCAGGAGAGTTCCTTTTTCACCACATCCTCGCCAACACTAATGATAAAGGACCGATCACAAAAATCTACAAAGAGCTGATGAGACTCAACAAAAACAAAGAAAACAATCCAGTCAAAAAATGGGCAGAAGAGCTAAAAAGAAACTTCTCCAAAGAGGAATTACAAATGGCCACCAGGCATATGAAAAAATGTTCAACGTCACTTGCAATCAGGAAAATGCAAATCAAAACTACAATGATACCATCTCACACCAGTGAGAATGGCACATATTAAAAAAACTAACAAAAACACTAATTTGAAGAGATATGCACCCCCCATGTTCACTGCAGCATTATTTACAATAGCCCAGAGCTGAACACAACCTTGTACCCACTGTCTAATGAATGGGTGAAGGAGATGTGATGTATGTCCACAATGGACTACTAATCAGCTATAAAATCATATGAAATCCTGCTATTCTGCAGCAACATGGATGGACCTAGAAGGTCTTATCCTTAATGAAATAAGCCAGACAGCAAAAGACACTACATTTCACTCATGTGGTACATAGGGGAAAACAGATGAACTAAGTAAAACAAAAATTTTTTTGGATTCTAAAACCAATTAATGGTTACGAGGAAGATGAGTAACTCAGTGCAAAGGGAACACAATGGTATGATGAATTATGGAACTGCACTTTTAGCGGTGAAGTTAATGTAGTATATACACATGTTGATTTTTAGTGGTGCACACCTGAAACATAATGCAATTTTTAATTTAATTTTTTTTTAAGATTTATTTTATTTATTTATACAAGCCCTGGGTACAGTCAGAAGCGCGGGAGGGTGAGATACTTCACCAGAGCCGGAGCGGGGAACAAAACAGGCAGACTGACGAAATACACTGCTGAGGGGAGTAGTGGGTGCGGCAGGAGAGGTCTGCACGCCATGTGGGACCCTCGCCGGCGGCCGGGGATCGAACTGGCACTGCAGAGGCTGCAGGCAGCTTTGCTGCCCAGTGCTCAACCACTGCGCCACCGGGGAGGCCTATATGTGCCTATATGTGCATAAAATGTCCCTGGAAGGACAAACAAGAAACTGCTGATACTTTTAGTTCTTGAGAAGGGGAACTGGGAGAAAGGGATAGGGGAAGAATGCTTTACATTATATACTTTTCCATTATTTGAATTATATTTACCATCTGTTTCTATTGCCTGTTTCAGTGCTTTTTTTAATTATTCCACAATAAATTTTACATTAAATTCCTTTTGATTTTTAAATGATTAATATTTAATTTACTGACTAGTGAACCGCAAAAATTTAAGAAAATGTACACCTGTACTTCAGCATTAGAAAGATGCTAATATTCTCATATTTTCCCCTCTTTTAATAGCTCACAGACACAGACCTGATTAAACAGTGTATAGATGAATGCACAGCCAGGATTGAAATTGGACTGCATTATCAGATTCCTTACCCAAGGCCGGTAAGTATGGCTGCAGTTAATAGGTGGTAGGTTCTTATCCTGGTCGACTCAGCTATTTCCAGAAATATAAACCAAAAAGGCTTGTGTTAGTGGTGAAATCTAGAGCCACTCTAGGAGACATATTGGAAATAAACTATTCTTGCATGCCAGCCACCCATCACAACAAACTAAAATGTTAGTGCATGCCTGGCCACTGCTCCTTGTACAATTTCCCCTCATAGAAGGTTGATTTTCAACTTTTTTATGGAAATATTTTTTACTTTCCTTATTTTTGATGTTTGTTGTTAACAACAACAACAATAAATCCTAACTTTAGACCTCAAAAGAAGGTACACGATGAAAAGTGAGAATTGCCAAATATTTTTACCTCAGAGAAGTGACCTCTATAACGGGTAGGTGGACCATATGAAACTGCTGATATTCAACTGTTGGCCTATAAAAACAGCAACTTTCAATTGCATTGGCTGTACTTAATTGTTTGGTAACAATATCCTTTTAGACTTTTCTTCCTATACTCATCTACATACATTTTCTTAAAGTATAGGGGATGTTGAGCATTGTGTCCTATGGAAAGACTGTACCAGCAACCTCTTAGTAGATATTTAGGTTCATTCCATTTTCCCAGTATACACAGAACACCTGTTTACACATACTTTTTTTCTCATATTCTTTGGTTCCTCATCCCACTATGTGATCTGTGGTTATTGTTTTTCCTCCATGCAAGCAATAAGGCCCAACCTCTGGAATCAGACAGGTCTGGGTTCAAACCCTAGTGCCACCACTTAATATATAATCTTGAACAAGTTATTTAACTTTGAGCCTCCATTTTCCCATCTAAGAATATTAGAATAATTCCTTATGGGTTTATTGTAAGGATTAATGAGTCAGTATAGATTTAGCTCTTAGCAGAGAGCATGGTACCTAGTAAATCCTCAATGAATATAAGCTGCTGCAGTGATTTTAATTCTTAATATTATTCTTATTCTTATTCAGATTCATCTGCCACCAATGGGCCTTACCCCATTACAAGGCCGGGGACTTAGAAGCCAGGAAAAACTGAGGAAACTTTCCAAACCAGTGTATCTCAAGTCTCATGATGAGGTTTCTTAATCCAGAAGAAAGTTTATTTCTGAGAATGATGAGCCAATTAAGTCTCGAATGTAAACCAGATGACAAAACCCTTCTCCTTGATTAAGAGCAAAAATTCAGATACCTTCTTAAAGCCTTCCCTTGATGTGTGCTCCCACATCCTGTGGTTTGATCTGAGTGGGCCATGCTAACACTGAGGTCCCTGAAGAATCATTTGGAATCAAGACTTAAGGCCTATGGAAGGAAGGCAGGAGGATGATGAAGCTTTTCATGGCGCTGCCTTTCACCAGACATGCCAGCTGCTACAAAGAGATTACTAGTTGCCAGAACTTTTCAAGTTACAGATTTACCTAAAAGTGTGTGCTTTATTGTCTTTTCATCCTTCCAGTTTCCAGATAAATACCCCTTAATAAGCGCATCATTGAATTGATCATGGGTGAGATCTAGCTTCACCCCTAACGTACACATACACAAAAGTTCATATCTTCAATAAATGTAAAAGTTTATCGTGAAGCCTATGATATTACTTATGATGCACTTGGGGTCTGAAAGTCTCACTTGAAATACTGCATTTGTTGTATTTTACCTTATTGAGATTAGAAAGCACAAGGGCCAAACTGACTTACAAATTATGTTCAAACAGAACAAGTACACATAAAAACACAAAGGGCTAATACCCTGCATATGCGAGTTGGGTAAGATTCCTATGGCAAGTGACTTGCACACCAGTATCGTTCTCTGATGACAGAGAGCATAGGCATATCCATTGAGACACACCCATCAAAATTTTGGTCTTTTTTTTTTTTTATAATCCTGTTCCTGTTTCTTCTTTTTTTTTTTTTAAAGATTTATTTATACAAGAACCAGGGTACAGGCCAGATGTGTGGGAGAGTGAGAGGATTCACCAGAGACAGAGCAGGGAACAGAACAGGCAGACTGGCTGAAATACACTGCTGAGGGGAGCAGCAGGCGAGACAGGAGAGGTCTGCTCGCCATGTGGGTATCTCGTGGCCAGCCAGGATCGAACCAGCGCTGCAGAGGCTGTGAACAGCTTCACAGTGCTGTGCTCAACCACCTGCGCCACCAGGGAGGCCCTGGTCTCCATTCTTTACTAAAATCACCTTGTGACCCTCAGAAGCAGCAGCTGATAACTTCCTATCCACACCTTGATTTTGGATTCCCTGGTCACACAGACACTCTAACTCAAAATAAGCATTACATTTCTATGTCAAAGCCTGTGAGCAGGAGCATACATTTTCTCGCTTGTAGTAGGTAAGGGTTTGGGCAAAGACATGGAGGAGAAATATAATACTGTGTATCAGTGGAGTAATAGCATGTGTGTATGGAACATAAATGCATATATAGGCCTTCCGTGAGGAGAAATATAAATGTGCTGGCAGGCCAGCTGGCCATTTGTGAGCACATACCCAACCCAGCTTGAATGAGGCACCAGTCCGCTGTTCTACCAGTCACTCCTTTCATCTGATCTCATTGTGGAAGCATTTCCCAGCCTATTTTTTAAGCATTTGTCATATAGCATGGGGCCTGGGGCCTGTGAACTTAAGCCAACTACTTCATGAGAGTGATTTGTTATTGCGTCAGAGGGAAACCTGGCTGTGCTGGACTGAGCCCATCTCCCATCACGGTCCCTTTCTAAGTAACTGCAGCTGAGTTTGACTATAAAATTTTTGTCTTTCTCTGAGTGTAGAAACCACCCTTCCCACCCAGCCTCCTCCAAGCTGGAAGTCTGTCTAATTGCTGGTGTTGATCTTACACAGCAACCAGTCATTTCAACAACAAACCAACAAAATGGAAATATATATATATTTGGAAATAATATAAAGCAAAAGGCATTTTGGAAAGTGTAGGCTCACGGTAAGATCCATGTGCACTTCCATGGACTCAACACTAGCAGCTCCTTATGTAACATTTGGGGAGCTCCTGCTGAGTAAAAAGAACCTCTTCCCTGAGGTGGGGAAGCAACATTACTTCCCATGGGAAATGCAAGTCATGTCGGGTCCTGTCGGCTGGTTGCCTGTGCAAGGGCACTCTGGTGTAGCCTCCCGACCTCACTTAAATAGATTTTCTGTCGCTAATTTTCAAACTGTGCCAGCAATCTTACCAAATGTGAATTTTATATGCCTGGCCGCTTTGCAAAGACGCCTATATTTTTACACAAAAATACAATTGTCAACTTACTACCAAATCTTCCATGCAACCTGTGTTTCTATTATAACAATTTTTTTTTTCATTTTTCTCTTAGCCTATAAAATCTTTATCTTAGGTCTTTTAAAGGCAGAACCTGTCTTCCCTATAGTCCCTCTTCAATGAGATTTTCTTTCAAAGCTGGCAAGGACTGAACATAATTATTTACCCAACAGCTAGCTGTTTAAAGACAAGGACTAGCTTGGTGACAATTTTGTCTGATGTTATCTGCTGAGCTATTTATAGGCAAGGCCTGCAGCTTCTCACTGATCTCTGGCCATCTCTGCCCAGGACTCCCAGCCTAAACTCACCAGGGGTTCTGAAGAACACATTGCTCTTTCCCAGGGGATACATTTAACTACCATATTGGAATCAACAGAAAATGACCTCAAATCTCAGGCAATATTTTTTTTCGCAGTAGAGGAAATTTTTTTTTTAATGACAAAACTTTAATCCTTCCTACGGAAACATTCTGTCCCTTGACCTCCCTGAGGAATAAGACGGTCTGTCCCTGACCCTCTCAGCTTTGTGTAGCTGAAACCGGAATTAGATAACTATAATTAAAACTCAACTGTTCTCTTTGCACCTTTCACAGCTTGCAATGCGATATACCTAACCAGTCCAAGATTCATGGATTTGGGGTCCTCACCATGTTCCCATCTCGTATGACTGACAATCTTATTTGGAACCATACAGCAGTTCCAATTATATTCATTTTGATTTTTTTTTTTTCCCGCTAGAAAAAAATTGTGTTTCCTTTTTAAAAGTAGCTATTGAGCTACCTGCTTTGAGCTGAGGGAGACTGGCTTGTCATTGTCTATTGCCCCTGGAGAGGTTTAAAGAATTTCCCTTTTGGACTTAATCTCTAGATCACTTAGATGATTTGCTGATCTAAGAATTCAGGGTCCTCAATCAGAATTCTACCACCTCCATGTTTCCATGAAGAAATAGTGTATGTATTTGGTTCTCAGAAGTTTCCTGCATTTGAGACATTTCTTCTAGAGAAGAGGCAGAGAAGCCAAGTTCCAATACTAAGATGCTTATGTCTCTTCTCAATTATGGTCAATGGACTGCCTTTAAAGAAGTCAGCTAGAGCCAAAGAGCTACATATGAGAACTAGTTGAGAAGAAATACATCAAGAATTTGATTGTTTTCTCCCTCAGGATTCTCTTCCAGCTGGCCCTTAGGAAAAACAGTGATAAATTAGAAATTTCTTGGACATGGTTTTTTGGAGCTACGCATCTAAGATTCTACATCACAACATAGCCAAGTCCTTGGCAGGGAGGCAGCATGCAACAGTTAAAAAATGCATGGGTTCTAGAATCAGATAGAGCTCTGCTCAAAATCTGACTGCTTTGGGTGATCTTAGGCAAGTTAATGTCCCTGAGCCTCCAGAAGGAGAGATACTCATACCCACCACGTATGAACAAGGCCTGGGCATAATCCATGATACACAGTAGGCTTGCAACCAATAGACTTTTATCACATCTTTCTTCCAGAAATTTCAGTCCATCTTGTAGGCTAGCAGAGAAGCTTTTGGGACCCAGTTGTAAAAAAAAAAAAAAAAAGGAAAAAAGATCAGCCAAGTAAATTTAAGTATCTAATTGGCTTTATTAAGCAATTTATGAACCAGGCAGCTTCCCATCTAGCAAGCTCTGAAGAGCTATACAAAATAGAAGGCTTTTATAGGCAGAAAGAGGGTGAGAGAAGAGGAAATTACTTCAGGCAGGGTCACCCTCCGGGGTGTCTATCAGACAGATTACCTCATTAGTGCTGACCAGGAAAGTCCAGTTTGCCTTCTGAGACATAAAAACCACAATTAGGTTAGGTATTAAGCCTTAGTTTACTGACATGAGTTTAGCAGAAGTGATGCCATTTGGGGCCTTCTATTTCCATTTGAATAGCTCTCTCACTGATTAGCTGTGAAGTTTGAGCTGGTTATTTTTTAAGCTTCTGATTCTGTAGCTCTAAAATGGGGGTTGATGATGTTAACTGCCACGTAAGATTGTTGTGCAAGTGCATTTTAAATATATCAAAATCCTTAGAAGTAAATTGCCTCCTTCAACCTCTGAGAGGTCCTGCTGTTAGCCCATGGGGATAGACTAAGAAAGAAGCAGTTGGAATTCAGTGATAGTTACAGCAAAAATAATAGGAACAAAATCATAAGGGAAGCTAGCCAAAAAGCTAAAAGGCCAGGTTGAAGAGTGTCACTGCTTCTGTTCAAATCCAAACTCTGGTATTTTAGTAGCTACCTGATTTGGGAGGTATTACTTACCGTCTGGGTGTCATGGTTTCAGCAGCCATAAAGTTAAGATGGTAAAAATGACGACTACCTCTTTATAGGGCTGGTCTGTAATACGTGTCTCATAGCAAGCACGCTATTAATATAACTGTCATCACCGCCACCACCATCATCATACCATGTGGCTCTCAAGAAAGGAAAGCTAGGGTCTAGTTGAGAATAAAATGCCTTTTATTCTCTGGGTTGAGACAGTGACATCAGTTATCCAGCTGGCACAGTGAGGCCACCCCTCGGTTTATCCAGTGCTTTTGGGGCCTGTCTGTTGGGAGTTCAATGGAGAGAACATAGTTGGTGGAGTGGCCCGTGGTGGAGAGAATGCCTCTCCGGGCACTGGTTTTGTAGACGGGACACACATAAATGTTCTGATGTATAAACCTGGCACTCTCCCCAGGTTTCAGCCAAATGATGGGCAAAGGGTCGAAGAGGATTTTAGGAAGAGACTCTTCAATCTGCATTGTTTCTCTGTCCCAGCGGGCACCTTCTAAAAAAAGCCCTTTTATGTAGGCCCCATCGTTTGGATTACTCTCCATGACTGCTTCTTGGGTGGTCACCTGGAAAAGAGGAAATTATGAGTTCCATTACCTTCCATTTTTCTAAATGGGGCAGCATTAAGAGATTGGGAATGTGCAAGCTGGCTGCGGTGTCTGCCTTTCCCAGGACACCAGGGCTCTGTGGTAATGCTCCTGCCTGCACACAGGAGCCAGGTCTGCATCCTCATCACATGAGGCCCTTAGGCCTGCTGGGAGTAGAGGAAGCACTGCAGGGGGAGTCAGGAGACTGTCCTCATCACCGGTTTAGTGGCTTTGTACAATCCTCCTCCTTTTCAAAGACCTGGGACTTTAAAGTGAGGGATTAGAGTCAGATGTATGCTGGTCAAACAGTTCTCTGAATGAAGAAATGAAGCCTTGGTTTATAGTTTCCATCAGTTCCTGAGGAACAAAGACCAAGGTCAACTATGGAAGGACCAGCTCCAGCTGGTTCTGGGGAGCTGTATGAACCAGCTCCAACACACCACTGTCTCAATTCAGAGATGGTAAACTCAACTTCCTTCAGCTAAGTGCAGAAAATTAGCCAGGTGTAGGCAAGTAGAGAGTGGTGGGGATTATGGTGAGCCAGGGAACACAACCTTCATTTAAAAGCATTCAAATTCTTATCATTTGTTATTATGAGTGGAATGGTTTTTTTCCCAACCATTTCTACTTCTAAGTTCTATAGCTAGAATAGGAAAGGCCATTGTTCTTACATATTTAACCAGTATCCAGTCAACTTATAGATTCTGCCATTAATTCTGAAAGGTGTGCTTTCAGGATTTCTAGGTATATAGTTACTTCAACATCAAATAGGATGGTTTTGTCTTTTTTCCAGTATTTATCCCAGTTACTTTGTTTTCTGCCTTAATTTTGGCTTAATAATATCTTCAAAGGCCCATAAAATTAGATTTATTAATAAAATAAGACCTAGGGCAACTAGTTTGCGACCTCTAGACTAATGATCTCAAAGGATCTTTCTGAACTTAAAATCCTATGATGGTCTATAACAGCCCATCATAGTTTATTTCATATATGGACAGGGTGATACTTGAGTAATGTCCATTCCTTTGACTTTATGCCAAATGAAGTGTTCACCATGTTGAATAGACAACATGTTAGGATGCTTCCATTTTTCATAGTATGATGATAGCAGAGTTATCCTCTGGAAATGTTCCTTTTCAGATCCACAGAAACAAAGGCCTGGGAACCCTCTGGTTCTGCCAGGAATAACTTTTAGAGCTACTTTAAGTCATACTAAGTACTGCATTTGTTCCATCTCAGAAGCATGTGGCCTTAACATACCCACATGTTTAACTCATAAGAAGATGGACAACACGGGCCTCCCCTGGTGGCGCAGCAGTTGAGCGCTGGGTTGCAAGGCTGCCCGAAGCCTCTGCAGCCCAGTTCGATCCCCAGCCACTGGCGAGGGTTCCACAAAAAAAAAAAAAAAAGAAAAGGAAGATGGACAACAGTGCTTTCTCTGGTCGCCCCTTGGAGCTGGCCAAAGCATTCCTACCTCAAACTCAAATCCGATATGGTCAATGGGGATGGTATACTTCCGGGAATAATTCTGAGAGACACCCGTCAAAAAAGACTGTGTGAAGTAGAATCCAGAGATCCAGAAAACCACAGGAGGCCCCTTGTCAGTCCATTCCTGGAGAGCCACCGAAATGAAAATTCAAAATCAACAACACATCCCAAGTAGTTCAAAGGCAGATATATAAACAAGTAGCAAAATATACTCTTCCTCATTTTTCTTGAAACAGACAGCCCTCTCTGTTTAGCTTTTTTTTCCTTCCATTTTTAAAAATAAAACTATTGTAGTTTTACTTCAAGGAAAGCACAGGTACAAGCTGGTATCAGAGATATACTAGAGAGTAGTGGGGACTGGAGCAATAGAGAACATGTGATTTGTCTACACTGAGTAACAGCCACTTATCTCCCGCAATAGTTGTCATGTAGGAGTGTAGACCCATTATTTCAGATCTTCCCTTTTTTCTAGGAAATATCTAGATTTTTATGTGTAATAATCCAATGTTTACACGCAAGCACAGAAAATTAAAAATTATCAGGCAGTCAAACCTAACCCATGAGCCAGCAGCCTGTGACATTTATTCTGTTCCTAATTCTGCCTCTATAAGCTTTAGACTTTTCAAGGACTTTGAAAGTCTCCCTGCTGCTCTCCACTCTGAGAAGACTGATTCCTAGGTGCTGAGTCCAGATGCTGCCTGCTTTGCTTCTTCTAACTCTAAACTGTCATTCCTAATGTCCCCTCCACCTGAATGAGCATGCCATGTACCAAGTTACTCTGGTTTCTGGTACCTGGAAGAAGGCCAGGCGGGCCAGCAGATCAGCCACATAGCCCCCTAGGGGCTTCAGCGATGGGTAGGACTTGGCCATCCACATGCCTGGCACTTTGCCCACAAGCATGCTGCTGAAGACATCCTCCAGCTCTGAGGACATTAGGACCTGCCCTTTGATGGCACGGCCAAGATCAATGAGGCTTTTTCGAACGACTTTGGTCAGTCTGTAAGAACAAAGCAAGCAGCTCAGCCTGGCCCTGCAGCAGCCTCATTCACTCCAAGTATACCCACTCCATGTCTCCTTTCACATTGCCTCCCTCCCCTGCTTTAAAAGGTCAGAAGATGAAGGTACATTCATAGTAGAAAAATTATAAAGGTGAGAAAAAATTAAATCCTCCATTATCTCACCAACTTAAGATAACTTTGATATACATTCTTTCCATTTTTCTCTATGTAAACACAAATCACTTTTAATGGCATCGTGCACACACTTGAGGTGTATATATATATATATATATATATATATATATATATATATATATACATGCTATATATATATATACATATACAAAAATCTTTTTATATCTTTTAGCAACTTGGGAACATCTTTCCAACTCAATAGAGATCTATATCATTTTTTTTAAATGACTACAAGGTATCCTGTTTTATTAACTATTGCTGAGATGTGTTTCTAGATTGTTGTTACTATAAATAACATTGCTAGGAACATCTATCCATAGCAATCTTTGTGGAAATGTACAAAGATTTTCTTACTAAAAGTCAAATTCTGGGTCTGTGCAGAGAGTTATGTGCAGTTTTAGAGCTCTTGATCCATATTGCCAAGGTCATTCCTTTTATTTTTTAATTTAATTTTTTTAAAGATTCATTTATTTATGCATACAAGAACAGGGGCACAGGCCAGAGGTGTGGGCAGTGAGAGGATCCACCAGAGACAGTACGGGGAACAGAACAGGCAGATTGACTGAAATACTCTGCTGAGGGGAGCAGCGGGTGAGTCAGGAAAGGTCTGCTGCACCATGTGGGTAGCTCCCTGGCTGGCGATCGAACTCGTGCAGCAGAGGCTGCAGATAGCTTCATAGGTTGTGTCCTAACCCCTTGTGCCACCAGGGAGGCCCAGTCATTCTTTTTAAATGTGCATGCTGAAGTGCATACCTGAGAAAAGGGCTGCCTGGGAGATGCCATGATTTCCTGCCTCCCTCTATGACCTCTGTTATGAGGTCTAGCCAAGGTCTGAAGGAATTCCCCTGAGAACACCAAAGAAACTGCCACCAAAGAGGACTTGTCATCTCCACAGATTTATGGAATCCCAGCCAAGTGGACATGAGAATGATCTAACACAAAAAAGGGATTCCTGAACGTATAAGCACTAGACCTTCACATGCGGAGGAATTTCAAATTGAGACATCTGTTGCATGTGCTTGGCTGAGGAGTCAGGGCCAAAGCTACCAGGCAAGCGATTGTACTACAGACTTCTATTAACCTGAAGACCTACTTACATATGTTTCTATTCTTGCAACTATGAGCTCCGCTAGGTGACAAGGTTTTTAGTACTTAAGGAAAGAACATTTCTCCCAAAAAACATAATGGTTCTCCTGAATTGGAAGCTGAACTGCCACCTACTTCTTTTGGACTTCTCAGAGTACTGGGTACACAGGCAAAAAAAGAGAAAGGGTCAGGGGATTGGGGACAAATGCTATAGTTTTGACCAATGGGATTGATCCTGATGACCATCATTGGAAAATAAGATTAGTGATAGCCATTTCTCATGTATTACAATGGTTAGTGGTAATGGCTAGAGATAGCTCCTGCAATGGTCGAGGAAGTGCTCCGGAGACCTTAGGGGAAAATGAGGAAAGCCATTAGGTCTGGTCTGGATGAATGAGGACTACACCCCATCTGCCAAGGTGGCCGACTCACAGCAGTGGTGCTTCTTCCCAGTTTCATACCCCATACTTTGTTATATGATCTCCTATACAGCCTTTACTTGTCCCCTAAATGGCCAAGTGCCTATTGACTCTAGAAACTGGCACTTTCCCCAATTCCTTGGGGAAACCAAGGAATTCTTAAATTGTATTTTTCTTGTTCCCTAGTCCTTCAGAGTTAGGGCTGTTCCTAAAACTGAGCAGTGGCCAATGAAGCAAAATGGAGACAGGAACACATTGAGTATCCAGAGCAGCAAGAACCTTGAACTTGGAGGGAAAAGTGATGAGTTTCCTCATCTGGCCTAGATGGTCTTTGGGACTTCTTTCCATTTTGATTATTGAGAAGTCTTATCAAAGTGATCCCACTAGAGTCTATGCTGCAACAACTAGAGAAGTGAGGAGGGACTAGAATAGAGGGGCAGGCTATGGTCACCCTTTCCCTTCCTCTGTGGGAAGAACTTCTCCTCACCCCTTTTTTGTTTACCCTGACTTCACACTTTGGCTATGTGCATGGACCCTGGAATCAGATAATCTGAATTCAACTCAGTTCTGCTATTGAATATGTGTGTGACCTTATACAAGTTACTTAATTCTTGTGGGCCTCACTATTCTCATCTGAGAGGATTACTAACCGTGCATATTTCACAATACGTGGTTTGTCTTCAAAGACATGCATAGTGCTTGGAATCATATCTAGCAGTCAGGATGGGCTCAACAGAAGTGACCCTGAATGATTACTTTTACTATTAGCCTCTGCTTGGTATTGGTTTTCACCTGACTCTACAGATGTCACCTGAATGAATGGAAGAGAATGAACAGAAGAAATAATTTATCATTGGGCCAGTGGGTGCTAGGAAGGTTATATTTATGACCAGCCTGTGAGTGAGAAAAACCACTTCCCCTGCATAGCAACCCCTCAGTGTGTATCTCAGGTGTAGCCCCTGGGCTCCCAGCCCTCACACTCCCCTCCCAGGAGCCAGTAAGAACCCCTGGCCCACCTGTTGAACCTGATGAGCTCCTGTCTTAGGACAGTATTCATGGATTCCTCATAGACCACAGGGTACTTCACCATAATCTTTTCCAGGTCAAAGTCTTTGGGAAGCTTGGAGAGTACATCCTGGGCCAGGTCCTCAACCACTTCCTTAAAATATAGCAGTAGAGAGGGAAAGAGAAACAAGGCTGCAGCTTTGGGCAAGAGCATCTGTCTTCTCAGACATGGTTCTCTGGACCTTCCTAGGCACTCTTCCACAGAAGCCAATTCTGCCTCCAGGGAAGGAGGACCGCCATCCCCCATCCCCCCTCCCTCCCAGCCTTGGGGAGGACATCACTCCTTGACCCAGAAAGTAAAAAAGCTGAGAAAGCAGAGCCTGGAGCCCACACCTGCATCCTGAGGATCAGGTAGGGAATTCCTGCCCCGCCAGGTAGCCTCGGGGTCACCCTGAGCCCTGCAGAATTCCTCTGGTCCTCTTGGGTGAGAAGCTCCTATGCCAGTGACAGGGAGGCCTGGCCAATTGGCCTTTTCTCAGCAATGAGCAAGAACAGCCCAGGGCTTAGCCAAGGAGGGAGGGGACAGACTCAGAGAACGAGGGCAGCAGTAGCTCCTGCGTGGGTGCGCTAACTGCCATCCTGCGGCTCTAGAGGCAGGAGCACCTGCTGCTTTCCCTCTTCCCACTGCTCAAGGGGAATTGGGACTCTCCACCCCTCCACTGAGACATGCCCACCAGGCTGCTTTATCGTCACACCTACTACCTTGTCTGGCTCTAGGAATCAGGAAACCAAATTCCATCTAATCCCACACTGCGAGGGGTGAACATGGGTAGCTGGGAAGGTGGAGCCGGAAAGAGGAGGATGGGAAAGAGCAAGGGGCAGAGGCGCCAGGGGACGGCAGCAGCTCGGGGTCTGGCTGTGTTGCTGAGTTTAGGAAGCGGTCACTTCCCCCTAGGGCTTGTTTGCCAAGGGTGGTGGACTGGAACAGGGCTTCCCAAAGTCTGGACTGAACACAAGAGGTACCCAGAATGACCCAGAAGTCTTCAGGATATGGAGCAAATGAGGTAGAGTCACAGGGTGACAAAGACACTCACTCTTTTCAAGTGTTGCCCTCCTTTCTCTCCCCCTTCCTCTCAAGGAGAAAGTCTCAGGTCAGGGCTAATTAAATGCTCTGTCACATTAGCAGGTCGCCCTCCTTCCTTTTCATGAGAAGCCAGCAACATCATCTGGGAAGCACCTAGTGACTGTTTCACTTTCATTTTCTTTTTGGAGCTGTCATGACTTTATGGAAATGATATTGGGTTTCCACTTAGAGCAGGAAGGGCAACTTGGCTTTAAGCAAAATATGGGGTATAGATGATATGTTGGTATAATAATGAATCATGAAGGTTGTACAGGCAGAGCTGACAACTGGGTGCTCTTGTAGCTGTGACAAAGGACTCTCAGCAGTTAAGACCTGAACCCTGATATCCTGTGGACCCACTAGGTGGAAAATTTCCTGGGAAACTGAATTGCATGTCCTGCGGCAAACCCAGTTACCTGAGGGGACTTGTCACTCCCTCCCGACTGTCTTGGGAGAGTCAGCAGCACCCCTTGAAACAGCTGGTTGGTTTCCTGGTTGTCTTTGGTGATGTCAGCATTCTCATGGAGCCCAAACACTTCTGGATGGGCCGTGATGGGGAGGTTCCTGAGATAATCAATATAGGTCTGGAAAGAAAATCTTAAGTTGACATAAATGCAGCATCCCTGGGGTCCCACAGATTTCTCAGGGCCTTGCTGCCCTTCACTCTCTTCTTGCATACACACACACATCCATGCACACCCATCCATGCACACACATGTGCCTGCATGCACACACAGGCACACATACTGATGCACACACCCATGCACATGTGCACACACGCACACACGTTTCAAGTTCTGATACAGTTTTCAGGGGAGTGAGTATGAAGGCAGATGGACTGAGGGTCTCTCCTCTCAGCCCTGATTTCCTCTTTGTTCCCCCAGTATCCTGGCTTTGGAATTATACAGACCTGCTTTGGCTCTGAGCTCCAATACAGACTAACTGTGTAACCTGGAGCTAGTCACCTGAGACCTCAGTTTACCCTTATCTGTAAATGTGAAGACAGCCGAGGTAATAAACAGGGCCTTGACATCTAGCAGGTGTTCAGTAAAACCAAGCCCTTTTCATCCTTCCTTCGGATTTGTTGACTTCGTCCTTTTTTCATTCTCCCATGCAGTTTTTCCATCCCACCTCTACTGCCCCCTTCTTAATCTTTGTTTTTGTCCTTTTCACCTCCTCCCCCAGGCCCTCTCCTCCCCTCCCCTCCATTTTCCTCCCTGAACCTTTCTTTTCAAGTAGTAATTTCTAGCCTCGTCACTGCCAAGGCTTCATCTTAACCATGTTTCCCTCTTCCCCCCTAGATAGACCCCACATTTTGAAATACCCTGTCTACCAAATACCCAGCATTCATTATGCAGTAGTACTGTTTCTCTCACAGGAAATAGCTGATGGACCCGTCAGGAGGCCTAAGGCCCTCCTGGGCTACAATGCAATCTCCAGCCACATGGAGTCTGGGGGGCAGAGAGGCCTCTTCCCTCACCCCTCACCTGGTAAGAGCCATGAGGAGGAATGTAGTAAGTGTCTCCAGGAGCAAGAGGGTAATGGTCCTGCTTGATTTCCTTACAGTAGAAGGTGGACAGAAGGGACAGCAGGAGACGCCTGTCTTTGTCATCAGTCACTCTGCCTCCGTAATTACACTCCCCTGGGGAAAACCAGGAAGATGGTTGAGACCAGGGAAGGTCAGGATGAACTTGGTCATTGGCCTAAAACACAGGATTCTTCCAGTTAAGGAGTGCTGCTGAGACAGTTGCTGACAGCACACTCAGTTGGAAATGAGACCAGGTCTTTTGGGTATCATGGTTGCTACAAAATAATACACATTCACCATAATAGAAATTAGAAAATAGAGATAAAATGGAAGAAAAACAATACCATCACCAATAATTCCACCAAAGGTAACTATTAATGTTTAGACATCTTTCCAATGTTTGAAAGGCACACATGCACATAAATGTGAACGGCATTCCAGAAATGTGACTCAAGGCAAGACCTTTTTTGTGAGGCAGTCCTAAGTTCTAATTCCACTTCTGCCACTTTCCAGCCAATATTTGAGTGCCAATGTCTGTCCCTTAGTAGTATTTTCTTATCTGTCAAGAAGTGGCAAAAGCTGCAGTCTCCCTATTAAACATTATGGTTAATAATGCTATGTAAGCACTTAGCTCAATGCTTAGTACATAAGAAATCTTCAATTAATTCTAGCTATTACAAATACATATATTTTAGAAAATTGAGATTGTCCGATATATACTGAGAGATATGGCTTCCTTTTTCACCCCCACCTCCATCACTAACATCGTCTACGGAGGCTCGGGTTTCTACACTCAGAGTTCTACAAAAAGCATTAGATAATTCTCTGGAGCGGACATCAAATCCATCTCACCAATCCCATGATGTATTTTCTAGCTGGTCCACATTCCACAGTATTACAGCAGGGAGGTACCACTTGGTATTTGGTAATTGGGGAGTAAGAGGCAGGTCAACAGACCGGACACAGGAAGTGTGACCCAAGTTGGGGGCAGGTGGCCTCTGCTTCTCTCGGTTCTGACTTAGCAGGATGGGTCTAAATGTCTAAAGGAAGATGGAAGGGACTCATAGGTGTTCGTCCCTATTGAGCAATTTGAACCCTACTGAAGCTGTAAAGCCTGAAGCCAGACCTTCCACCTCAGGGCCCCTCTAGTGGGACTCTCTCCATCCCGTGGTCCACTCCTCCTTCTTCCACTTGTAAAAATCTTACACAACCCTCAAAACCCAACTTCTATGCCCTCAGGAGGTTTTCCACGTTCATCCCCTGCCCCATCCCCGAGATTTAATCACGGTGTACCATCCACTTCAGAAATGTTGCTCTTGTTGAACTGATCACAATATTATCATTTATTCTCCTCTTGTAGACTTGAGGGTAGGGACAGTATATTAATTTTCTTGGTGGAGGTTTCTTTTCTTTTTCTTTCTTTCTTTCTTTTTTTTTTTTTAACAATATCCATCACAGTGACCAGGTTTAGTAAGAGTTTGTTGAAAGAAAGAATGAATGAATAAATGAATGGCGACAGCAGAGCAGTAGGTGGATATTTGGTAGTTGGGAACAAGCTACTAGGGATGTGTGTGTGTGTGTGTGTGTGTGTGTGTGTGTGTGTGTAAGGCCTCCCCTGAAGGATGAGGTTTGCAGTTGCAAAGTCTCCCCCATGAATACCTGTCAGGTAGGTCAGAGCTTCAAATGGCACCTCCTGGTAGTCATTCAGAAACATCTGGATCTGCCTCATACTAATCCTGAGGTCAGATTCGTTGAATTCATAGGGAATATTCCAACCTGCATGAGACAGAGAAGAATTACGGTTTTTGGTTCCAGGAGCTCTTAATTTCCACTCAGCCGTCTAGCGAGGGAATTAAGCATCATTATGGATCAAGAGCCTCTTTCAGCGCCACGAATATCAAGCATGAGCCAACAATTAGCCTTGACATTTACTGCCAACGGGGGAGCCATTCTGCTTGAGAAAACAGCCATTCTAAAATCAACTTCCTCGAGGATCTCCCCGTTTGTTAAGGACAATGTTGACATCCTGGGATTTGTGGAATGAGAATTATTCACCCTGGCCAGAATACAGTGGTAACTCACGTTGGGGCTCCAAACAACACTAGAGCCTAGCTGGAAAGCACAGAGCAGTATCTCTGATCGGGCAAAAGAACTAAGTTTGTTTTGAGAATTCTCATCCTTGTCTTCATGGAAGAACTGGGTGGTCAGCATTGAAGAAACCTTTGCTCATCTCTCCAAGGGCGCCAAGGGACCAGATCCAGGGTAAGCAGGTAGGGTGGGATGTGTGATCAAAGGAGATGTTTAATTTCTGCCTGAACATACGCATGAAAAAAATAATAAAATAGTAAAACCCATTTCTGGCAAACAAAACACAACTAGGTGACTGGTTATAAACCAAACCAACTATGTAGATTCCTAGAGGTTGGGCATGGGTGGAAGAATGTGCCTGAAATGCAGATGCAGAGGGAGTGTCCCTGTGGCTGTCTTGCCCTTCACCCCTCAGTAGAAGGGTCTGGTGATCTGTGGAGGTAAAGGGCTGGGGTGTGTGTGGGTAGAAGGAAGGGAATAGGATATTTCCAGAGAATCACAAAGATGCCTTATCTTTGTGATAAGAAACACCTGGGAGACTGTGAGGTGGGTCATTTCAAGGCCGTTGAACAGAATCAGAGGCAGCCCATGTGTGAGAGAAAGGTAAGCCAACCTTAAAACCTGAATGACATGGGATCTGTGCAGCAGTCTGAAGATCTATTCTGATAAAGAGTATCGAGTTTCTCATAAGTTAGGCCTTGGATAGGATACACTAATAAACTTATTTTTAGTTTTTCCAAAGGAGGCCTAGACAAATATCCCAGTTGTACTTCTCCAGTTGTTATGCACATGTAAGGTGAACCACCTAAAATTTGTCAATCACCTCATGACAACTCCCTGGAGAATCACCACTGTGTCCCAGACAGGCAAAAGTGCACTCAGGGGAAGGGCTGTTCTCTCCTCATTATGGAATTACTTCAGTAGTTAGGGTACCTTTGATTTTGGAGCATCACCTCTTTCCTAACAATGACCTGGTTATAGGGTTGCCAGAGTTACCAAATAAATGACAAATCATGTTAAAAATAAGTATGCTTCAAATATTGCATGGAACATACTCTTCCTATATCTTACCCGCAACCCTATCTGATTTCAAACTTGAACATGTACCTGCATCTGTCCACGGTCTTTCTCCCAGGCAACCCAGGAACACTGACATCTCTTACCTAGGGGTCCAAAGTTTCTCCGCTCTTGAACGATGGCATGGAAGAAGCAAAGGCCAAACAATAGCTTTTGCCACATCACTGGCTTTGTACAGCTTTGGAAGAACACGGGGTCTGAGATGGGGTCATTGAGATAGGAGCGCAAAAGATTGGCCCGGAGCCCTTTGGGGGGCTCGTTGGTCATTTTGATCCCATTCTGGAGGATGCTAACTGGAAACTTCTCTGATGGATAGCTGGTTAACCACAGCCTGGAAGAACAACAGACCCAACTATTTAGAGCAATGCAATATGCTATATTGAAAAATAATTTATTATATATTATCTCCTTATAGAAAATATTCATCAAGCACTACTAGATGCCGAAGCATGCCTATTTACTTTAACTCTCTAGGGGGGGATCCATGATCCCCTTTCACTAGTGAGGAAGCACAGTCATGGAGAGGTCAAGTGGATTTTCCAAGGACACATCACTTGGAGGCAGCTCAACCATGCTGTGAACTCAAGACTTCTTGACGCCAAAGGCCTTCCTACTATGATTGCCATGCCATGGTCATCCCCTGCTGGACTTCCTGAGCATCTACTGTGGTCAAGCACTACACCCACCACCCCAGGGGTGGTAAAGTGTGCAAAACATTGTTTTTCAGCTTCCAGATAATCACAGCCTTGCGGTTAAGGGAAAATAAGAGCAACAGACAAGGGAGGAAAGACAAGCAAATGGAATGCTACAGTACAGGGCATTATAAAAATCAAGACTGGGAAGGGAGGGCACAGGGGGCTATGGGTCTCCACAGACTGAGGAGAGCAGAATGTTGCACATGGTGACCACAGAGCTGAGTCCAGTCACAGCCTGTGTTTGGAAATAAACTTTAATTGGGAGTTTGATGGCTATGCCCCTTCATTTACTTATTACTTTCATGCTAGACCAGCAGAGTTGAATGCTTGCAGCAGAGATGATGTAGCCAGCAAAACCTAAAATATTTACTGTCTGGTCCTTTATAGAAAAAGATGGCCAACCTCTGTCATAAACAAAATGGCCTTTGAGATGGGCAGGAGAATATGGAAGATTTCTTTCTTGAAAATATGAAAGTGTCTCTATGCCCGCACAAAAAGTGAGAGCTTATACAAATATTTAGAAGGAAATAAAATTTATTGCTTGACCACCTACAAGTTAACATTACGGCATGTTATCTTTTATTCATTGTTTTACTCCTATCTGAGCTCAAGTTACGGACACACTATCATGCCATCCTGTTTTGTTTCATGGTTTTATTTTTTTGTTTTTGCTCAACATTAGAGAGGTTTCCAACAAATGGATTCTGGGATGGAAGGTCATTAAGACAACTACATGGATCAGAGAAGATAAACTCATGCCATTTGCGACAACAAGGATAGAGGTGGAAGGGATTATACTAAGCAAAATCAACCAAAGGGAGAAAGACAAATACTGGTGGTGTCACTTACATGTGGAATATAGAGAAACAGAACAAAGGGCCAGATAAAGTCAAACTTAAAAACTAATCTCAGAAAGGTAACCATAGAACTGAGGCACCCAAAGCGGGGGCAAGAACAAGGGGGTGAGAACACAGTGACCTATGGTGGAGGACTTGGGTGCTTTGGTGGGTGCTTTGGTAGGGGATGCACTATGGTGACTGTGCCTGGAGTAGGGGAAGCCTATAGTTATGAGGTAACAATTGTAAGCCAACTGTACTTTAATACAATTTTTAAAAAAATCAAAAAACAAAACAACTGCACAGAGGAGGGAAGGATGGGCATGATGGGTAGTCTGCAGTGGTTGAGGGGTAGACCGGGGGGTGGGGAAGGGCCTGACTTCAGCCTGCAGATGGTTAATGTTTGGCTCTCTTTATGGAAACCCACATAATGTTGTAATATATATTTGAAGTAGCTGCCAACTTTAAAAAATCTAGACCTTTCTTTTTAGAATTCTACATTTTCCTCTACCCTCTAAAATAGTCAGGAAATCTGGCCACAGAGACCTGCATTTCTGCATGGCAACAGTCAGCTGGCCTTAAGCCATGACTGCCCTTCTGTACGGGGCAAGTGCTCACAGGTCATCAGTCCCCACCACTCCCTGTTAGTGTCCATTACTGCGGTTGACCTGTCCACGGAGATTGTTGTTATGCTATGGAAGGAGGACTATTTCTCAACCCTCCCCTCACTTACATCACATGTTTCACTCCTGAAGGCACTTGAGTTCATGACTTAGGGGTTCGGGTCACGTTATGCAAGATCTTACATGTTAACATGAATAACTTTATTCATTGACTATGTCATTGACAGTAGGTGAATTAACTCACTATCTCAAACCCAATAGGATTCTTGAAACCAATTAAGGGATTGCTCTCACACTCACACGTGAATCTGACATGAATCTTATGTGAAGACAAAATCAACTACGACCTAACCCAGCTTTGTAAATAAGTACCAAACACTTTCCTATTTTCAGGCAGAAATGATACATTGAAAACAAACGATAAGCTGTACTGCCTAGAGGAGGAGTTGGCACACATTTCCTGTAAAGGCTAATAAATGTAGGCTAATGGTCCCTGTAGCATGAAAGCAGTCATAGACAACATATGAATGAACCCATTATGTTTCAATAAAACTTTATAGACACCTAAATTTGAATTTCAAACAATTTTCATGTATCATGAAATAGTATTCTTCTTTTGACTTTTTATAACAATTTAAAAATGTAAAAACCATAACCAGTTTACAAACAGTACAAAAACAGCAGGCTGGATTTGGTCCAGGGGCCATAGTTTGCTGGCCTGGAATAAGAAAATCACTGAACATTTCAGTTAAAAGGGCCTTTGGAGTCTGTCTGGGTCATCCCAGCATTCTACAAACACAAAAGTCAAGGCCTAACCTTGGTGGACTTTAAAATTCACAAAAAACAAATAGCTTTTAGCCATGTTGATTAAATCCATGGAGCCCAAGAACTATAACATAGAGTAAGGACAAATGGTGCTCAGATTACAGGCGCTCAGATTAGACAAACAATTTTTAAAAATCAGATGTGCTGACATTGAATCTACTTTCTGAAACACATCTCCTATCACTCTCACCTTCCCCCCAAAATCAACAATTTCTCCCCACAAATACGAGAGTCACAGGGTAACTTTTCCACATTTCTTTAACACACATTCTTGCTTTTATAACAGGTATGTCCTTCATGGAAAACTTCTATTTATCAAAGTCCCAGACAACTGTTCGTCCTCCAGCCCTCGCCCTCCCCTCTCCCGCCTCCCCACCCCGCCTTTGCCCTCCCCTCCTTTTCTCTTCTTTTTCCACCCCTTCCCTTCTCTTTTCTGTGCCTTATTCTGAGCCTTAGTTGCTCTTATTCATGTGAGTCTTTTCACGGTCCTCACATTATTCACCCATGAGCTGCCTTCTGTGGAGAGTCTTAAAGGCATAACTGTGCTTTGCTCATGTTTGTATTCCTTCCCGCCACCACCAGTATTGGTAGCTAGAGCTTGAGGTTCGGCCCAGAGGTCAGCGTCTCACCTGAATCTGAAGTTGGTGCTCTCAGGAACAATCACCTCCTCGCAGATCTTCTCCAGGGTGGACATCCAGCTGGTGGCCAGGTGGCAGTTCTGTAAGACCACCCAGGTCCCATCTCTGATGGCATTGTTGATCATTTTGGCAGCAATAGGGCCTTGGCCTTGACCAAGGGAGATGGTCTGTATTCTGGTACCTCCCATGCCGACATCATCAGCAAACTTCAGCAGGCCTGAGACCAGGAAGAGAAGGGGCTTTTGAAAGAGGTTAGGCCAGCCAGGACCATATCAACAATAACAATACATAAGGAGGGGGCTACAGCAAATTCTAGAACCTCCTTGACTTCTATTAGTTATAAAATAAACACATTTCTGAGGAAGATGTTAATGAAGGTACTAATAATTCCTCTTTTGCTCAAAAGCATAGATATTCTTGAATTAAAAAAAAAATTACACAAACCAAAACCAGGGTCTTGGAATGAATCCCCAAAACTCATTCCAAGAATGAAGAGGGAACTCAAAACCAGAGAGGTGAGCACATAGCCAAAGTGCTAGGAACAAGGTGTTTACAAATTTATTTTACTAGGAAATACAGACATCTGCTCAGTGAAGTTTCGAGTAAGCTTCTTTCACTTCTTCTTCCTCCAAGGCAGTCAATGCCACCGGTTTTTGGTTTTTTTTTTTTTTTTTTTTTGTCTTGTTTTGTTTTTAAAGATTTATTTTATTTATTTAAGAACTGGGGTACAGGCCATATGCGGGGGAGGGTGAGTGGATTCACCAGAGACAGAGCAGGGAACAGTATAGGCAGACTGACGAAATACACAGCTGAGGGGAGCAGCAAGCAAGACAGGAGAAGTCTGCTCTCCATGTGGGTTGTTTCGAGGCAGGCAGGGATCGAACCTGCACTGCAGAGGCTGTGGACAGCTTCACAGCAATGCTCTTAACCGCCTGCACCACCAGGGAGGCCCAATGCTACCAGTTTTTTGTGACTTTTTCTGAGATATTTTATGCATTTAGTAAATGCACATGTACTAGTATATTTATGTGAATTATTGAATAATCTATAGCTATCTTTTCCACATCAACACATATATAAGGGCCTTAGTCATTTTCATGATGACATAAAATCCCACCATTCGAAAACACTGTACTTTGTTTAAACAGTCTAGGCTTGATACTCATAAGATGTAAGGACCTGAGACTTTTGTACACAGTTAGGACTCCTATTTCATTGCAGCACTATATAATAACCCAGTTATGGAAACAACCTAAGAGCTAGCGATGGAGCAGCAGATGAAGACAAAGATGGAATACTATTCAGCTGTAAAAAGAAGGGGGTCTCCCGGTGGTGCAGTAGGTTGAGCTCAGTGCTGTGAAGCTGTCCGCAACCTCTGCAGTGTGGCTCTGATTCCCGGCAGGCCAGGGAGATACCCACATGGCACAGCAGACCTCTCCTGTCTCACCCGCTGCTCCCTTCAGCAGTGTATTTCAGTCTGTCTGTTCTGTTCCCCACTCTGTCTTTGGTGAATCCTCTCATCCTCCCATGCCTCTGGCCTATACCCCAACTCTTGTATACATAAATAAAATCTTTAAAAAAAAAAACCTGCTAAAAAAATAAATAAATAAAATAAAAAGATGAACTCTCACCATTTGCAACATGGATGGAACTGTAGGGGATGATGCTAAGTGAAATAAGCCAGAGGAAGAAAGACAAAAAGACAAATATCAGATGATTTCATTCAAATGTGGAATATAGAGAAACAAAAAAAGGGAACTGACAAAGCTAAACCAAAACAAAGCTAGAAATATGACTGCAGAATTGCGACTGCAAGAAGGGAGATTGGGGGTGGGAGAAAAAGGGGGTGGAGGTTCAACAGTGTATGATAAAAGATTGGAAACGTTAATTTAAAAGGTTGCTTTATTAGGGCTCCTGGTGGCCTAGGGTTTATATCTCAGTGCTACCACTGCTACTGCCCTTCTTAGTGACCTGACTTCAATCCCTGGCCAGGGAGCTAACCCACATGGCACAGCAGACCTCTCCTGTCTCACCCGCTGCTCCCCTCAGCAGTATATTTTTGTGGATCTGCCTGTTCTGCTCCCCACTCTGTCTCTGGTGAGTCCTTTCACCCACTTGGCTTATACCTCAGATCTCCCCCAAAATAAAAAATCTTTTAAAAGAAGAGATAAAAAGATTGCTTTATTAAAAAAAAAAGACCTTTTAGCACTTGTTTCCAAACATGTGAAATAAAAATGGCATGTCTTGCATTCATTAATTTACTCAAAGCAAAAACAAAAAAATCCATGCAGTTGGCAATTAGATATCATGGGTATCCTCACCCAAAGTGATTTCAGTGCAGACAAGTGAGGATGCAGGGAAGGGGGTGGTGGGCATTGATTCTGACAGACCTCCTTCTAAGAAGTCAGACTGTGCAGGAAAGAGGGGAGGCAGGTCATTATCCTGAGAGGGTTTCCCTCACAGATCCATATAAGATAGTGGTTACTTGAATATATGCAGGAATAGATGTGCAGGGCAGGAAAAATTGCACCCCAAAATGTCTTTTTAAGAAAGATTTATCCATGCATACAAGAACCAGGGTATAGGCCAGATGTGTGGGAGGGTGAGAGGATTCACCAGAGACAGAGCAGGGAACAGAGCAGGAAGACTGACTGAAATACACTGCTGAGGGGAGCAGCGGGCGACAGGAGCGGTTTGCTGCGCCATGTGGGTATCTCTCTGGCCAGCCAGGATCGAACCTGCACTGCAGAGGTTGCGGACAGCTTCACAGCGCTGCGCTCAACCCCCTGTGCCAGCGGGGAGGCCCGTCCCAAAATGTCTTTTGACAAAAGTTTGATTTCATGGGAGAGACATGTAAACTTCTGTTAGGGTGTGTAGTGGGAAGATCTAATGTTATTTCTTTTCAAAGGAGGAGGCAGAACTGAAATCTGCATACCTGTGCCTTCCCCTGTGACCTCCCTACCTGACCCTCCCTTTCTCCTCCCAAAGCCCACTGTCAAGCTAAGCTATTTAAGATAGCCTCTGAAGCCACCTGGGCAAGTTACTCAGTCATGATGGGTCTCTCCCGTGTATAGAGGTATTCCCTTGGGTTTTTTCTCTTAAAAGAAGCAAACACAAAGAAAGCAGAACAGAAAACAAATCTATTTCTGTAGCAATACATCCCCTCATATGAACAAATGGTTTCTGGAAAAAATACAGAGACTGAGAATAGTGGCTACCTCTGGGAGGGCTAGGAGGAAGATGATGGGACTTTTCAATCTCAGCACTATCGATATTTTGGGCCAGATAACCCTTTGGATGGGGCTGCCCTTGCAGAAGCATTCTTGGCCCCAATCTACTAAAGTCAGTAGCACCATTCTTGCTGTGACAACAAAAATGTCTCCCCACTTGGCCAAATGTCCTTGAGGGGGCAAAATAGCCATGGGTGGACCAAAGTCCTCTACCTTTTTGCATTGAAAGAAAACCCCAATGAGTGAAAGCACATCTATGATTCAGCCTCACCCCGTGAGGAGGAGTTCCCTGGATCTTGGAGGTTCCTTGAAGGATTGGAGAGGATGGTGGATAGTGTCAACTATGCATAGTGCCAACTATCCCTCCCTCCATTAAATTTAAATTTAAAAAGTCTGACCGAGAAAAGTAATAGTCTGAGAAAATCAGTTCAGACAAAGGAGATAGACTACTTGTCAGCAGACTAAATCTAACCCTGGCTAAGTTCTCACAAAGTTTTTAAGAAAAAGTGAAAGCATTTATCAAGATGGACCAGTGGGTGATTTCTGCATTGGTAGTTCCTCTTGAGATTCCAGATTTTCTGGCCATCCTGGGCTTACATTACCAAATGGCACATGTCAGGGGGGAATTATGGTGAGGAAAGAAGTCTTGCTTTGCCCCTACCCGCTTCACCTGTCAACTGCTTGGGCTTCTCAGTCATCAGGGCTTGAGAGTCCCCCTAGAAGGGGCACACTGTTATCACCCCTCCCCAGCCAGGGTTCATTATGCTCTTCACATCATGTTCTTGCCCTTACCTGCCATTGGGTCTGCACCTGGAGACAGCACGAAAACCAAGGGTATACAACAACTGGAATCGTTGTAGGATCCCAGGAGATCAAAGGTGGGGGCTTCGATATAGGTGCTGCCCATCTGTTCAGCAATGAAGTCCCGAATGGCTGGGATGATCTTGTCAGGCCTCAGACACCGGAGGACTACCATCCTCTCCAATCCTTCAAGGAACCTCCAAGATCCAGGGAAGTCCTCCTCATGGGGGGAGGCTGAATCATAGATGTGCTGCCACTCATTGGGGTTTTCCTGCACGTGTTCCATCAGGCCTCTCAGTTTAGGCAACACAGACGCACGGACGACCTCCCCCCATGACTTCTCTGACAGCCATTCTGGAGCTGGGTTGGGGTGGGGATTGTCTAGCGCAATGCCTCCCGTGAGGAGGAAATACCAAATCTGCTCGTTGATTTGTTTCTTCTCTCTCATGATGCCAACGGTCAGGAGGAGAGAGAAGAGCAGCTTGTCCTTCTCAAACAGCGAGCGGCACACATTGTTGTAGATGCTGAGGGTGAAGTGCTCTGTGATGTACTCAATGCGCAGGATCAGATCCTCGCTCCTCTGGCTGTTGGCCAGCGAGAGCATGTAGAGGTTGATGAACCATGTCAGTGAGTACTGGTACATTGGCTCGATGTTGGCCAGGTCAGAAATGCAAAAGAAAATGGTGGCAGAGTGAACAGCCACTGGCTTATAGCCCATCCGAGTCTCGTCGATCTGTATTTCTGTTATCGAGGCAATTTTCTGCTTCTCAGAGATTTCTTCAGACAGCAGTTTGGAGGAGGACAGAACTTTGATGGCAGTCTCGTCCTCCAGGATGTTGCCCTCAGACAGAGAGAGGACCTCCAAGATCTTATCTTCAATTTCCTTCAGCTGCTTCTTGTTCTTGGCACTCTCCACAATCAACTTATTCTTTTTCTCTTCCAGTTCTGGCTTCTCCTTGGCAGCTACCATGCCTAGGAGTTGATCTTGGAGACCCAAGGGGGTGATCATGAAGTTGAGGAGGCAGACTTTCACAGCGACTTCGGGGAGGTAATGTGGGTTCCTCAAACGGGTTGTGATGTACAGCTTAAAATCCTGGGAGTATTCGATGATGTTGTCACCCAACCTCATGTACTCAATCCCTTGCTGCTTGAACGTGGATTTGAGCAAGATGGGTTCAATAAAGGTGTCCAGTTCCTCTCCTACATTTTCTAGTAAGACTGGGGTGCCAAACTGCAGAGCGTTTTCCAGCGTCCTCACATAGTTGACATCCGAGAACTTGATAACGCATAGTTTGTTCACTTTCTCCATGTTTTTGATCCATTTATTGGCCTGTCCCTGGGGGTCAATCATCAAGGCCCAGCGTCTAGAATTAGACACAATAATGCCATTGTCAATGGAGAAAGAGTCGATGGGCAGCCCAGCAATCTGCCAGGCACGGATTTTCACAGGGTCCCCTAATATGTTGCTGAGACTGAAGTCGCTGGAACCAGGGATGACCTTGTCCTTACATCGGGCCAACCACTGCTGTTGGCACTTGGCACGGTAATCCACGGTAAAGGCCCCCAGGTAAGCCACTGTCCCCGAGGACAACAACACATCCCCTGTCAGATTGGTATAGCGGATCCCTAGCTGCCGGGCAGCTTCTGTCCATCTGTCCTTCTCTCCCCCAAGACCACTGATCAGTTTTTCTGCCCTGATGAGCTTTTGGGAGCAGAGATCAATGTTTTCCTCCAAGGTCTTTTTCTTGATGTTCATGTCTTCAAACTCATCGTTCAGGGCCTGCAGGCGGTCTTCCACCAGTGCCAGCTCTGCTCGCTTCTGGTTCAGTTTCTGCATCTGTTTAAACAGCTTCTCCTCCGCCTCATTCAGCCGCTCCCGTTTGGGGGCCACCACTTTGGCCACACGATCGTACACCTCCATGGCCCTCACCCACTTGCATAGGCCCTCACAGGCGGATGACACGTTTTTAATGACGGCGGGCTGGAAATCAGGGTGATCAATAAACCTTTCCCGGATTCTCTTCATGATCAGAGGGGGGATGTTGTCTTTGTCATATGTCTTAAGACTCTCCAAGAATTTCAGGTCCCCAAGAATCTTTCTTGATACTCCCCAATAGTCTTCTATCATTTTACCTGTTTGGGACAAGAAACAGAGAAAACTGTATTAGTAAGACATTCTGAGACTTAAAGTTTGGCAGTGGCTGGGATCTGGGGATGGGAAATCCAAGTTCCTACAGAGGATTTTTAGGGCAGAGAAAATACTGTGTGATATTATAATGATGGGTACCTGCCATTATTTATTTGTCCAAACTCCTAGGATAAACAGCACTAAGAGTGAACACTATGGACGTTGGGTGATTGGGATGCATTAACGTAGGTCCATCGGTGTGATAATGTCCCATTCTGGTCAGGACATCAATAGGGGCGTAAGCTGTACATGTGAGGGGAGCCAGGGCGATTTGAGAAATCTCCACCTTTTCCTTTCAATTTTGCTGTGAACTTAAAACTGCTCTGAAAAATCATCTTTATTAAAAAGTGTCCAAGCTCCGTACCACAGTCTGAGAGCCCCACTAGCCTCACCCACCTTGTCTCTTTCTTGCCCCCTAGATTTTAGACATGAAAGACCTTCCTTCCTTCTATTCCTTGATAACCCGAAGTGCTTCCTGCTCTGAGTCCCTTTCCTATGCTGGAAATGGCACCTGCTGGCTCCTGAGAGGAATTCAGGCTCATTTCACAGCCTCCTGCACAGAGAGGCTTCCCGAGGCTGCTCTCACTAATTGGACTTGTCTGTCCCTCCCCCGGCATTTTCTTTCATCTCAGCTGTTAGAACGTCCATTCTCTTTATAGCACTTATCACATTCTGTGACTTTTTGTTTATTTTATTGTCTGCAAAGCTGCAAGCGCCTGCTGTGTTTACTACAGTTTGGCACGGAGCCTGCTTGTCAGTTATCAATAAATATGTGTTGAATAAACATTGTCCCTTGTCCCATTCATAGATGGTGAAGGCAAAGGAGCCAGGGGTGTGAGTTTTGAATATTCTTTTTGAAGTCTGGGAGGAGAGTTGAACGGAACCCAGTCAGTCCTCCTGGTGGTGAATCCTTGAGGCTAAGTGAGCGAGCAAGGTCCTCTCTGGTGGGGGCCTGCAGGCCTGCAACCGGACAGAAGACAGTCTGTGGTCTGCCCAGGCCAGAAGCGGGTCCTTTTTCTCCTTAGCACTCATCATGCTCAAGACTGGTTGAGTGACACTCGATCCCACCCTGGGGCAGTGCTCCTTTTGTTAATGGGTTGGGGAAAAGTCACTTGTTGTAGCTCACGGCACTGTAAACAATTGCCAAGCATGAGCTCATAAAAAAAAACTTATACTTGAGCTATCACATTAAGGACAACAGGAGAAATGGGTCCTGTTGATAATGCAAGCAACCAAAGAAATGATTACTAAGGTTTGGTTCAAAATGCTCTGCTTTGTTTAAATTCAAGGTACCCAAAACTAATTTAATGGTTCTTTTGCTTCATTTCAATATACTGGTTAAATGCTGGTGGTTAGGAATATATGTACACAACTTTAAAATAAGTGAATGATGATGTGTTTATCATCAATGACCTGAGGAGAGAATTGACTTTTGTGACCTGGCCATGCTTTGTGAATCTCCCTGAGCCAGTTCTCAACCCTGACTATACTTTGGAATCATCCGGGAGCTTTAAAACCTAGTCATGCTCAGATTGGTCCCCAAATGATGGAATAAGAACTCCTAGGAGAGGGGCATGGACTTCAGCATTTTTCAAGATCCCTGGGTGATTTTAGGGTACAGCCAGGGTGGAGGTGAGCTATTAGCTCATCCTCGCTCAGTGCCAAGTTTTTACATCTCAGCTGCTTCCCTAAAGGATTCTCCTGTAAAGCCCATCCATGCCTGTCCATTCCTGGTCACCTTTCTGTCTTCTTCATGTGGTTTGGCTTGAAACCCACCGGGGGAGAGGGAATGCGAACCAATGGGCTACAGAAGCCAGAGACTCCCAAGTGAGGCGTGGTGGGTCACTAACATTTCAGAGGGAATGGAGGCGTAGGAGGTGGTTCCAGGACAGGAAGATTTAAGGGGCAGGAAATATCACTGCAGCGGGTCCAGCTCTAAGACACTGGAATTAATATCAAGGTCCACATCTAATTTTAAAGACCATAGATATCCACCCATTAATGCTTCTAGCCTTGATTACATAAGGAGATTCCCTGGCTCTCCCCCCATCCTTTCTCCGCATTTCTAAGACTCTGTCTCTCCCACCCCACCCCCAATTTTTGTCTCTGCCTCTTTCAGTCCTTCTCTCGCCCTCATTAGTCCTTCTCTCTCATTGCCAGTGTGTGCCCCGCACTTTCACTCTTGGTCTGCCTCTCTCTTTCTGGTTTTTTCCTTCCCGCTCCTGCTCTGTCTCTGCAGGCCTCTGTGTCCCTGGGTCTCTCCACCTCCATTTCTCTCTGTCTCAGTCCTTTGTGTCCATCTAGCTGTTTTTCTGTGTCTTTTCTCCTGTCTTTCTCTATCTGATTCTGAGTCTCTCCCTCCCGAGCCCCCTTTCTGTCTTCCTGTTTCTTTCTCCGCCAGATTTCTTTCCCTGGTCACCATGTCCTTGTGAGCGTGTGCACGTGTGTGCTGGGTCTAGATGTCTGGGTGTCTCTCTCTAGCTTTCTCTTTCTTTCTCTGGTCATCTCTCAGTTTTTCTGACTCTCTCTCTCGCTCTTCTGTTCTCTCTCTCTCTCTCGCTCTTGTCCGAACACTGCTCTAGCATTTGTTCCACATAAGTTCTTTTGTCTCCCTGACCTTTATTTGTGTAATACCTTGCAGGCAGAGCCCTGAACTAAGGTGAGTTTCACCTGCACTGTCCTCACTGACTGAGAGGAGGTGGCTAGTGAGAAACACAAGAACCTTTGGGTGCACACGCATCCCACTGCCTTCTTTCCCTCAGACTCCATGACACCACCTGTGGGCTGGGGCCAGAGTGGGCAGGGGGCGAGCCTAGGAAGGGCAGCAGTGGAGGGTGGATTGGGGTGCTGAAGGGGGTTACCGCTGCCACTGGGGTCCGGTTTCCTCTCTGGTTTCAGCCCTTTCATGACACAGATACTCTCCATAATCAGCTTGACAGGGCCTGGTGGGTTCTGCATGGACTTCACCAGAGAGATGTCAGAAGGGTTCAGGGTGTCCAGTGCAGCAAGTGCAGCTTCCAGTGCAGGCATCGCCTCTTGCAGGTCGCCCTCACATTCATTCTGCAGGTGGAACAGAGACAGGAGGGGTGAAAATCCAGTGCCTGACACATGGGGGTGAAACCAAGCTCTGCTCCAAGAGGAAGCAGGGGAAGTGGGGTGAAGGCCCTTCCTGTCAATACCCCCAGGATGCCTCCTCCTGGAGCTCTGCAGCTGAGGGCGGCTCTAACTACTGATCAGCAGCATTTAAGGCCTTTTAGGGCTATGTTTTGGATACCTAGGGCATTTGACAAGTCATCTGGTTTGTGATCTTAGAAAGTCAAGCATTTGGTTTTTAACAAACTCCCCAGAGATACATGTCATGGGTGACTTCATACCTATTGTTCAATGAGTCGAGAGATGGAGTGAAGGATGGGGCTTAGGGGTAAGTGATAGAGAGGAGAGGGTTAGGGTGAGTTCAGGGAAGAAATAAGGTATGGGAGGAGGTCAGAGATGGGATGAAGGTCTGGAATAAATTGTAGCTCAGAGTTGGGGTGTAGGTAGAGTCGGGGGTAAGTTGTAGCAAGGGGGCACAGTAGAGTTGAAGGCAAGAGTTTAGGGGTGAGAAATGGATAGGAATTTGACATGGGTAATGAGCTCTGAGAAAAGGAGACAGTGCATTTTTGTTCACTATTTCTTCATTTAAAAGCAAAATCAATATAATAGAATGTTAGCCATAAAAAGGAATGATTCACGCAAACTTTCAAAATATTATGCTAAATGAAAGAAGTCAGACACAAAGTGTCACCTTTACATGAAATATGCAGAAAAGGAGAATCCATAGAGGCAGAAAGTAGGTCAGTTTTTTGCTTTCTGGGGTGATGAAAGTATTCTAGAATTATATGGTGGTGATATAATTTTGTACAACTTTGTAAAGACACTAGAAAACTCTGAATTGCATTATTTAAAAAGATGAATGCTAATCATCTGTGAATTATATCTTGTTTAAAAAACAAGCTTAACATGACAAGGGATATTATAGACTACTTAGTAGCCCAACTACCAAATCCACAAACAAACAAACAAACCAGAAAATGAACCAAGGTCTCAGGAGGCAAAATGAGTTAGCCAAGGGCATGAAGCTGGTAGTCAGAGCCAAGCCCCAAGCTTGGGCTGCTGGGTCCCCTTCAGTGAATTCCCTGGTAGCTACCCAGCCCAAGGAAAAAATCACACAGCCATGACTGATGGATACTTCACAAGAGAAAGTCAGTTCTCAAGCAGCATGGCACAAAGTCTATGTCCTGCAGGTTTTTTGTGATAGACAATAAAGAAGGTTCCACCTTCTCATCTACGTGCACATGTGCACAGTATAGACCCAAATGTGTGTAGTCACGGACTCTCTATTTAATTTTCTGCTTTCTTTATAAACCTCTAGCAATGTTTTATTTGGTTCCATTATATTAGAACAATCTTCTCCTCCCCTAAATAAGCAATGTCAGCTGTCCCCAGTATCACAATGAATGTGCTGCATCAGGTGGCAATAGCGACTCAGTCTTGGGGTGACTCAGTGTCCTTGCTCTTCAGCTCTAGGATATGCACCAGGGAGCATGCATGAGAAAGATGAATTGAAATCAGTCTCTGTGGTCACTCAGGTCAGTCAGTCTCAGAAAAGGTTTTGTGGCAGAGGAGACCACAGCTTTGGATTCTTGGTAAAATTTAATGGTCCAGCACCCATGCCTTCTATTTATTCAGACTTCTGTGGCATTTTCTTGTAATTTCCAGATAGCTATTGGCCATACAGACTTTTTGCCTGCTAGTGTGTCTGGAAGCTGTGTCCCCTCTCTCTTTCCCAAGGTCCAGCAAGCTTCCTTGTCAAATGGCTCAAAAAGGCTCTGTCACATTATCTGTAACAGCGACTCTCAATGCTGACTGCCCCAGAGTCACCAGGGAGAATTTAGGGCATCCTCATGGTCAAGCCCTATGCCCAGAGATTCTGGTTCATTCTGTCTTGGTGGCGTCTGGGCATCTGCATTTTTAAAACCTCAAAGTGGATTCTGACACACAGTCAGCTCTGTGGAGAAACTCAGGCTTATGCTCTGGAAACACTGAGAACAGGGGAGGAAAGAATAGACTTCCATGCCTCGCAGGGGCCTGGCTGCTTGGTGGGTGACACACCTATTTCATATGCTCATTAAAATGATTATATGGCATTTTGAAGAAGTATTGTGATAAGACATTAAGGAAGTAAAAACGCATGATGCAAATTGCAATTATGATTGCAGTTACATAAAACCACCCTTGTGTATGCGTAGACAGGAACTAGAGGAAACTTGAGAAGTGGAGCCAGTGTTAAAGTTGAGTTCTTAGAAATTCTTTCATGTGTGCTATTCTGGTTACATCATTTGTTTCTGTTCTAAAAAGCATTATGATTAAAAATGATCTCTGTGGCTTAGCAGGGCTGTTTGAGAGGTATGAAGCACAATGTATGCTGACAAGACCTAATTACTCTATAGAAATTCTGGCATCATTTATTATTCTCATTAGGGGAGAAAGAAACGATTCATTAGCTTAAGAAGACTCGACCAATTTCAGCAAGCCATTGTGCTGGTGAGCAGGTGTCTGGGGCCGGTTCTTTCAGGCTCCCAATCTTCCCAGCATGGATTCAGCTCAGATTGTCTACAATGGGTGCTCTCCTATGTCCTCTCCTTTCTGGGGGTGCAAGATTAGAGAGAATTAGCAGTGCTGGTGTGGAGGAAAGCAGCCCTGAGAGAAAGGGACTTTGCTCCCCATGGGAGTTAGGGAACTCAGAGCCAGCATAGGCCTCTGCTCCTCCTTGGAGAGTTTCCTCCACCTCCTGACTCACCTACAGATGTCACTCCCAGCACTCAGGGCAGGGATGGCAGCGCATTGGACCTCGCCCTCCACATCGAAACCCAAGGTGGCAGTTCATTGCTCAGGGACGGGTGTGGTGGGTCAATTCTTTGTAAAATTTACCTCATGTCACCTCTTAGCTCCCTCCTGCTCCTGCAAGTCACTGCTTCCCCTGACATGGTGGAGCGGAATCCTGGGCATGATGGTTATCCGCATGTGGCAAGAGGCTGTCCTTTTTCAAGAAATAAGGCCCCTTGGTAGGGGGTAAAGGATGACTATTTTGTAGAAGAGTTGGAGAGAAGTCAGTCTGGAAGGCCTAACTTTTTTGAGAAAGTGCCCCATATGTCCCAGGTCATCCCCATAACCTAGATGCTGGACACAAGCTACTTCTTGTTCAAGTTCTTGTTTGATGATAGGGTCAAATAATATTTTAACTCCTAAGTGACAGCAGAAGGACAAGAATCTTAAGCTAAGTGCCATGAACCTTGGATTTTAATTCCACCAATTAGCTATGTAGCTCTGGAAAGTCATCGTACCACTAAAGTTTAATGTCACTAGCTCAGATAACCCTAACCCTAACCCTAACCCTAACCCTAGCCCTAACCCTAACCTGTCATTCCCAAACCCAAAGCAGTTGTGATACTCAAAAGGAACTACGAACTTGAAAGTGCTCGGAGAAATACAGAACATCACGGGAATGCTAGTCAGGTTTTCTTCTAATATATGCAGATGAAGCCCTTCCCTGTTCTCCCACCTTCAAATGAGGCCCTCTAGTTTCTTCTATTTGACTAATATTTATTCTACACCTACAATATGGTGCACACACATGAGCAAAAACAGGCAAACAAACAATGGGATGGAGGTGAAGGAGACAGTCATGTGGATGGCCAGAGAAAGAGAATTCTCAGAGGGAAACAGCCAGTGCAAGGGCTGGAGTAGGAGCATGTCTTGTGTTTTTCTGGGGGATAGCTAGGAGGCTGGTGTGGCCAGAGCTGAGTGAATTATGGAAAAATAATAAAGAGACAAGGGTGAGAGCATGTGGGGTCTTGCAGGCTGTGTCGTGCTGGGCAAGTGGCCTAATCTCTTCAAATCTCACTTTTCTCCAAGCTTGCCATGTGTAGAGTAAGGAAAAATGTCAGGCTTTCCTGCCCTCCTGCCATCAGGATAGATGATGGATCCTTGTGGTCCTGAATACATGCCTGATGGCAGGCACCTGGAGTAGGGTGTTGGCATAGGTAGATGAGATCCACCTGGGCTGAGACTGTAATTTTAAGGGTGGCGTCATGGGGACGCCAGCAGAAGCCAAGAACGAACAGAAGCAGAAAGAAAAGCCGAGAGAGAAGCAGAGAACACCGGAGAGTCCACATAGAGTGAAGACTTGCTGGGGGCTGGGAGGCCTGCCAGCCTCCCAGCCCCCCCGCACCCCTGCCTGCCGTATGCCTGGTGAACCCCAATAAAAGACCTGCAAAAACCACTGAGGACTCTGACTCTTCCTTTACCCAGTCTGCATGGGCTCCTAGAAAACCTGCCCTGTGTCCATTCCTGCCCACTACAATTGGCATAGTTGGTGGGATGATCCATGCAGACGGGTATTGGAGCCCTCTGAAGACCTGGAGGGACTAAGGAGTGACAGATCGTGTTTGCCTGTGACGACGCTGGAGGCGCCATGGCGGCACAGAAGGTGGACACTGTCCAGGAGCTGCGGGATGAGACCTCAGCTGGAGGAGGAGATGCCCGAGAGGACCAGCCAATGACCCCCGAGGCAGCAAGAATCATCGGTGAAGAGAGGATCATGAATTGGAGCTTGCCAGTGCTGATGCAGGGAGAGGCCAATGGACTTGGACTGATGGACTTGAACTAATGGAGTTGGACTGACAATCCCGCCAGAAGGCGGAGGACCTTGCAGGTTGATTTGTTTTGGGACCCTAGGGGTGGGACAGTTTTGTTTGTAAACCCCAGGAGATGGGAATCTGGGGGTGGCCAGTGGGCCTTGATGGCCAAAAACAGCCTGTGTATGCCCAGCAGCCATGCAGAGGAGAAAAGCCTACTGAGAAGGCAAAAGCTGGTACTGATGCTAAGTTTGGGAAGCCCTGAGTGGCTGCCAAGCACTAAGTAAGCTGAGGAAGGCCAGCGAGTCTCGTAAAATCACCTGTGGGGGATGCCCTGCTTGTTGTCGAGTGAGGGTAAGGAGCTGAGGAACCCGTCCCTGGGGGATGGGTGGGGAACATGGCTTGGGGTGGAGCCCAAACCAAATGTAGAGTTTGTATCCAAGGATCCCTGACCCATGTGCTTGTGCAGTGGGATGGCCTGAGTGCAGGGGTCTGTGAGTCGCATTGGTGGCTATGAAAGCCAAATGTTGGAGCGACTGCAGACAGAAACCCTGAGGGTTGGCGATTACCCCCAACAGTATAGAATCGCCAATCCCAGAGTGAGTGCATCCTGAGGGTGGATGCTGTCTGTGGCTTGTAGCCGAGACTACAGCCAGAAAAGGCCAGGAAGCCTAACGGCTCCTGGTGTGTTACAGTAGATGCCGTGAGTGGTTCCCCTTTCTTATATGAGCAGTGCCTTTGGCAGCAGATTTGGTGGCTCATCTGCTGGTACCAATAATTGTCTTTTGCCACTAGGTTGGTGCCCTGCCTGGATTTATTTGTGTTCTGTTGTATTTTGTTTTTATATTGTGATGTATTTGCTTTTGTGGGCCATGGCTGCATTGTTTATGTTTGCTAAGAAAATTGTACATATGAAGACTATATGGCAGAAAACCCTGAGGGGGTGGACTGTAGGGTAAGGAAAAATGTCAGGCTTTTCTGCCCCCCCCCCCCCCCCCCCCGCCATCAGGATAGATGATGGATCCTTGCAGTCCTGAATGCATGCCTGATGGCGGGCACCTGGAGTAGGCATAGGTAGATGAGATCCACCTGGGCTGAGACTATGCTTTTAAAGGCGGCGTCATGGGGACGCCAGCAGAAGCCAAGAACGAACAGAAGCTGAAAGAGAAGCCAAGAGAGAAGCAGAGAACGCTGGAGAGTCCACATAGAGTGAAGACTTGCTGGGGGTTGGGGGGCCTGCCAGCCTCCCGGCCTCCCAGCACCCCTGCCTGCCATATACCTGGTGAACCCCAATAAAAGACTGCAAAAACCACTGAGGACTCTGACTCCTCCTTTACCCGGTCTGCATGGGATCCTAGAAAACCTGCCCTGTGTCCATTCCTGCCCACTACACCATGCTTGAAGGTAGGCTCTCTCTAGTCAGATTATAGACAGACCCAGACAATGCTGCCCCGTCCCCTCCTTTCTCTCCACTACCTTATACCTTGATTGCTTGAGAAATGGCAGCGGCAGCATTGGCTTCTTTTTCATCCGCCTGCACCAGAAATTTTTTAGCATCAGCTTCTTTAGTCTCTGCTTCAATTTTCACCATCATCTTAGCAGTCTCCTCAGAGGTGAGGATGAGCTGGGGCTGGAGGGCAGTCAGCTCCACTTGCATGACCGCCACCTGGCGAGGAGAGAGGGGTGGGAGGAGCCCTGGGTCAGCCACATCAAGGCAGAAATGGTGCAGGTGGCAAGTGTTGAAATGATTCTCCAGCCTCTGACAGATGCAGAAAATACTAATGATTTTAACCTGGCACTGGGTGTATATCAATATTTGTTGACTGGTGTTGATCACTTGGATTTTTCAAGACTTAGTTATTGAGCTCAGACTATGTGTGGTGTTATCAATCACTTGCTAAATGCTGAAACATATAATGGTAAACTTAATATTAAGAAAAGTCCGTTTCCTCCTGTATCAAGCCTACAATCTAGTATTGGGGGCAGGGAGAGATAATAAAAGCAATTTAAGAGAAAAAAAGCATTATATTTGTTAAGGCTATGAAGAAAAGATACATAGCTGAGCTCTTTGAGGCAGAAGGAATTTTCAAGGCCATTTTTTCAAATGTTCCTGCCAAGTGATTTGAACACCTCTAATAATGGGGTGCTCACCACCTCTCAGGGGAGTTGTGCTATTTTTCAGACAACTAAATGCATTTGATTTTCCTGATGAAGATCTGTAATTTGCGGTCATGCAATTTTTGCCTGCTGGTCCTGACTGCCTTGTACGCCAGCTTAGACACATTGGAAGAGGGTCCCATGACATTGGGCCCACTGCCCGCTGCAAGCGGGAGAGAAGCCCAGTGTGGCAGCGGGTTGGGGCACAGGCTCTGGAGCTGTGCGGATCTGAGTTTCAGTTCTGGCCCAACCACTTCTGGCCCAACCACTTCTGGCCCAACCACCATGCGGCTGCGTGGTGCTGGGCAAGGGGCTTGGCCACCGTGCGCTGTGGCTTCTTTGTGTGGAATGTGGAGATGTTACAGTAGCTGTGAAGTGGTGGTGGGGTGGGTTGAGCACAGTGCTGGGAAGCTGTCTGCAGCCTCTGCAGTGCGGGTTGGATTCCCAGCCGGCCAGGGAGATTCCCACATGGCAAGCAGACCTCTCCTGTTGCGCCCGCTACTCCCCTCAGCAGTGTATTTCAGTCCTTCTGCCCATTCTGTTCCCTGCTCTGTCTCTGGTGAATCCTCTCACCCTCCTGCGCCTCTGGCCTATACCCCAGCTCTGGTATAAATAAATAAATCAAAACAAACAAACAAAACTTATTGCCTTGTTATAGAAGAGGGGCCTGAGACCCAAGCTGTGCAATAATGTGTCTAAAATTCCACAGCAGGTACATTGTAGAACTGGGTACTGCGGGGTCTGACTACACCAAGCCCCGCTCTCCACTAATCTCTGCTCCCCGTTCCCCTGAGAGTATCTAGGGCCAGGGTAAGGGTAAGGCTTGGGCACAAAAGTTAAGGGGGCACTAAATACCTCCCTATTCAAGAGAGTATTTTATTGCAACAGTTTAAGAAGTCAAAATGAAGACAAATAACTCCACAATGAGCAAAACATCAAAATCTTAAGTAAAGACAGAATCCCAGAGGGCTGGGTTTGGACAGAGGCAGGAAGGTGAGCTCTGCCAATGCAGGGTCAGAGGCTGTCATGATGTGGCACCCTCTTAATTCTGCACCTGAGCCAGTGCCTCAATGTACCTGGATTGTCCCACACTTCTCTGCCCCCCATTCTCTGGGACTGTGGTCACCTGTGAAGCTGCAAAGTCGAGTTTTTGCAGGCCTGTCAGGTAGCGGCTCCTCATCATATCAACCTCTTGCCTCTTGCTATTCAGAAGCGTCTTGAAGGTTAGGATCAATTCTAGGTAGGAGGTAGGGGTAACGTAGTTGTGTCTGCGAAGTGCATTGTAATAATCGACCGAAAGATCCTTCACACTCTCCTGGAAATATTTGCACATGGAGATGACCCTGTCAAGGACACAGAGGAGATTACACAGGCCCAGCTTGCTCCAGTGAGATCTAATGCAGCTTTGGTGACAGCAGTAGGGATGTGAGAAGTTGCACATGATGGTGGCCTGGGAGAAATCAAATTCTCTGAAGGCAGGTGAACAGAGATGCAAGAAGATTGGGGTGGGATATAGTCTTACTAGAATGATCTTTGACCCTCTTCGTTCTACCCATGAGACTATTAACCCAGGTTAAGGACCTCTGGCCTGGAGAACAAAGTTCAAATTTCTTAACTTAAGGCCATCAACATTCTTATCCCTGCCCACTTCTTCATTTTCCATCCATTCATTTATTAAGCAGCGATTGAAGCTGGCACGACATACCAGGCATCTGTTAGGCATGCAGAATGCAGAGGCAGACAAGGCAGGTGACATGACCCCTGTCTCATGGGTCACCCAGCGTGGTCAACACGCTCATCTCTTCCCTTACTCTACCAAAAGTTAAGTGGCTTTAAAAAATATATATATCTGTGCTTTATACACATGTTTTTTTAGTCACATGATTTTCATCCCATTGGCAGAGATATCACCCCAGTTGTGACTGCATATTCTAAAACTATTAAAACAGCTATATTATCATATCCAACTTCTCATAACTATGATAATAGTGTATCTCTGGGAGAATCATGAGCAATGTAATTTTATTCTTTTTCAGGTGTTTGATAAAATAGCCAATTAAATGTGACTCGATTTTAAAGTACTAGGACTTTGGCGTGGCACGTACATACATTTGAAGAAGTATGAAACTATAGCCCCAGCATAGTGTTGTAAACCAACATTACCGCAATTAACATAGTTGGAAAAGATGAAAAAATAGAAGTATCAGACATTTTCTCTATATAATTGAGAAATCTTTAAAAGAAGAAGAAAAATACACCAATATCGGGATTTTCATTCAGAATATTTAGTTGGGGTACTAAAAATGCAGTCAACACTTACTCTGTCCGAATATTGTCATCAAGCTCGACATCTTGTAGAAATTTGTTGGCCACCAACTCTAGGGCATCTGTAGGCCAGGACTGGAACCAATCAATTGTACAGCAATTGATTAGTGAAGGGAACATCCTTAGGCGGTTCCTGAAGGCGTCTCCAATTGGACTCATAGCTAGTGAAAATTAGACTTTGTTAGTTCCTTTCCAAGGCCAGGAGCCCCATGGGATTAGGCTGGTCTTTTCATAAATTCTGATGGGGCAGGGCGGTGGCCATGTTTCCTGTTGGTCCTCTAAGATGTAATTGGGAATAGTCAGTATGAGTGCTGGGGCACTCAGGGGAATCAAAGGGCTAGTCATGAAATTTTGTGATGAGAATTCACGTATTATGTATCATTTCCTTTGACTACTCTCCTATGCCCATTATCCTCCCTTCCAGATCCTTTGGGTCACTTGACTGTCAGAGTGATTGGAGCCCTTTGATCCACTTTCTCTGTTTGGGTTAACTCTCAGACATATTCATAAATGAGCCATGGGCCTTCCATACATAGTTACTCACAGAGGTTGCAGTGGGGCCATCAGCTTGTTTCTGACCCTACCTCCATGCAACCATAAATGTTAGGTTCTAGACCCCCAAACCCATTCATTTTTAAATTAGACTCAATGTGGCAGGGAAAAGCATGATGGATAGGTGGAAGTGTGAAGTTGGTGTAGCTAAAGAACAGAGAGAAAAAGGAGAAGTTAGCATGAGGTGAGAGTGGAGAAGAAGCAGGGACAGCCTGGTAGGTAGACTTCTAAAACCAGAGGTCGGGAATTGTGGTCTTTATTCTAATATGAAGCAATTCAAGTGTTTAATGTGTGTGTGTATACATGATGATCATATTCCTGAAACATGAAAAAAGTTCCTGGCTCAAAAAGTTCCTGGGACAAAAAGTTCTGCAATAGACAAAAATGCCATAAAATAATTAGGTTGCACAGATGAGGGCTGGCTGAGATGACAGCAGCTTAGCTAATGTGAAACAGGTAGAGATGGAGGTAAGTAGGTAGATATGACAGAGAGTTAGGAGGGAAGAATTGACAGCACATGGTAACAAGAAAGAGAAATGTTAAATATACCTCTTAAGTTTCTAAATAGATTGGAGGAGAGACAACTCCGGATGCTGTCGTATGAGGCCACGAGTACTGTATTAAAAGGAAGGAGAGTGTTTCCAGGAGAACTCAGAGAATTGAGGAGGGTGAACAGGTTTGAAATCACTGTTCAGAAGAGTGGAAGTTTCCACAGAATCTCCAGGCACTGACTGACTCCAGATCTGGACCAATCCTGGGATCATTGTAAGAGGACTAGGCTGAGGACACTTAGGAGACCCTGAAACACCCAAAGGAGAAAGGCAAACCAAGGTTGCTGCTTCTTACCAAGGACAATGTGAAGGTTCTTTTTCACTCTTTCTATAAAGAAGTTATACATTGAAAGAGGAGTAACATCGATCTTCTCGCCTTCTGTCCTGGCTGCTGTCTGCATTTTCTCCACAAGGTCAGCCTTCTCGTCCGGTGGGAAGATGTTGGGCACATCCCCCGTGTTCAGAAGCATGTTGATGTCCTCCACAAAGGACTCGTCCTTGATTTGGTTATCAGTGAAGAGGAACACGGTTCTTTTGGTGTTCACGCCAACCTGTAGCATGATCGTCTTCAGGTCTTCCCGCCACTCATTGCCTGAGTAGCTTTTGGTGATCTTGATCTGGTACAGCTCATATGAGTTCATGAATGTGGACAGTTTGCTTGCACTCTGCCGCCCACTGCCCCCAATGCCCACCAGGAGCAAGTGACCTTTGTCCTGCTTCAGGACCCTGCAAATTCTGGAGATGTGCTCAATGGCAAATTTAAACATGACCAAGGACATGGGGGCCTTGCTGATGTTGTTGAACTCCTCCAGGTAGTATTCCATGACCACTGTGAGCTGTTTCAGGTCAGTGATCTCATCATAGACTTTTGTGTCACTTTGTGGCTTGAAGAAATCACCAAAGAACAGGCTACGGATATTATCATCGACAATCTTTCCAGTGGGTGACAGGTGGATGAGGACCTATGGTAAAGGTAAGATGCAGCTAGGCATTATGTCAATGGCCCAGCCAAGACGGCAGCAGGAGGTGTAGAGGGAGGGAACAGAAGGGTATGTTTCCTCTGAGTCCAGTGTTCAAAGTCATAGTTTACAAGCAGTGAAAAAAAAAAAAAAAACAATAAAAACACTTAAAACCATAATGTGTGGAGCTGATCATTGTAAAGACTATGATGAAAGGCCATTATTGTAAAAGAGTATCAGAGTGAGGGTTGATTTATTTGCTAAGTGGTTAAAACATGGATGGTCAGATTATAAAATTCCCAGAGGAGATGAGTGAAGGATGGCATCGTTTTCCTTTTTATGTTCTTGCCCCTTTACTAAATAAAGATATAGACACTGCATCTGGTCCCCACTCTGCCTAGGGAAGGCAGATTTTATATGCTTCCTCTTTCTGATATTAGAAATTAGAACCTGGTGGGGCTTCTGCCGTTGGCCTCTGGACATAACATGAAACACTTATAGTTTTCTATGGACAAATCCAAGCTTCATAAAAACAGGGGTAGAACTAGAAGATTCTATTATATAAACTTAAAGCAACTTATCTTATACCAAATTAAAAAGGGAAAATATGTACAAATAAGAAACTATGACAACTTTTCACTTGGACTTTCTGAGGTCTCACTACAACTGTGAAAATTCATGGTTCATTTTTCAACTCACAAATTAATGGACCCTGAAAATATATTTGAAGGTAGCTGTAAACAAGCATCGTGTAGTAGACTACTTTGGATGGACCTAAACTTGTGTGTTACCTGGGAAGTGAAGCAAAGTTGGGCCAAGTATAACAACATCACCAAATCAAGTGAGCAGTTGACTGAAGGCCAGTTTTCTTGAGATTCAGAAAACAGAGCTGTGAGTCTCCATTAGGAAGAGAACCTCAAATCTGAGGCCAACATGGCCATTTCTGAGTATAGAGTCTGATTTACCTTCTCCATGGATTGCTTGAAGCAATTAGAGGTGGTTTCTTTTGCCATATTGAAGAAGACCTCTCTGTCCTCACGATCAGTCAGACGGTCATAGAAGACCCGATAAATTTCATGGATCCAAAGTCGGATAAGTTTTTCTACATCCTGAAAACCAAGAGTTAATTATTGGAATGAATGGGAGGCAGCGCCTGTGGTGGTGGTTGTCTAATAGTCCCTGTATCCTCAGATTGATGTGAGCATCTAACAAGATAATGCTTATAAAATACTCAACACAATACCTAGCATAGATCAAATGCATAACAAAAGTTAGCTATTCCTATATCCTTATATATTCCACATAATATATGTGGTGTTGTGAATGAACATGGTAACAGAAATTAAAGTGGCTGACCTGCAGGTGTGTGTGAGGGCACAGCAGCACCCCCTGTATCACCCTTGAAAAGTCTCGCAGGTTAAAGACGTAATGTGACTTGGAGGGAGTTGGCAAGAAATTCTCCACTGCAGCCTTATAAATTGTCTTAGTGGCTTGTACCATATTCTTTCCATGCCTTGGGAGGAAAGGGAAGGCAGACCAATCAAGGAGGGACCGGGACCGAGGACCCCCAGGCCAATATCTGGGAAGACACAGGAACCTCTTACCTTAAGAATGCTATATCAAACCCTTTCTCAAAGTGCCAGTTAGAGATGGAAGTGAAAATCTTGCTTAAAATTTCATCCTCAAAGGCATTGATGGAAAGGATATTCAGATGGCGAATGAATCGTGCTAGAAAACACACACACACACACCCCTGAGTGTGTGCACACTCACACAATTATTCCTCGACCTAGTGATCCTGCCTCAATGTTCTAAAATGATGCTGTCCAATGTGGTAGCATCTAGGCACATGTGGCTATTTCAACTTGAATTAACATGAAATAATTTTATCGTTACTTTATAATTAACCACTATCAATTTGGTATCCTGACATTATCTATCTATCTATCTATCTATCTATCTATCTATCTATCTATCTATCTATCTATCTAAAGTTTTTCTGTAAGTATACAGGCCTGCTATACTTACAAACTGATGTGTATAGGCTTTTCTTTAATAAAAAATAAAATTTTACATGTAGTTGATCTGGAACTTTGATCACTGTGTGAACATGAGACATACATAGATGTTATTTATTAGAATAAAATTAGAGCTACCTACAGTACTGGATGTGTTAAGTTGAACCTGAAGCAAAATAAATCTCTGTGAGATCCCAAGGGAAAATCTTATTTGTTTGCCTAGTATTATTTTTCTTAGTCCAGTTTGGGTTAATTGTTCTATCTCTGGCAATCTCAAGAATTGTAACAAAAAGAACAGGTGAATCTATCAATCACCTTGAGCTGAGAACCTCTGATCTAGTCTTCCCTGGAACACAGACTGGCCACACCAAATTCTCCTTTCACTTGAGACTCTCTGTTCCTTGAAGGCCTCACCAAAGACTCCTCACATCCTGTTTTCCTCTTCACATCCTATTTCAATCAACTTCCAACATGGAGTCACTCCCAGGAGCTAACTTAAGCCACTCTGGCTACAGTCTAAACACACTTTTCTCGACCCTCCTTTAGGACAGTGTCCCGCACCAATTCTCCAAGCATGAAGATGGCCCTGCTCTGCTGCTGGGGAGGTGAAGAGGAATGAACTCTGTCCTTCACATACCAGTAATGTCATTCCTTCCTCCTCCAGGGGGCCCCATGGCTGTCACAAGCAACATATCCACAATGTCCAGGCTGGTTGTGTCTTTCTTGTTAAACCAGAAACCATGGTCAATCCACTGCCTCAGGAGCTCTATGGGGGGCTGAGCCCCATAGATTTCTTTGGCTGGCATGTTGAGGTCATCTGGAGAAAGAAGCCATGGTCACACATAAGTCAATGGGATCGTCTTGCCCTCACAAGGCAACAGATAACTGACCCCTCTATGGGACATTCTGTGCATGCACCAGGCAGGGCTCAGCCCATGGATATTCTGACTCCATGGGAAAAACTTTTCCCAGGTCTGAGCTCTCTTGCCTCTTTGAGATCCATACCTATTGTGATTTTAAGGCTGAATTTAATTTTTTCACATTCCCTCAACCAAAATATATTGATTGCCCACTATGTGCTAGAAGTTCTTTTAATTGCTAGTGAGCAATGAAGTGATGACCCCAGCCAGCAGGGTATTGAGTCTGACCATCAGATAACAGCTGAACTTCAAGGGAAGCTTAGGTGTTTGAGGAAAAAATGCAAAATAGTAGATTGTGAGTTCCTCCAGGCCAGAGAGGAAATTGATTTCCCTCAATAGCATATGGCCCAGTCCTGGCACATAGAAGGCACTCAATAAAATGGAGACCCTTTTTTCTCTAACAAAAAAATTGAATGCTCCATTTGTGCCATATTATATTTTAGGAGTTTTATACATATTCATCTAATCCAAATAAGAGCATTTGTGAGCTAGTATCACATTTATGGTACAGGTGAAGAACAGACTATCATGAGCTTAAGCCACAATGTGCCTAGGGCTAAAAAGCGAGATCTGAACATAGAGCTGTTTGACTGCAATGCTTAAATTGTTTTGGGATATATCATAAAAATGGGAAGGAAGAACAGGTTGGAAAAAATGAAAAAGAAAGGAAAAAAAGGAGAAAATAGAAAAGGTCCAAAATTTTAAAGAGCTGATGTTAGTTGACAAGGACATAAATAGATGCAGCATTTATGATCAAGACATGAATTTAAAGGCAGGACATGAAATAACCCAGAAGTGGAAGGCATGACTATTACTTATTGAGAACTCTAAGAGTTGGTAAAGAAAGTAGAAAATATAATATATTGGGCACCAAGAAACTTGGGCTTGGTATGGCTCTAGAATATTCTAGATGTTTAACCCTGAACAAGGAATTTAGCCTTCTAGAACTTCAATCAACTGACTAGTCAAATGATCACGATAACCTTACAAGATTGTGGGGGGTTCAAGTGAAATAACTGAGGTGCTTTGTGAACAAATAAAATCTTGTGAAAATTCATTGTGCTTATTTATAAATATTTATTTATCAACTATTAATTTCTTTATTTACTGATAATTTATCTGACACAAAATGGAGTAAGAGGTTTATTACAGAGTGTTTTTACTTTTGGAGCGGGCCAACCCCACAATCCCCTTCTAGAAGACTTCTCACTTCAAGGTCATCTTGCCTGACCCAGGGACTCAGAAATTGAGAGTCTCCCTCAGCCAAAAACACCTGGGCCATGCCTCACTTACTGATAATCTGGTCTATAGTACATGGTTAACAAATACTTGGCAATAGAAGAAGGAAAGGAAAGACAAAAGGTAGGAAGCAAAGGAGGAAGGGAGGGAGCGAATACTAAATTACATTAGCCAGAGTAGTTTACTTTCCAGAGAGAATAAAAGGACAGTATAGATGCCCTACAAAGGGAGGTTCTGGTTTGCTGCAGCTTGGAGTAGAAGAACCTAGTTGTGTCCAGATCCAGGACAGTCTTACCCACAAATACCACTGCTTTCTTCCCTAAGGGAGGCCCGAAAACTCCTTTCCTCCGCCGATCTAACTTGGACATGATGATATCCTGGGTCTGATTGGCTGAGGTTCTGGCGGAGAAATTGATGCAGTTGGGCAGGTAGATGTTTTTGGGAAGGCGGAGAAGAAAATTATTGGTGATGGCTGATTTGCCAGTGCCTGTGGGACCCACAAACAGCACTGGAATCTCATGGTCCAGGTAGGTTTTCAAGAAGAAGGATTGTCGCGCTGTCTCCATCGTGGGGATGATGAGTTCTGAGATCTGCAGCACAAAGACATCACAGGGTCTTGGCGCTGGGCCCAATGTATGGGTGTTGGCTTATCCAAGGAGAGCTACTGGCTAGCTTGGCCGGAGCCACAGAGCCAGAAAGCGATGCTGAATGCAGAACCAGGTGTCTGATGCTTATTTTGCTACTAAAACCGGAATTCAAAACAAGTCGGGTTTCCTAGATTTTTTTCAAGTTATTTTTTTAATTATATAATTTATTGATAAATATTTTACATCACTGTTCATTTTTTACAATATTTGTTTTCTTTTATTTTCAGGAACTTGAACAATTGTTGGACAAGGGGAAAATTCCCAGCAGAACTGAAAATACTTTCTGTATTGGACTCTCCTGTTGGTATGAGTTCAGCAATATTTCAAACCCCCCAGGGAGCTCTGGGACTAAGCTCTTTAAGAAGAAGGGAAGCTTAGGATTCCAGTGCTGGGGATTTCTTCATCCTGCTCAGCACAAGGTGTGTCAAGCGCTCGGCATCCCTGCCGAGGGTGCGTTGCTCATGAGTGCTGTGGTCCTGCCTGCTCTCTTGATTGTCAGTATTTCTGCTTTCCCAGCCACCATCTACCTTTCCTTCTGGGGCCTGAATGGTCTGTGGTCACCTCCAGAAAGATAAATTCTGTACTAATAAAGCCCTAAAAGTGCAAATCTGGAAACATTTTCCACAGGGAAAAAAATGAGCAGGGTTTGTAGGTGGAGCAACAGCTAACCAGAAAACCTGTCCATCAGAACTTACTTTCCTGAGAATGCTGATCAAGGAAATCTTTCTCTGAGGGTTTCACAGAAAAGGCAAGGATTCTTTTTTGGCTGGAACATCTGAGAGGTATGCTGACATGCACCTGGCATTATTGATAATGACAGCAAAATCCTCACTAGCACTGGTCTAGCACATAGTAAGTGCCAGGTGTTCATGCACATTGACTTTGATCCTTGCAAATACCATCGGTTAAGTATTTTTTTTTTTCTGCTATTTTATAAGATGAGTAAACTGAGGTAGAGAGAATGAAGGCTGAGTAAGGGATCTGGGTCATTCTGATTCTAAAGTCAATCCAGGCTATGTCTGAACCTGAGAAAGCCCTTTCAAATGCTAACATAGAACTGACATTGATTCCTTCACCTTAGAAGGCAAGTGTGTCATTTTTAGAAACCAAAGGTCTGTGGCCAATACCTCTCTCTCTTTTTTAAAAAAGATTTATTTTTATTTATTTATGCATGGAAGAACTGGGGTATAGGCCAGAGGTATGGGGGTGCTGAGAGGATTCACCAGAGACAGAGTGGGGAGCAGAACAGGTGGATCTACTGAAATACACTGCTGAGGGGAGCAGCAGGGAGACAGAAGAGGTCTGCCGCGCCATGTGGGTCAGCTCCCTGGCCAGGGATTGAACTCAGGCCGTAGTGGCTGATGATAGGTTGATAATGTTGAGACTTTAGCCCCTGCACCAGCAGGGAGGCCCCAATACCTCTGTTTACCTTTGCATTAGCTGCAATTTGTTCCTCTTCTTCTGTGATATAATCTGTCCATGTTTTCCATTGCCCACTACCTTGCTTGATGAAATAAAAGTCATAGATGCTGCCTGAACCCAAAGAAATAGGACAGGTCATTAGCACACCTAGGGGTTACACGTCCTATTAGTGCTAGCTCAGCTGTAGGCATCTAAAAGGTGTAACTACTGGTACTAGTGTAGCTGTAGTGAAAGAAAAAGTTTCAGATATCTGTATAAACGGGAACACACCTTTTAGAGTAGTGACCATTATTTAAAATCAGTGACCATTTTTAAAATCAAACCACGATTAAAAGTGAGAGGAGTTGTCTATGCAAATAATTACATCAATTTAAATTATATAAACAGAGAGTATTAAAAGAACAACAAAAAAAGGCAATAGATCTCTCCAAATCACATATCTAGAAATAACCTTGGATGGCAATCCTTCCAGCTCTCTCTCCAGGCAGGCAACCGCATTAGAGACAGGACAGGTAGATGAAAGGAAGGATTCTGTGAGAACCGGATCATTTTTCTTGAAAGCTGATGCATGGGTGGCAGGGGGTTGGGAGGAGGTGGAGAGAAGGGAAGAAAACCATGGGGAGGAGAACACAGTGGACTATGTTGGAGGACTGGAGTGCTTTGCTGGTGGGAAACCCATGGTGACCACTCCTAAGGGGAGAAATCCTTTATTGTGAGAAAAACAAAGAAAGATGTAAAATAATGACATGTCATTAATAAAAACAACACCAAAAAGAAAACAGCAAAGAGAAAAAAGGGATCATTTGATATTATTTTACTATTACACACGAATAGAACATATTCACATTTTCTATTACATTATATGCAATATTATACTCTCAGTCATTAAATTTAATTTTACTTAAATTTAGCAGAAGGAAGGTGACTAAAATCAAGTTGAGCCTCAGATAAACAGTATTCCATATAAGAGATACTGGTTCCTATAAGATGCTTTTTTTAAAAAAAAAAAAAGATTTATTTATGCATACAAGAACTGGGGAACAGGCCAGAGGTGTGGGGGTGGTGAGAGGAGTCACCAGAGACAGAGTGGGGAGCAGAACAGCAGACTGACTGAAACACACTGCTAAGGGGAGCAGTGGGCAGGACAGGAGAGGTCTGGGTGCCATATGGTATCTCCCTGACTAGCTGGGGATCTAACTCAGTGCTGTAGAGGCTGCAGATAGCTTCATAGTGCAGTGCTTAACCCCTTGCACCACCAGGGAGGCCCACAAGAAACTTTTTGATTACAAAAGAGGTAAAGCTATTAAGGACTTAGTTATACTTTCAAAAATCACAAAATCCAATTTTGTATTGTTTTTTCTTTGTTGTGATAAAAAAAAAAAAAAAGAAGTAAGGGCAATAGTATAAGAAACTGCCAATTTCCCAAGATCCGGCTTCAGGAATTATCAACATTTTGCTAAATCTGGTCCATCTACTTCCCCTCTGCCGACCACCATATTTATTCGCTCTCCTTTTCTCTCCCTCCCCCCCCCACCCCCGTCTTTCTCTTACTCTCTCTCTTCCCTTCTCTTTTTCTCCCCTCCATTCCTTCCCCTTTTCTTTTTCTCTTTGTAGTATTTTGAAGCAAATTCTGACATATTTCACTTGTAAATACACATGATCCCATTTCAGACCAGTTTCATTGGTTCCTTCCTTCCATCTCCCCTCCCCTGGCTCCTTCTGCTATTGTTGATGATACAACTTTGTCTTTGTCAGGGTTTATAACACTTTTTGTTCTGTAACCACAATTCTCCCATTCCTTAGTTTTAGGCTCATATTTAAATAGATTCAATGTTCAAATTCAAGCCTTATTAACACATATCATTTAGAGAGTTCATTATTTTGATACATGTCTTAATTGACTAATTTCTTTTTTTTAAGATTTATTTATTTATTTATACAAGAACCAGGGTACAGGCCAGATGCGCGGGAGGGTGAGAGGATTCTCCAGAGACAGAGAGGGGAACAGAACAGGCAGACCGACTGAAATACACTGCTGAGGGGAGCAGCGGGTGTGACAGGAGAGGTCTGCCGCGCCATGTGGGACCCTCACCAGCGGGCCAGGATCGAACCCGCGCTGCAGAGGCTGCGGACAGCTTCACAGTGCAGCGCTCAACCGCCTGCGCCACCAGGGGAGGCCCTTAATTGACTAGTTTCTTCTTTTCCTTTTACAGAAGGGACTTCAGATGCTCAGTTCTCTTGGTTCTTACCTGTTTGAGATGTCTGTCTGCTACTTTTATATCTGAACAGCAACCTGGCTGAGATTTTTTTTAAGATTTATTTTTATTTATGTATAGAAGAACTGGGGTATAGGCCAGAGATATAGAGGGGGTTGGTGAGACCAGAGACACAGTGGGGAGCAGAACAGGCAGATCTACTGAAATATACTGCTGAGGGGAGCAGCAGGCGAGACAGGAGAGGTCTGCTGTGCCATGTGGGTCAGCTCCCTGGCTGGGAATTGAACTCACAGTGCAGTGGCTGATGAGAGAGAGCTTGATAGTGCTGAGATTTTAACCACTGCATCACCAGGGAGGACCTGAGGGTAATATTCTTTTATCACATTTTCTTTGCCTCAGAATTTTGCAGGCCATTGCTCTATTATGCTTTCTGGCATCCTAAGTTGCTGTGCAAATGTCTGGGGCTCATCAGATATTTCTCTTCTTATTGACATTTCCCCTCTAGCTAGAGGCATATTAGAATCTCTCTTATCCTGGAAGTCCAATAATTTGATCAAGTACCAGATTTTGGTCCATTATTCTCTATCAATTTTTTCTCAGAACAAATCATACTCTAAGGATTTATAGAACTATCTCTTCATTTCTGCATTTATATCTTTGTATTTATTGCCTGCACTATTTGTTAGGTTACCTAAGGAATTTGTTTAGCCTCCATATCAATAATTTCTTTATAATAACTTTCTCATATTTGTCTTTTTCTTTTATATTAAGTGTAATAATCCCAAACCTTTCCTCAAGCCACATATTAGAGGTCTAATTTTGTATACTTTACTCCATGGCTCTAATTTATTTATTAGATCACCAATGGTATAGTTTGGTTCTCAATTTGTTTCTTTGGTTTTTCACTTTCTCTTTCCCTCTAATTCTATGGTTTATCACTTTACTGCCAACATTTAAATAGGATTATTAAGATATAATTCACTTATCACATAAATCACCCATTTCAAGTACACAATTCAATGGTTTACTATAGCATGTGTTTATATGACATACACAGATCTCTGTGGACATTTCTAGAACTGATTTTAGAACATTTCATTATGTCAAAAACAACCCCACATCTCTTAGCTGATACCCCAAACCTCACTACCACTCATCACCTGCTCTGTATTTTCCTAAAATTTGTCCAACTTTCCTCAACTAACCCACTCCCATTCTAACTAGAGTCATGCTCCACTCCGGGAGATACAGCTCATAGCATCATCCAAGCTCAGAACTCTGGAAGAAGCAAGCTTGAGGTTTTCTCTTAGACATTTTTACAGCTGCCCAGTCACCACTGTAGGCTCCTTTTCTGCACATTGGTGATTACCAGCTGTGAGAACTTTCAGAATTTTATCAACTCAACCTTCCTCTCTCCAGGAGGCTCTCCTCCTCACTCTCAGGAGGCTCATGGGATGGTGGGTTCCGGGTTGGTGATGTAGCATGCTAAGATCTTCTGTTGCCACCAATTGCCAATGTTTATGGAATTATGTTGGGTATTGTTGGGGAATTTGTAGGCTTAAAGTTCTGCTGTTGTTGTTGTTCATTTCACTAGGTATTAAAGGAGGGAGCTTCTGTTATCCTACGTCATTCTGCAGCTTTACCTAGAAGTCAATCTGGTACAACAGTTTTAGAAAGCAATCTGGCACTATGCTTACAGAGCTATAAAAATGTTCTCTAGTCTTAAGTCAGAAATCCCACTTCTGGGAATTTATCACAAGGAAATAATTCACTATGAAAATAATCTCTATACATGAGTATGCAGCACCATCTGTGATAGCAAAAAATTGGAAATGATTTACATGTTCCATACTAGGAATCCAGTCAAAATTATGTCTTACAAGATGAATGAGATATTTTGCAGTCATTAAAATGATAGTTGCAAAAACTAAATTTAACATAGAAAAATGTTTTTAAGAAACAGTGACAGATAAAAATAGAAGAATAACAAATGGGACATATACTATTAGGGAAACTCTAAAGAGATGAAAATGTGGGCAAGAAAGAAGAGAGTTTTTTTAAAAACTAAAATACTTATGGTAGGGTGATATGAACAAAGAGATAATTTTTGGTCATTTTATTTAATAAAATTGATTTGCTTCTATATTTAAAAAGGAGACGCTAAAAATCACTTATTCAGAAAAGCATTTATCCCCTTCCTTGGCTGACTCTATAAGTTAGAGCTTATTTGTGGCTTGACAGAGGGAGATTTAGGCCAAAGAAAAAATGAGCAAAAGTGGATTTGCCAGTTGTGTGACCTTGACTGACGTTACTATTTGCATATCTGTAAAATAGGTCTGATTTTATGTCAAACTTAGAAAATCACTGTGGAGGGTGAATGAGATCTATCCATCAAACATTTAGCATAGCTCTGGGCACACAGAAAGCTACTGGAGAACATTTAGTTCTAGCTCTCTTTGGCTCTCAACAGAGTAAATGCTCCCATTCACTCTGCATTGTGATTTTTAACTCCAACTCTCATCCTTGTGCAGGAGTGGAAAGGTGAGAATAATAGACATCTTGAAAGGCAAGTGACTTCTATGATCTCAAGCCATCCCCTACCCCAGCTCTGGTTTCCTCTTTCTACTTAGAAGAACAAAGTAGACTTTCCAACAGAGAAATGAGTATGTTTTCAAAGGACATACAATGAGTGGGCAAATAAAGGGATATGTTAGAATTTTCTGGATACATAAATCCCCAGGTTGACAAGGAAACCATGTCAGGTAATTTGAACCTAATCTTGAGAAAATCTCCCAAATGTCTACTTGCTCTTCTTAACACATATAGTTCCCCAACATAGTTCCCATGACATGGGGAGAGGTCCATTTACCCCATGGCTCCTACATCATGAAAAGCCCAGAAAATAATATCATATGAGATCACAGAAGGTCTCTCTGGTGCTCTCACCATGAAAATCTTAACTCTGCGCCCCATGGAAGGGCTAGAAAGGCATATTAAGCTTTTCCACATGGCTATAAGAAAGTATATTAAGTCCAGACACAAGAGGGCACATATTACATAATTCCATGCAAATGCAGTATCCAGAAAAGGCAAATCTATAGAGATCAGATGAGTAGATGTCTGGGACTGAGGTTGCAAAGAGGGATTAGTCGCAAATGGGCATGAAGGATCTCACTGGGGGGTGATGAATGTTTTCATTTTTTTCTAATGTTCCAATGTTCAAAAACTGGATTCTGGTGAGAGTTGTACAACCAGGTATAAATATACTAAACACCACAGATTTGTACACTTAAATAGGCATTTTTATGGTATGTAAATTATACCTCAATATAGTTACTACCAAAAAAGAGAAAGCATACTTAGCACATAAAACATATATTTTGATTCAAATGGGTTTTGACAAGGAGCTTCACAATTTCCCATTAAAATATTATGAAGGCACAAGAGAAAAAAGAACTAGACTGGAGTTACTAGTGACTCAAAAGAATCTTTCAGAATTTCCTGTAACTAGATGGCAGATGGGCTGGATTGAGAGATCTTACTTTAAGAGACCACCCAAGGAAAGACACCAGAGCCCACTGGGCATGTCCCTATGTCTGCCTTGGGAAGCAGGGATGTAGGTTACATCCCACACAAACAATCATGAAACAACTCTGAATAAAACAGTAGTTTTGAGGATCTGCTATATTCCTCTGAACCTTGTTTAACACAGAACTGAAACCAAATTTCAGGAGACAATTTGGTATCCTAAATAGGGTACAAAGAGACATCTTTTTATTTATTTATTTATTCATTCATTCATTTATTTATTTATTTATTTATTTATTTATTTGTGTGTGTGTGTGTGTGTGTGTGAGTGTGTGTGTGTGAAATAGGAAAAGAAAGCCATATGGAGAAAGTACACTAAAATGAAAAGGCAAGATTAATACTTAACGTTGTTAAGTATTGTTAATACTTAACGTTTTCTATGAATCGTGCTTTATTCTGTTTTTTACATGTATTAACTCACTTAATCCTTATAACAACACCATGAATATGTACTATTATTGTCCCATTTTATAACTGAGAAAAATGAGAGGGGTTAGTTAATAAACTTGCTCAGGATTACATAGTAAGTTGGGACCTGGGACCTGGGACTCAAGTTCTGACAATTTGCATTCATGTTCTGAAAAGGACAACAAGGAAACAAAGGCTACAACAGCAGAATTAAACTCATTCAAGGCAGTAAAAACATAACTGAAGTTGTGAGTGAGTCATATTAAAATGAAAAGTTTGTCTATATAGGCAAAAACATAAACAAGAAAAGAGGAGATGACAGATATGGAAGTCAGAGAAAAAATATTTATAGATCACTAGTTGTCATTTTGAAGCAAAATTGGAATAGGAAGCAAAATTTCAATATTATATTAGATAGCAATGACAAAATTAGGAGAACTATTAATACCATAATAACACGAGATGATGAATGTGGACTAGGAATATGTGTTCATATAGAGCAGGACTAGACAAAAGTAGCTGCATATGAATAGATGATCCAAACTATAAAACTGAGACAAAAACAGACAGGAATCATTTACCTCTTTCGGGAAAAATGTTGTTTTTGGTGATTTTCACGCTTTTGGGGCGAGGATTGTTATCATCCATACCCAAGATCAGGTTACGGAAAAACACATCGAATTTCTTTCTGCCATCTGCATTGATGGTGCCGGCCACCGTCCACACCAAGGCAAAGAGGAACAGGCCTTGCAGCCAGAGGAAGATCTGTTGACTTGTTGGGCCTTCAAGGCCTTCACTTTCCTCCTCATTGAATTTCTTGATTTCATCTAAAAGCAAGAAAAGAAAACTTCAGCCAAAACTCGAGTGCAACATAGAAAAATTGTGACCTGGGCGGTTTTCTCTCGCGCAGGGGGCGGGGTAAGGGTTTGGGGGTGGTGGTATGTCTGGGGAAGGGATTCACATTGGCTGAGTGAGCATCATCTGCCAGCTCCTTTACCTACATGCTTTTTTTCCCTACATTTCCCCTCCCCCCACCCCTGGTAAGATAAGCATAGCAAAATTTACCAATCCAGCCAATTCTTTTTTCATTTTAACTATTTTTAAGGGTACAGTTCAGTGGTATTAAGTATATTCTTGTTTCTGAGCATCCAGCTCCAAAACTCTTTTCATCTCCCAAAGCTGAAACTCTGTATCCATTAAACACAGTAAGTAAAATCATATAATCACTCAGTAACTGGCTCATTTCTCTTAGCATAATGTCTTCAAGGTTTATCCAATGGTGTGGCAAGTGTCTGAATTTCCCTCCTTTTTATGGCTGAACCATATTCTGGAATGTAAATACAACATTTTCCTTAGCCACTCATTCACTGATGGACACTTGATGAAGCTGGGATTTGGATCCAAGCCCGACTCACACACCAAAGCCCAGGCCTTTTAACTCTACACTGGTGCTTCTCAAACTTTAATGTGCACACAGAGGACCAAGGGATTTGTAAAAGTGCACATTCTGGTTCAGTAGGTCTGGGGTAGGGTCCAAAATTCTCCTTTTCTAATGAGCTCCTACGTGATACTGATGTTTCTGGTCCTCGCTACTTTGAGTAGGAAGGTACTATAGAATATGTGCCTCTTTCAGGTGAAAGGATAAACCCAAGAACAAACTCTGATAATTAGATAAAGTTTATCTTCCAAATGCTCCACTCTTCTCTTTGGCACTCATCCTGCTTTCTCCCTCCACATCAGCTGCCCACAACTTCACAGGACTTGCTGCATTTTATGACCTGGATCTTCTGGTCCTAGTCAGTTCATACAGCTTTTCTGGGCCTTCTCTTCCCCACAGCATGCAAAAGTATTTGCCGTTCCTCTTCAGTAACAATAAGCACCCCAAGTGCCCAGAACTTGGTTTCTAATACCACTTTTCAATACAAAAAAAAACAGTGCTCCTTAGAGAAGTGGTTGATTACAGGGCTCAGCAAGGGAAAAATATAAGATGCACCTGGAATTGCTTATGGTGTACAAAAACAAGGAAGTGCTTGAAAAGGATGGGAACAAACTGAAGGGAACTAAGCTGAGAGAGTTTACTGAGCACCACAATAAACAAATGTATCATTGGATTATAATTCCTGGGATAAAAATAAATATCCATGAGTCCATATTTTGATAAATAAATAATTGAATAAGAAAATATATAGGGAAGAATAATTTTTCCTTACAAAAGAATTCTAATTAGTAAATGTACAAGGAATAGAAGTAGAAATAAAAAATAGAAATAGAAAATTAACATTAGGCAATTAAATTATTGCTACCACAATAACTATTGTAGACAGGATCCACCAATGGAATTTAAAATGCATGGGTGAAAGTTCAGGAAAAATAGGATATTTGCATGGGTTTAGATTACCTTCTACACAATCCTTATTAATCACAAATGAAATCAATAGTAACAACGCATGGGCCTCCCCTGGTGGTGCAGTGGTTGAGCACTAGGCAGCAAAGCTGCCCGCAGCCTCTGCAGCGCTGGTTCAATCCCTGGCCGCTGGCGAGGGTCCCACATAGCATGCAGACCTCTCCTGCTGCACCCGCTGCTCCCCTCAGCAGTGTATTTCATCAGTCTGCCTGTTCTGTTCCCCGCTCTGGCTCTGGTGGATTCTCTCACCCTCCCACGCTTCCGACTATACCCAGTGCTTATATAAATAAATAAATAAATCTTTAAAAAAAAATACTGTGGAGAAACATGACTCTGATGAAAATTAACTTTGACAAGAAAGTCAAGAATTAATACTCCTGTTATGTAGGTGACCTAAGACTGAGAAAGGATGAGGGAATTTGCACAAAAGTACCCAGAAAATCAATGCAAGATGAAGGCTAAAGCCAAAACACATAGACTCTTTCCACCAAACTCTACTACACACATTTCAAGAGTTTGCTTACTCTAGACCAAAATGCTGTTCTCTTTGTCACTCTTTGGGGGAATAACAGGGGTCAGAACAGAAGAGATAGCCAAGGCCATATATCCCCTAGTTTTGGTGGCGCTTACCAAGTAGAGAAGTGTACAGTCTCATCATTGAGAAGGCAAGGTGGCTAGGAGATGTTTGCACCACAAATTTACATTGAAGGCGAGTAAATTCCAGGCAGGGTTGGACAAGCCACATAAACATGTCATTGACCTAAGAATAGAAGATGAAGATTTGAAGACATGATTAAAATGTGAGTTTAAAAAGAACAGCATGGTCCATCTTGGGGAGACCAGGGATCGCAGTAGGAGTGCTGAGTACTTCTAAGTGTAGGTACATTGGGGAACTCTTGGGCACCAAAGCCCCTGCCCCCAATTTCCTACTGAATGACTGTGTAGTCATAGACATGCTGACTGTGCAGCCCACAGGACACCCCCATCCCTCCCATTCCACTGCCAGCTCCAATAGAGGCTTGGAGCTACTGTGGGCCAGCTCCACGCTGCATCAAATAGTTTTAGGATCTAGCCACCATACCTGATTTTGTTTCTATTAAAAAAATGTTAGGAATTCTAAACAACCAACTGCAAATGGCCTTTCCACAGGACTCTTATATAAAGTAGACAAAGGAGTGCAGAGCTAAGTTCAGGACTCATTTTCCATGACTCCCTCTCTGTAGGTACATATGCTTGTAGGTATGTATGTTTGTATCTACTCATTTATTTTTGGGTATAAGAATTTTTGTTTCTTGTGCCTATTCCCCACTCCCATTTGCTCTTTAAAAAAATTACTAGTTTCACTTTCTTCTCTTATTTTCATGTTTTTTCATTTTTGTTATACTTGTGACTGATCACTGTAAAGAATCTTAAGTTTTGTTTTTGCAAGTAGACAGGTCATCACTAAATAAATACAATCACAGGTGTGTATATATGTGGATATGTGTGCACATATGAATGCACAGATGCATTTACATATACACATGTATAAATCTGTGGAATAGTAATTCACTTAGCAAATAATTATTAAGCATTAACTAACTGCAGTGCAGTAGATGCTGGGGATAAACAACGGACAAGAAAGACAAGGTCCTTGCTCTCATGGAACTTACTGAGGGGTAGGGAAAACGGAATAAATAACCAGACAAGCAAAAAATTGAATAAAATACTTACAAATCATGGAAGGTACAGGCAGGAGACAAAGGTGTGACAAGGTGGAATAAAAGGAAGGGTTTAAGTAGAGTGGTCAAGGAAGGCTACTTGGAGGAGGAGACCTTTATGTTGGGACCTCAATGACTAAAGCGAGACACCCATGAAATGAACTGGAAGATTTTCAGGAAGAGAAACAAAATATGCAAAATCCTGGAGGTGGTGAAATCTGGTGTTTTCTAGGGCTGTCAGCAAAACACCAGGACTGGAGGATCATCAGCTGAGGCTGAGAAAGAAAGCAGGTGACGCTTGTGATTAGAAAGGCAAGTGGGGCCAGATCATATAGTCTCAGAAGCCCTAATGAGTGAGACTTTTCTGCTAAGCACACTGGAGAGTCTCTGAAGGGTCCCCATAGATGGGGACAAGGCAGCTTTCTCTGTCTAGATAGCTGGTCTCTGAGTGTGCATGTGGCCATATGTCTATAGCAATTATAACACATGTTGAAACATAACAGGATGGGGTTGTCCTGTCCTAGAGTGTTACAGAGTGGGAAGAGACCCAATTCAGACCCTTCTGGGCTTTTTCAGTGGGAAACTTTCCAAGGGAGCTCTGTCAAGGCAGGGAATGACAAGAGGCACCACAAACACATTGTCTCCTTTCCTGCTTCCCCAGCCCGAGAGAGTGGCCAGGTACTCACCTAACCTGAACATTCACACTTCTTTTAGGAGGGGGAGAAAGAATGGTCACTCTTAGTAGCTGCGATAAGAGCATTTCTAACTGGTCCTGACTCCTTAAAGTGAGAGGTATGGTGTCAAGGTTGCAAGCCTGGGGAATGGCAATTCTTCCAAACTTGGTCCATCTCTAAAGTCACTTCCAGAAACATTTCTGCTATAGGAGCAATGGGGGGAGACATTCCAGCCACCATACAGAGTGTTTCTCAGCACAGTAATTCGCTAGTGGGGAACAGAATAGTGATAGAGAAATTGACTGCAGAATCCCATCCCAACCAGTCAGCCAGGAAACAAGATAATTCCTCTTGGAATTATAAAGGTGAAGATGTACCTAGAAGGCCTCTGAGATGAGGGGCTGGGAGAGAGGGAGGATGGAAAAGGAAAGGGACCCAAGGTCTCACCAATTCCTTATGGTCCTCAGTGAGACTGGAGGGCAGGGTGTCCATGTATGAATCCTTCAGGGGCTTCCAGCCCAGCTGATGGGCTTCCATGTAGATCATCCCACACCTGGACACACAAATAGATCAGCCTGGCCCACATCTGGACACCCAAGCACATAGGGGTGAAGTAAACACAAGTAGAAATGACCAAGGAAGGGCCTAGAGCATGGGCAATGGACATAAACCCTCACTAGCTCAAGGCCAAAGGGAAGGTGCACAGTTGTGTCAGGACAGTGTGGAGACCAGTGATAAGAGTGAGGTCTTGGATGTCTCAAATCCCAGCCTCAGATGCTACTAGCTGAATGACCTTGGGCAAAGTTTCTTTAATGACTCTGAACTTGTGTGTTCTTGTATATATATTGAGGAATATACAAAATATGTACTTCATAAGGTTGTTGTAATGATTAAACAAGAAAATGCCAGTAAGGAATCTAGCACCATGGCCAGCATATAGAAAACTCAAGAGCAATGGATACCACATTATCATCACCATATCACCAAGGCCTGACCTACCATAGTATATGTAGAATGTGTGTTTTCCATTCTGTTACATCTAGGTGCTCTCTTGTTTATTGCAAATGCCAGCTCCATGTATACAGGTCTATTGCATGGTAAGCCCTATGCGGGACCCTAAGAGCCTTCAATCCTAAATATCCCTCTTAATGTTCTACACTTCAGACATGAGGTGACTGTAGCTTCGAGATGCTTAGAAGACATCACACTGCCAGCAATTGCCATGGCCAGGGCAAGAACCCAAGTTGGTTTTTTTTTTTGTTTTTTTTTTTTTTTTTTTTTTGTTTTTTTTTATTCTATTATTTTATTTTATTTTATTTTTTTTTTTTTAAATATTAAATTTTATTTTTATATTCCCCCATACAATTGCAAACGCCCCATTCTGACCCCAATCCTTCCCTCCCGCCCCCCACCCCCAAAAAGTGTCTCTGGTTCATAGTTTTTTGTTGATTTTGATTTTCACTTTCTTATATTCATTTTCCTGGTCCCTTATTTAAGTTTTCTAGATTCCTGCTATGAGTGAGACCACCAAGTTGGTTTTAATTGCCATCGAAAGATCTTCACATTACCTTTGGGAATGTGGGCTGATTTTAGTCTTTTGTAGACATCAGGTGCAAGGGATTGGATTAATTATTATCCCTGACACACTCAGCATTAGCTCACATATGGCCTTTCTTAGTTAATTGTTTTCAATAATGTCATCAGTGAACCTATTACCCAGACAGATGTTAGGATCTTGACAGTGACCTTCACCATATGGTCTCCCTTGTCCTGCGCCCGTCTTCCCCACCTGAGGTAACAGCCTGGTCACTGTCCCTTGATTTCTTTCCTTCTTAAAGAGATTTATAGCATTTCTATATGTTTCTAAAATGTTCATATATTTATTTTAGTTGTTTTAAACAATTTAATAGGGGGTACTATATGTACGTCATATTGTAGGCTTACTTTTTTTATACATAACATTGCTAAGCTTGCATGTCAGTACAGTTCATTTATTTTCAGTGCTATAGAGACATGATGATTGGTGACTTAGTGCACTTATATTCATTCCCATTAATAGGTATTCAGCTGTTTCCAAGTGCTTGTTTCTGTGACCTGTGCTAAATATTCTTTTTTTTAATAGTTTTATGTTTTTTTAAGATTTATTTATTTATGCATACAAGAACTGGGGTACAGGCCAGAGGCATGGGGGCTGTGAGAGGATTCACCAGAGACAGAGTGGGGGACAGAACAGGCAGATTGACAAAATACACTGCTGAGGGGAGCAGCGGGCGAGACAGGAGAGGTCTGCTGCGCCATGTGGGTAGCTCCCTGGCCAGGGATTGAACTCATGCTGCAGTGGCTGTGGGTAGCTTCATAGGTTGCGTCTTAACCCCTGTACCACCAGGGAGGCCCCTGTGCTAAATATTCTGTCTCCTATTATATATGGGAAAAAGTTTTTGGGGGTATGTACTTAGGAGCAGAATTGCTGGGCCACGAGGCATAATAAGGTTTAGTTTTAGGACAAAATGTCAAACTTTTTCCTACAGTGCTTGCCTAGTTTTAGAATCCTACCCACGATGTGGACTGAGGACTAATTTGATGACAAATAAGTAACAACAAATACAGTAGGTGATTAGTTGGGGCTTAAGCACATTTGTGGAGCTTTAGAGCCCCCCAATTGTCCTTTTAGGGTCACTGAGCTGAACCTCTCCCTCGGAAGGCCAACTTACACTGACTTACCTGCTCACAGTGGCTGGGGAGGCCTGCTCCAGGTCAGCTGGCTCGAATATCAGACTCATCTTGGGGTTCATCTGGATAATCTCTCCACTCATTAAACACAGCTGAAAGCGCAAAGCAGAGGAGTGCATCTGTGAATGAAAAGCCCTCAGCAGAGACAGATGGTTTGAATTCATTCAAACAAATATCTGTTGAACACCTGCTGTGTGCCAGGCACTGTTCTATGTGCATAGACTAAAACCAGCAAAAAGCTCTGTTCTCTACGGGTTTACATTCTGTGGGGAGGAGACAGAAGATAAGGCAAATAGACAATAAATTGTATATAAAATGGTGACAGTGCTTTGGAGAAAACAAAGAAGATGGTGTTGGAGAAAGCTCAGGCAGGGTCAGGTGAGTTATAATTTTAAATGGGGAGGTTAGAGAATTGCTGAACTGCAGCCTTAGGTGAAGGATGGAGAAGTAAGACATTATCAACCACAGGAGCGTCATGGTTTCTTCTATGTGTTTAAGATAGAACTTAATTGTACCTGTTCAGCCAGTTTTATTTGCCCAAGCCACCCACGAGAGATGCCTCTTGGCATTCCCATAGACTAGTCAGGGTTAGAGTGGCAGGGACAGCTTCATAAATTCCTTCAAGAATGGAGAGACCATGAGAAGTCTTAGTGGTAGACATCCATGTAGAAAGTAGTGCAAATATACAGGAAGCCTTGGAGCATATCTTAAGTCAGCAGTGATGCTTCCCATTTGCCAAATGGGTTCAAATGAGATGTATAAATCTCAGACAGCCATAAGACAGCCATAGACCTGCGTCTCTCAGGGAAGAGAGGAAATCTCATTGTTCTCTGCAGCTTCCTAAGTGTGGTTAAAAAGTTTCCTGCCTGTTACCTGGTCCACATCAAACACATCTGGACATAGGTCACGCACTTCCAGCAAGAACAGTTGGTACAGGGCTGACACCACCAACAGTGTCATCTCCGATATCAAGAAAAGTAAAACAAACCCATGTTGGTCTGTTTTATTCCCAGTGCCGAGAAGAACTATCAGGAATTCAATGATTATGACTCTTTATACTTTGAATCTTAAGATCAACCAATACATGTGTATAATTAAATTATATAACATAGTCCATATCATGTAATAAAACATTTCTATTTTTATATGTTATATAATGAAAATTATGCATATGCTATAATTAGTGTATGTGTATAATTTGGATAATGAGGCCTTTCGTGGTTGAGTATGACTCACTCTTAGCCTTGTGAAATTTGAACACAGTAGGAAAATATATTTTGATTTGGTAATGATGTATATTCTGTGTAGGAACACTTCCTTGAAATGGTGATAGATTTTATTTTAACAGTTATTTAGCACTTGTTATGTGTCAGGAACTATTGTCATCAGTTTGCAAATATTAAGTTATCTAATATTCCTGCAACACTGGGAGGCAGACACTATTATCCCCACTTCATGATGAAACTGAGGCAGAGAGAGACAAATAGTTTGTCTGAAGTTACACAACAGCAAGTGGCAGGGTCAGGATTTGAACCCAGCTGTCTGGCCCAGAGTCTAAGCTTTTCGATCACTGCACTCCCTATGACAGAAAGGATTTTCCAAAGACAGTTCTAGTGACATCTTCCATCCCACAGATACTTTTTCAAGGTGACCTTGCCCACCTCCATCAACAGAGTCTCTTTGTCCATCTTCTTGAATATGGGCAGGCCCTGCAACTTTTTTGACCAATTGTAGATGGAGAAAGATTATATGCCAATTTCAAGTATTTCAAGTATTTCAAGTATTTGCTAGAAACCTCCACTTCCTGCTTACAAATTGGTCATCACAAAAGAAGAGCCACTACCCCAAGACCACCAAGTAAGAAGACTGAATCACGTGGACAGGACTGGAGGATGAGATGCTAATTGCAGACATGGGAGACACCAAGGAGGAATGAGGCTGCAGACATCAAATAAAGAAACTATCTTGGATGTGGATCCTTCAGCCCTTGCTGCCTCAGCTGATATCACAAGGGTGAGATGAGTCTAGCTCAGCTCTTCTCAAATTCCTCACCCACAAGATCATGAGCAAAAGAAGTGGTTGTTTCAAGCCACTAAATATTAAGGTGATTTTGTTAGAGAGCAATGGATAATCAAAACACTACCCATATATCAGGTACCTGGATATACTATCTCATTTAATTATCCACACCCCTAATTTATCACTACCTTGTCACAAACAAGGGAACTGAAGTTTAGGTAAGTTGTTTTACTTGCCCCACATAACATGGTTCAATTTAGATCTAGTGGTCTAGCCTGATGACAGCAAAAAGGCTGTTAACCATAATGCCATGCTGTCTAAAAGCACAAAGCCTATCCACTACAAGTACAAGCAGAAACATAATTCATAAACTGGTTACTGTTATTCCCTTGTAGGACATTTATTCTTAGTATAATAAAGATATGTGTTATTTAGTGTGACTCAATCACTTCACTAAAGAAGTTTATACCTCATTCATGTAAAAGTCTTATCAGACATACCTTTTTATTGTCATCCAGAACAGTGTTCATGTTTTCAATCCAAATAGCATCCACTGGCCCATCGAATATAATCCACTTGCGTTCATCAGATATGGAAGACGCTTGCTCTCGGAAAGCATTGGCAAGGACACCATCTGTCCATTCGTGACTGACTGGGTCAAAGCATCCATACAGCTGCCCCATGGTGATAGCCTTGGGGTTGATGATCTTATATTCCACAGCAAACTCCTCCATCTGGTTGGCTGGGCAACATGAGTTACAAGGTTCAACATGAGTTACAAAGACACAGGTGAGGCCAGAACATTAGACAAGAAATAATGCCATAAAGAATAACTGATCTTTATGAATATACTATTCAAGAAGAATCTTTACATAACTTATGCTCAGTCCTTATGAAGATTGGGATACTTACTGAAAGAATACAAAATCACTAGTTTGAAGGGATATCTTCACTCCTATGTTCATTGCAGCAGTATTTAGTGTAGCAAAGCTACGGAAACAACCTACATGCTCAATGACAGAGCAGTAGATGAAGAAGATGTGGTGTATATACACAATGGAATACTATTCAGCTATAAAAGTAGCACAGATGGAACTTGTAGGGATCATGCTAAGGGAAGCAAGTCAGGACAAAGACAAATGCCAGATAATTTGAATCATGTGGAATAGAGAAAAACAAAATCTTTTTTTTTTTTTGACAAATAAATGAAACCAAAACAGACCTTGGAAATCTGACTGCAGAACTGAGGCTACTCAAGGGGGAGAGAGGAACAAAGAGGGGGTGTGGCCCAATGGTCTATAGTAAAGGATTACTGGTGCTTTGGTGGTGGGTGTGGTAACATATATCTGGGAAGATATGAACCTGTTCCCTAAGTTAGACACAGTGTTGAAAATCAATGTTACTGCAATTTGAAAAAAGGGTAGCATACCTGAATGGGCAATACCTTAAATTGTTTAGTTATTATAGTCATTAGTAACTCATCATATTTCCTTCTGTAGCTCAGAGGGCAAATAGAAGAAATCTGAAATAAATCTGCCTGGGCCTAATATAATGCAAGCAGTGAAGGGGAGCAAAGCCATACCATCAGGCCTCTGTATATACCTGGCTCTCACAGCTGCCCCAAGAACTGTGGCTTGAGATAAGAAAAGAGCTGACAGGTGAAAGACTCTGGAAAATGATGACTTCAATCTGAAGGGCTGGTTTGGCCCTGGAATCTCCTCTTTAGCTGTTCAGGAAAAGTGTCATTTGTCCCCTGAGTAATGTACTCTGTTGGAGTACCTGAGGACCCGACCAGAAGGTACAGGCTGATGAATGTCACATCACGTGTATTTAATAGCAGAAAATAACCACCCTTTTACACAATCCGTCCAAGTAAGGAAAACCTGGCAGTGTCTAAGCCATGAGGTAAATAAAGAACCATTTCTGCAGACAATGGGGTAAGCCTTCTTTTTCTTCATTTGGCTTCGGAATTATACTGAAATGCCAAAATTATTGTTTAAGTTAGAAATGCCTATGTTAGTTATTGAGGCCAAGTTAGTCCCCTGAAGAACAACCTTAAACATCCAATAGAAAAAAAAGAGAAAATAGGGATAAGAGTAAAAGTACTTCGTGATAAAAATAAAATAAATTTTACATAAATTGAAAAAAAATCCAACAGTAATAATCTTCAAAATTATTAGGAAAAAATGTTAAAATGAAGTACTAGCAGGGATTGTGTAAACTTAAATACAGCAAGGCACTGATTTTCAAAACCACAGGCTTGCATTTCATAAAAAAAAAAATCAAGCCTAAATTCAAAGCTGTTTCTCTGATAATAACATGGTCCCTTATGTTGAGGAGTTTAGATACCTATACAATCCCATTTCATTTTCACACTAATCCCATTTTCCAGTTGGGAAAACAGAGACCAACAGAGGTTCAGATATTTGCTCAAAGTTTGGGCTGATTCAAAAATCTAAAGTCTCAGGGCCTCCCTGGTGGCGCAAGGGGTTAAGCACAGCACTATGCTCTCCTCAGCAGTGTACTTCAGTCAATAAGCCTGTTCTGCTCCCCACTCTGTCTGGTGAATCCTCTCACAGCACCCCCCTGCACCTCTGGCCTGTACCCCAGTTCTTGTATGCATAAATAAATAAATCTTAAAAACAAAGCCCAAAGTCTTATCTATTACAACCTCTATATAAACAGAAGGAAAAAGAGAGGGGAGAAAGGAAAGGCAGCAAAAAGAAGGGACAAAGGGGTGAAGAGAGAAAAAAAGAAATGATAAGAAATCACACAATGAGTTGCTTTTAGAGCAATTTTTTTTGGGGGGGGGCGTGATTAGCAAGGGTTTCTCTGTCATTGGGAAACCTTTGGAAAAGCCATTGTGTGGCACTTAAGAAATTTCCTCCAGCTTTAATGCCATGCAGATAAAGTCCCCTATTAGGAGCCCCCTTTTATTTTCTGCCTGCAGACATCTGTGTGCCATGTTCTATTTCTGGCTCTGACGTCACAGTCCAGGGATGGCAAAACTAACAGCCTGGCATTATCTCCATGGAGCCAGCCAATGAGTAGGGCGTCCTGTCATCCCTGGAAGCCAGGAGTATGCGCCTTACCTGCATATAAATCACCCAGAGCAGCGGCCAGCACTTTATAAGCACAGGTCTTGCCACCCATGGCGTCTCCAACAATCATGTAGCCATGTCTTACCAGCATCATCTCGTAGATCTGGGAACAGACATCGTGTAAGAAGTTACATTTTTGCAAACCTCCTAGAACTGAAAATTATTTAATGAGTAATGGGGTGTTAAAAAGGAATTCTCCCTATCACATATACCTCTTGTGAACCACAGTCCTTTTTGTTTAAATATCTTCTGTATGAATAATGTGTGTCTCAGATTATTTAAGCAATGGGAATGACTGTTTGCTCTGCACCTGTCTATATGCTAAACATCAAGTGGTCTAGCAAATGACTTCACTTCATCCACTCAGGTAGGGATTTGTGGTTTGCCTGCCCAGATCCTCTCTCTCATCAATTGATAATTGCACCCTAACTTTCCTGAGGAACTACCTCTTGGTGGTTCAGCTCGTACCATTGTGTGGCTCTAACCCCATCACCACTTCTGGTGGAGCATAGGTAGTTATGGTTCATTTCTTGGCTCTCTAAGTGGTTCAGGGATGGTCTGGTGACTTTACCAGTGCTATTCAAAGCTACCTGAGACTTGCTAAAGCAACTTGGAGAGTGATGATGCTCCTTTTTCGTCTAGACTTAGACATAAACAATCAAAGTCTATTGTTGCTGGGGTGGGCATGTCCCTCTGGAGTGAAGTTTTAAAACAGAGAGAAGCAGAGTCCAGAAATGAAGAGAGGCAGATTTCTGATTACATAAACTAAAACCCTGGGTCCTGTTAGGCCTGAAGCCAACTTATTCCTGGACTTTTCAAATTAGACAAGTGAATAAATTCCCTTTTGTTGACAAAGGCAGTTTGAGTTGGGTTTCTTTTATTGAGAAGCAACAAAGTCCTAACAAGTTCAAAACCCAGCGGTGCCAAAGATTCTGTTTCATCTTCCAATTGAAAAAACCAAGAAGATGGTTATAGAAAAAATAAAAATTTTTAAACTTCAACTCATGGAAACAAAAACTGAAGGGACAATAGACTGTTAAGTGGTCTTTTTACCTCCATCGCCACTCTGAAACCTCTGGCTGCTGTCAGTTCAGTTCCCATCTGCTATAATTCTTCCTAATTCCTGTCTTCCACCAACAATAAAATGGGGAGATTTCCCAAGGATAAAAGGAACCAACCTGGATAATTTTTCCAATAAACCAAGGTACAGGTTGGAGTTTCATCTTTTTGATGTTCTCATTCAGCACATCAATAAAAACTTCATAGTCTGGCTTTGGAAGAACAACTCCAGGAAACAAATCTGATATAATTCCCTATTAACAAGAATTTGAGAGCAGGTTGAAAGGATGAATTATCAGACACTTGACCTCCAATGGACAGCAGACATTTGAAAAATTGCAAACCTCATCTTTCCTAACCAAAAATTCATCCACAATGACACATGCCTATATGATTTCCCTCCCCAATTTTAAAAGGCACAAATATGGAATGGGTCTCTTCGATATGCTCATCATTGTACTAGGAATGAACAAGGTAGTCATGATTTCTGTCTCAATGGAGCTCATAGCCTGGTAAGGGAGATGGACATTAAAATGATTACAAGAGAAAACAAATTGAATTTAATTAAAACTACTCAAACCCAACAGCAAACATTATACTATTTTTTTTTAAAGATTCATTTATTTATGCCAGAGATGCAGGGGGTGAGAGGATTCACCAGAGACAGAGTGGGGAACAGAACAGGCAGACTGACTGAAATACACTGCTGAGGGGAGCAGCGGGAAAGTCAGGAGAGGTATGCTTCGCCATGTGTGTTTCTCTCTGGCCGGCCGGTGATCAACCTTGTGCTGCAGAGGTTGCAGATTGCTTCATAGTGTGGTGCTTAATCCCTTGTGCCTTCAGGGAGGCCCCAAACTTTATACTATTACTGAAACCATTTTATTAAAATCAGGCAGTCTCTGGGAGTGCTGCCATCCCTGTTATTATTCAGCATTTTGGGGAGGGTGTCCAGAAACAGGGAGGTTGCCTGGAGATAGAGGAGGCGTTAGGGATTGGAAGGGGTAGTAGAGAAGTTGCCTAAGAAACACTGCATTTTCTAAAGTCGAGTCCAGGGTTTGGCCAAGGTCCTGAAGCACCACCTACCTGAAACAGAGGAACATCTTGAGCCAAGAACTTGGCCAGGTTGACATCAAGCAAAGCCCGGAGCAGCAGTACGCTCTCTTGCTCCTCTGGATACTTGAGCTTCAGGTTGCCCGCGGCGGTGAGCACGGACTTGACTGCACGCATGCCATAGTCATAGTGGTGCTGGGAGGAAAGCTGCTCCGAGCACAGGCGGTAGGTTGCTACAATCTTCTGGGCAAGACTGAAAGGGCAAAGACAAGTCTGCAGACCCCCAGAGATGACCATATCCTGCTCAGTGGACATACCAAGTTTCCTGTGCCCTGCCCCTTTCAGGAACCAGGCTTGCCCCTGACTTGATGGAGTAGCCCTATTGGATGGTCTTTTATTTTTTTTATATTCAGAAGGGCAGGTTTATTATAGAAAGGGAAGGGAAGTCAAGCATGCTTGCACAGACATAAGCAGGCAGAAGTGCTGGGGCAGGTTTGTTAAAAGAGAGGCCTGCAAGGTCACAGGCGGGCAGCCTTGTGGGGAGCCGCCAATGCTGTTTTGTGAAGGGAGGAGATTGGTGAAGAGAAACACCTGCACAGTCATAGGCGGGCAGGAGAGCTGCTGCTGGAAAGTCTTTTAAAGGAGTTACTGCAATGAGCTGAGAAAGCATTTCAGCTCTCTTTCAAAGGTAGGATGAAAAAAGCAAGCACACACAAATATGATTAACATTTGTATAAGAAACTATATGCATTTATACCTTTATGTGTCTACATGAATGCATGGACACACACACACACACAATTTGGAAAGAACACACAAACTATTAACAATGCTAATCCTTGGAGAGTGGGACTAAGGGCCTCTTTTTCCATTTCTGTAGCATTATGATTTTTTTCAATGTCCATGTTTTATGTTTTTAATTTAAAAAAACCAATTCAAAATGTACTATGCTCAGCACGTAGCCCAAGTACTCTCACATGCACTGCCATTTCGTGTTCTCCCTGGGCACACAGCTGGGCCACGTGTCCAGCCTCCCATGCAGCTGGGGGTGGCCTCACAGTGGAAGGTGGGGGTGAGTGGGAAGTGTGCCACCTCCAGGGCTTGCCCATAAAAGTCTCCTGCACCAGATCCTCCTCGCTCATGAGGAGCATAGTCGTGAGGCTCAAGCACTTCCTTGGGGAAGTGTTGCCCCCCCAATTACAAACACCCATTTTGGATTTTCAGGAAAGAAAAATACACATTTGCTATGATAAGCCTTGGGGTTTGGGGCTTCCCTAATACACTTATGCACCTTCCCCTTGTGGGGATCTTCTTTGTAAGACTCTGTCAGCGCTACTTACCGGCACCTAGTGCAGGACTGGGCATAAAGTAGGTCAATAAAGGTGTGCCTACTGAATAAATAAATGAATAGGCAAATCAAAATAATCCAGGCCTTCTATAGAAAATAAATTCACTAAATCTCATATGACTGGAGCAGCTTGTTGGCTAGGAAGAGTAACACATTCTTTTGAGAATATCTGTAGTCCCTTGAAATAAGAACAAGGACACAGTTTGCCTTGAGGCAACATCTTCATTGACAAAAACATCAATTGATTATGGCTAAGACAATGTAAAAAACAAATGTAAGATTCACAATAGTGCAATGAAAGCCATTTTGCAATAAACGTGCATAACTGTGGAGCAAGCGACAGAGACACTGATCTCCATGTTTAAGTTTGTTACTGTCTCTTATGTTTATGTGGAAAACTGGGCAAAACTTGGAGAGACAACCCTGTCAATTGGAGTCAATAAATGTTTTATTGATAACCATGCTACTTCAAAATTATATTAAATTTTCCTCTTCAATATGGAGAAATTACATGTTTTATGACCTTGCCTTATACCATTTAGTCTTGTGTATGTGTGTATGACAGTGTAAGGGGTAGGGAGATGAGTGGCTGCTTTCTTTAATGGAAGTTGAGGTACATGTAAAGAAAGAGGAGGCTCCTTTTTGAGGATGTGAGCCATCTCCCAGTCAGGAATGGCCAGGCCACGTGCTTTCAGATTGACCAATAAGAGGAAACCCCCTTCTCAAGTCTCTCTTTTTCCTTCTAATGGGCAATTCACCTTGAATCCACCATACAAAAAAGTCACCCTTTCAAGGCTTTTAGAACCCACTTGAAAACCACTGTAACATACCTTGTGTAACTTTTTTTGCCTATTTTATTTTATTTTTTTATTTTATGTATTTTTTACATCATTTTTCATTTTTGCACAATGTATGCATTTTCACCTTGATTATAGTCCCCATACAATTCCCAGCCCCCTTGTTTTGATCCTACTCCCTCCTCCCCCCCCTTGTAGTGTGTCTCTGGTTTACAGTTGCTTGTTGATTTTGATAAGGGATCATGCTCAGCGAAATTAGCCAGAAAGAAAAAGAAAAATACCAGATGGTCTCACTCATCGCAGGAATTTAGAAAACCTAAATAAGGGACCAGGAAAAAGACTAATTATAATAATGTAACATACCTTCTGGAGTCCAGAAACCCCATAGAATAGAGGGAGATTTCTCCAATGAGGGCATAATCTGGCACCATCATAGCCACTGTCCGGAATAAAGCCTGGAAAGAAACAACCATTCAGAAGCTAAGCACAGACAGTGGACACAGAGGGAAGGCACATGTGCAGAGGCAAACAGAAGCAGCATGACCATTCAGACTGCTCCAGATATAGTCAAGGGGAGAAGGGCTGGAAGACAAGTAAATGTCAGGGGGACTATCACTGGACAGACCCACTAACCTCCCTGCAGGTCCTGTTCGGGTACCTGTTATCACACTGGGCCCCCAATGCTTATGAGGAAGGAACTAGGTGCTAGTACCCTCACAACAGCTCATCCTCCTATGCCAAGTGAGGATATCTCAGAGTATCACTCGGTACTCATTGTGAACAGCAGTAGTCATTCAGGAAAGCAGAACTGGTATATATCAGAAGAATCTTGAAGTGACACAGATCTTGATTTGAAGTCCTTGTTCTGCTACCTACTAGCTTTAGACAAGTTATGTTACTCCTCAAGACCTCAATTCTTTCATCTTAAAATCAACTAACAACTGTACCTTCTTCATAGTTATCATGAGAATAAGTGAAATCATGTAAACAAAGTGCTTAGAAAAGTGTGTGGAACAGTGAACACTCAATCCACACCAGTTATTGTTATCACTTTAGATCTTAGAGAAGTGACTTGCCCAAGTCAAGCAGATAGAGACAGAGCCTGGGGTAGAACCCAGGCTTCCTGATGCCAGAGTCTCACACTTCCTAGTGTGCCATACTGTCTCATAAAGTGGCTTGTGCTGATCTAACATGGTTGTCGGCTGGGAGGTGGAAGGGGGTGTGGGGAGTTACAATGACTAGACAGTAAAAAAATGAGAAATGTGGGTCCAATTCTACTTTGGTACTCGCTGACCTATGTCGACCTAAAGGGGAGGAGCCACTGCGCAAGGATCTCCCTGACTAGCGCCTCGAAATAAGATTCCAGGGGCACGAATCGGAAGGCATTTCTAACAGGGGAAGTAGCATGGTCTAGAGTTGGTGAATGTGGGCTGGCTTCTCTCTTTTATAGGACCTGTCTGATGCCTATAGACAATAGAAACAGTGGTCCTTGTTCTAGTGTGCATTGTCTCCTACTTGCCATTGGGTATTACATATCTGTGCCTCCCATACCCCATGTACCTTATTGGGGAGGTACCTGGCTGGGCCCAAGTACTGTCTTACTACCATCCACATTCTGCTACTACTTCTTACAGTTGGGAAATGCCACCTGTTTCCATTATTTGGCTTCTCTGTGAGGTTTCTACACCATAAAGTATACTTGGCATTTATTTGCACTGATGTTTACCTTGAGGTTATCTGGCAGCTCAGCCCTGCCAGCGTACCCAGGGTTCATGGTGATGAAGACAGCGCAGGTTGGGTTCAGAAAGAGCTCGGTGCCTTCAAAGATGAACGTCTTTAACTTCCGGATAATGGCTTGTTGGATGCTGAGAATCTGCTGCGCTACCACAGACAGCACTTCTACCTGGGGTGAGAATGCCTGGCTGATGTGAGTGCCTGCTATCTGACAGCCCCCCACCCCACTCTGCTAGAGTCCCCTTTACTTAGCAAAGAAAGAATCCAATCGCCTGAGAATTAGAACTTAATATCCAAAATTAGGAGTGTGATTTGGGGTTTTGGTAAAAAGAAACTGTGCGTGTGCATACCTATGTGTCAGTAGTTTCTAGAGTATTTTATCTTTATTCCAGACCTAGCATACTGTTTGACAGAGAGCAGGTATTCCAACAGTGTTGATTGGTTCAAATTGCATGTTTACATTTCCATTACCCACCCAAATAGAATGCCTCGCTCTCCCCTTTGTGATGCCTCTTTTGCACTATAGACTCCTACATATTTTTTTTTTTTTAAAGTTTCTTTCTTTTTTTTTTTTTTTATTAGATAATAAATTTTATTGTTATATTCCCCATACAATTGCAGCGCCCCCATTCTGACCCCAGTCCCTCCCCTCCCGCCCCTGCCCCCCTAAAAGTGTCTCTGGTTCATAGTTTTTTGTTGATTTTGATTTTCACTTTCTTATAGTTATTCATTTTCCTGGTCCCTTATTTAAGTTTTCTAGATTCCTGCTATGAGTGAGACCATCCAGTATTTTTCTTTTTCTTTTTGGCTTATTTCGCTGAGCATGATCCCTTCCAGCGCCATCCATGTTGCTGCAAATTGCATGTGTTTATCTTTTTTGAATGCTGAGTAATATTCCATGGTATATATGTACCACATCTTCTTGATCCAGTCATCTATTTTTGGGCATTTGGGTTGTTTCCAAAGCTTAGCTATTGTAAACAGTGCTGCTATAAACATAGGGGTGCAGGTGTTCTTTGGAATTGATGTTTCTGTGTCCTTTGGGTAAATACCTAGGAGTGGAATTGCTGGATCATATGGAAGCTCTATGTTTAGTAGGTCCAGAAATCTCCACACAGCTTTCCACAGTGGTTGGACCAGTTTGCACTCCCACCAACAGTGCAGAAGAGTTCCTTTTTCTCCACACCCTCGCCAACATTTGTTGTTGCTAGTTTTTTTAATATGTGCCATTCTCACTGGTGTAAGATGGTATCTCATGGTAGTTTTGATTTGCATTTCCCTGATGACAAGTGATGTTGAACATTTTTTCATATGCCTGTTGGCCATTTGCGTTTCCTCTTCAGAGAAGTTTCTTTTTAGCTCTTCTGCCCATTTTTTGACTGGATTATTTCTTTGTTGTTGTTGAGTCTCATCAGCTCTTTGCAGATTTTTGTGATCAGTCCTTTATCATTAGTGTTGGGTGCAAAAATGTTCTCCCAGTTGGTGGGGTTTCTCTTTGTTTTTGTTATTGTCTCTTTTGCTGTGCAGAAGCTCTTTAATTTGATGTAGTCCCAGCTGTTTATCTTCGCCTTCACTATCACTGCTTTGGGTGATGTGTCTGTAAAGATGTCTTTGATGTGCAAATCATGTAGTGTTTCGCCTATATTTCCTTCTATATATTTTATGGTTTCAGGTCTTATGTCTAATTCTTTAATCCATTTTGAGTTGATTTTTGTGTATGGTGTGAGGTAGTGGTCAAGCTTCATTCTTTTGCATGTAGCGACCCAGTTTTCCCAGCACCATTTATTGAACAAACTTTCTTTGCTCCAATGCATAGTCTTTGCTCCTTTGTCAAAGATTAGTTGACCATAAATCTGTGGGTTTATTTCTGGATTTTCTATTCGATTCCATTGTAGACTCCTACATATTTTGTTTCATTTAACTATTATTTCCCTTTATTAGACTACATCAGTCTATACCATTTCTTACTCATCTTTGTATCGTGAGCACATGCAGAGTATCTTATATATAGCCCTCCTCAATATGTCTTGAAATGAATGAATATGGTGAGGATGCATACATGTGAACATACATTTTGTCCCACCAGAGCTGTTTTCATCTATTTCGCTGAATACCCACTCTGAGTCAGAGGTCATAAAAGAAACCTAAGGCCCTGTCTTTAAGTAGCTGGGAGCCCAGAAAAGGTCCCTGTGTCTGTTCTATAAGCTAGCAGCTGGGTTACCTCAATTCTGTTGAACTCATCAAAGCAGGCCCATGCCCCAGCCTGGGCCAGCCCCTTGAAGAACTTCCCCATGGCTTTGTAATCCAGGCCGTCCGAGCAGTTGAAGACCACACACTGCAGAGAGGGAGGTGTGGGCACCATTCAGAATGGATTCTCTCACATCTGAATTTCCCTACAATATTAAACAGGGATGGAGATCCTCTCTTCCTGTCCCACTCTGGGGGTTGGGACCCCACTCTGCCTGTTACAATCAACCATCTTGCACTTTGTGCCACCTTCCCTGGACAGGGATCTGGAAAGGGGCTGGAGAGGAGGGTGAGGTTGTACAGTATTTCCCCTACCTGCTTGGCCAAAGCTTTGGCCAAATCTTTGGTGGTCTCTGTCTTGCCTGTCCCAGCCGGACCCTCTGGAGCACCCCCAAGGTTCAGTTTCAAAGCCCCCATCAGTGTCCTAAGAGGAAGAAAAGAATTCAGTGCCCAGTCCTCAGACACAGGGAAAAAAAATAAAACTGACTTGATTTATTTTGTTTTGACTCAGACAAATAGTTTAAATTTTTCCCTGATTATATGACCAATACATCATCATAATAAAAAATCCTGCTTTACTCAGCAGTGTAACCTCAGAGCCTGGCACAATGCCTGGTGCATGGGTGGTACCCACAAACATTTATTTGAATGAATGATTACATGAAAAAATTAATACATGCATACGTAAGTGAATCAAATAAAAAAGTCCTCATACATTCCACATCCCAAAGATCACCAATGCTAATGGAATGGTGAAAATAAAGATATTTTTCTCACTACATTATGAACTTTTGAGTATCTTGTATTCTGATTTGTATTTTGTCCCGTTCCATAACCCCAGCACAACACTCCAGTGCCTGGCATGTGATAGGAGCAGGATAAATGTTGGAAATGAACAATGTGTTAAACTGTGGTTCTACATTTCCTGGCATGAGCCTCTATAATTTTGGCTACACAGTATCATGTAATCATCTGACCAGGAGAGTGACAGTTTCTAAAGGTCATGCATGGTGTCCAGGAACATTCAAGAAATGGTTGTTGAATAATGAGTGGAATAAATGAAAGGAGAGCAAATGTCTCAGAACACAAAAAACAGGGAGATTGAGGACCCTGAAAGGAAAAAATACTCAAGTGTTATTTCTATGATAAGAAGTTCCACTACAAGGAACACAGAATACACAAAATGGAAGAAGTTGAAGCATTTCAGAATTGCCAAGTTCACAAAGCTGAGCTTTCTGATGTTATCAATTCTGAGGAAAGTGGCAAAGCCTTTGCTGAGCACACAATATGTCTATCTCTTTGTCTCGCTGGCTGGCAGAGCTTCAAGACGCCTTGCCTTTCTCTATCTTTCTCTATCTCCTGGCCTAGGAGATACTATCTTGACTCCTGCCAGAGGGCAGTTTTCTATTCTTCTCGTTGGTTTGCCTACATTAGTGTGCATTAGGACTCTTAAGGGTGTTCTCATTTCTGGCTTAAGTTCTACTTTCCACATTCACCTGTAGGATTGTGTAAACTAAGGGCAAAATTCTAAACTCTGAGACTCTGAAAGGTTGTCTCAAGATGCCCCAAGCTTCTTCCCCTGAAGGTTTTTCTGCTAGAGTTCTCCATTCAGATTTTAGATCTTGAGGAGTCCCAGAGTTTACCTGTAGCAGCGGTCAGTGAGGGGTGTAATCACCAGGCGGGAGGAGTTCCCCAGGTACTCATAGCCGTACAAGGCTTCAGTAGTAATCATCTGCACATATACATCATTTTCCCTCCAGTAGTATCGCAGCTGGGAGATCCACTGGAAATCATTCAAATTACAGACATTGTCTTGAGATAACTTGGCCACCACATCGCGTGCTGTCAGGACACAGACAGAAACACACACATTGAGAGCTGTCAGCATCCTCCCATCTCCAAGCCTTCTCAGAAGAGGTCTGAGGACATTATCAAGGCCATTCCTTGCTCTCCAAACAGTTTTTAGGCTCAACTATTCTCTTTGCCACCCACAGCCTGCAGCAGGCAACAATATCTTTCAGAAGCTGGTCTTTGCTTCACTCAAGGAGCCAGGAAGAGAATTTGCTGCATTGTCAACTCACAGAAAGTAGAGTAGAAGCATTAAAAATGCATGTTCTGAGGCTTTCCCTGGTGGCACAGGGGTTAAAGACAGTGCTATCAAGCTATCACCAGCTACTGCAGCACGAGTTCGATCCCCAGCCAGGAAGCAACCCACATGGTGCAGCGGACCTCTCCTGTCTCACCCACTGCTCTCCTCAGCAATGTATTTCAGTAGATCTGCCTGTTCTGCTCCCCACTCTTCTCTGGTGATTCTTCTCACCTCCTGCACCTCCAGCTTACACCCCAGTTCTTGTATGTATAAATAAATAAATCTTTTTTTAAAAAAGTGTGGTCTGAAATGAGACTGCCTGGGTCCAAATTCTGGTTCTGCCATTCACTAGCTATGTGAGTTTGGGTGAGTCACTAAATATCTCTATCCTTCAGTTGCATTATCTATAAAGTGGGGATAACATAGTTATTATGAGGATGAAATGAATATGTAGGTATATACACACATGTATAGACATAGTTAAGTATCCACATATCTACACATATACACAGAGATAGAATTATGCTTCACACATAAAAGAATTATATAATAGTCACTGTTATCATTCCCAACTTTCTTAGGGCCTGACGCAGAGAGTTTTGCAATATGGAGTTACCCCAAATGCTGCCATAGCCCCATTATGATTCTTTGGCTCTGTTCCAGCCTTCTAGGATATTCTAGCGGAATGTACTCAATTCGCAAGAGAAAGTGTTCCATGAACTGATGGGTAGATGTATTCTTTTCATCTGGGAACATAAGAACCCAACTAGAAAAAATACATTTCTAAGTTTTCTCCTTTCTTTTATACAATTATGGCCCTCATTTAATTTTCTCACAGCAATGGGAGTCTTGAAGTTGAAGTTTCTAAGAATCAGTAAGTTTCTAAGTTTCTAAGAATCAGAATTTTTCAGGTGACTCAGGCCAAGAGCTATTGAGATCTCAGAACTAGTACAGCACTTGAAGTTAGGATCTCAGAAACATAACTTTGCAAAAGTGGCTCTCCTGTAAGTCTACTGCTGCTCTGTGAGAGAAATCTTTATGATAGTAAAATCCCAAATCCTACAGAGGAGAGTCCTTGAAGATGATTATACCAATAGCTCTTCAGTCTTTAATTGCCCTCCAGGTCTCGAGAGAGCCCTTTGAGGGACTGGCAGGAGTAGAGGTCTGCATGGGACACCCAAGAGAAAGGTGAATCTCAAGAGACTGATTTGGGGATGCCTTTACTATGCTGTGTGTGTGTACCTGTGTTCATGCATGAGTGTGTGTGTGTGCATGTGTGCATGTGAACCTGACCAACCTGGGGTGCTCTGGTTAGTAACTACACCCGAACTTACATCCCCGTGAGCAGGATGTGTGGCTACGTGATGCTTACATCCTCTCCTCTCTCCCTGATTTTATGCTCATTTAGCCAAATGAAATCAGACTGAAATGAGCATCAACTTTAAGGAGAATAAGATGCCATGAAATGCCAGTAGGAAGCTGGGTGTGTGAGCAAGAGAGACACGGTTTCCAGGCAACCATCCTGGGCCAGCCCTCGTTTCCTTAGTGATCAAGGAGTGAGTGTGTGGGGGTGGTTTGTTTTATATAAAGACCCCAGTTCTTACTCCTCCTTCATTTTTTTGTGTTTAAGGAAGAGCTGGAAGGCATCCTCTTCCCTCTGTGTCAATGTCCATTTTCCGCCTCTTGGTTTGGAATCAGACAGATGTTAAGTTCAAATTATAAAAGAGCCTCCCTTTCTAAGTAGCTGTGTGCCACTCAGCAAGCTGTCTTTGCCTCAGGCTCTTAATCTGTGAAATGCATATAAAGTGACATATATAGGTCAAGCACATAACACAAAGCTTGGCACCTGGTGACCATTCAAAGATATTAGCGATGCCAGCTCAGGGAAATGGCTCCCAGCTGGTAAAGCTCACATATGCTTGGGGCCACCAAAGTTGCAGTAAGAATGCTGCTTGGAGGGTCCTGGAGATAAGGGCGGGGCTGGGAGGAGAGAGAAACACAGACGTCTTGGGCGCTGGCTGCTCTCCTAGCTCCGTCCTTATTCTCAGTTGGAGATGTCGCTCCCTGATGGGAAAGGACACCCTAAATCACTCCATCCAGGCAAAGGCAGGAAGGCAATTCCTGCAGTCTCAGTAATGCCGGGCAGTCTCCATGCTTACCGTGGACATCGATGACCGTGAGGGCCCCCAGGGTGAGTCGAGCCCCACTGCTCAGCTTCCCTCGTACCAGCTGCACAATCTGTGCGATCTGATTATTGCTCTTTTGCAGAAAATCCTGGCAGGGACATAAGAGCGGACAATCGGGTAAACTGCATTCCCCTCTGGTAATTCCTTCTCAGGGAGGGCAACGTCCATCCATGCCCCCTGTGACCCCCACCAGACTCCTGAATGTTATCCTCCAAGCCTCCCTCTCCCTCACCCCCAATTCCATGTTCCCAACCCATACTCCCCACAAGCATCTAGGCTTCTATGACACCAAAACCATTTTTTGTTTGCTTAGAAACATGGTTACTTTCATTATGTCATTCAAATCCTAAATGAGCTTGACTCTCCTCTCTGAGCTTCACAACCAGCCTACTTACTGGCAGGGTCTTCTCAAGCAGGGCTTGTGATACCTCCTGGGTCCAAAAGATGGAGGAGACACAGATGACCACCTGGCCAGGCCACTGCAAGACCCACAGATTGCGCGGGACCTGGGAAAGCACAGTTCATCTGATGTGATTTAAAATGACCTAAAAAACATTCCCCTGCTACCTGCCCCCACCTCAAAACCAAAATCCTTCCCACCCTCCATGCTACAAAGCGTCACCCCTCTGGGATTACTGATGTCTGTCCTCCCCCTTTAATTTTATGATCAAGAAAAAAACATCACCAACAATTTCACCTATCCTTTGATTTTTTTTATGCTTCCATATGCAGAGATTTTACAGAGTTATAATCAAGGTAGTGTTTAGAGATTATTTGTAGCAACTGTTCTTGATGGCTATACAATATCTCAGTGCTGTGCCACAGCTTTCTCAGCCCCAGTGTCCCATACACCCATACACACTCCTTTTTTTTTTTTTAAACCAAAGATCAGGAATATGGCCAAATATCATCTTGCATGTCTTTATTAATAAGGTCATAACTCAGCCATGAGCATCATGTAAATGTCATCCATGTGTTTTTACATGAGGACAAAGGCAAATAGTTGAGACTTCAGTGTGTGACCCACAGAGCTGAAAATATTTGCAATCTGGAACTTTTCAGGTAGTTTGCTGACTCTTGCTATAGATGCAACTAACGGCCTGACTTAATTCCGCATAGGTGGCTGTTTCTCCTTAATTTTTGATTTATGGGACAAAGAATTGGTCATTCTTATGCAATGGGAACACCACTGATGGACAGTTGGGCACGTCCCTGGCACTTTAGTGGAAAGGTGTTCATTGCCTGTTTTGTTTTTTGTTTGTTTGATGGAAGGTGTGTTGAGAAAGTAAAAAAAAAAAAAAAAAGAGAGAGGAGAAGATTAAAGCTCCAGTTGGCTATCATGAGGGGCTGGCTAATGGATTATTTGCTCAGGCCTCTGTCATGCCTGGTAGGTAAAGTTTTGGGAGTAGAATGAGTTACGTCATTCAGGATGTGTGTCATGTAAATGAAAACTCTAAAGGGAGGAAGGCTTAATTGGAAAAGGTTCTAAAGAGACCCATGTCTTCAACTATTAACACTGACCCCTAGCAACCAGTGTTCTGGCTGACTTCTTATGTCACCTGCTTCTGGCTATAAGCGTTTCACCAGAAAGATGTAGATTGCCTCAGTATTTACAGGGACAGGAGAGAGGTACAGAGGAGTCGGGTGCTACCCAGCAGGATTGGGGTGGGTTACAAATCCATTTAGCCTCCCCAAAGTTCTTGCAGCTGTGTTAACACCCTGACATGTGTTAACACCCTGACCTGTACCCAGGTCTTGTTTACCTTGACATATGCTTCAATCCCGAGTCGAATAACTTCCCTCATGCTGGCAAGCATCATCTGCTCCACCTGCTGCAGCCACCTTTCCACCATGCCCTGCAAGAAGCAGACAGAGAGGCAGCAACAGTTAACCAAGCCTGGGGTTGGAGGGAGAATCCACTTTCTCATTGGACAGAGCTGGAGAGAGGCCACAGGTCTGATACTCCCTTAAGCTAAGATCTTGTAACTATCTGCTTTATCCTTTTTTTTTTTTTTTTATTTTATAGACGCATGTTTATTTATTTGTTTATTTGTTTGTTTGTTTTGTTTATACATGCACTGAGTACAGCCAGAAGCACGGGAGGGTGAGAGAATTCACCAGAGCCAGAGCGGGGAGCAGAGCAGGTAGAAGGACCGGAGTACACTGCTGAGGGGAGCAGCGGGCAGCAGGAGAGGTCTGCGTGGGACCCTCCTCTGGTGGCCGGGGAGCAGCCGGGGATCGAACTGGCGCCGCAGAGGCCGCGGGCAGGTTCGCAACCCAGCGCTCAACCGCTGCGCCACCGGGGAGGCCCTGCTTTATCCTTATTTACAGTATTCTAGGAAGTGTATGTCTGTCTTGTAAGGAAACAATAGGTTGTTTTTTTTAACATGCATTTCTTTCATATCCCTTTCTGAAACAGTTAATTCCTCAGGCGACAAATGACATATTTTAGTTAATAAAATAGTGTTCACTGCAGCATTAGTTACAATAGCCAAGAGATGGAGACAACCCAAGTGCCCACGGAAGGACACTTAGGGTGTAATAGTCCCACAGTGGAATATCATTCACTACTCATAAAAGGAAATGTGTTCTTGGCACCGACCACACTGTGGATGGATCTTAAGGGTATTATGCTAAGTGAACTAAGTCAAAGACAAATTCTGTATGATCACACTTACATGTGGAACCTAAAAACAAAACCAAAACCAAATAAAAAATAACCAAACTCACAGATACAAAGAACAGATTGTTGGTTGTCAGTGCCAGGGGCTATGGGGCAAAATGAATAAAGAGAGGTCAAAAGGTACAAAATAAGCTATAAAATAAATAAATCATGGGATGCAATGCACAGCACAGTGATTATAGTTAATACTGTCTTACATATGTAAACATTGCTTTAAAAATACATTTTAAAAGTTCTCATCAAAAGAAAAAATATATAACTATATTTAGTGACAGATGATAACTAGGCTTATTGTGATCATCCCACAATATATACAAATATCACATCATTATGTTGTACACCTGATACTAATATATGTCCATTAGACCTCATAAAAATTAGTAAAAAAAAAAAAAAAATCTCATTTCTAATGAACTGGGCTGATTCTTCCATTATTCTGGTAGTTTCCTAACTTTGTTGTGCTTTAGAATCATTTGGAGAGCCTTAAAAACATACAGACATCCGGGCCTCCCCTGGTGGCGCAGGCAGTTGAGTGCAGCGCTGTGAAGCTGTCCGCAGCCTCTACAGCACGGGTTTGATCCCGGCCGGCCAGCGAGGGTCCCACATGGCATGGCAGACCTCTCCTGTCACGCCCGCTGCTCCCCTCAGCAGTGTATTTTATCGGTCTGCCTGTTCTGTTCCCCACTCTGTCTCTGGTGAATCCTCTCACTCTCCCATGCATCTGGCCTGTACCCCGGTTCTTGTTTAAAATAAATAAATAATCTTTTAAAAAAAAATACAGACATCTAATCCCCACTCCCAGACATTCTGATTGCATTGGTATGGAATGCAAGTGAGAGGTTGGGTTTTTTTAAAGGTCAACAGGTAATCTGAATGTGTAACAAATTCTTCAGTTTTAGAATTTTGGGTAACTGTAGCTGTTGACTTCATGAGCCTGTGAGCTAGTTGGTGTCTGATGTGGTGACATGACTCCTAGTAGTTGCAACATGTATGTGTGAGGGTGGCAAACAGTCCACACAGTAAGGACATGCTTGTCTATTTCCACTCATGGGTGCTGTCATGTCCACAGGGGTGGAATTAATGTACATTTTACTCATTACATAAGGACATGTGTAAATATCTGAGTTTAATGGCATTGATTCCATGATGTTTTATTGACCTTTATAAATGTCTACCCCAGCAAGCCACATTTCTGGCGGAATCATTTTAATTAAGGCTTTGCTCATGGAGATCTGAACAGCACCAGTAGTTTGGATCTGATTCCTACCATTGTCTCCACATCGTTTGGTCTAAATCCTTCCACATATATAGGATGACGTGGATTTCAATATAATCTTCATTTTAGAAATGGGAAAACTGAGAAACACAAAGAAATTCATTCATTGATTAAGTTGTGGACCCAGTCAACCCAGAGTCCAAAAGCTTAATCAATGTGTTCTCTGCCTCTCTCTGTTTTTTGTTGTGTTATGAAGAGAAAAAACAAAAAAACCAAAAAAAAACAAATGGGTAAGCGTAATTACTCTGGCTTGAGCTGGGTAGATTTTCTGATTGAATGGAACGGTTTCCTTCTCTGAGCTAATCATGCCCATAATCTCCAAATTATCTGTGAACTCCAGCCTGGCGATTCCTTCAAAGCACTTCTTCAAGTGGGGTTGCACTCGGAGGGGGTCCTTTGTCTCTGACAAAATCTCCAGCAGCTCATCATTGGACAGGAAGAAGAACCTATTTCAGAGCAAAGAAATAGGACAACTGGAATCTCTTCTGAGGACTTGTTCTAATAAGGTGACACTCCCCAACAGGTAGGTGACAACCTGGTCAATACCAGCTCTGTTCCAGTGACTTCTCTAAGGCTCACACCCCCTCACTATTTTTCATCTGGAACATAGAGGGAGGGTATGGTAGTTTCAGAGAAAGAAAAAGGATGACAGCTGGTATATATGAATTTAATATGGCTGGACAGTGAGGTTGAAAGAAATCTGGATAGAGCACTGGTTCTCAACCTTGACCACACTTTAGAACCATCTGCAGAGTTTACTAAAAAAAAAAAAAAAGTTGGGGCCTCCCTGGTGGCGCAGGCAGTTGAGCGCAGCACTATGAAGCTGTCCATAGCCTCTGCAGCGCCGGTTCAATCCCGGCTGGCTGGCGAGGGTCCCACATGGAGCGGCAGACTTCTCCTGTCTCACCCGCTGGTCCCCTCAGCAGTGTATTTTGTCAGTCTGCCTGTTCTGCTCCCTGCTGTCTCTGGTGAACTCTCTTACCCTCCCACGCATCTTGCCTGTACCCCAGTTCTTGTATAAATAAATAAATCTTTAAAAAAAAAAAGTTGAACATTGAATGAAGTTTCTATCACCCAGAAAATAAAATATAATTGATCTGGAGTTGTGTCTAGAGATTTGTATTTCTAAAATTTCCAGGTGATTCTAATGTGCAGTCAGTGTTGAGAACCACTAGGTAGAAGAAAGAGAGAGGACGGACTTCCTTATTTCCTTATCTCCAGGCATGACAGCAAATGTTACAAGTGTGAAAAAATACATGTTAATAATGAACCTATTCACATGCAGAGGCCTCTAGATAATTTCATTCTGTTGCTCAAGTGCTAAGGCAGCTTCAGCAAAATTTCAGAAAATGTTCAGGAGGACAAACCTCTCCTGTGACCACTAGATGAAAGTTCTGTGATGGCAGGACTATATGATCATGCCTTCACTGTTTTATAAAGTGGATTACAAAATGGCTCATAATATTTACACCTTCTCTCACTGAGAGGTAGAGTTTCTTTTCACACACATCCCTTGAAGCTGGGCCAGCTTTGCATCCCACTGTGACCAATGAAATGTGGCAAAGGTGAGCTTGTGCAAGTTCCAAGTGTAGGCATTGAGAGGCTTTGAAGCTTCCACTCTCTTGAGAACCCCGTGACCACCACCATGTAGATAAACCCAGGCTAGCTTCCTAGAGGATGAAAGACTTGTGGCTCAACTATCCCTGTTGCCCCAGCCAACAGGAAGCCAACCAGCAGAAAGGTACATGAGGTCATTGACCACCAGCTGACTGCGGTTACATGAGCAGACCTGCTAGGACCAGAACCACTACCCAGCTGAGCCCTGCCCAATTGCCAACTATAGAATTGTGATCCAGATAAAAAGCTACTGCTTAAGTTTCTAAATTTTGGAGTGACGTGTTATGCAGCAATGTAAATGAACACTCTGTAGTTGTAGTGTTGAGCAGGTAGGACTAGCTCAGTAATTATTTGCTGACTAATCAAAATCTAGTGAGGATGTCAATTTCTCCCTTCAGAAGTGAGGACCCTTCTTTATGGACTAGCCCTCTAAAACTGCTTTGACTTTTATGTGGAGAATACTGGTTCTTGTGGAAAAAGTAGCCAAATATTTATAAATATACCTACCAGAAGCCACAAAATTTGATGGCAATAAAAATTAGCTAACATTTCCTAAACATAATAATATAAATGTTGGTCTGCCCAACAAATATATGTAGTCAGAGCCACTATTATATTTCTATTTTATAGTGCAGAATGGAGGCTTGGATAGATTTCCTAAAGATCTCTTGCTAAGTGCAAGAGCTAGAACTTGAATCAAGGTCTATTTCACTACAAAGTATAGGTTCTTGATTTTGGCTACTATACCCCTCTAATAGGGTATTTGACCATGCTGATTGGCTCAAGTGTATATCTGGTTCCCCCTGGTATCCATTCAACATCACTCTAAATAATGATCATGCCATTGCCTTGAGAGCTGTCTCCTGGGGAATAGAGAGCCAGGAAAGAATATGGAATAGATTGGTGGATGGCAGCCCTCAGTATGAAAAATGCATTCTATTTACTTCTGGATCAAGAGGGCAACTCCAAACAAAAGAAAAATACTGAGTACCTGGGGAAAAATAGTCTCTTCTTCTCCAAGTAATCATTCAGCCCCTTCTGGATGTCTTCCAACAGAATGTTGGCTTCTTGAAGCTTCTCACTCATCCGTGGCTGGTCTGCTGCCATCAGTACTCTCGCATCTTTCACCTAGATTGCATGATGAGAATCATCATTCAATTCTCATACTCTAAGATGGTCATTGTGAAAGAGTACATCAACTAATGACCTTCCCTGTCCCCCAACCTGCTCAGCTAACTGCCTTCTAATCCTTCCCCTAGCCCCACAAGGGTGAATGTCTACATAACATGAGCCTGTTCCTCTGATCATGGTTGACTGGGCTAGAATTAGGTACCCAAAACCAACTAAGTCAATTATAATTTAACTTCTGGGATTTTGAAATTCAGACTACCACATTCTAAACTAGTCTGGTCTGGCCTTTTGAATGAGGTGATTTGCTGCTCTGTGAGGATCATCTTTCATCATGTGACCAAATTGGTTTCTCTGCCAACCAACCTGAAGAGAAAGATCAAAGCAGGTGTGGAAAGAGTACTCTGTGAGTTCCTGAGAGATTTCTGGGTTCTAGATCTATCTTTGTGAATTCTGGCTGCACTTTCTGCCCTTGGGTTCCATGAGACCTTTTTTTGGTCTTTAGGTTGAACTACCTTTAGTGGATTTCTGTTACTTGCAACCAAAGACTCTACACTAATATAGAGTTGGGAGGAAGCAGAATATCATGAAAACTGGTTCCACTGGCTGGGTAATATAAATCCCTACTCATCTCATTCCTATTAACCAGGGCAGACAAATTTCCTTGAGACAAATTCTTTTTTTTTTTTTTTTTTAATCTTAAATTTTATTTTTATATTCCCCCATACAATTGCAAACGCCCCATTCTGACCCCAATCCTTCCCCTCCCGCCCCCCACCCCCCAAAAAGTGTCTCTGGTTCATAGTTTTTTGTTGATTTTGATTTTCACTTTCTTATATTCATTTTCCTGGTCCCTTATTTAAGTTTTCTAGATTCCTGCTATGAGTGAGACCATCCGGTATTTTTCTTTTTCTTTTTGGCTTATTTCGCTGAGCATGATCCCTTCCAGCGCCATACATGTTGCTGCAAATTGCATGTGTTTATCTTTTTTGAATGCTGAGTAATATTCCATGGTATATATGTACCACATCTTCTTGATCCAGTCATCTACTTTTGGGCATTTGGGTTGTTTCCAAAGCTTAGCTATTGTAAACAGTGCTGCTATAAACATAGGGGTGCAGGTGCTCTTTGGAATTGATGTTTCTGTGTCCTTTGGGTAAATACCTAGGAGTGGAATTGCTGGATCATATGGAAGCTCTATGTTTAGTAGGTCCAGAAATCTCCACACAGCTCTCCATAGTGGTTGGACCAGTTTGCACTCCCACCAACAGTGCAGAAGAGTTCCTTTTTCTCCACATCCTCGCCAACATTTGTTGTTGCTAGTTTTTTTAATATGTGCCATTCTCACTGGTGTGAGATGGTATCTCATGGTAGTTTTGATTTGCATTTCCCTGATTGCAAGTGATGTTGAACATTTTTTCATATGTCTGTTGGCCATTTGCATTTCCTCTTCAGAGAAGTTTCTTTTTAGCTCTTCTGCCCATTTTTTGACTGGATTATTTTCTTTGTTGTTGCTGAGTCTCATCAGCTCTTTGCAGATTTTTGTGATCAGTCCTTTATCATTAGTGTTGGGTGCAAAAATGTTCTCCCAGTTGGTGGGGTTTCTCTTTGTTTTTGTTATTGTCTCTTTTGCTGTGCAGAAGCTCTTTAATTTGATGTAGTCCCAGCTGTTTATCTTTGCCTTCACTATCACTGCTTTGGGTGATGTGTCTGTAAAGATGTCTTTGATGTGCAAATCCCGTAGTGTTTCGCCTATATTTCCTTCTATGTATTTTATGGTTTCAGGTCTTATGTCTAGTTCTTTAATCCATTTTGAGTTGATTTTTGTGTATGGTGTGAGGTAGTGGTCAAGCTTCATTCTTTTGCATGTAGCGACCCAGTTTTCCCAGCACCATTTATTGAACAAACTTTCTTTGCTCCAATGCATAGTCTTTGCTCCTTTGTCAAAGATTAGTTGACCATAAATCTGTGGGTTTATTTCTGGATTTTCTATTCGATTCCATTGGTCTGTATGTCTGTTCTTGTTCCAATACCATGCAGTTTTGATGATTATGGCTTTGTAGTATAGTTTGAAGTCTGGGCGTTTGATGCCTCCATTTCCTTCTTTTTTTTTCAGTAGAGCTTTGGCTATTCGGGGTTTTTGGTGATTCCATATGAATTTCATCAATAATTGTTCTATTTCTTTGAAGAATGCCATTGAGATTTTGATTGGAATAGCATTGAATCTGTATATTGCTTTTGGTAGGATGGCCATTTTAATAATGTTTATTCTTCCAATCCATGAGCAGGGGATGTCTTTCCATTTCTTTGTGTCTTCTTCTATTTCTTTTAACAGTGTTTTATAGTTTTCTTTGTATAGGTCCTTTACCTCTTTTGTTAGATTTATTCCCAAATATTTGATTTTTTTTGTTCTTGAGACAAATTCTTCATAAATGTACCCCAATTTGAGCACACTTGACTTCAAAAAGGAAAAAGAAATGATCTCCTGGTTGCCTTATATACCCAGTGAGTCATACATCAAGATTTTTTTAAAAGTCACCCTCTTATGAGGTCTTCCTGGATGCTTCCAGGCAACTAAATCACTCTTCTGTGTTCAAAAACTGTTTGCACACACACACCTCTACTATAGCTCATATTTATCTGAATTGTCTCCTCATAGAAGTGAGTTCTATAATGACAGAAATCATATTTTAGTCGTCTTCAAGTATTTTCTGACTCCTTAACACAATGTCTGGGTTGTAATATTGATTGTAGGTATTGAAGAAGCATTTTTTAAATCCCTGAGTAACTGAATGTGGATAATTATTTGAATCCTTTTTGGAAAAATTCCAAATCTGTAGAAGTTTCATTGCATTGTCCTATAACCTCATTAAGCTAAATTATACAAACTGCTAATAATTGTCTCTAGGGAGATGGAATACCAAGAAGTCTCCACTTTTTATATTACATATTTCTTGTTTGAATTTTTAATAACAATAACTTTTGTATTTAGAAAAAAATGCACAAATATTGAACTTGAAAAAATCTAGTTTACTTAAAAGTTTCAAGGGTCATAGTTACAATGCACATGGGGTATCCCTGATGGTGAGATATGCTAGGGGGTGAAAACTTACAGCTTGGGACATGAGTGATTTCCAGTTACTATCGACAATGGCAAATTTCCTGCCCTCCTCTGGCATCTGGGCAATGATGTCCTCTGAACTGAAGATTGGTTCCAGGTACAGCCAGGTGGCTTGACATTTCAACCAGGCATCCAAAATGTCTTGTACACGAACTAGTTTTTCTTCCCACTTCTGCAAAATTTAGCATTTCAAATCTGAATTATTAACCTGCTACTACTCTGATTCTCAGACCCATGGCCTGTACAGTGGATAGATTAATCTCAGTTAGTCACTGTTTTAGGCAATGTAAATACAGTAATGAATAAAACAGAGAGTCCTTGTCCCTATGGAGTTCATATTCTAGTGGAATAATAATAATAACGACAACAACAATAATAGTTACAATGCGTACTCTCTAACAAATAATGGTTGAGTACTTTACATATGTGAAATTAACTAGAACCCAAAATCTATGAGGGAGATATTACAAATCTCACTTTGTAGGTGCAGAAACTAAAACAATAGTTTAAGTACCTTGTCCAAGGTCACATAACTAATAAGAGGCAGAGGCAGAATTTGAAAACCCAGGGAATCTGGATCCAGAGTCTGTGCCTTGCTCTATGTCACTTCTATAAACAATGAACAAGCAAGGCAAAATTCCCACTCTCATGTCATTTACATTCTAGATTACTAGGACCCATAAGATATTTTCCAAACCTGTTTTCATTTGATGCACTCAAAACATCTCATCTTCTCTTTTGGCAGACAGTTGCAAAGGCTTATTAACAGGTCATATGTTACTTGTATGGTTACTGCTTTCAGTCTTGTGGTTTGTATTTTTTACCAAGCAGGAGAAAGTGATTTTCTTTGTTAACTGAACTTGAAAATCCTTTCCCTCCCCCCAGAAACCCAGAGCTAATGGGATGTCAAAAACAGAACCTCATTTCCTCTTACCCGGCATTCTGCTTCTATTGGTTTGATGAATGGAGAGCCACACATGGTCTGGGTCTTTATCACATGATCGTCAAGGAGCAGCTGAATGTCATCAACCGCACACAAGATGCTTGTATCCTGCAAATAAAGATGACCCACTCTATCAGAGTCATGAAATCCCCACTTTTCATGCTGATCGCCAAAGACCTTACAACTCAGATCTCCATCCCAGCAGAACAGGAATCTGTGTTTGTAAGGGACAGACTTTCTATTTTCTTCCTTGAAAATGTTCTTAAAGATATTTATTTTCCAATTCCTTTGCAGAAATCAAAAATGGTCTAATCCCAGAAATGCAATTAGCATCTACTGATGGCAAAAGACTTCTGCTGTTTCCCTATGTTCCTGCTTCTCTGTCCACTTGCCTCCCTGGCTCTCTCTCTGGTAGCATTAACTGCTAATTTGACTCATTAGGCCTAGATCCATGGTTCCCAAACTGGGTTGAGGAGCTCCAGGTCACTGCACAAACACATAGTAATAGATTATAGTTATTTTAAAATAGAATACAAATGTAACTCTTTCAACTAGTATGTATTATTTTTTTCAAACAATTGTTAAATTGATAGAACATCACATTAAGTTGTTTGAATCTAATTACTTCATAAGAAACTTTTTGGTATACAAAAGCTACCATAACCAAGAAATTTTGGGAAATTCTTCCTATACATTAACTGGATCTAATTTTACTAATAGTTTAGGTTTAGGTTACTGTCCCTTAAAGGTAGTGTCTGTGGATGGAAAACTTCCCTCTGGGCCATGGTAGCAAGAAAACTAAGAGTGTGCCCCCTGTGTAGGTCTAGTCTTTCCTGCTCTGTTTTCATTTCCTTTAAGTCTACCTGTGACTTGGATATATTCCCTCATTTAACTCTAATTCTGTACTGGGGGTATGTCTAGCTATTAATCAAGTGATCCCTTGATTCCTATTTTGCTGTGGAATGTTGTCTACAGCTACACTGGTTGAAAACTCTACAATCCAACCAGGCATAACTGAGCTACTCCCAGGTCTCCCAGCTTAAAAACTCAGCCCAACATCTCTGGTAGTATCTAATCCAATCAGACCAGGTAGCACCCAGCTTTTGAGACCCATGGTGGCCTGAACTTGCTAGGAGAGGACCCCAGTTCTCCCCCTCCCTTTGGCTGATCCAATGAGAAACAAAGGCATAGTGACTGAGGGAAAGAAATCACAAAAGGATCACATGCAGCCTGGGAGAGGGTGGAGGTGTGGAGAATTTCAGGGTTTAGTTCTCAGCCCAAACTGCTCATTAGAAAAACCATGTTGCTTAAAATATGGATGTCTCCAAGCATTCTGCAGGTGGAGGATCCAGGAAGAATGAATTGAGATATTTTTGAAAGCTTCCCAGTTGATTCTACTGTACAATCAGGGTTAAGAAGCACTGCTCTAACAGCTGATGGTCTGTATGAATTTGAATGAATTCATATGAATTTTTAGACTATTGTCTCTTTTGAAAGAAACAACAAGCACAAAATGGAGTCCCTTGAGCTAAACCCTATCTTACCAAACCAAGACTTAATACCTTAGTAAACAGTTTCAGCTCTCCCAGCAATGGACTCTCAAACCAGTCATCTGGAATCACCTGGTCAGCATCAGTGAGGTCACCTGCCTACTGTTACAGGGCAGGGAGAGGGGCAGCCCAAACCCTGCAAACCTGCCTGCTCTAAATGGGTTCTGCCATCTGCTGCATCAACACAAAACATAGGAGACTTTAATGGGAAGGAACTTTAATACAATTAGGAAACAATACAGGAAAGGCAAAGAATCTAGTTTCTAAATCAAGCACCCAAAGTTACCCGTCCCCTCGTGGGTAAAACTTCATACAAATGGGATTGGCCCAGAGCAAGGCCCCAAAGCCTGCCACAAGTCTAAAGCATCTTCCAGTGGGGACCCATAGAAAAGGATCAGAAACAAGCAGACAAGTCTGGAGGGAAAAGAGTAAAATCAACATCAAGACAAAAACCGCCATTGTCACCTCCCCACGGGTCTTTCACCCACATCTGTGTCACCCAGTCCACGACCAAAAGGCAAGTGTAGTTTTTTCACATGTCTCTCCACTCCATGTGCTTCCTCCAGGTCTCCTTTTGGATCTCCATGCTGCTTCCTTCCTTCTCAGTCTCCTCTGCAGCTTCTTCTCTCTCTCCTCAGCTCCACCCTCCTTTTGGGTGGGGCAGGAAACCTGAAATCTTCCCCTTTCCTGGGGACCACCCTGTTACACTACCATCTCCTAAAGGAAGGTGACTTTGTCACAACCAATCCACTTATTATTAATACATCTTTCTTCTCTTGCTCCCTTTTGCCTATAAAATTCTTTCATTTTGTACAGCTCTTCAGAGCTCCTTTTGTGAATGCGATGCTGTCTGATTCATGAATTACTGAGTAGTCAATGAGATCTTGAAAATTACCCAGTTGATTTTTTTTTTAACAGCTCCATAATTTTCTAGCTCACCTAAGCAGCAGCCCCTCCTACCCATAGCCCATCTCAAGAGCAAGCCCATCAGGTTTATGCATACTCTACAAGTGGACACACTCTACAATCACCAGTGAAAAAAGAAAGAAGTCTACCCCCTTGCTATTCATATAAGATCCACAGATGACAGCTTCCATATCATCTGGGAGCTTGTTAAAACTGCAAAACCTCAGGCCCCAGCTCAGACCTGTGAATCAGAAGCTATACTTTCTCAAGTTCCCTATGTGTTTCCTGCAATTATGAACATTTGAGAAGAGCTAAGCTTTGTCTACCCCAGGTTTGCTTCTGAGGGACCTGGGGAGCCCTCCTTGGAAGATGCTAATTCAGGAGGCTTGCTTAGCTCCTTTGCACTGAGGAAGCTTGCTGTTCTGAATCAAAAGGCCTTTCTCATTCAATAATGCATCCCTCCTGTGGTGATTAGCAGGGAGGATGACTGGTACAGAAAGGCCAAGGAGGAAACTATTAAATGCACAGGATAGTGATTATAGGCATCGAGATTGCATTTAAAGAGCTCAAAGTTGCAAAGAGAGTAGGTCTTAATTGCTCCCACCATGAAAAAGAAATGATAATTCTGCGATGTGGCAGATTTGTTCACTAACACTAGGGTGGTGATCATATTGAAATACAGAAATGTATCAGATGAACACACAGTACACCTCACACACACTTCACACAGCATTCTATGTCAATGTCATAATCAAAATAAATTTAGAAAAATGTCAGGGATCCTTCCTCCATGAGTTCAGTTGCAAACTGAATGGCTCTCCTCTAATCTGCTATGTAATAATAAACGGGCGGCTCTCAGGAGGCTGGACGCCAGGACGGTGACTCACAGTGTCCCTGTACTTCACGAAGTTGAACGACATGTTAACCCAGTCTAACTTCATTTTCTCCAAGTTTTTCTCCAGAGAATATTCCTTACTGGCGGATGTGCTAATGGGCTCCAGTCTAAAGAAAGAACACAGCAATATTATCAGGAGGAAGGAGAAAAAACACACCAAAGGAGGTATTTCAGCTTAGACTTAGGAGAAATTTAAAAAGACTTAATTTTACCAAAAGGTTTACTATCATACTGTAAGATATATCAGCTTTTATGATTTCCATTGTTATACCTGGCACATGTGAATTTATGGACTGAATTGTGTCCCAAAAAAAGTCATGTGGTGAAATCCTAACCCTCAGTCCCTCAAAATGTGAGGGCCCCAACTCAGGGGAGGGAGGCTCTGAAAGAGGTAGCAAAGAGAAAAAGAGGTCATTAGGATGGGTCCAAGTCCAATATGACTGTGGCCCCTATAAAAAGAGGGGATTAGAACACAGACACACACAGAGGGACAACCCTGTGAAGACAAAGGGAAGGCCCTGATCTGCAAGTCAAGAAGAGAGATCTCAGAAGACCCCAACCACGCCAACAAGTTGATCTTGGATTTCAAACCTGTAGAATTGTGATAAAATGAATTACTGTTGTTTAAACCATCTAATCTTTGGTATTTGTTACAGCAGATCTAGCAAATAAATCCAGGGTGGGTAACTGCTGGGGATAGTCTTGTGCATTGTGAGGTGTTTAGCTAAGTCCCTGCCCTCTAGATGCCAGTAGCAGTCACCTCCTCTCTGCCAGCTGTGGCATTAAAAAATGCTTCCATATGTTGCCAAATGTCCCTTGGGGGTGGAAAATCATCCCCAGCTGAAAACCACTGTTTTAAGACATTTAAAACAAGACCTTTTTGTGTTTTCATTTGTCCATATTCTGATAGCTTATTCAGATCTTAGAATTTCTGTTAATTTAGGTAGTGACTTTTGCTCCACTTCCTATATTTGCCCTTTTAAAAACTACCTATTTTCTTTTTTTTAATTAATATAGTTTATTTTATATAATTCTTACATCATTTTTCATTTTTGCACAATGTATGCATATTCATTTTGATTATATTCCCCATACGGTTCTGCCCCCCTTATTTTGACCCTAATCCCTCCTCTCCTCTCCACTCCCCCCACCCCCATAGTGTGTCTCTGGTTTATAGTGGGCCTTCACATCTACATTCTCTCTATTCCATAGAAAGGGGGAAGCAAAGAGAGGAGGAAGATAAAGTCCCTCCTTATTCTTAGTGGAGATTTGGGTCTTAAACCCAGAGGTGGTCAAAGAATTAGGAAGCCGAGTCCTTGGAAGGAGGAGGGGTTATTCTCTCTGCTTAGCCCTCGCCTTTCATGGTATTCTAGTCTATAGGAGACACCATCTGGTCTGTACTTAAAGGTCAGGAAACAAGCCCGGAGGGAGCAAGTGACATGTCCAACGGCACACACGCAGCTGGGCAGTACTAGAACCAGGTCTAGACCAGTTCTGTCACTCCTAATCTGGTGTTTCTTCCACCCCATGATGTGTCTTCTCCCCTCTCTTTGTCAAAGGAGCAATAGAACTGTTTGCATGTGGTCAGCCAAATAGGGCTAACTACACAGAGCCGAGAATGTTCATTAGCCTCTGCCAGGGAGGCAAGTGACGCACAAGGATTGCCAAGCAAGATCTCGGTAGCAGGGTCATCATCCTAAGTGTGGCCTTCCTGGGTGATGACCAAAGCTAGTGTGCATATAGGGAATAATTAATGAAGGCAGGTGACAACCCAGGTGAGTATGACATAGGAGTCTTAGAAGTCTAGCCTTCAGGCCCCCATTCACCCACATCTGGGGTTGTTGATATAATTAAATAAAATGTTCACAGATGTGTCCTATGACTTATGATTATGCAAATAACTGCACAGGGGAGACATCAATCCATTCGAGGGTTCATAAAGTATATTAAGAGTCAACCTCACCCCAGCATGGTACAGAAGCTCATTTGCTATGGGTCATGATAAAGCTGCACTCACTATGTGCTGATGGGACACAGGGAATATCACACCTCACCTATAGGTGGTGGTGGGGTACCTAGATATTAAATCAATCAGGTTTCCATGCCTTATCTCATAATCCCCAGAGTAATTCTAATTGCCCAGCTACTATTTATCACTCTTCCCATTTTACAGATAAGGAGACTGGGGCACACAGATATAAAGAACTCAGATGTGGCATCACCACGCTGGCATAGAGAGTGGCAAGTTGCTGGGTTTGCTCAGTCTCCTTAGATGGGCATATTTTTAGGCAATAAAGGGGGATGGTTAAGGCTCTGGAGTCAGCAGGCCTGTGCTCAGGTCTTGTTTCTTTCAGTCACAAACTGTGACTTCAGGTTAGTCACTTCATCAATCCATTTATTTTGTCTTCTGTGATATGCAAACAGTAACATTAGCTAAAACATTAGGTTGTTGTGATGGATAAATTGATTGGTTAAGGTATATAAAATGCTTGGTGTGACTTAAGTGTCCAACACTTGATGCTCTTGGAAACATCCCCAGAATTTCTGATTCGGCATATTGGGGTGGAGGCTGAGAATGTGCATTTCGAACAAGTCCCCATGTGATGCTGATACAGCTGCTCTGAAAAACACTCGTCAACTTAGGCCTGAACCCAGTTGCTAAGAAGTTGTCTGGCCAGGCAATATGACATCTCCCATCAATTGCCCTGTGAAAATGTGGGAGGAACAGAGTCCTGAGGACCTTTGGTTTTAAAAATAGCAATTGAGATAGATAGTACAAATTCTCTCATGCAAAATTTCAGGGGCATTTGGAGAAGTGGAGAAAGCAAGGGAAAAGAGATCTCTCATTTGCCCACACCTCGCAGAATCTAAGAGCTCAGAGAGCTGCTCTTATTTCTTCTTGTTTGTTGTTCAAAGAAGAGGAAACTGAAGCCCAGAAAGGTTAAGTGGTTTTGCCCAAAGTCACTGAGAGTGAGGCTGGGGGATCCGGTTTGTGGGGAACTTAATGTAGTATGTGCACACGTTGACTTGCAATATAACTGTAAGTACCTGAAACTTACATATTGTAACGATACGTACCTGAAACTTACATATTGCTATAATGCAATGTTACTTCAAAAAATATTTTTAAATAAAAATTCCAGGACAAAACAGGGGAAAAGTAGTATTTTCACTTAAAAAACAAAAGGAACTTTAAAGAATTCCCTTTGAAATAAAATATCTGAGTCAGTTTTCTAGCCATAATGCCCTCAGCTCTGCAGATGGAAATGAGGGATTTCCCAGGAACTAGTCAGTCAGAGTAGAGTTACTAAGGGGCTCAATGGACTGAGGTGGAGGATTATTGGGCTTGGTAATAGGCTTGGTATAACAAACATTTGTAGAGTTGGGAACATACATACCTAAAACATAAAAAGTGTTGTAAATCAATGTTACCTCAATAAATATAATTTAAAAAAAACAACAAAATACTTTGTTACCCTAAATCAGAGGGGAAAAAAAAAACATCAGCCTGATACAAGACCAGCCCTATCATGTAGGAACTTACAGATACTTTGACCAAAAATGAACTACTGCTCAGGCACAAAAGATGAACTCTTGCCAGTTGCGACAACATAGATAGAATTAAAGGGGATGATGCTAAGTGAAATCTCACAAGGAGAAAGACAAATGCCAGATGATTTTAATCATACGTGGAATATAGAGGAAACAAACACACACAAAAAAAAACCAACAAAAAAAACCACCTAACATCTCTACCAAAGAAAGAAGGAACTTCCTGCAAGAAGGAAGGAGCCTTACTTGTCAATGAATTTGCCAAATCCATATTCCAGCATATTTGAAAGACAAGTCGTTTCAGTGGGTTTTATTTCATAGCCGACAATCTCACTGATCTGCGAAGGTAGGAAAACAAGTGGTAAAAGGTAGGTTCTCTACAGTGCGCTGCCCCACCTGAAAATGCGCAACTGTGAGTTCATTTTCAAACTGTGTCTAAATGTAATTAATTGAAACAGGTGCATTCAGCTAATGGCTAGCAAATTGGAGGGTGCCCCACCTAAGGGTTCTGGATGCAGCCCAAGACCCGCACTGCATTCTGTCTGGTTTATGGGGGTTGCTCTTCCACTACCACTTGGAAGGGGGCTGGGATCTGGGCTGGTTTGTTTTGGGGCTCCTAGTCCTAGAGTAAAGCACAGTCCATGACAGAACTTGCAGTGTTCATTGAATAATCATGAGTACATGGGACAGGCAGATCCCCACATATTCTGTAATCTGAGGAGTCTAAGAAGTAGGAAGGTGCCCTATCCCTTCCTTTCCACCCCAATATGCTAACTCGTTGGAAATAGTAGCACTTGCCCAATCCTTCAGTGCAAATATTACCTCACGCTTCTCTTTTAGTGAAAATATGCCTGAGAAAGGTCTTAAATGGAGTCTTTGTGGCTTTTGAACAGTTTTCTTGGGGAGTGAGAGTTCTATGAGGGTTGTGTGTGCTCAAGAGAAGAATGGGGTCTGCAGGGGTATGAATTTGTGAAAAACCTTGCCTACTGCCCAATTTTCTCTCTGTTCAGCTCCATAGAGATTAAAGTGTGTCGGAGCAGAAAGGGGCATGAGGCTTGTTTCAAGTTCTTATTAAGCCCTGTGTGTCCTTATTTAGCCTGGGGCATGTTGTAACGAAAGCATGAGTGAACGAACTAATTGAAGTGGCTTCTGAACTGGGTTCTAAGGATGACAGGAGGGCCAGTAAGGTACTAGAAATAATAAAATAACCTTTACTGAGGGCTTACCATGTAGTAGGCACTGTTTTAACAGTTTTATGCATTTCTTTCATTCTCCCAACATGATTGGGAAGGTACCAATGTATTATTGTTCTTATTATACATATAAAGAAACTGAGACAGAGAAATTAAGTTACTTGTCCAAGTTTCCAGTTAATAAGTGGCAGAGTTGGGATTTCGATCCAATTCTGACTTAGAATTTCTTATCCATTATACTTTAGTATCTTTCACATGTCTTCTATGTATACTTGTGCAGACTATTATACTACATAACTTGAGAAAGTACAATTCATATTATAGTGCACAAAAACAGCATTCCCTAGAGTTGTGCAGTACACAGTCTACACAACTGTTCCTGATCGCCCTGGGCTCTCATTCATCTCTAATATCTTAGAGAATTTGCTTAGCATAACACACTATTCCTGGGATTAAATGATATAACTTTGTAAAGAACTTGACATAGTACATAGCCCATAGGAAAGACTCAGATTTGTGTTTTTAATTTTTAAATTACTTTGTTAATTATAGAAATTTAAAAGGCATCTGGCTTTCTAATACTAAGAGCTAGAGTTACACTGTTTAATATGTAACCAGTAATCCCTTGCAGCTATTGAAAACTCTAAAGATGACTAGTCCCAATTGTGATGAATTGTAAATGTAGATTATAGCACACTGTATTTCAATGACTCAGTATAGAAAATGTAAGGTGAAATACCACATTAATACCATTATATTGATTAGCTACTGAAAGGATAATAGTTTGGATATGTTTGGATAAATAAAATAAATTCATAAGAGTTATTTCACCTGTCTGTATTTTTGAAAACATGGCTACAGAAAGTTTTAATATTGCACATATGGCTCATGTCGTTTCTACTGGGCAGCACTAACCCAGAGAGCCAGCTTCCTACATCTCAGTGAGGATTCTTCTTAAGGTCAAATCTTACTCTGTTTCATCTTGTTTTAAACCACAGTAGCAGCCCTTTTGCTGATAACAGTAAAGTCTGTGCCCCAACACAGGAACCAGCCTTTTCTGCTTCAGTTCTAGGAAATGATCAGAAACCACAGCACAGCCACCCCATGACCCAGAAGATCTTTTTGTAGCCTTGAGAGTTACCACTTTCAGAGCTCTCTGCCAGAACAGAATCTGTGCAAATGGATCTCCTGAGTTAGGCATTAGGACAGAGTGCCAGGCCCAGGGCTGACACAGGGGCAGTTTGTGGTGTGACCTATAGAGGCAGGAATCGGCTCTGGTGGCTGTTGTCCTTCTGAGCTTGCCTTTAACTGTTCAGTCCATTGGGCTTCCACTTCAGGGACTCATTACTCAGGAGATTCTTCCCAGGCTGCACTTCACTCTTACCAATGGTTTACTGCCCTCTGCTGTCCACTCCCTCTCTCGGACCTGGCATTTCTTGATTCCTTTTCACCAGCTAGGCTGAGTCAAACCACCTAGATTGGTTTGACTTAAAGATTGGAGATCTTAAATGTCCCTACTTCAAAGGGTATTGGGAGAATGAAAGGAGAGAATCCATATAAAGTGCCTGGCACAGCACAACAATTGAATACCTGGTATTCAATACCATTCAGCTATTATTGTTATTATTTTAATTCTAAGGAACTTAAAAAAAAACCCACCTGTCCTCCTTAGTGGTCTGTAGGTGAAAATTATGAGTGTTTTAGAATGGCCGTGATTTTTCTTAAGAATAGTGCCATGATGGGCAAAGCAGTGGGTGGAGGGGAGATTTTGGAGTGTTGTTAAAATGCCTTTGATGAGGACACTTTCAACAATGGCATGTCATGGACAGCTCTAGCAATACCAGAGGCTACTGCCTAACTTCTCTTACTCTCCTAACAGGTGAGAGTCCACAGGGAGAGGCTCCCTGAGCACAAGAGTGGGTAGATGCTTAGGGTGGCTCGAGACCAGAAGTCTACTCAGATGACCTCTTCCTGCCTTTCTTTAAACCTTTTGCTTAGGTCTTGAGTTTCAAGACTTTGAGAAATGTAAAGCAGTTCCTCTTGAGACAGTCTAGGTAAAAGAAATTGCGTGTTGGTAAAATAGGAATTGCCCATTTAAACAAGGGAACTGGATCACCAACTGAGTGGCCCAGTGCCCGGTTTAAACAGGGAAACTGAATCGGGCTAAGCTACCCCAAAAGTCCTGTTTGAACAAGTGGACTCACTGACTGACATCCTGTCCAAACAACTTGAGCAACCAAAGGCACTGTGCTAGACAAAAGCATGACATCCTGACTAGTAATTGCCCTACAGTTTCCTGAAGAGGGAAGGCCAAGTGCTTCCATGCACAGCTGGAATGTAACCAGCTTGTGCATGCCTGGGCATAGCCCAACACACAACAGCTAGAATGCTGCCCTCCTCTGCGCCACCAAGTGGACCTGCGGCTTAAAAATTCTCCTTCTGGCTTTCCTCAGGGCCAGCTTAAAATTTGCCTTTTCCAGCACTGGTTCCCTTGGGCATGAGCCTCTAACAAAAATTTGCTTGGTTCAGCTGGAACTCTGCTGAGTTACTTCTCCTGGAGTCCTACAGACCCATACATTCTTGAGAATCTGTAACTCTAAGGAAAAATCCTGAATCACTCATATATCAAGGTCTCTATCTTTTCAGGGAGATGGAAATGCTCCTGTCCACTATGCTTGGGCTCTATTCTCTGGAGATGGGATAGCCCTCAGACGGTCCTTGCAGAGACGGTGCCCTCAGTCCTGTGTGTGGCTCTGCAAATGGGAATTCCAGGACATTTCAAGGCCATTGCTAGCTCTTGAGTGAGTTTTGGAAACACCATGAGTTTTTCTTTTTTCTGCTTGGTGTTCACACCACCTTATCACCCTCACACTTGGATGCTTATAAAAATCCCAACTATTTTTAGGGAGAATATTTATTATTCTCATCTATCAACTCAAAGGATTGGGAAAAAAAACAGTGCAAATTGTTTCTGAACATAGCCTGTTGGAGGATGAGATTCCACACCATAGCAAGCCCAGCAGAAACCATTTGTCATTGTTAAGAGTCCTCAGGGACACATGTGACTTTCTCTTCTGTGTCTCCTAGTCAAGGAATAAATCAAGACCTCTCTCCCTGTAATGAGTTCCCTTACCACCCACGAGGACCCTGAGCAGTCACTTGCTTAGGCAAGCACATAAAAACCTTGTGACCACTGGCTCAGCCACCAGCCATGGAGTCCCTAAAGAGAAAGGGCAGCCTGTTCCTGTGGAGATGCAGGCATCTCACCCAGGACCCACCTGTTCCCTTCCTTCTGAGGGTTATCACCCTGAGTGCTGTTCTCAAGTATATTCTCCTATCAGAAAGAAGTTCAACCCTTGGGGCCTCCCCTGGTGGCACAGGCGGTTGAGGGCAGCGCTATGAAGCTGTCTGCAGCCTCTGCAGTGCGGGTTCGATCCTGGCCAGCCGGGGAGAATCCCACATGGCGTGGTAGACCTCTCCTGTCTCACCTGCTGCTCCCCTCAGCAGTGTATTTCAGTCCTTCTGCCCGTTCTGTTCCCCACTCTGTCTCTGGTTAACATTCTCACCTCCCCCCCAACACATCTGGCCTGTACCCCGGTTCTTGTATGCATGAATAAATAAATCTTTTAAAAAGATGTAATGTTTCCTGCCTCCCGGGGGCTACAAGGCCCAGGTGTGGACTGGCTAGGGGGCGGGCAGTGATAGGCACCTGTTGCCAGTGCCGGTCTTTCATTCCTGGGTTGCAGGAAATAGTGAGGACAGGGATGTGTTGCTTGAACTTTTCAATCTTCATTTTCACATTCTCTGCTAAGCGCCTGGGGGCAGGTACATCAACAAAAGACTTGGTCAACTTATATATCGTCCTCCACATATTGCTAACTTCTTCCACAATCTCCTCAGCATTCAGTGAGAAGAGGGGTCCTGAAATAGAAAACATGGGGTGTGAGGGAAGGGTCAGGCCACCTAGCATCTGCCACACCACAGGTGCTAGTTATACATGTCTTTGATTCCCTTAATTTAGAAGTATGCCTAAGGTATAGCTAGTGGGACAAGCACAGGACTTGAAGGTGGATCTAGATTTAAAAGCCAATAAACCTTGGGCATGTTACTGAATTTTCTAAGCCTTGACCTCCTGTATCACCCTGACACAGGAGTAATAATGGATATGTCAACACAGATAAGTGAATACAAACAGGGGTATGAAAATAATAAATAAGCTAAAATATTCTGTGTAGACATGATCAAGTGCCTGAAAATATTAAGAGCATCAACAAAAATATTATTCAAACTGAAAATTATTCCAGAAAGTTTAGTAGCCCTCCAAACCTACAAACTTCAAACTGATATACTCAACTGTTAATTTATATTTCTATTTCAATGTCTGCACACGCCTCAAGCTCTATATATTCAAGTGTCCCAGCAAATTCGCCATTTCCCTTGTTTCGTGATAGTCATAGCCTCCAAATTGCCTGTACTAAAAATCTAGATATCATCATTGGCTTGTCCCTCTCCTTTCCTGCCTCTTGCCCCATATCAGATCAATCATTAAGCCTTTTTGAATCTACCACCTCAGTATACTCCACTAGCCTCCAGAATAGAGCATAAAATGGGGTAATTTACAGCTATCCATGATGCTCTGGTCTTTCTCCAAGCAGCAGAAGGGTGGAACTGACATCTTAATCTCTCACCACCTATCTCTCTGAGTCACTACCCACAGCACTCCATGGCTCTGGGTGTTTGTCTATTCTATTTTACCCTGACAATCAGGCTGGCTTTTTGATGCCCACCTTCCATCATTATCATATCAGAATCTGATGGAAGTATCAGGATCTGATGAAAAGTTCACCAGAATCTGAAATTCAGACCTTACTTCAGAACTGGTTAGGGTGGCTCTGCCCCCCACCCCATCCTGTCCCAGCAGAATGAGACCAGGGCACACCATTCATCCATTCCTCTGACTTGTTGCTAAATTCGTAGGCCGTCACCCATAGCTGCTCATAAGGCATTTTGTTGGTCATGATGGTTTGCAGAAGAGGGAAGGTACTCTTCTCCTTTTCCAACAGTTCCTCCTCCTTATTGATCAACTGCAGGGCAAAAGGGATGTTGTTAATTGGGTGGATAGTTCTCCTGAACTCTAGAAGCCACCATGGCATATTACTCAGTGCCTAGAAAACCAAGTTGAGAAAGATGCTTGTTCCTCTAGAGAGGAAGATAAGGCATGGACTCAAGTAAGGAGGTCCTTCCAGTAGTTCCCAGAGTCATAGCAGCTGAGATCTAGCTGGGTGAACCTCTCAATAATTTGCTACTTCCTTCATTATCTTTGCTTTAGCTATTTATATGATGCTGACTAACCTCAAAAGTAAGAACTTTAGAGGTTAAAGAACTTACCAGCTGACCTTCATGGCAAGTTTTTTTTAGTTCTTCAAGCCTTAATTCTCTTAGTTCATTTTAAATAGGCATATATGCGGATAATAATAGTACCTGCCCCCCAAATTTGTTATAGGCTCAAATGACATATCTATCACATATGAAGCCCTTCACACTGTTGATAACCTAATAAATGTAATATATATAAACACTTACTCTATAATTTCTTCCTTGTCTACTCAATGACTAACAGAAATGCTGGTGTGATGTAGGAGTATAGAAAAAAGCAGTTGAAAGTGCCAGTGAAAGAACAGGTCCATCAATCAATAAAAAAACTGTTAGAAAAATCAACCCCCAGGAACAGAATCAACAAAGAGAAGTAAAGAGTTATAAATCCCCATGCCAAGACCCCAAACCTCAAATTCCACCATCGCCTGATCGAGGTTCTTTGAAAGCTCATTAAGCTTTTCAACATTGTTCTTCATTTCTTCTGTAGTCATCACTTCACGCTTCCTAAAACCTTCCAGTTCCTTGCTGAAGCCCTCAAGTTTCGACTCAAATTCTGAGCACCTGAAAGTAAAGACAGTCCAATCACATTTGGACTTTCCATATTGAGCATTTTGAAATATCAGCATTGTTCATCCATATTCAAGCTTGGGGAGAATTGATCTTCTGATACTGCAAATATAAGATTGATCATGCTCTTGCTCTCTCTATCTTGTGTATGTACATACATATATACTCCATATAGAATGCAAACTCTATCACTGCACCTTTCATGTCCAGAATTCCTTTTTTTGTATTTCTAGCACTTAGGAGAGTGTCTGGCACCTAGTAAACAAACAATATTTACTGAATGAATAAGAGGTGCTATAGTGACATCCTCGCCCACGTAATACACCCATTGCTATGCTCTCTCTCCCAGGTCATTTCCTTCATAGAGCATCTGCTGTATTTATTCATTTCATCTTCCATTTCCCCTATCTCTTTTGTTCTCTGTGTCCTCAAAGAAGAGGAATGGCAAGAACAGCACAAGAGGGAAGAGGGGAAGGTGGGCACTGCCACTCCCCCCTCTCCTCAACAATGCCTAAAGCATTCAGCTATACAGAACAGAATTGCTATGAGAGACAGCCTGCCTCTTCTTAGATATTTGTTTGTTTTGATTTTGTAATAAGCTGTGACTTTAGACTCTGGTAGGCTTTAGAGAATATTGTTGCTGTAGAAGACTTGATTCATTCATTCATTCATCAAAACAGTGAGCACCTTCTGTATGCAAGGCACTGTGCTCGCTCTGAACCCCGAACACAGTCTGGGCTGCTCTCCCTAAGACATCTTGTCTTCTTCCCCCAGTGTGGCAAGGCTTGTCCATTGCACTCTCAAGGCGCAGAGTAGCTTACATCCTACACATTCCTACATGTCCCTCAGGCATATTCCTGGTTGCTTCCAGGGCCTGGAACCTGCCACTGAGTGGAACAAAGTGGGGGAAAAGCTGATTTTCCTACTATCCACACAATTAAGTGCTCCTGGGCCTTTTCACATCATTAAAATTTGTTTTTGAGGAGGCTCCAAATATAGCGCAGAAATCTCTGATAAAAGCAGTTTTGAGTTCATTCACAGCAGACAATAGTCTAATTCAGTGATTATTTTAAAAAATTACTATCATTGTTTTAAACTTCTTACAACTACTTAGCACGCTATAGCTTACAAAGTACTTTATATCCATAATATATACATGTCTACATATATATAGAGAGATGTGTATAGAGAAGGTTGCACTATGGGGAAATGCATACACACACTTTCTTGTTCCTACTGTTTCTGGGCAGCAGACCTAAGCCATATCTTGAAGGTAGCAACTAAATGGATTTACCCTCCAATCCAAACTCCCATTTTGAGTAGAAATCCTTGCTTTTATCTACTCTTCTCTTTTCTCATGAGTATCTGCAGGGATTATTGGACCTAAAACTGGGCAGTGGGGGATCTGTGTGTGAAGGGGATGGTATGACTATGAATCTACAGTTCACGAAGTGTTACAGGTTGAGGGGTATGTAGGCACATGTGTGCATGTACGTGTGTATGTCTTTACCATGTACCTGGCACTTGGCCTACTTCACTTGTCACGGTCTGACTTTCCATTATGTCTATATTTTCTCTGTCACTGGAATAAAATATATATTTAGCAGCCAAGTACCCTTCCATGTATAGCATAGAGCGCAACAGATAGCAAAAATCCATAATAAATACTGACTGAATTGACAAATAATTAATAAGTGATTTTAGGCACATTAGCAGGGAACAAGACAAGCTGCAAAACAGGCAATTTCCCAGGCTCCTACCCGCCTTCCTTATCCCTGTCTTGATATCTCACGGATCTGTCTCCTGTGTAAGGCTGGCACTTTTGCCATTATTTGCCATTGTTACATGTCACTATTTTTGTCTTTTTCTCTCTACACCGCCAAATTCCAATTGTTCCAGGCAGGAAGGGAAGGCATTGGCAAGAGTTACGATAGTGAAACAGGCTTAAAAAGAACATTCTTTAGTGGGAAACAAAAGGAAATTCCATCTCTAGCAACTGTCTTGTGCCTTCGCTCACACATTGCTGTGGGGCTAGAACCAGAAGAAGGCAATGTTACGAATCCAAGTCTCGTTTCTAACACAACCTCAGACTCCCCTGTACCTTTTAATCAGTTCCATCTCTGCCTGATCCCTCTTGCTCATGAGGAGGTTTCGGCAGTTTTCGAAGATATCTTCAATCTGGTCTGGCCAGAGGAACAGCGTGCTGTTCAGTTTGATATCTTCAGCTACAAGACACATACAACCTGTTCAGGACACTGCTCAGCGTGGGTCAGAGTACAGGGAATTAATACAGCAGAACTAGAGGTCAGCACAAGTGGGCGTGGATGTGGCACTGAATGAATGGACCCATTTTGAATGAATGAAAGCCAGCATTTATCCAGCACGCACCATGGGCCAGACTAGAGGCTGGACAGTCCTATCTTCTTCTTCTTCTTCTTTTTTTTTTTTTTAAAGATTTATTTATTTATTTATACAAGTACTGGATACAGTCAGAAGCTCGGGAGGGTGAGAGAATTCAACAGAGCCGGAGTGGGGAACAGAACAGGCAGACCGACGAAACACACTGCTGAGGGGAGCAGTGGGCACGGCAGGAGAGGTCTGCGCGCCATGTGGGACCCTCACTAGTGGCCAGGGATCGAATGGGCACTGCAGAGGCTGCGGGCAGCCCAGCGCTCAACCACTGTGCCACCAGGGGAGGCCCTATCTTCCTTATTTTAACAACTGGGAAAACAACTTAAGCCACACTTAAGTTATAACTGCTGGTTATAACTTTATGGTCAAGGCCACATTGCTAGGAACTATAGACCAGAATTCAAATCCAGGTATAACCAGCTCCAAAGCCTGGTCTGACCACTGCTTTTCTGCCTTCCCATGCCAGGTGTCATAGAACAGAAAGCTGGGTTGATGTTGTAGTTCGTCTTTAAACTATTTCACTTTATCTGAGTCTCAGTTTCCCTTTTAATTAAATGATAGTGATAATATTAATGGCAGACACCATCCATCTTACATCTTACATCTTACGGCTCTGATCTGTTAAAATGCCCGAGGTTCTCTCTGTGTCTTTGGAGACTTAAGAGGCAGAGACGAAAGTGAGAGTCCAGCTCATAAACTCGCACCACTTTTCTGTCCCATTAATTCTCCCCACACGGGAACAAGATAACTTGCAGATGAGAAAAGCTTCTGAACTTGGCTTGTGAAGAGCATGTCAGCTTTTCCTTCAGAACCTGCTCTTTACAAAACTCTGACTTGACCCAATAAGCCTTAAAGGGGCCTGAGCCATTTCTTCCTTTTAAGATATGCAGGAACATGAACGACAGTGCCACAGACTCCAAATGTGGGACAGTATTAAGAACACAGAGGAGTGAAATCTACCCATTTACAAAAGAATTCTGCATGTGAAACTGACTTTTCCAGGAACACCAGGCACACAGTGCCAACTCAAGCATCTAAGAAGTAGTCAAGTACTTAGATGTTTCTTCTTTTTTATCTAACAAGATTTCCTTTGAAACAAATTCCTGTGGATACAGCATGGAATTAGTGCCCTAACATGGGGGCAGTTGAAAAGCAGTCTTCCCAGTAGTGATGTTTAGCAGCAGAATTACTGACTCTCCTCCCTAACTCCTTATAACTAAAAATACAAACATATGAGAACATTTGTAGCTGTGTATAGGGCATTAGACTTACGGGGCAAATCGGCATAGTCCATCAGGAACTCCAACCGTTCAACTGCATTTCTAAGTTGCCTCCTGAGTTTGAACACTGTGATATCACTAGATTTCTTTAAGAATTCAATAAGGAATACCAACTCCTCTGTGTTGACAGGAATTTCACTGACTTTGTCTGCGATGATGCTGTACTGATTACAAATGCTGCAAGGAAAGAACAGCCTTTATCACCACCACCACCACCACCACCATCATCAACAAAAATAACTTTCATATAAGACCCATTATGCTAAACAGACATGATTCCTGTTTGGGGATTAGGACAATGATTTCCAACTTTACTTTTAAGAACTTGATGGATAGTATTCACATGCACATGCACACTACAGCTCAGGAGTAAGTACTGTGGCAATGGTGATACTATCTGACAAGTATTAAGTCCTGACTATGTGCAGTGCTCCATTCTAATCACTTTGCATATGTTAATTGAATCTTCACAACAAGGCCAAAAGGTAAAAGAATTAGTACGATCTACATATTATAATGGAAGGAAGTGAAGCTGAGTAAATTCATGCAAAGCAACATGGTATGTAAGTGTCAAAGCCAAGGTTCGACCCTCCTTTAGTTGACTCCAAAATTCACACTCCTTTTTTTTCAGTCATCTCAGATTGTTTTTATTTTTTTTTACAAGACATTTAATATTATTTTATATATTTTTACATCATTTTTCCACAATGTTTGCATTTTCATCTTGGTTATAGTCCCCGTACAATTCCCAACCCCCTGTTTTAATCCTACTCCCTTCTCCCCCCTGTAGTGTGTCTCTGGTTTATAGCTGCTTGTTGATTTTGATTTTGATTTTATTATAGTTAGTCTTTTTCCTGGTCCGTTATTTAGGTTTTCTGAATTCCTGCTATGAGTGAGACCATTGGTATTTTTCTTTTTCTTTCTGGCTTATTTCAGAACAGTGGACCTGGTAGTTGAACATTAATCTCTCTTTGAGCAAAATTCACACTCTTAACAGATATTGTCATACTGCCAATCATGGATAGAATGTAGACTTAAACCAAAACAAGAATACCAAAACCAATAGCAACTCCTCAAATTTTATGTTAAAACTAATTTAATTTGAATTCACCATGTTTTAAAAGTACTGCAGTAATTTCTGGTGGCAAAGAGAGATTAATGTTCAACTATCAGGTCCACTGTTCCTCAAATACAAGATGGTGAAAAAGGATGTTACTATAGGGATAATTCAAATATGCTCCATTTATGCAAATGTCAATAACTGACATAATTCTAACAATGCTTCAGTGTTGTACAAACAACCCAGGTGAGGTCAAGGTCACACAGGCCAGGACTCTGATGAGGCAGCTGGAAAAAGAGAAAACTTTCTTCTCTCTGGGTGAGAACCAGGGAGAATAAACTTGGAGCTTCTGGGCTCCTGCAATGAGCGAGAGTTCTGGACGAATGGAGCTAATAGGAGAGCCAAGTGGAGGGCTGGCATCCTAACTGTGGTGTGGAAGCCTGAAACCAGAAGCTCCTGAGCTTCTCAACATGATAGCCCCACACTCCCATTTGTGCTTTAGCCAGTCTGTCTGGGCTTCTACCCCTTACAACCCACTGGTGGTCATCAGCAAAACACAGGCACAATATTGGATTTAAGATGGAAGGAATCTTTGGATAATAAAGAGGAAGTCTGTGTGGGGTTGACCATAACAGGTCCTGAAAACCCGGGTCTCTGAGTGTGTGTTCCCTGAGAGTGCCTTTACCTTAGGCAGCCAAGCCCAGGAAGCAACATGAAGTTGCCTGTAGAAAGTAAAGGCTGAAGGAGCAGAGATGGACACTCTAGCAAGCTCCCCACCCTCCCACAACAGGTTGCGTGTAGTTTTCTCCCTTCCATTTACCTTCTGGCCTGAACCTGAATTCCCTGTCACCCTCACTTGGAGGCAAAAGCAAATTGAACCAAGAGTTCAATCTGGTGATTGCTGGAAAGTGCAACTGGCCCACAATACTTTTCGGCCCACAATACTTTTCTTCCCACAATAGTGATACCTGGTATTGGTGTCTCGGTTTACATCCACTTGGAATTGAATCAGTCGGTCTTTAAGATTTTGGGCTCGTTCACAAAGGTCATAATTTAGGACCATGGCATCAAGGCAGAACATGGCCAAAGGCACAGTGATGTGCATAGACGCAATTTCAGTTCTTCTTTTTTTAATACCACTGATCCGCTATAAAAAAAGAGCAGAGTCAGTGACTTCATTTGCCTTCAGCCTCTATGCATTCGCCCCCAGCCTCAAATCCTGTCCCTTTAGACTAACATAATCTAGTGACATTGACAATATTGACCATGAGCATCTGTAGCAAGTCACAAGTCACAGAGATGTGAAATGTAAAGTGGCATCTCTTACCGTCACAAAATCCTCAATCTCATGATTCTCTTTCAGGAATGCAGAGATGTTTTGCTCTGCTGTGTTATCTAGCAAGTCATCATACTTTTTATATACATCTAAGTATCTTCCATGTTGAAGAGCATAAAATAAAACATACAAATACAGGTCAGCAAATCAGATTAGTCAGAATAGTAAATAAGGAAACAATATCATAAAAATTAGCCTAAACTAGGAAAGAGAAATATAATGTGACAAAAGGTACAGTGTACTAGGAATTGAGAACACTGGTGTCAAACCCCAATTTTGCTACTTCCTAGATGCATGGGGGAAAAGGATGTCCTAAAGCTAATTCCTAAAGGATGTCCTAAAGCTAGGGGGAAAAGGATGTCCTAAAGCTAATTCCATACAGGCTTTGTGGACTCCACCCCCATCACAGGCCAAAGCCAAAGACACTGGGAACTCCAAATCCCATCACCACCAAAGGGAAGGTGGCTGGGACCTGAGGGTGGGGTTAAGCAGCCAGGTTGGTATAAAGCCAGACACGTGGGCTTTGGAGGGGTCCCCCATTTTGGCTCTCCGCCAGCTCGCAGCGTCCAGCCAGCTCTGAGAGTGCCTTTGGGTTTCCAGGTCGGCGGATCGGGTAGGACGCATTAAAGACTTTATTTCCCTATTTTCTCCCTGAGTTGTACATTTTCCTTATTTCCTTTTCCCTTATAAATAAACCTTTTATTAACCTTTTGTGTGTGCCTGTAGTGGAGTATTCAAAAGTCCCTTGTAAGCGCGTGGGTGAGGACCCACAGCCAGGAACCCGTTCAATATCGGGGCTGCTCTATAACACATGGACTTTGACAAGGTATTTCCCTTTTCCAAAGATCAGTGTCTTTCATTTTAAGTGGAAATGACCGTACATTGCGAGATGTAAAGTTTGACTGCAACAATGCATAGATGAAGCAGTTAATAGCATGCCTTACCTATAGTGGATGGAGATGCAACAAACATTATGCCTCTTTTCAGTCTAAAATTTTATATCTAAATTTTATGATGAAAATTTGAAATTAGTGAACTTAAAATTTATTACAAAAAAATTAAGTTTCCTCCTGTGTGTTATGAGACCATGCAAAAATGGCTGTAAAGGTTTTCCCCAAACTGGAGGATGTCTGGGATGCCCTGACATAAAACAGTTTGAATTAAAATAAAGATGATACAGAATAAGTAGAATTAACTTGGGGGTAGGGACAGATATGGGTACACTTCAAGGGGAAACCTATGGGACTGTCAGTCCAGAAAGACAAATTATGTGTATAAGATTTGAGGAACATAATAAAGAAGCTTTCAAGTAGATGTCCCCAGATCAAATTCACAAGGGTTTCTAAATCCAAGTCCATGATTTTCAGACTAGCTTAGCAGCAGTTCTCGACTGGGGATTATTTTGCACCCAGGGGATACTTGGCCATGTCTGGGAACACTTTTGGTTGGGAAATGATCCTGTTAGGGGGAAAGAAATAACAGATTAGGGTGACCACACCATGAGCAAACTCCATGAAAGCTTTGAGAACTCTACCCCAACTCCATCAAGACACTGGGAACTACAAATCCCATGATCACCAAAGGGATGGTTGCGAGGACCTGAGGGTGGAGTTAAGCAGCCATGTTCTCTGTTTGAATATTTAACCAGCCATGTGGCCAGGGGGTCCCTCTCTCAGCCTGACAGAACATGTTTTTTTGCCAGCTCGGTGGGTCATTGGGATTCCAGGTCAGCAGAACGGGTAGGACGCATTTATGAACTTATCTCCCTCTTTTTCTCCCTGAGTTATTCATTTCCCCATTTTCCCTTCCCTTGTAAATAAACCTTTTATTAACCTTTTGTGTGTGCCTGCAGTTTAGTATTAATAAGTCCCCTTTAAGCACACGGGTGAGGACCTACAGTCAGGCAACCCGTTTTATGTTGGGGTTGCTCTGTAACAATCTTACTGGCATCTAATAAATAGAAATTAGTGATGGGGAAGAACATCCTACCATACACAGGACAGACCTCCACCATACAGACCATTCTGGTCCAAAATGTCAACAGAGCCACCCATAGTCAAGAAGTAAAAGATTAGGGTGACCACACCCTGAATGGCCCAGGACAGTCTAGGTTTATACCTGTTCTCCCATGATAATTGCTAATAACAACTCAGAGGGTCTCCATTTGGAAACTTCATCACATTACCACCCTAGACTAGTCACTGCCCAAAGAAGCAACTTCGAGATACTCCACAGTGTGATGACTAAAGAACACACAGACCCCATGTTCTCAATCCCTCTTCTTTAATCCCTAAGTCCAAAAAAATCTGAAAACACAAATTGCTTTAAAATTCACTTGCTAGCAAAAGCTGGTCTAAATGGACGTGAGGCTATTTATGTGAATAGTCATAGTCTTCACTGTGGAACTATCAAAATGTTTAATAAGAGGCACTGCCCCAGACTTTGCTGATGTCACAGCATTGTAAATGATATATGCACATGTTACTTTTCTAAAATGCTCAAACTTCAAATGCTAGAAGCCACTTGACGCCATAGCTTTCTAATAATGGCAGTGGATCTGTAATTGAATTTGAGTTCTGGTTCTCATATTTATTTGCTGAGTAACAGTGGGCAACCTACAATCTTCTCATCTGTAAAATGGGGATTAATAATAATACCTATGTAGGCAAATACTGGCTATTCTTATTATGTATGGTTTCAGGTGCATGGGAATGGGGATCCTCTGGGGATCCTCAGAACTCTAAACTGATGCCAAAAAGGCCAGGTTACAGGTAAACCAACTTACTTGTGGGGACCAACTTGATTTTTCTGAAATATCTCTAAAGCTTGATTCACCAAATCATTAACCAGATTTTCTTCAGGATTAATGGTTCCAAGAGTCAGATCATATCCTTTCAATTCTGGGAACAGGACAGATTCCACCTAGAAAGTAGAAACCACTTAGGGGTAGTGCCAGATATCCATGAGATGCATGCCCGGTCTGGGGCAATGTACGGTTCCCAAAGACCCCACCTGTGTTTTCAGTGTTTTCACTCTATTTCTCCCTGAGTGTGCAGGAGTGACCCTGCTGTTCCCTTTACTTATTTCCCCTCCTCACCCTCTTGTTGGATGACTCATCTTCAAATCCCCACTCCTTTCAAGTCTACCATCCTTCCAGAGACCACAGTGTGTTGTTAGCTTTCCCTGGTTAAAGTTCATTCTCCTTCTGAACTTTCTCCACTTAACAGTCAGCACAGCTGTAGTGAACTGAAGGTGCAAGGAGTTGTCCTAGGCCTGTCATAGGCTGTAAATACCATGAGGGCATGGATCTATCAGCTTCCTCACGGTTGTAAGGGGTCTACTAAGAGCCTGGCACATAGCAAGAGTTCAGTACATATTCTGCGAGTGCATGAGTGGGACAGTGATGCTCCCTCCTCCTCCCTCTACCCACTTTTTCTAACAAAAAACCTCCTAGAGACAAGTGTTCTAACTCTGACTCTGGCACTAATTGACTATGAGGCCTTAGGGAAGCTGCTTCTCTGTGGGCTGTTTTTTCATCTGGAAAAAAACGGGGGATAGATATACTAGATTCTCCTCTCAGTTCAGGAAAAAAGATGCTATAGCTTTATATTATGAGACACAAACCTCATCCTTCTTGAGAACTCAAACCTTCAACTTCCTAATGGCCTGTGTCTATCTCTGAGAATGTTCTCATTTGCATGACTCATGTAGGCTGCAAAGTCCTGGCTGGGGACCTGCCGTCTTGCCCTGTCTTCTCTGCTATGAAAGGTCTTAGTGGCCTGTCTCAGAAAAGATCTGCAGAGTGCTTTACTGGGTCATGTGAGTTGTATGCCATTGGTGAGAATGCATCAATTTACAGAAGGGGAAGAACAAATGTAAAGGATCTTGATCCTCCCTCTTTGGAGAGTGGTTGGACTTTCCAAGTCCAAGCAAGGAGGTGGACGTGGAGGTGGAGATGAAGCCACGCAAGCCATGATCCAAGCGTGCGTCCAGGCCACGCAGCGTCACGTGTGGGCAGGATAATGGGTTTCTCTTGGGGAGACGTCTTTAAGCAAAAGAGGAAACATCTTCTGTTGCCATTAAAATGTGGCTGTTTCTCCCATGTCCTGTCAGGAAGCGTTAACTCTGAACTGAGAACAACAGTGCCCTTTCCAGGTGATCATCCTGCCATTTAAGCTTCTTTCTTCACTCGCTTATCCTCAGCTTCTTGGCTTTGTCATCACCACCAGTGCTTATGCCTGTGAACTTCTCTGACTTTGGCTTTTCCCTGGCATTTTGAGAGAATGCTCCCATTAAGAGAGAGATTGGCTCAAGCAGCCCCTTCCCATAATAATATACATGTATTTTCTGATTGTGAAAGTAATGCATTGACATGGCTAAGACTGATTTAAATTCTGCTTCCTGCATTTTTAGTTTTAGAAAGCTTCTTTCCTTATTTCAACCAGCTTGTTTAATTTATTCTCTCATTCATCTCTTTTCCTTTTAGTCGGTTTTAGGGAATCCATGTTTTTCTTTTTTGTTTGTTTGTTTTTGCTAAGACAAATATTTTCTGATATTTACTTTAACTTCCTTTAAAAACTTTCTCATAAATATGCTTTCCTTCTGCACCCTGAGTGCTATTAAAAAAAAATCTCATGCTAACGTTGTCCAGGTTTTTAAATTCATGTTTAACCATAAATAAGGCAGGATGGGGGATAATATCCACTTGTTCTTAGCTATCCTTCTCAGATACTCAACCTGAGGGACTATTCTTTTAAATGTTCATTACCCAGTTCAGGATAAAACAGTCAGAGGGGGTGGAGGTGTGAGGCAGTGCTGTGATCATTTCTACGTGAAGACCTGAGTTGCTTTTTCTCCTAGCTTGAAATAGTCACTGGCGTTCGTTTGGGCCTAGCTTTCAAATCTGGTACATACTGTGATCTGTAACCACGCCTTCTTAGTATCTCAACCCATGAATCTACTACCAGCTCTTGCTGGGCTGTTTGCAGTAGCAGCCGCAGGAACCCTGCGCTCTCCCAGCCCAGCTGCTTGCAAACACTGCTGATCAACTGGGTGAAGTGCTATGTGTGTACTTTATCTGTCTCCAAGCCCCACACTTGTCTTTCCAAATTACAGGGTCTTCTGTTGCATTTCCTTCCTAGGGATATCCGTGGCAGGAGAGCTGCCCTCTATTCTTCCCCCTCCATGCATCCACTTTTCTTGTTAGTTTGGCGTGGTTGGGTTCAACCCCTCTTTTTTTTTTTAACTTAAGCAATACTGCATTATAACATTATATAAGTTTCAGATGTCATCATTATAAATATCTGTATATACAACATTAAGTTCACCACTAAAAGTCCAATTCTATCCTTCACCATACAATTGATCCTCTAATTTCCTCACTACCCACCCTCTGCCCCCCTTCTCTCTGGTAACCACTAATTTGGTCTTATAGTCTAAAAAGTTAGACTCCAAATAGAAAGTTCTCTGGCGAACTGGAGCATTTGGCTTCATGTGCTTCTCTACAAACCCCAACTCTAAATTCTTGAGCTCTTAGAGTCTCTTAGGAACAGTACTGTGGTGTGATGACAGCTGAAGAACATCTAAGCATGATATGCCACATGTTGTGGGAGGCAGAGGGAGAAAGAAACACCCCACAGCCTCTTCTCCATGTGGGACTGGACACTGGTCCATCCATACCAGACACTCGGAGGAAAATAGAAAATGGGGTGCAAGAGGGACACACTCTTGTGGGTGACCTGCACAGTAAGTACTACATGTGCTAACAAGCTTCTGGAATCTGATTAGTCACTTTGGCCAGGAAAGGGCTTGGACCAGCAAAGGAAGCTTCAATCTCTTCCTTAGATGCTTAGAATAGTTAAACAAACAAGCACAGAATGTCAAGAACTAAATTAATTTTATGAAGCTTCTTGGCAAGTTCATAGCAATTAATCCATTGTGAATCATTAACCCAAGATGGATATGGCTTGGGACTCAGCCACCCTTTTGAGCACGGCCTCACAGGGGACCCTGTCACAGAGTAACTCCAGAGCCCTTGTTAGGATGCTTATGCATTTCTTTATGGCCCCAAATCTGGGTCAAGAGGGTATCCTCAAGATGAATCTGCTACAGTGGAACTTTCCTAACTGAATATCTTACCAGCTGTGCCTTATATAACATTTTAGATATAGTTCATTTAATAAGTGAACAAAAATACAAAGGAATGATTAAGTAAATATTATACCTTGGGGATTCCCTGAGAGTTCTTAATAATTTCCAAGAAAGAGTTGTGTATTAACTGCCAGCAGTCATCAAAAGATGGATTAAAGACAATAATGGGTTCTTGGACTTCAAGTTTGATCATGATTAGCTGAGGCAAAAAGAACTCCATCTCTTGGTAGGGCTCCTGGAAGTCGTTCCCATCCTTCAGAAGACACAAGATATGGCAACTGTCACAAAACTGGGACACTCAAACTCCAGGGAGCAACTTTTACCCATTCACAGTACTACATGAGCACCAGAAAAGGAAATGAAGAGCACCACATGCTTTTGTGTTAAAAATAAAGGGTAGGTGTGGCTTAGCTCACCCTATGCTCACCCTCTCTCCTTTCTCAAAGTTTCTTTCTTTACTTGATTGGAAATTCCTGCATCCTGATTTCTAAATCCTTCCCATACTTCAAAATTAAGCTCCAAATCCCCTATTCTGGGAGGTAGCTCTGTTCCCCCAAAATGCTTCACCTCTTCCACTTCTGCATTTCTATATTTCTACTCCCTGAAGGTAGCTTTTTCTCTTGTGGAGATTTACTGCACACCTTGTCTTCTCTGCTCTAAACTTGAGGATAGGATCTGTATTTGAACCATCACTCTTCCAAAGTATCCAATACACCATTTAGGACATACTAGGTGCTCAATAAACATGTAATGACTGAGTCCAAAAGTTTAAATAGCTATCTGTATACCTCAGATGGAATTACTAATGAACATAGTCTATTTTATTTTTTTTTTTTTTTTTTATAGAGGCATGCTTTATTTATTTGTTTGCTGGTTTGTTTGTTTGTTTTGTTTATACATGCACTGGGTACAGTCAGAAGCGCGGGAGGGTGAGAGAATTCACCAGAGCCAGAGCGGGGAGCAGAGCAGGCAGAAGGACCGAAGTACACTGCTGAGGGGAGCAGCGGGCGGCAGGAGAGGTCTGCAAGCCATGTGGGACCCTCCTCTGGTGGCCAGGAAGCAGCCAGGGATCGAACCGGCGCCGCAGAGGCCGCGGGCAGCTTCGCAACCCAGCGCTCAACCGCTGCGCCACCGGGGAGGCCCAACATAGTCTATTTTAGACACACAAAATGTCAACCTTTCTATAACAGAAATACTGATTGGCGATATTTTCAATTTCCCACACAAGCTGGTAATATAAGATACCTTTCATAAACTACAGTACTTAATGAAATTAACATAGGACAGCTGTAAAGTTCTTGTCCAAGTAATTAATTCTAGTGATTTCTAGATCTGTGTAAAGGATGGTTGGGTCAACATTTGTTGAATATGCCCATAAATTTCCCCTTCTTTCAGATATTTGAAAAATTGTACTTTACCCTTTGGGTGGAATTTTAGAGTGAGATCTGTTCCCATGTCTGAGTTTAATTAGTAAAGTATATGGTTACAACAACATCACTGGATTGGTTCTCTTTAGCGCACTAACTTTTACAATCCAAGTTCAGTAGCCCTGGTTTCTAAACTTTTTGCACAAAGCTCAATTGTTGATCTTTACTTCATTGAGGAAAATGGCTAGGATTTAACCTTTTGTAACCAGGCAACCTTTAATTTTTATGGCTCTTTCCAAGGTCAAATGTACACATGGTATATAACATCCACAGAATCCTCCTTGATCCCTAAGCTACCTCTACTTAGGGGAAACTATAATACTTTGAAAACCAGAACTTAGGATTTTTAGTTTTCATTTCACTTCACTGAAATCATTTTATGAAGGAAGTTGCCGACTAAGTCAACAAAGTCTTTTCTTTTTTTATTAGGCGTGCCCCTTTCAAAGGCCAAAGAACAAAAGCCGACATTTACAATGGAAACACAAAGCATTTCCTAAACATTAAGCCAAAGATTGAAAGCAAATTTTTTCACCCCCTTCTTGTAACAGAGAGTATGAAAAGGTAGCCACAGGCCCTACTGTTAAAAGGTATATATTCCATTTTGTTCAATCTTTCCTCCAATTTTCTTAACAATTTTTCCAATAGATTTTTACCATTTGCTAGTAGGCAATTATTTTTAGCAAGTCAGCTGTGTTTTTAAAGAAATCATTTTTTATGAACTGGTAAACATCTGACGCATGTGCACATCAAGAACTTTACTTTCTGGCCCAGCGCACAACTGATGGAATCCTCATCCTATCAAAGTTGATTCTCCTTAGGAGTGTCTATTCCTGGCCCCCCTACATACCTTGTGTATCATGAAAAAGGAAAGGAGGTCCTCAAGAGAATTAACAACCAACTCCCTGAGCTGGAGTGACATGAAGGAGGCAACCGAAGCAAAATATTCCTCAATGTTACGAGAAGAGTCATAGTCGCTCTTGGGTGCAAAATGGACCCATTGCTCCTTCTGAGACACAAAAAGCTGTGCACAGGTGGGGATCCATCTGGAATGATATGAGAGTATTCAATTGAGAAAATTTTTCAAACTCTAAGAAGTCCCCTCAGTCATCTCCCCAGTCTCCATGACAAGGCACTTGTTTCTAAGCAAATTTGCAGATGGGTAATTATCCCTGGCCACTGGCCAACCCCCATTTACTGGGAAGAAATTAATAAGATTGAATAGAGATACTATTCTGCATTAGCAATACTGAATAGGACAGAGGATACTGGTGCCATGTCCTGCTTAAAGAGTCTTTAGTTTCTCCATTATCATCGGAGGTTGGGGTGAGGGGCATACAGAACCAGAGTGTTCTGTGCAACTTCTCTTACTGAAGGATGGCTGGCCTCTGGTTGAGTCTTTTAGGGGAAGAGATTAAAAGGAGAAATGGAAAAAAAAAAAAAAAAACGACAGGAGAAAATCTAGTATGTTAATGGCTGCTCAGAAGTTGAGCATAGAAATTAGAAAACTCAAAGAAGAAATGAATACCTCATTGCTCCTTTCTTCCTACTTCCCCCAGTTTTTAATTCCCAGTGGGAAGCATTGGCATTTTCATCCCGTCATGTCTCTCTTCTGACTGCTGGCTTGCAATCAGAGAAGTATCAATAACAGTCAAACTTGTAGAGGCAATAATTATATTTACTGAGTAACTACCAGGTGCCAGCTATTGCACATACATTTTCTCTAAAAATGAAAACCTAGTGGTAGATTCTCATCAACATTTTACATGAGGGAATTTCCTTGGCTCTGATATATTCCTGCACACATCTTCAAAGGAAAGGAGATTGCCTAAGTAACAGAATTCCCTAACCTTGGAGTTTATCTGGACCATCTGTCTACAAGTCACTCAAATGCACTGTCCTCAAAAGCAAGGCCTAAAGGATTTCAGAGGGAAGGAATGGGAGTGGTGCCTTCCACACTGTGAGGGGGTTTCAAAGAGGCAGAGAGAGACTAAGAGTGAGGGTCAAAGCGCAGTGAATGTCAGCAGCAAAAAGCTGTTAGGGGATAGCAGTGTGCAAGGAAGAGGACAGAGAAAGATGTCAGTGGGAAGTCAGCAAACTAGGCAACCCCCAGACTGAAAACCAGTTTCAGTTCAGAGAGTTAGTGGCCTATGTGACACTGTGAATGCAGCCCCGTTGAGACCAGGCACTGACTTGTTGAGGAGAATTTGACGCAATTCCATGCAGTGATTCTGGATCACTTCCCGATATTCATGTGGTAGCAGAGGCAATTTTCCTGCCAGTAGTTCTGCTGTTCGAACAAATCTGAGGTCTCTAAATCTGCCAAAAAAGATGGAAAAACTTCATAAACTGGGAGGACACTTTATAACGAACTCTGTAGCACAGGTTCGAAGGGCGTATGTTTTCATTTTTCAATGACAGGAGATTTAAGCAGATCAAAAGTAATTATATCTGAAAAATCTGGGAATCTGAGGAGGAATTGCTAGTCCATAAGATCTTTTCAAAGAGGAGATAAAAGAGTCAACTCAACAGGTGTTTGCTGAGTCTTCCTGTGTATCCCACTCTAGGTGGCCCACCTGGGGAGAGGGCATTTGGCACTGGCCTGGTATCTTGCTGGCTGAAAAATGGGATACCAAATGGACAAATCAAAGCACATTACAACAGCAGACACAGAAAAGGAGGACAGGGCGAGTGAGGTACCGTCTTCATGCTGTGGGTTCCACCCAGTCCTCAAAGTGGCCTGTGGGGGAGCTACTCAAGATGACTTGGAGGACTGTGTTGGTCTGAACCAAAAACACTTTATTGACCTCCCTCATTCCCCTGCATCCCAGGCCAGATTCCCAGTCCTCTAACTCCTGCCACTGTGAAGGTATAGAAAGGCCAGCCAGTAAAAAGAAAAGCATTTACCCAACCCAGGGAGTCTTTTAAAATTGAAGTCAGATCACATCACTTCTCTGCTTGTCACCCTACAGTGAGTTCCCATTCTGGAGTAAAAGCCAGGACCCTGACGGGCAGCAGGCCCCATACAGCCTGCTCCCTGGCTCCTCCTCTGACCTCTCTCCTACCACCCTCCCCTTCACTCTGCTCCAGGAACACTCACTAGACATGGCTGTTGTGTCCTTTGTGCAGACTATTCCTGCTATCTGCAAACCTCTTCGCCGTATCTCAGGGTTGACTCTCACCCTCACCCCAGATGTCACCTTCACAGTAAAACCTGCCAATCGGCTGTGTATATGGCTGTGCAGGCTGTGCCCCGCCCAAGATGCCAGAATGAGTGGGTACTCTGCTTGCCAAGCTCTGCACCCTGGTGTGCGGCTGCATTCAACCAGGTCAGGCAGGGGCTGGGGGCTGGGTGGGTGGGAGATTTTTCAGATTCAGACTAAAGTGCTTTGGGGGCTTGTAGACCCACCTCAGCTGCCATGCAAACCATACCCCCAATTCCACTACCATGGTTAAGTTTTCTTTCCAGAGTTTCCATTCCTCTAACATACCATGTAATTTACTTATCCACTACATTATTGTCTGTCTTTCCCTGGAATGATGAGCTCACTGCTATGTTCACTGCACTAAACTAATGCTTAGCATGTAACACAAGCTGGCCACTATTTGTTAAATAAATAAGAATGAATGAATGAACAAATATCTCATGGTTTGGAAGCCAAGATACTGAAGTTTTGAATCCCGTTACATATTTATTTTTATCGCATGCTTCTTTTTTTAGTACATATTAGCTTTAATGTTTAAATAAGAAGGTTTAAAATGCGCCTGATCCTTGCAATTGAGGAAACATTCAGTAGACATTATTACTTTTAAGCACACTCAGAAATTATGATTTCTCCTCAGCAGTTAAACATTATCACTAAACTTATTCAAACCTTTGGGTCGTTTTGACCAAGTCTAAATTACAATTTACTCTTCTCCTTTACTTCTTTTCAATTTTGTTCCAGTTTTTTTGAGATATTGTTGGCGCATAACATTGGAAAGTTTAAGGTATACAACCTGATGTTTGAAACACATATGTATTGGGAAATGATTACTACAATAAAGTTAGTTAACAGCTCCACATAATTACTCTGTGTGTGTGTGTGTGTGTGCGTGTGTGTGTATATGTATGTGTTGATAACATTAAGATTTTCTATCTCAGCAACTTTCAGGCCTATAAACAGTATCGTTGCACCACGCTGTACCTTAAATCCCCATCTTATAGCTGGAACTTTGTACTCTCTGACTAACGTCTGCTCATTTGATTGTAAAAAAACATACCAGATAGCCTCACCCACCAAAGCACTTGAGGTACTGATAAGTTCTGTCAATCAAAATTAAGTAAAAAATTGTGTCTACTTTTGGTAAAAGGAACTCAGAGGCCAGCTCATCATTTCATTAGCCTCATCTTTCCATGAATGCTGGCGGCCTCATTCTTCTATCAGGATATGTACCCCAACTTTTGGAGCCCATAAAAAAGCAACAGTTTTTCTTCTCAGCAACTGATAATGACTAAACAAAAGGTGGTACAGTCACGCCATGGAATATTATTTAGTCCTAAAGAGGAATGAAATACTGATACATGCTTCAATGTAAATGAACTTTGAAAATGCTATGTTAAGTAAAAGAAGCCAGACACAAAAAGACAAATCTTGTATGATTCCATTTCAATGAAATAGCCAGACTAGGCAAATCCATAAAGACAGAAATCAGGTCAGTAGTTGACAGGGGCTGACCAGAAAGAAGGGGGAGTGACTGCTAACAAGTAGAGGGTTTTTTTGGGGGATGATGAAAATATTCTTGAATTAGTCAGTGGGGAGAGTTGCACAAATTTGTGAATATACTAAAAAAATACTGCATTGTATACTTTAAAGGGATGCATTTTCTTATCTATAAATTACATATCTATTTAGAAAAATGATAGAGAAAAATTATAGGACCTCCTTTGGGGTCCTATAATTCCTACAGCCAGTTGGTCATCAGTGGATATAACTGCTTGCCATCCCTGTGCTGGCACTGAGGGAATAAGACCCAAGACCCCACATATGTCATAGGCTAAGGAGAGACAAACAAGTAAACTCACAATTACAATTCCATATGTCAGAATGGAAGCGATGGCTAACTAACGCTCAACAGGTACTTAGGTCAAGCACAGTTCTAAGTACTTTGCATGTATTAGGTTATCCTATCAACCCTATCAACCTATCAACCCTATCAACCTATCAGGTAGGAACTCTTACTACCTCCAATTTAGAAACAAGGAAAGCAAGGCACAGAGAGGGATCTAACTTGGTATCCATGAAGCAGTACCACTAAAATTTGGGCCCGAGCAGGCTAGGTCCAAGTTAGTGCTCTTAACCAGTAAGCTTCAATGCTTCGAGACAGGCACCAGATATGAGATGTCATGAGAGTGACAGCCCGATGGGGGGAGTTGTCTATTACGGTTCATGTGTACTTTGGGTCTAGGACTGTTGTCATTTCACCTCAAGGGCTTATGCCCAGGATAAGATGTCACATGTGGAAGCCACGAAGAAAATGAGAAGGGAGGGGTGGCATCTTACTCTGCGAACCACAGTTCCTTCAGTCTGAGCATCATGGGGTTCACCGTGTGCAGGTGCTCCTCGTTCCACTTCTTGGCCTGCTTGTAGACTGTGTGCCAGGGCACCGGGGCCCGAATCACCCTTTGAGGGAACTCTCGGGGGATGTTCTCGATGAAGAGTCTTTTTCTCTCCATTGGGTCCATGAGGATGTAATCAACTACATAACCAAGAGGGCAAATACCGTCAGGAAGCAATTACCTTCACGCTCTGCTCTGAGCTTCGATGCTTAGTGAATAGTAGTGTCACTTACACTCTGCCTTGGGAACACTCCCCCATTCACAAGGTCACAGGTCATGCCCCAGGTATAAGGAAACAGGGTGGGCTGATAGCGCAAAGAAGGTGCCCTCCCCATGGGAGCCCCCTGCTCCTTTGCATCCAGCCTTACCAGTACTTTTCATGAGACTGCTGTAATAGTCACTTTCCTTCTCTTTCAGCAGGACGATCAATAGAGGTTCCAGGTTGGGACTCGTCAGCAGTGTGTTAGAAATCAGCTTTAAAATCCGAGTCATCACTTCCTCTTCCTCAGCAGCAATCATTTCTTTTGGGATTCCATGGGTCAAATAGTAACTGTATCTCTTCCATAAATAAACCAACAGCAAGAAAATGAGCGTGAGTGGCGAACTGTGCCCACCTGTTCATACCTGTCAGCTGCCCAGGTGTTCACACTGCACCATCCCCACCCTTCACTCGCTATAATCACATCTTCTGGGCCTGTCCCTTCATTCACTGTAATGACATGGCCAGTAAGTTTCCCCCATGACCCTGGGGGATTCAACCAAAACAAGAGAGATTTCAGCAGGGTGAGGGAAGGACTTGTCAAATGCCACGCCGACAGGAAGAGTGAAACGAGCACTGAGACTGGGAACAGAGAAACATCTATGGTGAACTTTAAGAAGAGGAAAGCAAGCCCCTAAAATGGACTCAAGTAATTCAGCCTCCTCGACAACAAGGATCTCTGCAGAGCACTTTCATCTGTAGCTTGTTGCTGTCAGTAGGGAGAAAAATACCCGCAAGGTCTGAGTGAGATTTATGCTAGTTCGTTTACTCCAAATGTGGGCTTTTGAGTTTAGAAAATCAACACAGACACACGAAGTAAAGAAAAATGGCCAATGTGACCTGGCGACTGCAGGGAGTTTTGTTTATTTAGGTCTGGCCTCAAAGCTGCTGGATGGCTGAGTGGCTCCAGGAATGAATCATATTTCAGAAGCATGAGAAGCAGAGACTATAGGAAAGGGCTGGAAACTGGCTTTGAGCTTCAATGCTGATGGTGATCAGAAGAGACCACCAACCTTGAATGGAAACTGCCTACACACAAAAGCAAACTTCCCCTGCCTGGGCTCAGGGAGAGACTTGCTAAAAATGCAGATTCACAGGTACTCCCACAGGCACTTTGGTGCTTTTAACAAGCACCCCAGGTGATTCTTATCTTCGGGAAATTTTGAGAAATTCTGTGTAGCTCTTAAGAGACTTAAGTATCAGCTAGAGCTTGTCTAAGTCCTAGTTCTGTCTCTGTGTAATTTTGAACAAGTTGTTCGACCAATCTACACCCCAGTTTGCATACCAGAGCAATAGGAATCCCCTAAAACATATACAGTTTTGAAGAGCAGTGAATCAATAAGAAAAAGGAGTGCACTGGGAATATACTTATATTAAAAATATATTCATTATTTATCTGAAATTCAAATTTATCTGGGTGCCTTGTTTTTTTTTTTTTAGAGGCATGTATTTATTTATTTATTTATTTGTTTGTTTGTTTGTTTTCTTTATACAAGCACTGGGTACAGTCAGAATCGCAGGAGGGTAAGAGAATTCACCAGAGCCAGAGCGGGGAGCAGAGCAGGCAGAAGGACCGAAGTACACTGCTGAGGGGAGCAGCGGGCGGCAGGAGAGGTCTGCGCGCCATGTAGGACCCTCCTCTGGTGGCCGGGGAGCAGCCAGGGATCGAACCGGTGCCGCAGAGGCCGCGGGCAGCTTCGCAACCCAGCGCTCAACCGCTGCGCCACCGGGGAGCCCTGGGTGCCTTGTTTTTTGTTTTTGTTTTTCAAAATCTGGCCAGCCTAGCCTACAGGCCACCATTTTGCAATTTATATTCTAAGTGGACCCAAAGGCACCAATTTCTAAGACTTAGTAGAACAGAAAATTCACACACACATGTATGCACGCACACACACCCATGCACATACAGAGTCTGGACTTTGGTATTTTTAAAATATTCCCCAGGTAAAGCTGCTGTTCTTCCTACTTCAGAATCACTGAAATTTCAAGAGTAACCCTTAGCAAGTGGAGACAAAGAAAGCAACAAGAACATACCTCCAAGTCTAATTCAGATGGTTTGGTTTCTTTACTTTCTACTTCCATCTCCTTCTGTAACATCACACCAATCTGTTCTTCTGGACTCATGGGCCTGCTTTCCGGAACAGCAAAAGGTGGCACTAGTGACTTCTTCACGAGTTGGAAGGCGGAGTTGCTACAGGACATGGACCTAAAATGTAGACATAGCTCAGCACTTGGTTCTGTGTAGAGTACTGTGATTTCAGGCTGCTTTCTCCAACCTGATGTATCATTCAGCGCCAGAATCCCTCTCCTCTGTGTCACCTAATGGTGTATGCACCCGAATGATGACTTCTAACCACAGAATGCCCATAGGTATGTCAGCATTGGTTTTTCTCAGTTGGTTAATTTGTAGAATCTAACAAAAATATAGGTTGAGGGAATTGGTGGGAAAAAACATGAGTTACTGGGTGTCTGGGAAAACTTTAAAGCCAAGAAGCAGAACGTGGCTCTAATGAGGACACAGGCTTCTTCAGTTCAACCTAGTGTCCTGCATTCCACTGGACGCACAGTGACATCTTACCCAGTGGAATCCTCTTTGAAGAAGAACTTCAGTTTCTTCTTGCTGGGCTCTAGTGAGCATTTATATGCTAGAAGAGTGGAGAAGAAAGATATCAGAGGAGGGTTCACCCTCTGTCCAAGGCACATGACTCTCAGGGCAGTCCAGCAGCACACAAAGGGAAGTGGGCTTGGTGTGGTGGGATGAGGTAGGAGATGTGGGCTCCTGTCCCATGTGCGCTCCTAGTTACCAGGTGATGCTGAGGAGGTGATTTCATCACTCCTGGGGTCAGCTTCCCCAGCTGTGAAAGGGGGATGAGCATCTCTTGTATTTTTCCCACATATCTGACAAATACTAATTATTGCCTACTCAACTCATTACCCAAACCTATATGCTATATTTTCTAAACATTGGGTGTATTATTGTTTAATTTATGTCCAAATAGACTCGGGCTTTTAAACTGAATATATTTACTTTAAAAGGAATAGATGAGTATCACAAATAGAAAAAACTATCATTTGCAAGAGATGTAATTACTGCATATAGAAAAACCAATATCATTTGCAATAAATACAGGTAATTGTAAATTTAATAAGTGATATAAAAACTATATTATTAAACTTTATATAACTACCTGCTACAGTCTCTAGCCTAAGAAAATTAACTAGTAATAAAGAAGTGTTAAAGACATATTCATACTAAATTGGCACTTTGAAGAAATCAAAGCAAATCCCAGTCAAGATATATTTTGATTTCATACTTTGATCCCTTAATCTACTCTAAATATAACAATAGTAGACAAAATAGTCTTTTAAAATTAAAATTGTCTTCTACGTGGGCCAAAAATAAACACAGTATAAATAGCCATATCATCAGCTTCCTGGTCCAGAAGCAGGAGGAAGTGGAATTTTGATACCTGGGAGATTAACAGAATCCAAAAACATGCCACGATTGTGGGAGACTGGGACTAGGTTGATAGCATAAAGCCAGGACTACAGCAAGACTGCCGCCCATGAAGATAAGCTGAGCAGTCAATAGCACTGTCTTGCAGATAAAGCACAGGTAGCCTCAATTCACATGGTGGCCAGAGGTAGCAGAGAAAGGCTGACAGTAATGACTTCAAGACACATACTGTCTCAGGAACCAGTTCTATGAGAGATCCCCAAATTTCACCTTAGGATGGGAGACCTAAGCCTCAGTACAAGATCTGGTCCTAATTTAGCATTCTAAAAGGTGAGATGAAGGCATATACACACATAAAAAGCTGGATTGAGAAGGGTCTGAAGAGTACAATCAATGTAAATATGATTACACTTATATTTGTGAATAAGCAATTGAATCAATGGTGACAGAAAGTGTTTCCTCTGGCCTGGAATGTTGGGTAGGGGAGAGAACTAAACAGAAAATAGCACAAGAGCATTTTCTAGTGATGAGAAGGCCCCATACCTTGTTTGGTATACATCATTGTTAAAACTCAGTGAACTGAACCATTAAGACCTATGTATCTTATTGTATGTGAATTATACCTCAATAAAAATTGGGTAGATGCATGTAGCAACACGAGGAGAAATAACTCAACGTGAGCTTGCAAACTAAAATCCCAGAACACATGAGAAAAATCAACACAAAGAAAATCAATAAGCCCAACAATCAATAGATTCACAAAATGTAATGAGATGGCTACATCAACACAGCTCCAAGATAAATATTTAGGATCCTCCAAGTGATATTGAAAGGGCTATGCCTTTGGGAAAGGAATAAGAGATCAGCAAAGAAGGTACCCACAAGTAGAACCAATGAGAAAATCTGAGCATGAATAGATATTGAACTTAAAACAAAAGCCATTCTTAGACATTATCAACTCAAAACAAATAAGAGTTGAAGAGCAAATTAGTGAGTTAGAAGACATATTTGAGGAATTCACCCAGACACAGCAGAGAGGAAAAAAAAGAAAAATACGAAAATGAGGCTGAGACAGAGGACAGATTGAGAGGCTCCAACACACATCTAACAAGAATCATTGAAAGTGCCCTTAAGCAGGGTCTCCCTGGTGGCACAAGTGTACAAGACGCAGCCTATGAAGCTGTCTGCAGCCACTGCAGCACAAGTTTGATCCACCGGCTGGCCAGGGAGCAGCCCACAAGGCACAGCAGATCTCTCTTGACTCGCCTGCTGCTCCTCTCAGCAGTATACTTCAATCAATCTGCCTGTTCTGTTCCCCACTCTGTCTTTGGTGAATCCTCTCAACCCCCACACCTCTAGCCTATACCCCAGCTCTAAAAAAAAATAGCCTTAAGCAGATATGGGTGTCTGTGCTGTGTCCATACATATGTGTACATGGTAGGATTAAATATTCATACATACAAAGAACTGGGGTAAGCAGTTTCCAAGTGGCCCCCAGTGAGCCCCAGCTTCTGGTACCATGCTCTTGTACATCCCCTTGAGTGTAGACACTCCCTAGTGACACACTTCTAGCCAAAAGTGATAGATGGTTACTTCCAAAATTAAACCAGAAAGACTGGTTTCTGTCTTGCTGGCTCTCTTCCTCTGCTTTTGCCAGAAATCATGTCATGGACTACCCTAGAAAGAAGACCATGTGGAAAGAAACTGAGGTGTATGGCCAACAGCCAGTGTGAGGTGGTGAATGAATGTGAAAGAAGCGAAGATCCTTCCATGGTTGCCTTGGGATGACTGGAGCCCTGGCTGACATCTTGATTGTGACATTTGTGGCAGACTCTAAGCCAGAGGCACCCAGTTAAGCCTTGCCCAGATTCCTGACCCACAAAAACTGTAAGATACCAAATGGTGGTTGTTTTAAACCATTAATTTTGGGTTAATCTTTTTATACAGCAATCAACACAGGTACATAAGACAGTGTTTGCCATAAGCATGGTAAATGTTTGGCATACGTATGGTAAATGCTACATGTCATGTTAGCCATTACAATCATTCCCATTTCATAGATGCAGAGACTGAGGCTCCATGAGGTTGTCCAGAATTAGCTTCAGCAAGAGGTGAAGATAGGACTGGAACCCAGGAGAAATCTCACTCCAAAGGACCATTCTGAGCAGGTATGGCACACTGCCACATATACCTGATGGTCTTTCTTGAACGGTCCTTTCCCTAGGGATATTGATGATGGCCGGCAGGGAAACCTTCTTCAAATCCTTCAGCTTCAGGTCCTGGGCCCTCAAGGAATAGTTGTTGGCAATGGAGTCGCTGGGTCCTCGGTGGTGCTGCTGCTCTTTGAAGGGTGCAGCCAGGGTCCATGATGTGCGCTGCATCAAAGGTGGGTAGAAGCTGTGCAACATGACTGTCTACAAAGGGAGAAACGCAAAGTGAGACATGGTGGGGGACATCGCCGCAGAGCCCAGGCCCCACTCACTGAGACCCACATGCCCCAGGCTGTGTTCCTTCTACACCCAGGGCAATTACTTTCTGAATGAATGGCAACTGCACTTCTCTGACTGCTGTGAGCTAGACTTCAGATGTCAAGGTCAATAGCTGGCTTTTGCGCAACAATAAATTTGTGAGTCAGGTAATTTGCATCAATTTGCTACAATTATGGTGGAAATAATCACTCTCATTTTATAAAGACAGATGCAGAAGTTCAGAATTTGAATAACACTGCAGGTGAGTGAGAAGATGAGATTCTCACCACCCTTGAGCTCACCACCCTGAAGCTTTCTCGTCTGCTGCAGCCTCATCTGGTGGCAGAAATGACCAAAGCAACTAATCCCACCTGTCCAGGCTGCCTTGCCCACCTCTGTATCAGCAGCAGAGCAGCAGGCAGGTGAACATACCTGATAGAGTTCAGATGGCTCCTCGTTAGCAGAAACAGGCAGAGGGGGCAGCTCTGGCCGTGCATGGGAGTGACTCATGTGATGTATCGAGTCACATTTGGAGATCTGTGGGGAATGAAGACAAAGCCACATGTCAAGAGTTAGGAAAATGTCCAAGCTTCTAGGTCAGGAAGAAAAGCAGTGTCCAGAAGAGATTATAGACACAGAGTTCTGCCCACAAAACACCCTTCTCACCCCTACCCCTTGTATAGGTTTCAATTTTATTTTTTCTTGTTGGTGTCTTTAAGTTTTATTGACTTGCCACTAGTTCAGCTTTACACCTCCACATGTGCACGTGCCTCTCATCCTTCACCCAAATTCCAGCACCACAGTCACCTTCCCTCCTTCCCTCCCCTCTGATAATCGGTATATTTTTCTTGAAGTCTGAAATTGTACTTCTTGTTTTGCCAGTTTGTTTTCTTTGGCTATTTTTATTCTGCAAAACATTTTCATTTTCAATCATCAATCTGTCTCTCTCTAGCATCTTCTCTCCTTGACTTTCCCTCTATGAGCAAATTCAGATACTCCCCCCATACCCCAGAAAGGGGAAGAGCACAAATTCTAACGACACTCTTGATTACTTTACCCTGGGTTGTGATTATAGGGCTTGATTTTTAGGCAAATCTCTGTTCTTTCTGTGAAAAGGGAAAATTTCCTTTCAATAGTGTGGGTGTTTCAGTTCACCACTCTCTCGGTGAGAGTATACTTTGGAGTGGACTCCAGGCAGCAGTGAAACTCAGGTAAGGTTGAACAGGTGGCTCCCTCAGTTCCCAAGGGCCTCCCCTGCACAGAACTGAAAGCAATTGCAGCACTGAACAAACAACACGGTGAGTGTTGTTGGTTTTTTTGTTTTTGTTTTTTGTCCTCTCTGCAGTCCCTCTCTGCAAGACAACTACTTCCTCTGCGGCTGCAATGAAGAGTGAAATTTGTTTCAATACTGGAGGAAAACTATCTGCCTGGGCTTATTGAGAGATATAGCTGAATAGCACTTTAAAGGGTGGTTTAAGGACTTTTCAAGGGCAACTTTAACTCTCTGTGATTTTTTTTACCTCAGGTAATAACATTGGATTTAACTCCCATGTAAGATGAGACATTACTGGATCAAGTTAACTTACTTGGGGCAGCAAATTATGTCATGCAGAGTAACCGGTTGTGGGTGGCAAGGTAGGGGCCATATATCTCAGACCCCCAGACCCAATCAACCCCTCATGTTGCTTCAACCTCAACAAGTATCAACAATAACAACAACAACAACAAAATTAAAGCTTGAGCTAGTTCATAGGCATAAGAATAGTAATGATGACAATATTATCAACAATATTAACAATAATTATTCCAAATTAACATATGCCAGGAATTCAGGATATCTGTTATGTGCCAGGACCTTACAAGATTTTTTTAATACCCATGTTGTAGTCATGGAAGATACTAAGGCTCAGAGAGGCTAGGTAATGCATCCTAGCCACCGTGCTTTTCAAAATACCTCACTCTGTATCCAGAGTGGAAATGGGAAGTATCAGAGGGAAAATTATTTCAGAAAGATGTTGTTCTTAAAACTAAACAAAAATAGCCAAACGCATAAACAGAGATGCACGCTGAGCTTGGGGTATTTAAATACAGAATAGGCCCGCTGATGTAACAACCTAACTCAGTTGTTAACTGAGTGGGTCCCAAAAATCAGACCCATGGACAAACTTCATTAAAAATAAGAATGCTTGGGTTCCACCTTAAATATGATGAGTTTGAGACTCTCTAACCCTGTTTTTATCAGCTTTGAGAACTCATTTTGTTGATTTATTTAAATCATAATCACTGTCTTTCTGCTCTTGATTTCAAGTTCAAGGATCTAAGAATTGAGCAATCCTCTCCAAGAGCCCCCTCCTTCACAACTAAAATTAGTATCAGATCTGCATCGAGGTGGTAAACAAAATGGAAAAAGGCAGCCAGCATTGACCTGAAAGAAACCTGGTCATCCAAACAGGTGCAATCCCATCCACAGCAGATTTGGGCAGCAGGACTTTCAGGGATATGAAGTCATTCCTGATTTCCTTCAGGATCCCAGATGTAAGCCATATTGATAAGTTAGGCCTGTCTGTATTTCGTCTTTGCAAGCAAGAAGTTTTTGTGGTCAGAGAAAAATCTTTCCCTTGACCTAGATTTTAAATCTGTTTCAAATAAAAATCTTTATTAAAAGAGCAACAGGCAAATACCACAAATATTGGACAGCTTGAGTAAGTTACAACAGGAGTGGGAAGGAGTAGTGAAAGCAAAAAACCTTGACCGCTTGCAGTCAAGGAGAATGTTAACATTATTCAGAGGGTATCCTGGAAATGCTCATCATGGGGTAAACCTTGTTTCAGCCCTGACATCAACAAGGAAGTTACCTTTCCTATCAAAAGACGAGGACATTTTCCTAGTGGACATATGGGCTTTTCTCTAGTATCAGCTGTAGAATGGGCTAATTCCAGACCCTGGCTCCAGGGGAGGCTGTGACATGGATTTAGCCAATCAGAATCATCCATCCTCCCAGACACAGTGGTTGGTTAGTTAATGAATGAATTAATCCAAGCTGGATTCATCAGTCCTTCCTGACACTTTCACGAGAGCCATTGAGAAAGAGGTGCTCTCAACAGCTAACTTTGCCTTATATGGGAAGACTTATGTTAACATTGAAGAAAGTAGAATCACCAGAAGAAAGAGCCTCAATGACCTCAACTGGACCCCTCAATCCAACTTGGACTTCTTGGTTACTGGAACCCACAGATTTCCATTCTCGTTGATCCAGATCAAGTTACATTATGTCCCTCCACACTGAGAGATGGTTATCCACAGAGGCAACGGTTAGACACAAAGGCAGCTGAGTCATCAGACAAAGAGACAAGTCCTTCTTGGGAAAATAAAGAAAGCAAAACAACATTTTGCAAGAAAGCAAACCAACATGAAGCATTTTGCAGAACACAATGGAGAGATGCAGATGTTCTAAAGAATAAATCAAACATTGAGCTAGACAGAGTAAGAATCATACACAGAGAGACATAAATACCCTGAGAGTAGAAAACATCTCAGTGTGTGGGACAGAAACATGTGAGACACACACAAGCCAGCAGACTAGAAATCAATTACACAACATGGTGAAGAGAGTTTTTATGACTATACCTGGCTAAGAAATCTCTGTGGTGACTTCAAGAGGAAAGACATGGAGGGTTTTGTAAGAACTACCCAGTTATGCAAAATGGCTTGTGAAAAATGTTAATGCTTAAGTGTTTTCTCTGGTAAATTGCAGGGAGTTTACATTTCAGGGAGTGGACTCAGTAATTTTTTACAAATCTACTCGAATTTCATGAAGTTTCTATTTACAGTGCTCCTCCAGGCACTTTCATGAATCAGAACCTCATGGGGTCTGTCTTTTATAACCAGATTCTGGTACCTCAATTGGGTAAAACTGCTACCGTAAGGGTGATTTCTGACTACACGTGATGTTTCCATTTTTTGCACAGACATTGCTCCCAAATTCTCCCTTGATGACCTGAGAGAGTGGAGACACTTGAGTCTTAGTTAAAAATACAATTTTCAGGGCCCAACTCCAAGTTTCTGGACTTTGGGAGTGAAGCCAACTCTCTATGTTTTCACGATGGATATTTCCCCAGGATATTCTGATATATAACTGGATGGAAATATATGGCCTATGGCTAGAAAGGAAAGGAAATGAATAACAAATGTCTATTCCTGAAATGCTCAGAGTGAAACTTGAGAATAATTAACAACCTAATTCAGCAAAAATACTAAAAAGGACAAAAGAGAAAAATGATTAACACGCTTGTTCAAAGTAATCTAATAGGACAGTTGGTTTATGATCAAAACATTCCCTTTCCAGCGACTTCCAGATTCCCTATGTGTTGAAAACATAGGTAAGAAAAAGGAAATACACATTAAAATTCACACCTACCTTCTGAGATAAACAATCCTTGTCACTCATGTTGTCTATTCTAACTGACCCTCTTAAAATATGAATAAAGAGCCCTCAGTTTCTTCCTCTCCTACTAGTGGCTCTGAAGCCCACACTTCCTTATAGCATCACGGGAATGACTCAGAAAATGGAACTTTCCAGAAGTTCTGAAAGCTCCATCCACAGGGCTGCTCCTCTGAGGTCATAGACTTTAGCCATGCAAAGAGTTCCCTGGTAGAAAGAGAGAAAAGGGAAGCTAGAGAATGAAGAGGCAGCACTAGGTTCTGCTGGGCTTGCTGCTGTTCCTCCAGCGGTGGCCACTCTTCTTCTTTGCTACTTTTCCAGGAACACAGCAAATTCACTGTAGAGGGTAAATTGAAGCAAAGTTACATAATAAAACAGAGAAGAGGAAGCTCCCCACCCAAAAAAATACCCCTGGTGGCCTGAACTCTTCTCTCTTTTCCTCCCCAGTAGTCCTTGGTGGTGTTTGTTGGCAGGCCCAGGGGCCAGTAACTAGGCTTCAGCGTCTGTTGCTAAGGAAGGAGGGGCCTCTGCTGTGCCCAAATGCAAGACTAGGCTTGATTCAGCTCGGTGACCTGGTCTTTTCCTTTGCAGGAGCTGGTCAGCAGGAAGTGTTGACAGAGGGGGAGATTGAGGGTGTTCTGTAATGATGCAGGAATGCAGAGGTGAATGGCAACAAGGGCAGGTGTCTGGGGGAGGTCTAAATGCACACAGTATGGCAGCTAAATTCTTAGGCTTTTAAATGTAAAATGGCAGCGATGTGAAGACTACCACACAGAGTAAGTGTGAATGTTTAATGAGGTAATGCCTTAAATGAGATACTTGCACACAGGAGAAAGATAGCCAACTAATCCCAGTTTGGTGGGACCTTCTGGGTTTTAACCCTGTTAAGTCCTGCATCCTGTGAACCCCCTCAGTCCTGAGCAAATTGGGTCAGTTTGGTCACCCCACATAGAAGGCACTCTATATATGTTGTGGCTAAAACCATTCTTATAATAAATACAGACACACATACATATAGTCTCATGTACAAATTAATGGTATTAACCAGTGCCCAACATTTAAAACTCATGTCACATGGTTGTGTTCAAACTTCTCTCAAAACCAAGTTAGATTTATTGAGTCATTGGAGGTGTGATAAATATATATCTGGGTTTTTACACTAGATTTTCCTCAAAACTATCTGATATTCCCATCTGAGGGAGGAGAAGAAAGAAACAGAGACACATAACTTTCCTGAGTTGACATAATTCATGAGCGGTGCTGGTGCAACTTGAACCCTGTCCTTATTCCTCTGGAGTCCAGCGCTTTTCCCGTAGACCTGCCCAGAACACAGATGTTTCTGAGGTCCTCCCACAAATACTCAGAGCTCCAAGTTCTGCCACTTCTCCTTCTTTTTTCTTCCTCAAATTTGGGCTCTCCATACTTTCAAAACAACCCTGAGGTTCTGCATCACCCTATATTTCTCTCTACCATAAAGGACATAGACAGTTTCCAGAAGTGTTTGCAATCAATAAGCCAGTAGCAGAGTTTGAGACCTTAGATAGAAATGGGGTTTTTACCTGCCCTTCTGCAATGAGCATGAAATCCCATATTCCACAACACGAGCAGCCATGAACCAACAAATGAATAACTGGAAAGGGCCTCGCATTGGCTCATGAACTTCATACCCTGTGGGTGAGTAGGAGATAAGTTTCCATTTGAAATTTAGCATGCTCTAAGTCTGTGTTCAAGAACATCAAAGCAGTAATAATAGCTTCCATTTATTAAGCTATTCTTGCTGCTGGCACTGTGCTAAGCACTTAATGAGCATAATCCCTCAACAACACAGAGGATAGATGTCATGATTACCCCAAGTTTTGTGGCTGAGGAAACTGGGACACAGAGAGGTTAAGTAACCTGCCTAGAGTCACTCAGCGGGTTAGTGGTAAAGAGTCAAAATGCTTGAATCCATCCCTCTCCCCATTTTACAGATGAAGTCAAGGCTCAGAGGTAATTCATCCAAAGTCACACTTGAAACCAGAGCCCAGGAATGTTGGATCCTGGCCCATGGTTTTGTTACTGAGCAGTCCTGATATAAAACGGGTTGCCTGGCTGTGGGTCTGCACCCGCGCGCTTAAAAGGGACTTATGAATACTCCACTGCAGGCACACACAAAAGGTTAATAAAAAGTTTATTTACAAGGGAAGGGGAAATGAGGAAATGTGCAACTCAGGGAGAAAATAGGGAAATAAAGTCTTAAATGCGTCCTACCAGGTCCGCCGACCTGGAAACCCAAAGGCACGCTGAGAGCTGGCCGGGCGCCGTGAGCTGGCGGAGAGCCTAAAGGGGGACCCTCCCAAAGCCCATGTGTCTGGTTTTATACCAACCCTGGCTGCTTAACCCCACCCTCAGGTCCCAGCCACCTTCCCTTTGGTGGTGATGGGATTTGTCTTTCCCAATGTCCTGATGGCTTTGGTCTGGAGTGGGGGTGGAGGCCACAAAGCCTGTATGGAATTAGCTTTAGGACAGCCTTTTCCCCCTAACAGTTTTTACCAGGATGCTTTATGGCAGTGGGTCTCAACAGGGGTGGCTGTGATCTCCAAAGACATAGGACAATTTAGGGGGATTTTTTTTTTTTTTTGGTCATAACCCCAGGGGAAGAAGAGTACTAGTGGGTTAAGTCCAAGGATGTTGCTAAATATCCTATAATTCATTATGGAATCTTGCTGCAAGGATTTGACCAAAAGCCTACTTCCGACCTGAAGGTGGAAAATGAAGTATCTGCCAAACAGAATGAAAATACCAAATCCTCTCTCCTCACCCCAACCCCCGCCCCAGCCTCGCATGCACCAGAATTATTTGGCTTAACTTTCTGTTGGATAATTCCCAAGCAAGGATGTAGGCCTCAAGCCCCTCAATCCCCACCCCTACAACTCCAAATACATAGGTTTGCTAGATAAAACACAGGACACCCAGTTAAATTAGGATTTCGGGTAAACAACAAATAATTGTTGGGGTAAGTGTATCTCAGAAAATGAGACATATTTATACTAAAAAGTTATGTTGCACACTTGAAATTCAAGTTGAATTGGGGGTCCTCTATTTTCATTTGCTAAATCTGGCAATACAAGGTGAAGAGGTAAGCTAGGTTCCAGGTTGTCCCCATTTCTGTGGCATTAACAGCCTAGGGCCTCAAATCTATTGCCAAGAAATTTTCACACATTTCTTATTCAGAGCCTGGTGATCTTGGCTGGCCTTTTCTAAATTCTGAAATACTTGCTTATCCAAAATAACCATGGAAAGGTATAGAAGAATTTGCACATGGATTTCTTTAATTGATCCATCATTATTGGCCATTAATAACCAAGTCCTCCTGATGTTACCGTCCCAGGCATCAGGGAATACAAAATGTGGTGGAGGCAGCAGCCAACACACAGGAAAAGCAAAACCTGGTTCACTTGACAAAAATGCCAGCGGTAGGAGGAATTGGAGGGGTCACAGAGTCGCCCCTAGATGGCACCCTTGAACAAAAATCTCAGTGGCCGCCTCAATTCAGATTTTCAAAGTATCCCAATATTTGGCCTAAAGGAAGAAACAAAAATCAAAACCATCCTTTTCCTAGGCGGGGCACCCACCATTCTGCAGCTGAACAAAGTGCAGGAAGCTAGATAAAAATTGCTTGAACTTCAGAATTTAAGGCCATTTAATAGTTCATGTTTCCTGTCTCCATCAGCCACCCTTTCTAAGCCTTGGAGATAAAGCAAGATCACTTATTAATTTTTGGTATCCCCAAGTACATTTCTCTATCCACAACCCTGATAATTTCTAGAAATTTGAGTTGGTTGAAGTAACATCATGGAATATTTTGAATCCAACCATGTTCCAGGTAGGTGCTAAGTTCTTTAGCCATCGTGGTTCTAGTCTTCACTACAAACCTGCGATTGCTTTTCTCTTTCCTAAAGGGCTATTTTCCAGGTCTCTATGGGCACAGGTCACTCAGGAGAGGTGGGTCCACCCGACCCTGGATGAAAAATGTCTCATAACTAGTTCATAGCAGATTACTGCTTGAATCCAGCCCTCTCTCTGTTTTACAGCTGAAGCCAAAGCTCAGAGCTGATTCACCCCAGGTTACGCCTGAAACCAGAGCCCAGGACTGTTGGGCCCCAGCTACACTTTATGGCTGTGGGTCTCAATGGGGATGACTGTGATCTTCGCCCAGATCTGACAATGTTTGGGGATATTTTTAGTGGTCACAAGTGGAGGGAAGGAGAGTACTAGGGGTGGAGGCCAGGCATGCTGCTAAAACCCCTTGGTGCATTGACAGCCCCCACAACACAACACAGGAATGCTCCCACAAAAGGTCCACAGGCTGCCATTGAGAACCCCTTCCCTGTGTGTTCTGCTTTGGCATTGGGGGATTTGGGTTTAGTCACTTTGCCTCTCCGGCACTAGATTTTCCATCTATAATCCAGATTCTTTTTTTTTTTTTTTTAATTTTTAAAAATTTTATTTTATATATTTTTTACATCATTTTTCATTTTTGCACAATGTATGCATTTTCATCTTGGTTATAGTCCCCATACAATTCCCACGCCCCTTATTTTGACCCTAATCCCTCCTTCCCTCCCTCCCCACGTAGTGTCTCTGGTTTAGAGTTGTTTGTTGATTTTGATTTTTACTTTATTATAATTAGTCTTTTTCCTGGCCCCTTAAATAGATGACTGGATCAAGAAGATGTGGTACATACAGACAATGGAATATTACTCAGCCATCAAAAAGATAAAGTCATGCAATTTGCAGCAACATGGATGGCGCTGGAAGGGATCCTGCTCAGCCAAATAAGGCAGAAAGAAAAAGAAAAACACCGGAGGGCTCCCTCACAGCAGGAGTCCAGAACCCAGATTCTTAATATACGTATTTGAGAAGTAAAGCTTAGAGCCTTCCAGGGACCGCCATACCTCATCACTGTGTGTCCTGACCTGAGGGCGGCTCCAGAGGGCTGGTTCGGGGTATTTGGGGGTGGGGGGAGCCCTAAGACCCGGGGAAAGGCCTCTCTCAGCCGCAAGCCACCTTCCTCTGTGGCCGGGCATTCTCACTCCACGCCAGGAAGCTAAGAGGGCAACTCTCTCGGAGCCTTGGTTCGTTCATCTGTAAACGTCTTTGCTCTCGTCATGGTGGCGCCAAAAGGCTGAGGGAAAGAGAGCGCCTCGCTGGGCCAAGGCCGCTTCCCCGCGACGCTTCCGGTGGACGGCGCGAGTCGGGAGGCGAGCGCGCGTCGAGGGGCGGGGCTTAGGGGCGGGGCTTAGGAGGCGGGCCCCCCTGATGAGGGGCGGGGCTTCGGTGTTGGTCCCGCGGCTGGGGGGCGGGACTTCGGGGCGCGTCCTGCGACCGAGGGGCGGAGATGGGGGGGCGGGCCCGGGGCTGAGGGGCGGGGATTAGGGCGCGTCCTGCGACCGAGGGGCGGAGCTGAGGGGCAGGCCCGCGGCTGAGGGGCGGGGATTAGGGCGCGTCCTGCGGCCGAGGGGCGGAGCTGAGGGGGCGGGTCTCGAGTCCGAGGGGCGGAGCCCTCGGCCTGGGGGCGGGCTCTAGGGGCGGGGCCAATGTCAGGGGCGGGGCCTGGGCGGAGGTAGGCGGCCGCGCCGGCCCGAGGAAACTGGCTCCGGTGGGGTCCTGGCCGCAGTGACCCCCTCCTGTCTCCTGCGCCTCCCTTCACGCGGCAGGCTAATGCCGGGGCAGCGCGGCTGCCGGGACCAGGTGAGAGCCCGCGTTGGTGCTGGGAACCCAGGCCGGCGAGACCCCCTCCCCGGGCGGGGCAAGCAGGAACTCGGGATCGGCGGGTGGAGCCTGGATCGGGGTCCCCGGCCTGTGGGCCTGTCCGCGGCGGGGTAGTGAGGGGAGTCATCCCCCAGGCCCTGGGGCCTGCGCCGCCCGCACTGCCCTACCGCTAGTTTTGGTAACAGGATTGCTACCCTCCCCCACCCCACGGAGACCCCGCTCTTCCTGGGGAGACTGGCTGGGGGGTCTCTTAACCCCTTTCCAGGAATCATGAAAATGGGCACCTCCTTCCACCGGGGCCTTCTCCACCGAGAACCCCCTTCCCCGTCCCTGCAGAGACTCCAAGTACCAAAGGCGGATTTTCCTCTCCTAATTAATAACGGGGTACTCGACTCCCCCCTGAACTTCCACGTCTGCTTCTGTGCCCCCTCGGGCGCGGGGCCCCTCTCCATCTGCATCACTCCCTCTGACTCTCTCCTCGGGTCCCCCCGGACTGGGCTCCTGCACCCCCTCGTCGTCGTCAGACACTGAAAGACCGGGGTCCGGCAGGGAAGAGGCGTCTGGGGGAGCCGGGCCGAGGCGTCCCGCTGTTCCCATCCACCTACCGAGGTGCTACACCTCCGCCTCCCAGCTGGAACGTTGGGGGAGCCGTTTGCGGGGAAGTTTTGGGGAGCTTGGAAAGGGAGGGGCCGAGTGGTTGTTCTCTCCAGGCGTTGAGCAAGCACTGGACTTGTGGGCTGCGTGGGCTTAACGCGACTTCTCAATGCTTGGGGAAACCCCTCCCACGAGAGGGTGATCGGGCATCTGGGCATTGTCCCCTGGAACAGAATCCTTTAGGCATTTGTACTACTGAGGTCAGGAGATCAAACTGCAAAGGGAGGAATGGAAAATATCTCTCTGTCCAGCCCTACAGTTGTTCTGGGAAACATAAAATAAGAAAGATGTGTTTGTTTACATGAAAATCCAAGAAAGGGCTAAGTAGATACCTAATTTAACAAATTGATGACTGGAGCAATGGCATTCTTCCCAGGCTTGCCCAGGTCCAACTCCCCAAACCAGTCCGGGCACTCTTGACTTTCCCAGGCCCCAGGACACCTGTAAGGGGAGCTGGACTTGTTTCTGCCTGCTGCAGAGAAGAGTGCTGGGAACATCCCAAATTCAAGTTCAATGCCAAGTGCAGCTTCCAAGGCAGAATATGCAGGTGGAGAGGTTAATCCGCTCCTGTCCAAGGGGTTCCTGTTTTCACTAAAGGGATTGTAGTAGAAGACCTTTAGCCGAGGTGATTAAAATGTGCTTTAATTTGCATACTAGACCTGTAGGTACTAGTTCACCCCCAGTAACTCACATCAACTTGTGGGATACTCAACATGGTAAATAAATGTGAGGCGCTCTGCTATTTTTGTCCACTGTAACAGAATCTTCTAGGCATTTGTACTATATAGGTCAGGAGATCATTTACAAGGGAGAAATAGAAAACATCTCTCTTCTGTCCAGCCCACAGTTGTTCTGGGAAATATAAAATAAGAAAGATGTGTTTGTTTATATGAAAATCCAAGAAGGGCCAAATAGATACCTAATTTAACAAATTGCTTTGATTAAAAATAATTATGGGAGGTTAGAACAGTCCTGGAAATTCCCTGAGGCTCCTCACTTGTTAGGGGAAAGAGACTTACACAAGAAGATAAAAAAATGATTGATGGCAAAATGAAATTGGGAGCCAACCTGTTTCATGTGAGTAGTAAACAAAGAAATGGGCCAAGGTCTCTGTTGTTTGAGAAAGGCCTTCTTGGGGGAGAGAAGCAGTGGTATTTGAAATAGTGTCTTCAGCTTTCTAGCTTTCTTGTATATTCTTTTAGCACTTTAGGCTAAAAAATATCAGCTCCCTGAGATAATGTCATTATGTTATATGTCCTTGTAGGACATATATACCTAAACATAAAGATACATGTTTGATATATTTACTATATATTTTTTTAAAGATTTATTTATTTTCATTTATTTATTTATACAAGCACTGGGTACAGTCAGAGTGCGGGAGGGCGAGAGAATTCACTAGAACCAGAGCGGGGAGCAGAGCAGGCAGACTGATGAAGTACACTGCTGAGGGGAGCAGCGGGCGGCAGGAGAGGTCTGCGCACCATGTGGGACCCTCCTCCGGTGGCCGGGGAGCAGCTGGGGACCGAACCGGCGCTGCAGAGGCTGCGGGCAGCTTTGCAACCCAGCGCTCAACCGCTGCGCCACCCGGGAGACCCTATTTACTATATTTTTAATATAATTTTATGGAGTATTTTTTTTTCACTTTTCATAGATGTTTTCATGTTACTAAATAACCACATTATCATTTTAATGACTGTACAATAACCAATTTCCTACTAGTGGAGTTAGTGTCTTTCAAGTGTTTTTACTATTCTATATTATAAACAGTAATGTGATGCTCAACTTTTTTTATGTTTTGACATTCCTGTTTATTTCCTTTCTATTCCTAGAAAATAAATTGTTGGGTCAAGGTATGTGCAAATTGAAATTTTAGTAGTTATTGCAGCTTGCCCTCCACCTGCACGCCCACCTTTAGTGTATGAGGGTAGTAAAAGCTCCTGTTGAACTGGTTAGTGAACAGCATTAGTGGCTTAAGATACTTTATGTTTTAACCAATGACAGCAAGAGACCAGATGACATGAAAGATTCCAGTGTGCCCTACAACGGAAAGAGTATTGGTAGAAGAAGTAATCCCTAAAGTGACTGAAATAGCTTTCAGGATGGAGAAAGAGGAGCCCCCAAGCGCCTCAAAAGAATTGCAAGAGCTGCAGAGGAAGTTATCCTTGCTGATGGAGTTCATCCAGGGTAACTCAAAGGTCAGTTCCAATCATTACATATAACGGAAAATTGCTAAATGACTCTAGCTTAAATGCTACAGAAAGTTATGTCTCTCTCAAGTAGAATAAATTGGGAGGTAGCTTGGGAATCTTTCTGACTTACCACCACACTATGTCCAAATTGTGACCTTTAGACTCACTGTCCAAGGTGGCTTCTAGAACATCAGCCATCATACCACGTTCCAGGCAGTAGAATGGAGGAGAGGAGAGAAGACAGACTTACAAACTACCTCTAAGTCATGGAGGCTAATTCCTGGAGACTCTTTGCATAACATCTCTATATGCCAAGCACCGTGCCAGGCATTTGGTATGTCTTATTTAGTATTCACATCCACTGTCTGAGGTGGAGGCATTTCTAAGCATATGAAGTCTGGCTTCTGGGCATTTCTTCACTTCTGAGAACCTCAGCTCTAGTCCCTAGGATAGCTTTGGCCTAGATGACTTCCAGGCCAGCCAGCTCCCATACTGATGGAGCAGATTATTAGTTGGCAAACTCCTGATCTCCAAATTATCCTGAGGTAGAGTGGTTCCTTTAAATATTTTTTATTGTATTAATTGAAGGAATTAATATTAATTTTATTAACAACTCAAGAGAGTGATATTGGAAGAAAAAAGAAAGCAAATCTCCTGGATACCTGCCACTAACAAATCCAGAGGTGGTCATGATGATGATATATAATTTTTATATGTAGTGGCTATAATCATGGCAGATGTAGTTCTCTTTACTTTGGCTTGATATCGTAGAGTGCTGTTTCTCCTTATGAAGTGCCATAGAACCTCCTCGCAGATCGCCTTGTTATAATTCACATAGCTTTCCTTTTTTTCTGGAATATTTAGATGATTTCTTCCCCATCCTCCCACCCCTGGGATTTTTCACTTTTCCTCAGATGTTAATAAGCCCTTTAAATTCCAGATAAGAACAGATGGGCTTCCAAGTGTGTGAAACAAAGTCATCATCTCTTCTCGGAACTCTCGGAAATGCATTGTCAGATCTTAACTGTCTTACTTTTAAACTCAGAGAGTTAGAAACCTGCTCAAAATAGCTCCAGCCAACAAACACACAAATGGAGGCACCTGCCAGGACTTCGGGAGCAGGGAAGCCATCTTTGAGGCCAAGGGTGGGAAGTGGAGGGCTGAGCCTCAGGTGGGTACAGAACCTGGGTCTGTCAGGTGGTTGGGCTCAGAGCTAACAGTCAGCCTGCCCTGTCATGGCCCATGTTCTGTCTCGTCGTAGCTTTTTCTTGTGTGTCTGTGTCACTCGCCTCTCTTGGCAGCCTGACTTCTTTGGCTGTCCCATTCACATGGGCAGACATGACTTCCCAGCTCACTCCAGCTGAAGCCCTCTGAAGGGTCTGGTCTGGGAGTGCCAGTTCCTAGAAACAAGAATCTGTTTGACCAGCTTCACCTGCTCACCTGTGGCTGAGGGGCTGGCAGGTGGGCCGGGGCTCTCACTGCTCTGAGAGGGTGCCATTTTCACAGAAGAGGAGGAGAGGTGAAGCCTGGACCGGGCGGATGCCCTCCCTCCCCATGTCATCTCCTTATCTGGATGACCTGTGGCAAAATACTTTCGCTCATGCTGGACCTTTCCTGCCATAAAGGATGTTTTTGAACTAGTGCCCCAGCACCTGTGAATCACATTCACGGGTTCCCCAGCACCACTGAGTCACATTCGAGTGGGCACCCAGGCATAGTCATGGTGGAGAAAACTTCACACAGCATCTTTGATTCTTTGATGTGTGATATTGTTATAGAGCAACCCCGATATTAAACGGGTTCCTGGCTGTGGGTCCTCACCCGCGCGCTTTAAAGGGACTTATGAATACTCCACTACAGACACACACAAAAGGGTTAATAAAAGGTTTATTTACAAGAGAAAAGGAAATAAGGAAAATGTACAACTCAGGGAGAAAATAGGGAAATAAAGTCTTTAATGCGTCCTACCCGATCCGACGACCTGGAAACCCAAAGTCACTCTCAGAGCTGGCCGGACGCTGCGAGCTGGTGGAGAGCCCAAAAATGGGGGATCCCCAAAGCCCACGTGTCTGCCTTTTGTATCCACCTGGCTGCTTAACCCCACCCTCAGGTCCCAGCCACCTTCCCTTGGGTGGTGATGGGATTTGGAGTTCCCAGTGTCTTTGGCTTTGACCTGGGGTGGGGGTGGAGTCCACAAAGCCTATATGGAATTTGTTTGGGACATCCTTTTCCTAACAGTATGATTCTCTTCTCCCCTCTGGTAGCCAAAGACCTGATTATCTCTTGCATTCTGACAGCAGGGCCTGTCTCCTGAATAGTTCCAGATGGAGATTTCATGTCCTTAAATACTGAGGTGCTCTTCCAGGCTTGACAGAGCCCGGCACGGCAGCGGGCAGGCTCTCCCAGCCTGGTGTCCCTGGGTTCTTCACTGCAGCACCAGAAAGTCTAGGTGGGACAACGTGTGCCGCTTCTTGGCTGGCGATGGTAAAGGGCAGGGCACTTTACTGCACTTTTACTGCAGTTACTACATAGTAAACTCGCCTACTCTCCATTCTCCCCTGTCCCCCCTGTTGCCTTGAGAATGAAAAGTTAATTGCTGTGTTCTGTTCCCCTAGATTTACAAAATGTTAAGTTGTTCCTCCTAGCATTGTAGGGAGAAATAAATGAGGGAATTCAGTGAAAGCACTTGAGAGAGTGGTTGGCACCTGAACGTTTAATGAATGTTCTCTATTATGAGGCATAAGTGAATCCTGTCCTCCCCTTCTGTGGCTGACTGGCCCCTGCAGGGTCTTTATTCCCTTCCTGGGGAAAGTTAATTGCTGGGCTTCACACTGTGCCTCTTAAAATGGTCTCTGCATATCTGAATGACTTTCTTTCTTTCTTTTTCTTTTTTGGGGGGGGGAGGAGGGCTGTGTGGCTCAGACCCAAGAAGCCAAGAACAAGTAGATTCCTTAAGGACTGGAAGCAGAACCATCTGGCTTTTCTCCTCCTTGGTCCGCATGCCAAACTCCCCAGTGCTATTGATTTTTCTCTGTCAGTCTGGATTTGACTATCAGTGTCTCATGCCTGATTTCCTGCACATCTTCCAGATACGACTGGCAGCTTCACCTTCTTAGATTATCCCTTTGATTATATCACAGTCCAGTTCAAATGCTCTAGTTTGCTCCCTGAGTGGTGGTTTTTTTCCTGGATAAAGTATATTATATTATTTTTTTTAATTATCCTGGATAAGGTTTAAATGAACGCTTTTCAATGAAAGTATGCGAGCCTTGTATAATTAAAATTTTATCATAGTCACATTAACAAATGTAAAAGCAGGTGAAATTAATTTTAGTATATTTTAAATAACCCAGTATCTACAAAGCAATATAATTTCAACATGCAGTTATATAAAAAAGCCATGGATGAGATATTTTACATTTTTTAATATACTTAGTGTACATTCGAATTCAGATGCTTGTGTCCACTAGAAATTCTACATCTCTGTTCAAATTTCATAAAATTTACAGTGAAAAACTTATTTGAAACATATCTGATTTATTTGAAATGTAGATAAAAATTCCCAATGACTGAATCCGAAGTCAGTAGTTATTCACTTATTTATTTTCATTTTTTATCTTTGTGTAACCTTAATTTTACATTGTCTACTACCGCACCAATCCTTTCATCTACAAAATGGTCATTTTGATAAAAGTATTAAAAAGTTAAAAGTGTAGTCACTATCTCATAACTTCTAAGAGTTTTTTAAAAAAAATTTATTGAAGTAACAATGCATTGTAACATTGTATAATTTTCAGATGTGCATCATTATAAATATTTGAATATACTACATTTATTTCACCACTAAAAGTCCAGTTTTATCCTTTACCACACAATTTACTCCTATACCTGATTGAGCCCCACCCCCCTTCATCCTTTCCCTTCTGGTAACTGCTAATTTGGCCTTATAGTTCATTTCTTTGTTCAAATACCAGTTTTTTAGTTAAATTAAAAATGCAGTTTATGAGTCACAGTAACCACCTTTTAAGTGCTGAGTGGCCACATGGGACTTCACTACTAGGGAGCCCTGGGAAAAGCCAGGCCTGGCATCCTGGTATCCCCACCTCATTGCTCCCCTCACTGAGGATTCTGGGTCTCTTGATTGTGAGGATCTGAAAGAACAGTTCAGCCTGGCAGATGCCACCTGGGGCATGTAAGAATTCAATGGACCAGAGTTGGAAAGCAGTCAAGATCCGAGACAGCTGGGGGATCCCATCCCTGGGGCTCCTTCTCCTGTATTAGCTCATCTGCCTCCCTCTCACCTCTTAGCTTCAGCCACCCTAACAGGAGCATCTCACTGGACTCAGATGCTAGAGAATACCTGCCCAGAGGCCTTTCCTGGGGACAGTCACCTCTGGATAGAGAAGCTGAATAACCTCCTCCTTGGGAGCTTTTGTTAGAAAGGAGTAGCCAAGGCAATGCTGCCAGCCATGGAATGCAACCTGTGTGTTCTTTGGCCTAGCTGTGAGACTTGTCCTGCCTCAGAGTTCTCTTCAGGAGGCAAGGCTGGAGCCCCAGACAGAAGGCTGCCGCCTTGTGGAGCAGCCTTTCCCACTTGCCCCTAAATTCTCATCATCAAAAAAAATTTTTTTTATTGAAATAACATTGTAAATTCCCACCATTGGAATCACATGGGTGAACAACTGTTTCTAGAAGGCAGGTATGTTCCAATTAGTCTGTGATCATTGCAGCTTGAATTAAACCTTCATTTCTACTTCTGGCCTTCAAGATCCTAAGGAATGAGACACAGGAAGGACCAGAGTAGATGGGGAAAAGTTCTGGAAACGTTCAAGGGAACAGGAACTGGCAAGCCAGTTCCTGAGGAGAAAGAGAGCATGGGGCCTACCAAGAGGGTCAGCCCATCCATGTGGGGTTGCCCTGGCTCAGCTCTGCTTCAAGGCAGCCCTTGAAGCACGTGCACATATGGAGGTAGATGTTGTACCCCCAAAATTATGCAGTTATGTAAATGACAGGAACATACTAAAAGGCAGCCCTCCTCCTCTGAGCCAGATCCAAAAATCCCTTTTGCTTGGTGCGGGAAGATAACTTATTACATGCTCTTGCAATCGTCAAGAAACTGTGGCCTGATGCAGCGCTATGACATAAAATCAGCCTGATGCAGGCTGATGACATAAAAATACATTTTTTTTCTCATGAGGTGGCAACTATTGCTGCCATTCAGACTAAAGGGCCCAACTTTGAGTGCTTGGATTTTGCCGCGTAGAGTGACTCCCGTCAAGACATTTAGTCAACTGTTTCTCAAATGTTATGTACAGATCACCTGGGGGTCTTGTGTTATGTACAGATCACCTGGGGGTCTTGTTAAAAAGCAGAATCTGATTCAGCAGACGGCGAGTCTACCTTTCTGACATGCTCACAGGTGGTGAGCAGGTCCAGGGCTTCACCTCTCTGTGCCTCAGGCACCTCAGCTATGGAGACACCAGCTGTGAAGTTGGGGGCACGTTGTTTGCACATCACACCTGTGCACACATATGTTGAGGGTCTTCCAAGAAGGCGTGTGGTCAATGGTAGAGACAGGAGCACATCTTTTTACTGGACTTGAGCTTGGGTGGGCCCTCACACGCGCCACCTGCCACGGCTGCCTAAAGCTGTTGCCGGGTGACTCCTGTCTTGGGAGGATTAATGGGTTGACTGCGGAGGAGCTGCCTCACCGCAGGCTTTCCTGCTCAAGTGGCTCCTCAGCATGGGATGCAGATGTAGCTTCAGTCTGGCTCTTTGTCCTTTGCCCACAGGTGGTCGCCTTTATGAAGTCTCCGGTGGGTCAATACCTGGACCGGCACCCTTTCCTGACCCTCGCTGTGCTGGTGTTTCTTGCTGTGATGGCTGTTCCTCTTGGATTCTTCCTGTTTCTCACATTGCTTGCCTCCCTGGCTGCTTTGGTGGGAGTCATACTACTAGAAGGTACCTGCTCAGTTATTCACACCTGGAAAATGGCTCCCAATAAATACTGGGAGGACAGTATTTATTGGACATCTGCCACTCTTATCAGAGCTTCCTGTTCTTGTCAAAGTCACAGCAACCAGGCAACTTATCAGAGTAGTTAAAACATGGACTCTGGTCTCCACATCAGTGTTCTACTTCCACCAGTGCCATTTTGGGCAAGTTAGTTCCTCTATTAGAACCTCAAAATACTCATGTATAAACAGGGATGTAAAATTCTGTCTCAAAGGGTGGTTGTAAGGATTGAAACCTATAGTTCCAGAAAGTGCTTGGCACCATCTGTGGCACAAAGTATATTCTCCATGGATGCTCACTACTGTCATTAAACAGGAAGGCCTTTCACCCACCACTAATTACTGGGCACCTGCAAACTACAGGGTACTAAAGTCCCACTGCTGACAGTCACTTCTCCTGGCTTTGCTAAGTTAAAATTACTGAGGAAGCAGATCTGATTGGCTCAGTTTGCCTTTTCAAATAAGATCACAAACCAGGGCCTCCCCTGGTGGCGCAGCGGTTGAGCGCTGGGCTGCGAGGCTGCCCGCAGCCTCTGCAGCGCCGGTTTGTTTCCCAGCCACTGGCGAGGGTCCCACAAAAAAAAAAAAATCACAAATGACAAGCTACAACAAGCCAAAGAGGTGGTTATCATTGGTCAGGGGGTCCCCTCTGACTCATTCTTTGGCTTCCCAGAGCTATGGGCCCCCAAGGTGGTTTCTCTGCCCCAGGGACTGTGAAGAAGGTGTTTTATACTTGGAGGAGGGGATGCAGGAGCCAAATGCCATCTGGCAATGTTGTTCTGGTAAATATTGACAGAGAGATGTCAAATAAATGAGTGCAATAGCAAAAGTAAACTTAGAAAGAAAGAAGAGAGCCACCACATTTTGGTCGTATCATGCAAAGAAAGGCCTTTGTGGAGAAGATGAACAGCATGGGCACAGTGTGTAAATCAGTGGGTCTTGAACTTGTGTATACCTAAGTGTTACTTGCTTTTTAGAAAATGCAGACTCCTAGGCCTCATCCAGAAGTTGTTTAAAGTCTAGAGTGGGTCCAGACTTTTTGTCTAAATTTTCAACAAGCCTCCCTGATGCATCTGGTTCTGCTATAATGGTGGTTGGCCACACTTTGAAAACCATGGGTCTAGGAATTTAAAAGATTTCCTTGAAGGAATTTAAAAATCTACCACATCTCTTCATGTTTTCTGTTTTTCTCCTTTTTTCAGGGGCCAGCCCTGAAACTGTCCCTGTGGCCATGGAGATGGACACTGGCTGTTTGTCTATTCCCATGCCCAGGGAAGGCTGTAAACCTGACAGCATTTGCCATGTTATCAGTTCTATATTGAAAAGAGGGATTTTGGTATGAGGAAGGCAAGGGAATGTGCTGAGCAGACAAAAACTACCATTTTTGATAGTCAAGTCATTTACTTGTCATGTCAACACTTAGAGGCCATTATTATTATTATTATTATTTTAAAGATTTATTTATTTATGTATACAAGCACCGGGTACAGTCAGAAGCGCTGGAGGGTGAGAGAATTCACCAGAGCCTGAGCAGGGAACAGAACAGGCAGACTGACGAAATACACTGCTGAGGGGAGCAGCGGGAGCAGCAGGAGAGGTCTGCGCACCATGTGGGACCCTCGCTGGCGGCCGGGGTTCTAACCGGTGCTGCAGAGGTTCTAACCGGCTGGGCAGCTTTGCAGCCCAGCGCTTAACCACTGCGCCACCAGGGGAGGCCCAGAGGCCATTATTATTAGACCCTGTTTATTTTTTAAAAAAGATTTATTTACTTATGCATACAAGAACTGAGGTGTAGGTCAGAGGTGCAGAGGGTGGGGGGCAGCAGTGAGAAGATTTATCAGAGACAGAGTGGGGAACAGAACAGGCAGATCTACTGAAACACACTGCTGAGGGGAGCAGCAGGCAAGACAGGAGAGGCCTGCCTCATTATGTGGGTCAGCTCCCTGGTCAGGGATTGAACTCGTGCTGTGGTGGCTGCAGAGAGCTTCATAGTGCTGAGACTTAACCCCTTGCACCACCAGGGACCCTGTACCCTGTACCCTGTTTATAGATGAGTTAGGCTAGAGCTCCAAGAGGCCCAGCATCACACACCAAGTGACTTAACCAGGATGAGGTTCAGGCACGTCTGCCATGAAAGTCCATGTTCTTTCCTGTGTGCCTTTTGCTGTTCCCTCCCTTTCCCCAGGGTCCCACATCATGAAAACTGTACTGGCAATTTAGCTGATGGTATTTCATTAATATTCCCATTAAAATGATTTAATGGTGGGTAAAATGACCGATCAGATGTGATGATCGGCGTGTGATAGCCACTAATATCTAATTGGTAAGTTAATACCAGCCTGCCTTATAAAGGATATAATCAGAAGCTACATTTAGATTCCACTTCATTTAGCTGCATTGCCTTTATACAGACAGATCATGCAGGTGGTTGTTAAGTATAAATTATAGAATCATTAGAGGTGATTTATCTCCCCCATTACTGTCTTGATTAACTCCTAGAACATTCCACTGGGGAGCCCATCCCCAACCTTGAAGATGAGAGGGGGCCTCAAATTCAACCTCCCATGGGCATCACCAGTGACAAAAATGAACCGAGCTGTCCAAGCGTAATGCTGTTGGGAATGGGGGGCCTGAGGAAGCTGCGGGGATGCCCACTCAGTTAGATCATCTCCTTTTTAAGTGATGCTGGAATCCTCCATTCCAAACACAGTGACCCAGTCTGAGAGCTTCCAGCCCGTGTCAGAGGAATGCTTCTAACCCTCTCTCCTCTAGGACTGGTCCTCTCCATGGGCGGCCTCTCGCTGTTTTGTATCCTCTGTGGCTTGGGCTTCATGTCACTCGCCATGTTGGGGACAATCCTTGTGCCCTGCCTGGTGGTCTCCAGCCTCATCAACTACTGGTTTTCTCCCAGGTGAGTACATCTCCATAGCTCCCCAGCCTCCAGGCAGCATCTAGCAGGGGAGTTCTTAGCATTGTTAGGGGCGGGGGGAGGGGATGGTTCTCGTAGTTTCTCATGATGGCAGACATCAAATGGGAATTTACAAGGAACTTTAAAGCTCCCAGCCCTCATGGGCATTGGGGTGGCACTTCACCCTCACTGGGAAGACCCCTGCGGGAGCTTTGTGCCCAAGGCCCAGCTGGTTCGGTATCTGGAATGGTGGCCACCCTGCACCTTCAATGAGTCTCTTACCATAAATGATTTTGTTACTTCATGCATTGGTCATTTGGACAATATTGGTTCATTGAGTGATGCAAATTTTCCACATACACTCCAAGTAACTCCACTCTGTGAGAGAATGAGAGTGAAAAGTGCATGAGGGCACACTGTATTTATAGTATGTTCTGTTATGAAAATAGTTGTTACCTTGAAACCCTTGCACTAGTATTTCTTTAAAACTGAAGAAACAGGTAACTTCTTTGTTAAATGAGCCAAAGCACAAGGGAGGGGAGAAGGACAGAAAAAAAGAGGAACTGTGCACTATATTCTAGGAAACAAATGGAATTTGGCTGCTAATACAAAAGATCATACAACAATAGGGAAGAAAAATAAAAATAGCCAAACTCATGAAAATCGACTTAACGATTTTTGTAAAAAATACACTGACCTCATTCCATGTAGAAAAATGGGCCTCAGAGAAGGGAATCCATGCTGCTTTGTTAGGGAATCCACAAGGCCTCTCAGGATTTGCAGAAGTGGGGAGTCAGGGAACCTGGGTCTCTTTGTACAGTGACCACATCTTATAAATTATTAATACTTCCAATTAACTCAATCTCCTAAAACAACCAGAGCATCTTAGCCACCTCACATCATTATCCAAGAATAGTTAAGTCTTCCTTCTAACTTTTTGTTATCAGGTATGAGTGCTTTGGATGGCAAGAAATGAAAAAATCTAAATGAATACTAACTTGAACAAATACGGGTTTGTTTTTATTGGAGAAGAAAAAGCTGGAGATAGCCAAGGCTCATACAGTCACCCCATGGTGTCATCAATGAATTGAGCACCTTATGCCTTGCCACCCTGAGTACATTGGTTTGTCGTTTCATGGCCACAAAAAAGCTGCCACAGCTCCAGCTGTCCTAACTACATTCAAGGTGATGATGGGAGGGGGAAAAAAAATATGAGTCCTCCCTCATCAGCTGAATGCAACTCTTTTTATCAAGGAAGTGAAATCTTTCCCAAGACCTCTCCCTATCCTCCCTCAACCGATTTCCTTGGTTGGAAATTGATCAAATGACTAAGCTGGAGGAGAGGCTGGGATATGAACTGTAGCTTTCTCAGCCTCTTTGGTTAAACCCACAAGGAGAAGAGTCTTGGGAATGTGTGTTGTCAACCAAGCCCTGGTGTGTGCCACAGTTTGGAGAACTAGTCCATAAATCCACTCACATTAACATCAGTGATGCCCTCATTCTTCCCTTGGAAGCCTACTGCCACAAGGACTAAAAAAGATAGACCTATTTTTTTCCTTCCTCAACCCACCTTCTGTTTGTTGAAGTCAAGAAGTGGCCAACAAATTAGAATTGGAAGGTAGGAGTCTGGCTGAGTCGCAGCTCTGACATCCTTCAGTGTGTGACTTTGAACACACTGGCAACCTAGGCTGCTCCTGTGCCAGCCTGCTCATGGGTTGTTGTGAGGAAAATGCGAGATACCATTTAGAAGAGAGGCCATAATCCCTGCCCCTAACTCTGTTGTTTTAACCTCTTGTTAATTTGCATGTGTGTAAAAGCGGTGTATCCCCAAATCTGGTGTGATTGCAAAGAGTGACTAAGAATAACCCAGCAAAGAACACCACACATTCAGGTCTGTACACTCTCAACGTTGTTGTCTAAGGAGGCCCACAAGCTAACCATGTCCTCTTATCACCAAACAGAACCCTGACCCAGGAGATTGCCAGTGATGACAGCCCTCAGGCTATGAAGTCGGTGAACTTAAAGGGGCTCTAGCAGGAGTGACCACTGCAAGGAAGGATGCTGTCTCCGTGCACCTCAGGAGTCTGGGATCAGCACTCAGAGCTGGGTCATCAGCCCTCCAGAGAGGCACCCTCCAGTTTCTTCACCGTTCCACATTCCTTAAGTGCTCAATTCGGGGATCTTGTTGACAGCTGGGGATCTTGGTGGTCTTGCATCGGTTCTGTCAGCTGACCCACCCTCACATGGAGAATCGGCAGACAACCCAGATGGTTCAACAGCCCCTCTTGCTCTCCCACCCTCCCTGCCATGGTGCACTTGACCTTGGCAGATCTCAAACCCCTAGAGCCTGGCCACTTTACCCAAGGCTCATATCTTGTGTCCAGAGCTCCAGTTTGGGGCAGTATTGAGTTGTTTTCTCCTTTTCATTTTTTAAAGCTGTGAGAAAAAAACTTTCTTTACTCATTTGAAACAAGAGGTGGCAGGGAGGGGGGTAATTCAAAACAGAACAAGCTCTTCTGCCTTATTAGCTTTTTATCAGAAAGACTGGCAACATTTGGGAATAATGGCTCAGACAACATTGGAAATAGAATCCAAACTTAATTTTATGGCCAAGAGCAGTTTTGAAAAGGTCTGAAGGTATTCTTTCCACTTTGAGTACTGTTAAGTGCTGTTACTCTTTTGAATAATATTTGCCCTTGATACTTTTGTATTGTTTTAAAGAACTTGTGAAAATGCTGACGTTCTATAACATTTTTTAAAAATCTTAAGGGGTTTCTACTTCAGTGGTTTATACTCTGTGGTATTTTATTAAATAAATATTTATTCAGATGAGCTTTTTTTTTTTAGTTCGTCATATCCTGTCTTTAGACAGGAGACCTGTTTTTAATCTTTTCTGTTAATTTCATGGCAGGTCCTGGGTAATATGGCATTTTTAGTTGTTAGTGATACTCAACTCGAAGTGGTTTTAAGATTGGGGTGGGGGCAGGTGAGGGAGGGATTCATTTCACTCAGCTGAAAAGCCAAATGTAGATAGATTTCGGGCACTGCTGGATCTAAGGGCGTGAGTAGAATTAGGCTTCTCTCTTGGCACCATTCTCTGCAAGCTGCTTTTTCAGGCAGACTGCTCAGGACCTCTGAGCCTTGAGTTAGCTCTTCCTGGGCGAGGAAGCTGTGGTTTCCATTGCACACAATAGTCAGTCTTTGGCTCTGATTGGACAAAATTGGGTCATGTGAGAAACCCCAGCCCAATCACAGTGGCCGGGGGAGCAAGACTATGAAAAATGCTGAACCAAGGGCAGGACTGGGTCGCTCCTGGGTTCAGGAGCCATGGGAAGAAATAGGTCAGCCCCATTGGTTCCACAGACTGTGGGGTACTGGCATGCAGCGAGATGGGGAGGCCCCCAAGAGAATATTAGAAGAAAAGGGAATACTTGCAGAGCAGACAAAAACAAATGCCTGCCACCTGCTACAGTAGGGCATAAAATCGGGTACTGAAACATGATGCATCCCATGACATTAAAGGTGATTCACCCCATCAGAGAATAAGAACTATATTCCTGCCAGTCCATTGAGCAATAATGTTAACTGTTCCTGTTATTGAATGTTTCTTCCCTTCATGCCAAGTATCTGCTATATTTTGTGAGTAACCCACATGTCTGTCCATGCCATTTACCCAGATGGGTTCTGAGTTTTCTGTAGTCAAGAATGAAAAGACCCCCGGCCTCCTACGAACTTTCTAATGTAAGAATCACTTGACACATGTACTTGTTATCTGTTGCTGTGTAAAAGTTTACCGCAAACTCTGTGCTTAAAAGGACACACATTTATTATTATCGCACAATTTGGTGACAGGCATGTGAGGGGTCCAGGCACGACTGAGGTGGGTCCTTGAAAAGACTGCAGTCACAGCACTGTGTCTCGCTGGGGCTGTGTCTCGCTGGGGGAGGACCCACACCCAAGGCCGCATGGCCACCAGCACCCTCCGGTTTCTTGAGACTTGCAAGCCCAGCAAGTCCCATCATCTCACACTGTGGCAGCTTGCTTCCTCAAAGCCACCAAGGAGAGTCCTGGCGAGAGGGACATAACATGCTTATGAATGCAGTCATGTGGGTGTGATCACACATACCCGGTCACTGTGACCATGTGCTGTGGGTGGGAACCAGTCACAGATCCCACCCACGCTGGAAAGGAGGGGATTACACCAGGGCGTGCATAACACAGGTGAGGATCCCGACTCCACCTCAGACTCTACCTGCTGAGAGAGGTAAACACAGGACAGGCCTGACTCATTTTTACTGCGCTTCACAGATACTGCAGTGTTTTACAAGATCCCCCACCAGCAAAAAGATCGTGACTTGCTGATGGTTCAGATGCTTGGTTAGCACTTTTAGTCGTCAGGAGATGAAGGCAAATGATCATAAAAGTGCTGCTATTCCCCTCCACTTTTTCTCATTTTCTTCCCTCCTCCCTACCTACCACCTTTCTGCCAGAGCTCTGAGGATGGGAATAATGTCTGTATCTTTCATTTGGGGAGGAACTTCATAGATATGGGCTGGGTTCCAGATCACTCAATACAGCAAAGATAGCAATAAAGCGAGTGTAAGGGCAGGAATGACCACAGTGCAGGTTTTCTAATCCAGCAGATCAGGTAAAGGAGGAGTCAGAGTCCTCAGTGGGGTTTTTTTTTGCAGGTCTTTTATTGGGATTACCAGGTACACGGCAGGCAGGGGTGCTGGGGGGCCAGGAGGCTGGCAGGCCTCCCAGCCCCCAGCAAGTCTTCACTCTATCTGGGTTCTCCGGCCTTCTCTCAGCTTCTGCTCGTTCTTGGCTTCTTGGCTTCTGCTGGCGTCCCCATGACGCCGCCCTTAAAAGCCCAGTCTCAGCCCAGGTGAATCCCATCTACCTATGCCCACACCCTACTCCAGGTGCCCGCCATCAGGCATGCATTCAGGACCGCAAGGATCCATCATCTATCCTGATGGTGGGAGGGCAGAAAAACCTGACACTTTTCTTTACCCTACAGCAAGTCACACATTTTTGGTTTCCCACTCACAGGAGTTGTTTGCACCATAATGTCGGCTGTTAAGTGTGCAGTAGCATTCTGTCTAAACAATGTAGATGTCTTCACTTACAACTCCATTTTGCTAAAAAGTGTTAAGTAACGTGTACCTTCAGCAAGTCATCTTTTTGCCACAGACCTTCAGTTTATGAAACAAAAAGCAGTATCTGCAAATGGCAATAAAGTGAAGCACAACAAAATAGAAATTCCTGGACAGCTGAGAAGACTGAATCTACAGCAATTCTCAACTGGATGTGATTTTCCTATCCCCACTCTCCCACCTCCTAGGGACCTTTGGTGGTGCATGGAGCTATTTTTGATTGTCATGGCTCTTTGTCTGTGTGTGTGTGTTGGGGCAGCTACTGGCATCTGGTGGGTGGACTGCAAGCATGGGACTCAACATCCTACAAAAAGGAATCATTTGGGCCCAAATGCCAATGGTTCTGAGGTTGATAAGCCCTGATTTAGACAAATAATGAGAATTAAGAGCTTTAGGTGAAGCCACAGCAGGGCTGGGCTGGGCTGGGCTGGGGCTGGAACTGGCCAGGTCTGCAGCAGCAGGAAAACACAAGCCTTCGCATTTGTGAAATCTTGCAGGTTTTTAAAGAGCATTCACATCCATTACCACCTTTGACATTTCACAACAGTTCTGAGTGGTCATTCTGTTCTCATCTCCATCCCTTACCTGGTCAGTGGAGGGGGTGGGGTGGGGGGGGGACTGGCAAACAGGTAAGCTGTTTGCTGAAGGGCCAGCTCTTAATTTACTAGCTAGTGTCCAAGCAGAAGTGGCAAGGATGAGACGCCAGTAAGAACTGCATGGCAACTGGTAGTGCCCTCCAGGCTGGAGAGGGCATAGTTGGCTCCCTCCCTCCCCTCCAGTTTTCCAAGGAGAGTCAAATCCCCATACACAAGCTCTAATAGTCCCTGTTCAGTGTATCCCTGTTGAGGTGCTGGCGGCTCTAGCCACAATTGAAAACTTCATTAAAAAAAGAAAATAGGAAAAAACAGCATAAGAAAGCAGACATTTGCTAAAGAAAGCGTTTGATCTCTGAGCCAGTAGAGGGCGCTCACATCCAGGCGATCTGAAGTTGGCTCAATTGAGATTCAAGAGCACCTGGAGCTGGAAGCGTTTAAACTTGTACTTGTTAAGCTCTGCTGTGCACGCGCATGGGGGCCTGTTAAAAGGCAGATTCTGAATCTGTAGGTGGGGAGCAGGAGTTTCTGAGTTTCTGCATTGCTTATCAACTCCTAGGAAAAGCCTTCCACAGCCACACCTGGGGTAGCACACCCCGGGGGGTCCTCTCCAATCCTCAGATGCCAAACCTGAGGCCCAGAGAGTACCCAGGTGTAGTGGCAGGGATGGGCACGGGGCAGGATCTCTATGACCCAAGCAGATGGGGTAAGGAGGAGTCCTGGAGCCCTCAGTGGCTTTTGCAGGCTTTTATTGGGATTTACCAAGTACACAGCAGGCAGGGGTGATGGGGGGGCCAGGTGGCTGGCAGGCCTCCCAGCCCCCAGCAAGTCTTCACTCTATCTGGGCTCTCCGGGTTTTCTCGTGGCCTTGTTCTCTGCTCCTCTCGTGGTTCTGCTTCTGCCAGTGTCTCTGTGACGCCGCCCTTATAAGCCCAGTCTTAGCCCAGGTGAATCCCATCTACATATGCCCACAACCTATTCCAGGTGCCCATCATCAGGCCTGCATTCAGGACTGCAGGGATCCATCATCAATCCTAATGGTGGAGGGGCAGAAAAAGCTGATACTTTTTTACCTTACCCTACACCAGGGCACACTGTAAGTCTGCAGAGCCTGGGCCAGAACCCGCATCTCTTGCATCCAGTGACCACTTCATGACATGTGTTAAAAAATAGTATAGATTTTTTCTGTTATGGTTTTTGAGGTCAAAAAGTTTGAAATTCATTCAATTAATGGTGTTAGGGTTAAAGGATCCTCTTCCTTGCTCCTATTAGTTTCTGGTGTCCTCCTGTATTTTTACTCCCTTCTCCATTTTCAAAATACATTCCTTCAATCTCTACACCATCATCACAAAACTTTTCTGTTGTCAAATTTCCTTCCACATCCCCCTTATATCGTGATGACATTTGGGGCCAACCTGGATAACTAACCCAGATAGTTTCCTCATCCAAGATCTTTAACCTAAATCATGTCTGCAAAGTCCCTTTTGCCATAGAGGGTAACATTCACAGGCCCTAGGGGTTAGGTCTAGATATTGGGGGGGCTGTTATTTAGTCTCCCACAGAATCTAAACATGCTTAGTCCCCAGTCCTTAAAGATTGTAGTTTAGTGGGAGTTGGGGGGGGGGTGGTCAGGATGTGTATATTTTACAAAATATGTGCATGGTTAATCGCCTCATGTCTAGCACAGAGCTTTATTCGGCCCACAGCTAGTGTTCACAACGTGCTTGAGGTTTCATTCAAGGGCCTAGAATAGTGCTCTTATTATCTTGGTTTGGGGATGGCTCCAACGCTTACTGGGTAACACATACGCCAATATATTGATTATCAAACCTTTGCATGCTTTCAAAGTAGGTTTCAGTCTCATTTTAGACATGTGGAAATAGGCCCTAAAATTGTTCTACCTGCCCAAGTTTACACAGTGAGAAAGACATAGCTCAAGAACCCAAACCCAGCTCTTAGAGAGCCCTACACATTCCATACAACTGTGTGAAGCAGCAGAATAGGGCAGGGGAGAAAAGCACAGCTCCAAAGAGTGTATTCCTCAGCCCACAAAACCATCTGCAACCCCCACAACCTCCACTATCAAACTGCCTGGTTGTTAGAATCCCAGATCCCCTTCATCTACCTCCTGGCATCTGTGCTACAATTATAGCCCATCACTATCTGATCGTGGAGATTGCAAACACTAGTTTAGATAAAGGAGCCGCTCTGTGGATTTGAGTTCACTCTCATCCCACACAGTCCTTCCCTGATGAGGCTGCCTCCCCCACGTACAGTAAGATGTGTACCTTCAGAAGTTGAGAACATGCCTTTCATCAGCTGCTCATTATACTTATTGCAGGCTACCATGGCAACAAGTGTTCACCCCAGCAGCTACTCCACAGCAGAGGACTTGGGTGGGGGGGCGACTTTCCTCTCAAAGTTCTGCCTCTGTACTTATGGCACACACCCCAGAACCGAGTCCTGCTCTGGGACAGTCTCGAGGCCAGGTGACCCTGATCCTGACTCTCCACAAAGAGACCAACCTGTGGACAAAAGGCTTCCACTTTGCCATCAAGATACAATGTCTTGGAAAAGCTACCCGAGGGCTAAAGGTGCAATGCACATTTTTGACAATGGTTTCACAAGGTGAGGGTGGCATAGCTTCCTATTGCTGCTATGACAGAGTTAACTCAAACAGACTTTATAGTTCTGGAAAATTCTATACCAAATGGGGCATTCGAGCTGTATTCCTTCCAGTGGTTTAGTAAAGACTCCATTCCCTTGCCTTTCCCAGACGTTAGAGGCTGCCCACTTTCCAAAAAGTTTCCACTTGTGTCCCCATCATTCTGACTTCTCCTTCCATTGGAACAGTTTTTGGCTGTGGCCTCCTGCCTGTTTCATAAGGACCCTCATGATCGGGCCCATTTGGACAATTAAACATAAAGACCCTTAGTCAGGGCCTCCCCTGGTGGCGCAGTGGTTGAGCGCTGGGCTGCGAAGCTGCCCGCAGCCTCTGCAGCGCGGGTTCGATCCCTGGCCGCCGGCGAGGGTCCCACATGGCGCGCAGACCTCTCCTGCCGCCCGCTGCTCCCCTCAGCAGTGTATTTCGTCAGTCTGCCTGTTCTGTTCCCCACTCTGGCTCTGGTGAATTCTCTCACCCTCCTGCGCTTCTGACTGTACCCAGCGTTTGTATAAATAAATAAATAAATAAATCTTTAAAAAAAAAAAAAGACCCTTAGTCACATCCTTAAAGTCCATTTAGGGCCAATATAGAAATGACAGTATTGATAGGTTCTGGGTAGGGGTGTGGGAACATTGCAGATGGTCATCATTCAACTTACAACAGGGGGTCAGGACACTAAGTGGCCAGCAATTTTTTTTTTTTGTTTGTTTAAGAATGTGCATACCAACATGTAGCCTCACAGAGGAGTCAGAATCCAAGACACTACAGTTTGCTAGCAGAATAATGCCTTATTCCCTTATAAAACAGTGCCCCAAATGACCTGGATGAGATGACTTGAACTTTAGACCCTTAGTCTAGAAAGAACTTTTACACAATGTAAGTGCAGTCACTTCCTTCCCCATACCAGGGTTGAGTTCAACCACATCAATCTAATGAAAGGATCTAGGAAGTAAAGGGGATATTGGAAGACAAGGTAGAGAATTCAATGAGACCGACAGTGTCCTAAGATGACCCAGTAGCTGTAATATTTGAATGTTTTGAAAAATCCAAGAGTATGACAACTCACAGTTGAGGGTTGAAAGAAGTCTTTAGAATTTACACTTTTATCATTTCTATGTTCACCTCCTCACCATGTACAGATTCAAAAGCTTTACAACCTGTTTCCTACTAAAAAGTCCTAGTTTAGGGCCACCCTGGTGGTGCAGTGGGTTGAGCGCAGCGCTGTGAAGATGTCCGCAGCCTCTGCAGGGCAGATTCGATCCCCGGCCGGCCAAGGAGAAATCCACATGGCGTGGCAGACCTCTCCTGCCTTGCCCGCTGATCCCCTCAGCAGTGTATCTCAATCCACAAGTTCTGCTCCCCGCTCTGTCTCTGGTGAATTCTCTCACCCTCCCGTGCCCCTGGCTTGTACCCCAGTGCTTGTATAAATAAATAAATCTTTGGGGAGAAAAAAAGTCCTAGTTTAGATCTAGATTTTTCTAGTTGAAGGATAGAAGTGAATTTCTCTTGGATAACTTGTGTGTTAGAGCTACAATGTGAAACATTAGTTGCTATGTAATTATCCTCTAGCAGAAAATGGGGACCCCTCAGAGGTCATGTCAAGTTTCGGTAACAGGGTTCAGTTAAGTTAGGGTTCAGCTGTACAGTCTTAAAGAAACTAGGAGTTTGCTAATTGTACCTGAGAGTGTTGCCATTACATCTAAGGAAGTTAGACTCTTGCAGTATTCCGTGCCCTCCCTCCAAGGAGATTACTGATCTTTCACTGGATTATGAGTACAGTGAGAATATGGACAAATCCCTCTACATAGACAACATTCCCAAGAACTTATTTCAAAGAACAGTTTGAGTAGAAGAAAATAACTTCAGTAAGACAGTCCTTGGGACCACACCATTTCTTTACAGAGGGAAATTATGCCAATGATTAGGGTAGCTTCCTACCTTTTCCCTGTATAGTGAATAGAGGGGGTTCAAAGAGTGCACCCCCAGAGGTGGGCTGTAACTAAGCCCCACTATTGATTACATTTACGGCACTATCAGTCATGGATGTGGGTTTAGAAAAATGGCAGGGTTCAGAAAAATGACAAGGAATTAAGTTATGTCCTTATTCACACCCCCACAGACCAAAGACTGCCCAAGAGGATTATGGCTAAGAACAGTTTTTACCCTAAGGAAAGTAAAAAACAATCTGTAAACTCCATCTACTCTTAAAAGATAGAAGCAAGAGGCTCACTGCAACCACTTTATTTATAAATCTAATTAGTGATTTAACATCACGATCCTTTTCTTGCGCAGGTGAAAGATGAGACCCAGTGTTGCCGTGATGCCCACTAATGTAAACATAGGAGCCATGGTTTTAATAGCAATGTATCTATTAGTCCCGTGCCCTTTGGTGTCCACAAGGCCTGGGAAGAAATCAGACATTCAAGTCTTACAATTATATTTAAATTATAAGTGTAAGTTGAAGTCTTACATATGAAGGTTCTCCAGAGAAATGAAATTAGCCATAAAGAATTCATTGAGGAAGCTTACACCAGGGTATATACTTACCCGTTGAACCAGCCTCCTCTTCTGCCTGCTCCATTCCCACTGCTAGTCCCACTTCCCATTTGCTTTTACTAATCAAAATAATAACCAATGGCCTGACATCCAGAAGGACTCCAAGATCCTTTCCAAGACTCCTTTTCTTGGAGTCCTTCTGGATCCTGTTTAACAACATTCTGGAAATAATAAATACAGTTAGTGAACTTCACTGTGTGATATCCTGAAGGTCAGTGGTTAGCTTAGTTCCAAATTCTAGACCTAAAGTGAAGACCAGTAGCTCTCCTGTCTGCCTGTAATGACACAGTTTCCTCTCTATTTCTCTTTTTCCTAATAAATCTGTGCTCTTAAACTGCAAAAAAAAATTAAATAAAAAATTAAATTAAGACCATCTGGCATAGGGACATGTGATATTAACAGAACATGACCTAGTAGAGACAAGTTTGGCAATAGCGAGACACACAAGCCTTCTGACCTACTAGTCCTACTCCTAAAAACATACTAAGTTTCATGGATAGTAGAAATTCCAGTTTCACATTAGTGACAAAACTAAAAGTAACCTACATGCCCATGAATGAGCTGAGAGAATGGAATCCTATACAGCTGTTAGCAGTGAGGCTGGTCTCGGGTCAGATAAGATGGCTAAACCAAATAAAAAGGTAAAGAACATATAATCCCACATTTTGGTTTATCACAATGTGCTTATGCATAACTAACTCTTCAACAATCAAGAATTTTAGTCCAGGAAGAAGTGCAGGCTTTTTAAATCCATACCTCTCGATGAAGAGTCCTCTGACAACAGGATGATGGGTCCCGGGAGACTTACTAGCATTTTTCCTTCAGTGACCTCTGGGGCTGGAGATAGATGGAATTCATGTCCGACTTCTGGAGGAATGAGTAGCAATATAAGAGGTGTATTTCAGTCAATCTGCCTGTTCTGTTCCCCACTCTGTCTCTGGTGAATCCTCTCACCCCTCCACAGTTCTGGCCTGGTTCTTGTATGAATAAATGAATAAATCTTCATAAGAAAAAAAAGACATGTTGGTGGAATACTTTGAGCAGATCTCTAAGGAGTCCCTGCTCATCTATGCATTTTCCCTGCATTGGCAGGGGAGATCATCTCCCTTATCACAAAAACAAGACAAAATCTTAAAGAATAACTGAAGATTAAATTCTAAATCTACCTAGATTTGGGAAATAGTAATTTTTTTTCAGAATCAGGTCTATAGGCATTCAAGCGATAGTCCATGTGCAAGGACAGGCTTGTCTACAGGACCGATCAAGAACCTGACCATCGCAGGTAAGAAGTCTGGGGTAAGAAGGCTGCTTGGGCTCTTGGGACTAGGTGAAGAATGAGGTACTCATCCCTAAAGTCTTCAATTCTATAAGAGCCTTGTTTTGAGAAAGACTCTTAGTAGCAGGACTTACCTCGTCTATTCCTAGTTGACCCTGGGCAAGTCACAGAACACAGAGGGGACTCAGGAAAGAGCTCACTGCAGACTAAGGCACTACAGTGGAAATAGACCTGGGAACAGGAGAAGAGCTAAGTAGAACCAATGCACTCATATTCACCTGCCCCAGGTAACCTGTTCATTACTCACCATGGTAGAGATCCTTTTGATCCGTGATACAAAGGTAAAGGCCTTCACATCAAACCTCTGGTAGTGATTAGGATAGATCACAGAGGAGCCAACTGGATGGAAGGTGGTTTTGTGTTTACCCAGGTTATATACACAGCTAGGAGGCACACAGAGGGAGGGATATCAGCCACATTTACCCCAGAGTCTAATTCAACATTTGCTCAGTCATGTCTAATATCTTAAAGACTATTGCTCTACCTTCTACTTCCACCTTTGTTCTACTTAAGATACCTCCTTCTGACTTGGCCTATTCAATGGCCTATTCAGGGCACTTGTGACCTGGTGTTCTTCAAAAGTCCAAAGGGGTTTTATTTTCTTGACCAGCAAGTTTTGATGGACTGACTGAGCTGCCTTCCATGTAGAGAATACCTACCCATCCATAACAATGTTCCACTGGGGGAGAGAGGCTGGATCCTCGGTGGGTGATATCCAACAATTATTTAAGACCAGCTTGATGTCGGGATCAGTCCTATTTAGGATTCTCACTTCCATGTAAATTGGTTGACGGACATGTTTCACCACAGGGTAGTCCTCATCCCCATAAGGTTGCAGGTAGGATTTATCTGAAATAGAATAGGAGTCTCTTCAACACCGTGGTTGTTGATGGCTGTTACAGTAGCTTAAGCACTGCTACTCCATTAGTTGGCAGCAACAGAAAGTTCACTATAGGGAAGAACTCCTTGAGAATATTTAAGTGGAGTTCTCAGGTTATAATGTCTCACCTGGGTAGGATTTCAGGCTCAAGACAAGTGGACCTAGGTTCATTGAAGCCTTTGGAGGAGGAAGATGTTTGACATTGGTTTTCAGAAATCTGTCATCCTTGCTGTAAGAGCACTTCACTGTCATCCTGCAAGCGTAGGTGGAAGGAGTTGGGGTGGTACAGAGTTTTAGATTAGAAAACTCTGAATTCAATGTGCAACTTGAAATTTCAAGTAGTCATTGTGTCACACCTGAACTCACTGCTACTGGAAATTCTCCTGGAAGGATGCTCTGTCCAGAGAGCACGGATTTCATTTTCATAGATGACCTTATCACCCTGGAACTTTATAGATATATTAGCGGAAGTAGTTAACCATTTATCTCAAAGATAAGTCTTAGCCTTTTGTTATCTGCCAGTACTTACCTTATATTTTGTTCCACAACCATTGAGGGGTATGTGAAATCGCACCAGTGCCTGAGATGGAGATTCCAAGGTGGGTCGGCAGGATGAGTTTCCCACTCTAAGGGTATTCATGTTGAGAGTGGGTTTGGTGTTGGATCGATTGACCTCAATATCCATAAACCCATCCTGAGTACACAGCTCACCTGTAACTACATAGTGGTGAGAGTTTAGAGATCTGCCTGCCGTGTGAGACTGTCATCTACTGACCTTGAAGTACGATGGAGAAAGGTTGGATTTTTCAGCAGGGGGTACCTAACTTTGTCTTAAGTCTTTGGGAAGATACTTTGACAGTTTGAGTCACAAGGGGCTACGCTTAAGTACCTAGAACAATTTCTCTGCTCTGCGTGAATAGAAGGACTTTCAACCAAAGGACAAGGGAGCAGGAGACATGGAAAGAAGTCACGTGGGCAAGAGACCAGTAAGAGGCCCTCAAGAGGGGATTAACATGAGTTAAAGGTCAGAGTTAAGTATTCACAGCTTAATGTATAGAGGCTTGTGTCTTTATGTCCCTTCTTTCAAGGTTCACAAGTCCAGAGTGGTTTGGGGAGGGAGGGAGTCACTACAGGAACTTTTCCTATTTGGCCTAACCCACACAGATTAAAGAGTAACAAAGCATGGAGGAAGAGACCACACTGAATAACAGGAAATACCCACTCCATGTTCCTTCTGAGGAAATTGCAGTCATCTGGAGAAAGTTTTTCAAAATTTCATAGTCCTCATTTGTAGTCTGAAGCAATCTTACTTAAATGGTGGGTTCAGACCCCTAACAAATACGTTCAAGTAACTTACCCATGAGATCATTACAGTGAGATCTACCTGCATGTGTAATTTGCAAGTGTCTTCCTATTGGTTCTATCATAGTCCTAGAATGAGATTTCTGACCTGACCAGGCTTTAATTTTCTCAGAGTCTACTAGAACTAATCAAGTGAATGATTCACTTTCTCAAAGCACAAGAAGAGCTAAGGGAGAAATAGAGGATGTAGGAAAGTTTTTAGAAAAGTTTTTACCTACAGAAATTGATGACTCACAGTCACACTCAGGATATATCACCATAGCTGCCGGCGCCAATGCAAAGGAGAAGATCAGCTTGAGTGAGGGAAGGTAAAACTGGTAGGATAGGCATTTTTCAGGGAACTGAAATTGGAAGAAAATTGTCAGCAAGCACAAACCCAGATGTGAGATTACGCTGATGTCTCTGTCATAGCACAGTTAAGACCAGTCTAATGAGGACAGCTTGGGACCCTTTTATTTGGATCAAGCTGTCCTGCTTTTAAGATGACAAAACAGATTCATCATTAACAACTTGAAAGTTGTTTGCATGACTCTGCTGAGAAAAACTTTGGAAAACTTTCAATGCAGAGGTTAAAGAATCTTGGTGTTTGAAGGCAAATTTCAATTAGTTGAGAGATTTTGCAAAATGATCAAATGAGGCCTTCCAAGGTTTTGGGTCTAGTCTATCAGCAGTTAGAATTTAGGGGCAGATCATTAGTTCTGTCAGGATTACCCAAAAGAACATGCTTCAAGTCAGGCTTCCAGAGGGCTAAATTGATCATGGAACATACTTTGATTTTGAGAAGAGTTTTCTTGAAATGCAACCTCAAGCCATTTTTTTCTTCTACATTAATCCCTTTTTTGTGCAACTGGCGCATGGAAAAGATTTTATTGTCAAAGCTCAAGGCTTTTAGCTTCCCAGGAAACTCTGGTATGGTGAGAGTCATGTGAGTGGAATTACAGGTCACAGGATCTAGAAGAAATAACAAACAGAATGCTCATCATCTGCTCTGATGAAGCTCCCAGAACCATGTCCCCAACTACTGAAGCTGTCACTTCCAAGGACCTTACCTAATACACAAATCATGTTTGAGGTGAAGGTTGTCGTCTGCCCATGATATTTATGACTAAGCTTCAGAGGCATCATGTAGAGATGACTGTTGCCTTGCTGTGGGGGGGGGGCAGTTTTAAAAATATTTGCTTACTTGAATCTCTAACAACACTTAAAGTATAGTCAGGGCAAGCATATACTCAAGTATTGGGGCATTGTTTTGATCCAAATAGAATTTTAGGCCTTTTGCCCAATGATTACACTTTGTTAACATTTGGCAAGCTGGTGTTACCTCTGATATCAACTGCAGCCCTGATCATTTCTAGGTAGATGTGAGTAAAAGCTACTCTTTATGCAGAGTGAATGTCAAGACTCAGTAGTTTGTAATAGTTCTTGTTAAAATGATTGACACTTGAGCACTTTGAACAGCTCCAGGCCCCTAAGTATTTTTGGCATATGAACTCATAGAATGTAGTATCTTGGTAGGATCTTAATGGCTAACCCCCAAAGCACCTATACCTTCCGTACAACACAATAGAGAATAGTGACATCACAAACAGAACACCTTAATCCCTAAGAGACTTAGTAGTAGCCTAGCTTTCTATTACATCATAGATTTAGGTCCGTGGGGAAGAGGAAGAACAGATTAAAGTAAGAACCATTATCTATTTGTTCACTATTATAGTTGTAAGTCACGTGCTTGGTACGTAGTAGGCATTGGGGTATCTATTGAATGAGTTGTAGTCTCAATTTGAACGCATGATTGAGATTATATCTGGATTTAGAATATTGGTCTTGTTAGGGGGAACATATGTCCTGAATGAACTCCACCCCCTGTTTTCTATGGACTCTACCCCCACCACCATGTCAAAGAGACCCCAGGCACAATGGACTACAAACCCCATAATACCATGGATCAGTCATGACTCTTGATTTCTTGAGGAGGGGTTGCTGGGAACTAAGGGTGGAGTTAAGCAGCCATGCTTGGTATAAAACCGAAGACATGGAGGCCTGGAGGGGAACTTGGTTTTGCCTGCCTTCAGCATGCATCTGGGGTCCCAGCTAAGAGAGTGTTACCAGTAGGATATTGACCAATTAATTTCTCTCTCTCTCTCTCCTCTCTCATTGTGTGTGTGCACGCACGTGTTCTCTCTCTTTCTGTGCCCCCCCTTTTTATTTCCCTTATAAATAAACCTCTTATCAACCTTTCTTTATTTGTCTGCCCTCGAGTCTTGTTCTGAGTTTTTTTAAGCCCACAGGTGAGGACTCACACCCAGGCCGCCCCATTTTCCTTTGGGGTTGCCCAGTAACAGTCTGTGCTGGGGGAGATAAGACTTCACACCTACCGTATAGTGGATTAGTCCTGTGGCGTTAAATGACACTTGGATGATCACCTTGTCTATATCAAACAGAATATTATATCCTTGTACCATTGCCTCTGAAACGGTCAGACTTAAGTTGGGACTAAAGTGCATGGTCCAGCCCCGCTGAGCCAGGAGTCCCTAAAATCAAAAGTTTCATTTAGAGGGATGGTGCTCTCCTTGACCTCAAGACCACTGTCTATTTAACAATGAATAAGGATTGACATTATGTCCCCTTTAATATTGAATTAAAGGTTGCTTAGCTCTGTAACTTTAAAAATTCTCATACCGGAGTTTCATCAGCCACATCAGGAAAAACTTTAAGGGAAAACTGGAAGAAAAAAAAAATCATGATGTAAGATTTTGATTGGCAAGAGAAATTTTCTGATATTGTGGAAGACACACAGACAACTGCTGTGTAGTTCTTACACCAAGAGGCCTGGCTGTCGGATGTTGTAGGAAAGACATAGGACCTGATAGGAATCCTAGCTATATCCTCAGACATCAGTTCACCTCTTTGAGCTTCTGCTAAACAAAAAGTGATTGGGAGATTTAAAGCTCCTTTACAGTTTTCAGTTGAGATGCTAGTTCTGAAATATAGCTTTTTGTTATATTCATAGATATCAAGAATTGGGTAACTGTGCAGCTCCCCATCATTATTATAATAAAGTGAATATTTTTAGTTGTCTGTTATAGATACAAGCCATGTTAGACTATAAAATCCATGAGTAGCTGTTGGGTTCTCTAGTGCACACTCACTGTGTCTGGGCATCTGGCACAGGGCCTGGTACATGACATGTATTCAGTCTGTCAAGTGATCGCTAATGTGATTACAGCTATCAATAAATCCTTTCCATTGTCAGGCAAGATGTGCTAAGCACTGTATAGGTTCTTGGTCAATTTGGGGGGCCACCAATGAGGTGTTATCATCCCCCACTTCAAAGTTGGCAATGAAGGCCCAATATGGTTTAGAAATCAATCCGAAACCATATGGCAAATAAGCAATGAATACAGACTTGAAATCCTGACCCTACTCCTAAGTCTGGTTCGGTCTAGATCCCCATATGGTCCCTCCAGTCGCCAAATGAGAAGCAGTCAGTTTGTTGCACTCACAGACATGAGGTCCTTCGTACAGTTTGTAGATCCTGTTGTATGGTGCTTGGTTTCTGCTCCTTCCATGACCGGGCAGGTGAAGTGATAAATGACACCCTCTTTTAAAGTAGTGTTACTTTCAGTGAATCTGAGGGTCATATGGTGCTGGTTATGCTGTGTGCAAATGACATAAGGAGAACAGTTAAGGGGTGATACTGTAGTGGGAAAGGTGATTCCAGAATACCATCTGACCCAGCCAAGTGGCAAAAACCTTTGAAGTTACAATACCACAACTTTTAGAAGGTACCTCCTTTCTATACCAGCAGACACTCTAGCTGGTCTTTTCGATAGCCCAGGAAAGATTCATACATTGCCAAAAAAAAAAAAAAAGTTATCTTGAACTTCAGGGATTGGAATTCAGTTTTTATCTTGCATCATTTTACATCTCTCCTATGTCTGAGTATCATGGTCCTGAGTGGTTTGAGGCCTCTAGCCAAGTCATTCAAAAACACTTTTGAACACCTGTGTATCAGCCATTGTGCTGGGTGATAGGCAGAGCCATTTGCTATTTCCCCTCACTTAGGGAGCTCATAGTCTAAAGTAGGGGGTGGATCAGCCAATCTTTTTATGTTCAGTGTTAGAAAATACTTTAGATTTGTATAGGCCACAAGTTGTTTCTAATATGTATTATTTATGCTTTTTAAGAACAAAAACCATTCTTAGCTCGACCACTGTCAGACGTGCATACACATACCATGGGCTGCACGTGGCCATCCACAGGATGTGGTTTGCAGAACCCTGATGGAAAGGAACACAATGCTAAGCTCCCTAAAGTTAGGAAGGGTTGTTATAGAAGGGAAAAATCACTGGAGTTCTTCACAAAAAACACATGCTTACTTCATAGGGCAATCACAGAGGACCTCAGTAAACCAGAGGACTTAATTCAAGTCTGTTTACAGAGCAGTGTCCACAAACACAAAGTTCAGACAGCAAGCGCTTTGTTTCAGAATCAGATTATGTGCTCTGTTAAATATGCATGTCTCTAAGACACACCCATGGCCATATCACCAACTCAGTGAGCTATCTGTTTTCTGAGCTCCCCAAGTGGTTCTTTGTGCACTATAGCTTGAGGAATTCTGCTTAGACAGGTTGCTTTCATTGTGCCTATTAATCTGATTGGGCGTAACTGTTGCTTGGCAATAGAAAAAACCCTATTTCTCAGCTGCTGCTTGCCTTCCAACACCTGTTTTTACTGCATAAAAGTTCTGTTTTTCAGTATTAAAATATCCTCCCATTTCACAGAGGAGTTACAGATCAAAATAGCTTGTGTCTGAGCATTTGTTGTGTCTAGGTGCTGTAGTAAGGCCTTCATCCCCATTATATCATTCATCTGTATGTCTGGTAGAGAGGATTGCATAATCCCCATTTTTCCAATGAGCAAACAGAAACTTTGAAAGCTTAGCTGACTTGCTTTCCAAATAGACAATGTAGTAGCATCCTTGGGTTAGAGCCACCGGATGCAAACATCTCTGGGCAGAAAAATCACTCCTACTTAAGAACCACTTCTCTCTTCCAATGCCTATATCCTTAACTACTAGGTTACTAGAAACTACAAGGTTACTATTTCTCAAATCATCCTTAAAGCAATGACTTACCTTTCTCTTTGTACAGGTCTCATAGGGAGCTATCAGGGTAGATTTTTTTAGGTCCAGGACATATGTGCAGATCGGCATTTCATTACCAGAGTTATCTATAGAAGCCAGAGCAGTTTAGACAGGACGTGGCCAAGAAATACATTTCAGTTACAAATCTCATCCAAAGTCACACAACCAACACCACCAAGCCATTTCTGAGGACCTTCAATCACTTTCCATTTATTGTCCCAACTAGATGATATGACCCAAGCTTTGAGAGAAACTGATTCACAGCTAAATTTCCCAGGGGGTTCTAAGATCAGGCAGGTCTAAGAAAGGACAAGGTCTTCCACTCTTGTTGGCATCATGCAGATTGGGCTCCTCTCCGTTGCATCATGTGATTTATACATCAGTTGCTCCAGAGTTTGTATATTCTGCTCACCAGAAGCTAAAGGGCCTGGCCTAGAACCAAGGGCTCTCTATGAAATAAGACTAAGATGAGACAATACCTACCCAATACAGATGTATCCCATTTCATGAAGTCAAAACTGTTTGGAAACTCCACTATCATTCTGTTTTCACGGCAATGGACAACCCCTGAAAAGCAAAGGCAGCACATGAGGCCTGGAGAGAGATTTTCTGACCCATGTTTGTGTTTTCCTGGCTGTCTAGGAACCCCAGCTACAACCTGTTTTCTCTTTTAAGGGCATTTGCCTTATGCCCAGAGACATACCTGTGAAGACAAATTTCTCCAGCTGAAAAGGGCTTATTGAGTTCACTGAAGTCACAAAGGTGAAGAAGAAAGAAAGCGACCTGTAGGTGTGTGGAAGGGATTGGAGGAAAGAGGTAAGGAGGCATAAACTTAAGCAGATGAGGCCATTCTGTCCCTACCCCCCTATCTCCCACTCTCAGAATTACTCACCTCCAGTCTGCATCCAGCCAGCTTGAGGAGGTCCTCCAAGCCATGGTCAAAGGCACCACCAACCCAACCAGGTGGAGGGGTGGGCTGCTCTGTGCTTTCAAAGCAGAAAGCAGGACATGACCCCGCTCTGTCCAGATTTAAGACAGCTGAATCTTCTCCAATCCTCCCACCTGAGAAGAAAGGATTTGGAAATAGGCTTTCTGGAGTACTCGAAAGAAGCCATCTACCCTTCCTGCCACTCACCTTGGGTATTCTGCCAGCTGCTCTGAGGGTCAGCCATGAAACCAGTTCCCTGAAACTGGCTCTAGGTGAATTCACAGGTGTTTGGATGCCTGACATGAGCAAAATTTAGCATCTTTTGTACAAAATATTTCCAACTCCAATGTAGAGAGTGGTGAGCTATTGAGGAAAGAGGATTTCTTGTTCACTCCACTAAACCTTTCCTTTAACCCTTAATCTCTTGATTATTGTGGGAATCACCCAGGCAATGTGTATAAATTACCTTTAAAAAAGTGAAACTTTATTTTACTCTGTGTATAAAAGTTTAATGGTACTGCAAAAAAAAAAAAAATGCTGACAATTACATAAGGATGTAGAGAAAAGAAAAAAATCTCTTAATCTAATCTTGCCACTATTAATGTTTTTCTGCAAACACCACACATTTAAAAAAGCAGTACCACCCACCTGGGATCAAAGTTTAAAACTATGTAACTATGTTTCATATTCTGCTCTTTACTGCTTTACATGTCACGGACATTTTCCAGATCTCAATTACCATTTTTAAGCTTGCATAGTGTAGGGTAAGGAAAAATGTCAGGCTTTCCTGCCCTCCCACCATCAGGATAGATGATGGATCCTTGAGGTCCTGAATGCAGGCCTGATGGCGGGCACCTGGAATAGGGTGTGGGCATAGGTAGATGGGATTCACCTGGGCTAAGACTGTGCTTTTAAGGGCGGCGTCACAGGGATGCCAGCAGCAGCAGAAGCCGAAAGAGAAGCCCAAAGCAGAAGCAGAAAACGCCAGAGAGCCCAGATAGAGTGAAGATTTGCTGGGGGCTGGGAGGACTGCCAGCCTCCCAGCCCCCCAGCACCCCTGCCTGCCATGTGCCTGGTGAACCCCAATAAAAACCTGCAAAAAACCACTGAGGACTCTGACTCCTCCTTTACCCGGTCTGCATGGAATCAGAAAACCTGCACTGGTCCAGTCCTGCCCCTTACAATTGGCGTAGTCGGCAGGATGATCCATGCAGACGGGTATGGAGCCCTCCAAAGACCTGGAGGGACTAAGGAGTAAAAGACTGCCTGTGACGATGCCAGAGACATCATGGTGACCCAGGAGATGGACAATGTCCAGGATCTACGGGATAAGACCTCGCCCAGAGGAAGAGGAGGAGATGCCTGAGAGGACCAGCCAAGGACCCCTGAGGCAGCAGAATCGTCGGGGAGGAGAGGACCACAATTTGGAGCTCGCCAGTGCTGATTCAGGGAGAGGCCAAGAGACTTGGACTGATGGACTGACAATTGAACTTGGACTGACAATCCCACCAGAAGGCAGAGGACCTTGCAGGTTGATATGTTTTGGGAACTTGGGGGTGGAACAGTTTTGTTTGTAAACCCCAGGAGATGGGAATCTAGGGGTGGCCAGTGGGCCTAGATGGCCAAAAGCAGCCTGTGTATGCCCAGCAGCCAGGTGGAGGAGAAAAGCCAACTGAGAAGCAAAAGCTGGAGCTGATGCTAAGTTTGGGAAACCCTGAGCGGCTGTTAAGCAGCCTGAGTATGCTGAAGACCTGTGAGTCTCATAAAATCACCTGTGGGTGATGCCCTGCTCATTGTAGAGTGAGGGTGAGGAGCTGAGGAACCTGTCCTTGGGGGACAGATGGGGAATGTGGCTTGGGGTGGAGCCCAAGCTGAACAGGGGACCTGAAAGAGGCCGAATGTAGAATCTGGATCCCCATGTGCCCTTGTGCTTGTGCAGTGGGTTGGCCTGAGTGCAGGGGTCTGTGAGTCGCATTGGTGGCTATGAAGGCCGAGTGTTGGAGTGACTGCAGACAGAAACCCTGAGGGTTGGCGATTACCCCCAACAGAATAGAATCGCCAATCCCAGAGCTAGTGCATCCTGGGGGCGGATGCTGTGTGTGCCTTGTAGCCGAGACTACAGCCAGAGAAGGCCAGGAAGCCCAACGGCTCCTGGTGTGTTATAGTAGATGCCGTGAGTGATTCCCCTCCCTCGTATGAGCAATGCCTTCGGCAGCAGATTGGGTGGCTTATCTGCTGGTACCAATAATTGTCTTTTGCACTAGGTTGGTGCCCTGCCTGGATTTATTTGTGTTCTGTTGTATTTTGTTATATTGCGATGTATTTGCTTTTGTGGGCCATGGCTGCATTGTTTGTGTTTGCTAAGAGACAAAATTGTACATATGAAGACTACATGGTAGAAAACCCTGAGGGGGGTGGACTGTAGGGTAAGGAAAAATGTCAGGCTTTCCTGCCCTCCCACCATCAGGATAGATGATGGATCCTTGAGGTCCTGAATGCAGGCCTGATGGCGGGCACCTGGAATAGGGTGTGGGCATAGGTAGATGGGATTCACCTGGGCTAAGACTGTGCTTTTAAGGGCGGCGTCACAGGGATGCCAGCAGCAGCAGAAGCCGAAAGAGAAGCCCAAAGCAGAAGCAGAAAACGCCAGAGAGCCCAGATAGAGTGAAGATTTGCTGGGGGCTGGGAGGACTGCCAGCCTCCCAGCCCCCCAGCACCCCTGCCTGCCATGTGCCTGGTGAACCCCAATAAAAACCTGCAAAAAACCACTGAGGACTCTGTCTCCTCCTTTACCCGGTCTGCATGGAATCAGAAAACCTGCGTGGTCCAGTCCTGCCCCTTACACATAGTATTCAATATCTGGATAAATGTTTTACTGTTCCCCCATGATGGACATTAAGATGGTATCCAATTTTTCTTCATTATAAATAGTATGATGGCTATTCTTGAATATTTACTTGGTTAATCATCAGGATAAATTCCTGGAAGTAGAAATTCTGTGCTAAAGGGAATATTTCTCTAAGGATGTCAAATTATGTAGCAATTGGGAGTTTGTAGGTGGGGAAAATGTAGCAAAGCCACTTGCCCACTCTGACAAATGAGGAGAGTTAAGACCAGGCTGAGGACTCAGATTCTGAGACCAAATTAACATATCTCTTCAGCATCTGTCACTGCTCTTCGATGTCTACAACCCATGTTCCATGGATGTCTACAACCCATGTCCCATGACAGGATATGATGCTCAAATTCTGTGCAGGTATTTGATGGCATTTTTGACTATTGGTCTATGTGTTGCCTTTGTGGTATAACCAAGTGATCTTCGTTCCCTGTTACAGGTTGCTGAAATATACCTAGTCTGTAGCTGTGATCAAAAGGATCACAAATGGCTGGGCCCCACCCACAAGTTGCTGGATCAGCCCCCAGGGAGAGGGTTGGAGCAACATATAACAGTATTTAATAAGCACCATAGGTGAGTCTTAAGGTTGGGAAATATGTAGAGGAAGCAGGGTAAGGTAACAAGTGATTGCCAGTGATTAACCTCCTTATGGGAATGAGTTATGTCCCAGTGGGATCTGGAGAGGAAGCAAAATCCAGGATAAGCAGGTTTTTTTTTTGGTGGGGGTAGAGGTGGAGAAGGAATTTAGATTCTGAGAAACATGATAGCAGTAGTTACTCCTAAGAAAATTTTCGAAGTGGCATTTTCTACATATGTGAAGGTCATATGTTACCACGGTGGTTAAGACCATCATGAGAAGATGATGGAGGTAGGCGCATGGAAGCAAAACTCAGAGAGACCTGTTAAGAAAGTGGTCAGAGAGGGCCTCCCTGGTGGCGTGGCGGGTTGAGTATAGTGCTGTGAAGCTGTCCACAGCCTCTGCAGCGCGGGTTCAATTGCCAGCCAGGGAGATGCCCACATGGTGCGGCAGACCTCTCCTGTCTCGCCCGCCGCTCCCCTCAGCAGTGTATTTCGGTCCATCTGCCTGTTGGGCACCCCGCTCTGTCTCTGGTGAATCCTCTCACCCTCCCGCACCTCTGGCCTGTACCCCAGTTCTTGTATAAAAGTAAATAAATCTTAAAAACAAAATAAAGTGGTCAGAGAGGTAATAGGTTAAGGTGTTGCTCCCACCACCAGGCCTGCTCCCCACAAGACTGTGCCTTTTCCCCAGAGCATGAGTTCTGGAGGCTAAGGGGTAACCAGAAGATCCTGAGCAGGAGGGATGGAGAGAAGGACCACTGTGGGGGCTGGGATGGGTGGTGAGTGCACTGGGGTTTAATTTCCTGTGCTTTTTCTGGCATAGGCAATGCTGTGCTTGGGACAGTCATGAGCAACTAGCTCCAGGACCTTCGGCATCAGCCCAATATCAACACACAAGTACACATGTGGTCAGCGCAGCCAGTTTAGAAAATGAAGAAGTGGCTGCTCCCTAGTAAGCTGATGTCTCATTACACTCCTTGAGAAAAAACCTAAAGTCTTTTTTGTTAATTTTAGTTTCTTATTGTTTTACTAAGTAAAACCATGCAGCTCTTTCAAATGTATGTTTTCCACATTCTTTGCAATTGCACTTTTTAAATTTGCTAATTTATGACCCCGAGATGTTCTTTCCCCTCTTCTCTTAATGTTATTTTTTTATTTTTATTTTTTTTAAAGATTTCTTTATTTATACAAGAACTTGGGTACAGGCCAGAGGTGCGGGGGTGAGAGGATTCACTACAGGCAGAGCGGGCTGCCCAACAGGCAGACGGACAGAAATACACTGCTGAGGGGAGCAGTGGGCGAGACAGGAGAGATCTGCCTCGCCATGTGGGAATCTCCCTGGCAGGCCAGGAATCGAACCCATGCTGCAGAGGCTGCGGACAGCTTCACAGCGCTGCGCTCAACCCGCTGCGCCCCCGGGGAGGCCCTGTTTTGGGTTTTAATACCTGAGTCTCTCACCTGTTAGCCACCAGGCATTCAGGTGAAATGCAGTTCTTATAAACAACAGTTTATAATTCTTAAATTTTAAGCCTGATGTCTTATTTCTCACAACAATTGTAAAAATTAGTTGAACACAATCATCAGGAAATGGTTAAACTGTGGAATGCTCTACAGCTACTAAAATGAATCTGTAGATTCAATTGGATCTTGATGTTAAATGTTGATATTAAATGTTGATATTAAATGTAATATCAATTAAATGTTGATATTGAATGTTATTAAAGATGGCCACAATAAAATTGGAATTTTCGAGCTGTATAATTGATATGCTTTCATATTTTACTTAAAAAAGGTAAGACAAAACCCTATGTGTTCATACATTTATGTACCTTATATGTAAGTATAACAATGTATTTTTTATTAAAAATCTAGAAGGGAGGGCCAGAAAGGAATGTCAGGGTGTTAACTGGGAGAGTTGGTGCAGGTATTCAGGCTATCTACCTTACCTGGAAATGCTAGGCATTTCCAGATGTGGTCTGTTCTGATTCGTTTGTGCTCCTGCTTACTGGTTATGAATATATGCAACATATCATCCTAGAGAATAGGAATAGGGACACAGGGAGATGAGAGATTCTTACTTTTCAGCATCATTCACGTCTATATTGATTCAATTGTTATGGTGGAAAAAATGACCAATCAAAATAATTTTAAAGTGATAACAGGAATAGCAGTAAATCTTATTTATGTATAAGCAATCTCTAGATGCTTTTGAATCACAGGCCAGTATGTTTAAACTTCACGGTGTAAAGGTATAATGCTCAAATGAGTGCATTTGGTGCATAAGGCTTCCAAAGTCCAACTCCTTATTGTAAAATGAAGAAATTAAGTCTAAAGGTTTTGGCATGTGCCCAAGGTCACACAACTAGGTAGTAGCAGAGTTCTCATGAGAAGCCGTGTCTCCTATGACTCACTCCTAAGCACTTTCTAATTTGTTATAATTTTCTCCCCTTCCCTTCTCTCTCGTGTGTGTATATGTGTGTAGGGGAAAAGGGATGTAAACTGTTGCTTCTCTTGCAGTTCATATAGCTTTAAAAATACAAGATGGCATAAATTAGAATTTAGCAATATAAAATAAATAAGAAATATAGAAACTTCTACCAGTTATGCTAGTATAGCTTACAATAGCTTCCAAACATCAAATATTAATTTGACTTGGAAAACAAGATAAACTGTGTCAATAAGAATGCTCATGAACGTCACATGATAGTTCTTTTAGCAATGTAGCTATTCAATGTTCATGTCATTTTTACCCTTTAACTTTTTAGAGGTATCCAACTTGAACGAGACTCTTGACAGTAATGGATTCAGAACTAGGACAAAGGCATAAAAAGCTTCATTGACCTATAAATATAAAGATAGGGCAGCTTACATAGATGAATAATAAAAGGTTACAAAGTTCTAAGTAAAAAAACCTCATTTACATACAAATATTAATAGATAACTCCACAGAGTAACTAGGGAGCAGGCAGGTCAAAAAATCAAAGACACTCCCAAATCAACCCCCAAACTTTCTCTGCCCAAATTCCAAATGCCCTTTGTGTTCCAGGAACACCCTATCAATGTACCCATCCCAGACTGGGGACAGCCAGCCCCAGCTCCAACACAATCCCTATGACCCAACCTTCACCATCACACTAAAATCCCTGTCTAAGGAGTTCGGCTGCCATTTTCTGAACATGACCAGGCATGATGGAGTCAGTGCTCACACTGGCTCTGACCATGTAGTGAAGGCACTGAGCACCATCGTTACCCTCTCTTCCACCCTCACTTTGTCTTAAAAGGGGAACCTTACTCCTGCTTGATGTTGTACTGCTTTGCGGATCTATCCCATTGCTCACCTCACTTGACACAAGTAAAAAAATCTGCTTACTAAAACCTAGTGGTCTTGAGTACTTTGACTTGCCTAGTGACCTAACCCCCTTTCGGAGGGGTCACAATTGCTAGTAGCTAGGGCAATGGTTACCACAGAAATAGAGAAAAAGGTTTCCTTGGCAATGCAGCATATTCCCTTTAGTTGATAGGATATAAAATATGTTGAATGGAAAGTTCTGAAGGATATGCTAGATTGGTTGTAAAGACCCCGATCTCCTACCCCCAGCCCCTCCAGCTCCATTCTCCCTCCCATTGCAATGCACTCTGCAGTTGGACTCTTCCTCCTGCCTCTCCTCCTCCCTGGATCTAGCTGCTCTTGTGACTTGCTTTGGCCAATGGAATGTGGTGGAAGTGACTGTGCCAGTTCTGAGGGCAGGTCCTGAGAGGCCTTGTACACCTCTGTCTCTCTCTTAGCATTCTGCATCCTCCATGAGAAGAAGCCCAGGCTTGTCTGCTGCAGGATAAGTGATCACAGGACCAGGCAGCTCCTCTGAGCTGAGATATTCCTACATGAGCCAGTGCCCCCTGACCCGCCAGTCGACTGTTGATGAATGAGGAAGCCCATCAGCTGGCCACAGAGGAACTGACCAGTTGACTACAGATGTGTGAGCGAATCGATGCTTATTGTTTGAAGTCACTTAGTTTGGGGGGATTTGTTGAACATGATTGTGGCAATAGGTGGCTATGGCTATTCAGTAGAATTCTTATTTTAACATGAGACCCGTTTTTAATGATGAAACTACAGTAATTTTCATCCCAGGGGAGTATTTACCGAACAACCATGAAATTTTGAAGTCTTGAGAGAAACTAATGTACATTGGTGCAAGTGCAGAGACTCTGCCTTTTTGGGGTTTGCTTTCTGATGGGGGAGACCAAATGGCTGCTGATGTAACCCATAAGACCTAAGCATACCTAAGCATACCTACACACACGCAGGTATAGGTTTTGTCTGATGTTCTTTTCTCTTCTTTTGATAATAACTGTGATGGGGCTGGAGAGGACATACTTTCCCACTAGATATAATGGTGAGACTTTCAGTCAAGCTGCTTCCATTGTTCTTTGGGGAAGGGGCAGGCACATGACTGAAGCGAATCAAACAAACACTATTTTTAAAGATTTATTTATTTACGCATACAAGAGCTGGGGTACAGGCCAGAGGTGCAGGGGGGTGAGAGGATTCACCAGAGACAGTCAGGAACAGAACAGGCAGAATGACTGAAATACGCTGCTGAGGGGAGCAGCGGGCGAGACAGGAGATGTCTGCAGCGCCATGTGGGTCACCTCCCAGGGTGGGGATCGAACTCGTGGTGCAGTAGCTGTGGATTTGCTTCATAGTGCTGTGCTTAACTCCTTGTGCCACCAGGGAGGCCCAAGCAAATACTTTATGGAATTTTAATCTTGATCAGGGTAATTCAAATCTCAATCACCATCACCCATTGGAACTCAGCCCATTCCCTAAAGGGTTGTTTTTTATTCAAGTAATATCTGAGTTCTATTAAATTTCCCTTTACTGTATCTCTGTTATCCACCTCTTTTTCTTTTGGTTCCCCTGCTGATTTTGTAACACACAACTTTATTGTTCACAATTCACATACATAGAGCACAGGTTTCTCCCACTATTCTAAGTTGGAGCATTTCTATTAGAGCATGGGGAAGCCAAATGATGCTAAGCAAAGAAGCAATTACCATTCATTTATATGGAGAAAGTTTTGAGTGGTTTCTAGACACAATCACTTACTAAATCACACCAAATAACACACAGAACTGAAAATAGCACTAACACAGAGCAAGAACAGGAAGGATATAATGAATACACAGTCTGCAGAATGGGGTCCTGGGGATGGAGTTAGGAGCCCACTACCCTGCAGTGTGCTCTCTGGAGGGGTTGCTGAGATATCAACTCAGAAGTCTATCTTACCTTTTGTCATAAAAGTAAAAGCTCTCTTTGGATTTCTTTCTGTTCTCAAACATGGGCACTAATGCAACTCTTTTGTCATATAAATGCATGGCTCAAACTTTTGAAAAGTGGGGACACCTGTATTGGGAAGGAGTAGGTGGTTCTCAGAAACCCTATGATTTTATGAGTCTCTGTAGAAGGAGAGAGGGAAATTTTTGTCCTACTTCCCCCTGACAGGTCCATGCTGGACAAGGAGCATAAGCCTTTAAAGGTAGCAAAAATAAAAGGAAATGAAGGCTCCATGAGGTGAGTGTCCCCTGGTTGGTAGCTGCTAAATAGAAATCTGTTATGGGCTGAATGTGTCCCCCACAAAAATTCATGCTGAAGCACACCCCCCCTCAAATTCTTAGCACCTCAGAATCTGACTGTATTAAGAGATAGTCTCTGCAGAGGTGATTAACTTAAAAGGAAGTGATTAGGGTGGACCCTTAGGCAGTATGATGGTGACTTTTGAAGGAGTGGGAATTTCACCAGAGACAGAGGGAAAATGTGAAGATGCAGGGAGAACCAGCGAGCATGGCCTGGATCAGATGTATCCCTTGTCCTCAGAAGAAACCATCCTTGCTGACATCTTGTTTTCAGACTTCTAGCTTCCAGAACTATGAAGGTAAAAACATTGTTCTGTTATTTACACAACCCTGTTTGATATGGCAGCTCTAAAAAATGATGACAAACTCCCAGATTGAAATACAACTATTATGACTGAAATATACACTCTTTTTATTATACTTGATAGGGAATAAGACAAATCAAACAAAAAAAAACAACATTTCAATTGTTGTTATTAGAATAAAAGGAAAGAGAAGGCTTAAGAAAATGCAGTAATGGGCCTCCCCGGTGGCGCAGCGGTTGAGCGCTGGGTTGCGAAGCTGCCCTCAGCCTCTGCAGCACCTGCTCAATCCCTGGCCGCCGGGCAAGGGTCCCACATGGTGCGCAGACCTCTCCTGCCGCCCGCTGCTCCCCTGAGCAGTGTACTTCGTCACTCTGCCTGTTCTACTCTCCGCTCTGACTCTGGTGAATTCTCTCACCCTCCCGCATCTCTGACTGTACCCAGTGCTTGTATAAATAAATAAATAAATCTTAAAAAAAAAAAAAAAAAAAAGAAAATGCAGTAATGATACATCTACCATTCACCCCAGAAAGGTTAAGACTTTCTATCTTTCTGCTACCAGTCCTTCTACTTTCAAAGCTGTGACTACTAACTTAATTCATTGAGCACTGACCATGCCACACACTGAGCTATTTCACAAATATTAACTCAGTAATTACTTGCAACAGCCCTGTGAGGAATAAGTGGAAAAAGTAGTCTTTTCATTTAATTGACAAGGAAGCTGAGGCTCAGAGAGAAGTAATTGGGCCAAGTTAGTGGCAGGATCCAATTTTGAATTGAGTGTCAGTCAGTCTCTGATTGAAGAACCCATGTGCTTAACCATTCCTGATCGCTGGCTTTATTTCTACACAGTGTTTGGCCTTCACATTTGCCTGTCTTCCCAGTCAACTATTAGCTTTGAGAGAGCTGAATAGTTTTGATGTTGTTTGATGATTTGCTGTTTCACAAATCATGTGGTAAAGTTGCCATCTTGAAACAAAATGGCCACAAATATAAGTTGTCTGGTGATTGTTGTTCCTGCAGTTTTCATAAAACTTAACATTTGAGTGAAGATTTGAGCCATATGATTATATTGATTGAATTCTTCAATTCACAAAACTAATAATTAATGAACAAACCTAATAATTAATGAGGAAGGGGGAAAGGCATAAGGAACAAGGAAATGTGTGCACTTAGCAAAGCCAGTTTATTCAAGTAGAGAATTGAAATTCATAGCCCCTGCTTCAACTATCCAGTATTCACATTTTAAATAATTTGTTTTTGGAAACCTTTCTAAAACTCTCCACTGTTACAATGTAATGCCATCTGGCATTTAACATTTATAAAATGTGCAGTTAAGAGATGCCAAGAGATTCTTTATGCAAACCAGATGGTACAATAACAGCTCTGTCTATTTTTCTGGCAGAAAAATAGAACTTTGAATGACTTGAAACTTATGTGAATAAATTAAACCCAATCAATACTTCAGGGACATTACAATTTCAATAGTTAACTTTACCCGCCTAAATATTTTCACAAATGTTTTCATTTGGAGGAGAATAAACAAAAGGGCAGACAGCAGTTCCTTTGTTGTTTTATATCTGCATTTAGCAATGACTGTAAGGAAAGCAACACCAATGACCTTCAACGTGGGAAAGTTTTTCCTTATTTTAAGAGTGATACACAGTTTTAAAGACAAACAAATGAAATTTCTTTTGAATAGGGAAATTTCACATTAAATAGTTTGAGTAGTTTTATTATTGTAATGAAGAGAAAAAAATATATACGTCTAAGTGACATTTTCTGGATAGTGCATTTGAAAATGTCTTTACCTCACCAGATATGTTTCTCATAAGTCCAAGTTCAGCACATGCAGGGGTATGATAATACCTTGCTTTGTCCTTGCCTGGTCCCTGTAAGTTTTCCATGTAACAATGGGACTTTTGTAATCCCCTTTCATTTCCTTTACTTTCTTTTATTACTTTTATTTTCATTAAAATTCACAATAAGATACTCATTAGATGAAGTAATCTTGTTAAAAGCAAGTGTTCCGCTTAGATCTTTTCTTTCTCCTTGTTACGTAAAAATGTGATTCCCTGCCATCCAAGTGAATTTCCTCTGTAATTAGGCATGAATAGCTTTGGAGAACAAATACAGTCTGCTTTTGAAAATAGATCTCTTTGGGTGCAGGGGACAATCTCATTAATAAAAATCTGTGTTTCTGGGCTGCACAAGCTGTTGAATTTCTCTCCCAATTAGCAATGAATGGTTTTTCAGAAAAACACTGGAGAAGTTTGGTTTCCATTTTGCTGGCATTAATTATGCTTGTGAGAGACTGGAAGTATCAACTACCACTAAACTTTGTCCCTTCTTTTACTCTCCCTGGAACACACAGGACTCTGTTTTATAGACAGGGCAGAGTCCTGGGTAAATTCGCCCTCCAAGTGCTACTTCCTCTGGGCCAGTGTTGGTTTCCATAGTAGATGAGACATCTGTTTAGACCACCCCAGTGTCAGGCAGCTACCCTTGTGGCAGGAGATATCACAAAATGATAAACCCAAAGGAGGCACATTTAAAATGTCACTTATCTGGGGGCAGGGAGAATTTCTCCAAAAGCTGCCCCTAGGGTTAATCAGTTAACTGTGTTCTGAGTCCTTGACAAACATGGTGTCTGGGTAAAAGACCTCAAGGGGAAATAGTTAAATGCCTGGGGTGCCAGATAATGAGTTGAATTCCTGGTATTTTAGGAAAACAAAGAAGGAAATAAAACCTACCTCTCTGAACCTCAGTGGAAGACAGAGGGACCTAGAAATGACTGGTAGGATGCTTTTCTAAGTTGAGCTAAGTTAATATTGCAGGAGAGTAAGGAGATGTGGTGGACAGGGTCAGTCCCAACAGGAGGGTTGAATGGGACTTGACTTACTAGGTAATAGAACAATCCAGGGGATGGCCACTGCCACTTGAGTTTGATCTTCCAAATCTCTTCACCATTGTAAATGGCGGATGCCCTCTGGTCTTCAAGAGTCTAACAACATACATGGGGACAGACTGAAATACTTGCTTCCACAAACCCATACAGTCAAAATCCATCATTGCCTCACAATTACCAAGATTTCTCAAAAGGAACTAAAACAACAAATCACTGGTTACCAGAAAAGAAGGGGGAAGCGGGTGGCTAAACCAAGTAAAAGGATTGAATTGTACAGCGAAGGATAGAATTGGACTCTTAGCAGTGAACTTCATGTAGTTACACAGTTATCTATTTGGTAGACAATTTTTATAAATATTCTCTGTGTGTTATGAAAAACATACATACACTTTCAGTTGACTGCAGAGTTCTATAGATGACTGCTAGATAAAGCTTGTGAATTGTGTTAAAATCTTTTATATCTTTATTAATCATCAATATATAATCTCCCACTTAGATTGTGAATTTGATCTTTTTCTTTAAATTCTATTAATTTGTTTTCTCTGTGCTACTAGGTAGTTACAGGTTTAGGACTAACATATTTTCTTGATGAATTGTTCCTTTCAACATTATGTATTATCTTTACCTACAGTCATTTTTTGTCTTAAACTGTATTTTGTAAGATATAAATATAGCTATAACAATTTTTGTTACCATTTGACCTAACTTTCCTTTTTTCGCCTTTAATCTTCCTGCAATTTTATATTGTAGATGTATCCATTTTAAATAAGACATTATTGAGTCTTCTAATTGGTGAATTTGATCTATTTACATTTATTTTGATTACAGACAGATTTGGAACAGGTTTTTGGTGTCATACTGTATTCCCCACACTAATTTTTCTATTTTTTAAGGTGGAAGTTTAACTCATTGACTTGACTTTTTTTTTCTTTCTGATACAAGTATTAAAAACTGAGTCCTTCCTAAGCCCCATTTTAACTGCATCCCATAAATTTTTATGCTGTGCTTTCATTTTCTTTTTCAGTTTGAGTATCTCTGATAAGGTTTTTTATCCAGAAGATTTAAAGAACTCCTATAACTCAATAATAAGACAAATAACCCAATGAAAAATGGACAGATAAAATTAAGACGTAAAATTAAAGTTAAGATGTAAAAATATCTAGGAAGCACATGAAATATGCTGAACAACATTAGTCATTAGGGAAGATTAAAACCATAATACCGCGTCACACCCACTAGGATGGACATAAACAAAAAAACCGTAACAAGGCTGCAAGAATTAGGAGAAATTTGAATCCATAGTAAAATACTATGGTCACTTGAGAAATCAGTTTGGTATTTTCTCAAAAATTAAATATAAATTGCCATACAACACAATTGCACTCCTTGATATATACCCAAGAGACATGAAAATGTATCTATGTCCACACAAAGATTGTCATAGCAGCATTACTCCCTCATAAAAACCGAGAAATGGAAACAACTCAAATGTCCATCAACTATCAACTGGATAAAGAAAATTCAAGGTGTTAATACCGTAGAATATTATTCAGCAATAAGAAGGAGTGCTACTATTACTTGCTATCATGTGCAAGTATTTTTGCAAACCTCAAAAAATTATATGAAGCTAAAAAGATTCTATGTTGTATGATTCCATTTATATGAAATGCCCATAAAAAGCAAGTTTGAAAGCAGATAAGTGGTTTCCTGGAGTTGGAGTGGGAGAGGAGATTGACTATAGATAAGCATGAGTCATCTTTCAGGGTGATAGGTAAGTTATACAACTGGATTCTAGTGGGTGGTGGTTACACAGCTCTGTAAATTTATGAGTGACCATTAATTGTATACTTAAAGTGAGTCAATTTCATAGTGTGTAAATTATCCCTTAATAAAGTCATTAAAAAAAATAGATCTCCCCAGTGAACTAGACTCCTTCTGAATGTTTTGCAAATTATTTTCTACATTCCATGCCTAGATGGCCAATATTACATTCAAGACTTGTTAGTGGACATAATAAGATGAAAAGAACACATAATAAGAACACTCAAGATGAACACAAGAGTCCTCATGTTTCCAGATAGAAAAAGTCCAAGTTCAGTGCCGTGAACCTTTCAGCTATTGTCCATGGAGGAAAGCTAGGATGAGCTTTGCCCTGGGGTGACATTCTTCTTTGTCACTGATTAACAGGCTTTGTAGGAAGGCTGCTCCACTAAAATCCAGCTCTGCCTGGTGAGCGACATCTGGCCAAGCACCGGTGAACAGAAAAAATGTCCACTCGCTACCACCAAGCTGCTAGTGATAGCTACCTGGAACTTCTGAAAGAGGCTACCAGGAGAGATCTGAATCTTTCTGATGAAGATGGCATGACTCCCACCCTCCTGGCGGCCTACCATGGGAACTTGGAAGCCTTAGAAATAATCTGCAGCAGAGGGTAAGTTCACACCTTCTGGTTTCATTTTTTAATTTAATTTTTTTACATCATTGTTCATATTGTATTGTGTATGATTTCTGCCCTCAGGTGTAATCCCTGTAAAATTCCCACCCCCAGATCACCCACGAACCATCACCATAGTCTCTTGTGCTCTTCCCTCCTCTTTACAACTTCATGGTTTCAGTTGGAGACAGTGTATAAGGATTTTTCAGATGGCAGCAAAAGGCAGAAATGTCAGTGTAAAGGAGACCTACAGGTGCTGTTTTCACACTGAGATACAGTACTATGGGCATAGCTCACCACTTAACAGCCATATACAAATAGATTCTCAAATAAAGCACTGTTATCTGCCTGGGAACAGAGAGGAAAGATATTTTAATTCTGAATCTTTAAAAATCTTTTCCAGAAAGTAAAACAGTTCACTCTCTAAAAGGAGATCATTTTTCTCCTTGGCTTTAAGGTGTCAACCTTGATTGGAACAAGTGATATGGTTTTCTTTTATTTTTTCATCTTCGCCATTGAAATCTAACAGCATTTTATTAATACTCAATCCCAATACAAGCCCATGATTCTTAGGTGGAGGTACTGGTTACCCGTACATCCTTACCCCTGACTCTAAATATAGGAATTACTACTTCTTTGCTGTCTACTTGTTATCAGAGGGGCTAGGCAGTATTGGAAATTACAACCCAAAGGGGGTGAAGAAAGTAAGAAGGAAAATACAGGAACTAAGTGAATTAATTTCAATTCAATACACATTTGCACATATCCATACCTGCCAGCCATTGCACACCACTGGAGTTGCTGTGGTCAACAAAAGAGACAAATCTGGACATATCTGAGAGAGGAAGACAGACATTAAACCGATCATGTATGATATATGTTTATAAAAGAAGAAATAGAGGGTACTGGAGTAAATAACACTGGCATCTACCCCAATCTAGGGGTGACAAAAGGCTCTCCTGAGCATTTAAGCTGCAATTTGAAAGATAAGGAATTACCCTGAAGATGGAAGGAAGAAGGTTTCCCCTAGTGAAACCATTGTGCATTCTTGGAACTGAAGAGCTTAAGCATGGTTGGATGTAGTTTTTCTTTGAGTGGGGAGAGACAAGATCAGATTACAAGAGTCTTGAAAATTCTCACAAGGTTTTGAACTTTATCCTAAGGTCCTGGGAAGCCACTCTCACAGATGTTCTCAGGGGAGCTATCTCATAGACTCTGTGTTCGCAAAATTTGCTCAGGCAGCTAAACAGTGGTCAGGACGAGTGTTTGGGCCTGTTTTCATGGTCAAGATGAGAGATGACCTGGACTAGGGGAGTGGAATGGGAAGGGGGACACATGAATGGATTTGAGGGGCAGTTTCGATATAGACTCCATTATGATTGACTGGATGCTGTGGATGGGTGGTAAAGGAAGAGACTGACCAAGCCTCCAGGTCCTGCTTCCAGTTTGTGAAGAGTTAAAAGAACCAAAGGTGGAAAAATTTCCTGTGTTGACTACTGAATAAGGAAGTGAGTGAAGCTGGTCTCCGTTCCTCTTGCTGAATTTGACTTACTTTGTCCAGAGGCGGCCTCCCTCACCTGCTTCCTCAAGTCTGCCTTCTCCAGATTGTAACACCGAGCTATCTCCCCTCGTCCCCCAAACTTTCTTCATCTCCTCAAAATATACCACCTCTGCACAATATCAGTTACTTCACAACCAGTGAAAACCCTTGCTCTCTCTTTCAGGCCCAGTTTAAATGGCAACTCATGGATGTCTCTCTCTCTCTCTCTCTCTCTCTCTCTCTCTCTGCCTTTTATGCCTGCAGAATTTTCTCACAATAATTGTTCTGCTCTTTTTTTATTTAATTACAAAAGTAACACATTGCTGAACCCAGAAAATTAAACTATATATATGTACACAAATTAAAAAGAAAATTTCTATAATGATACACTGTTAACATTATTATTATATGTTCATATAATATATATAATGTGTATAAATATAAAGGTGTGTAAATACATGTCTACATACATGTACACAGAGTGGTGTAGTCTAAGCACATGTTTTTGTTGACATGCTTTTATTTTTTTACTCCTTAGAACATCATGGACATTTTTACATGCTAATATGTTCTTTCATAATTTAATTTTTAGTGACTTCTTAATATTCTAGTCAATAAATGTGTTTCTTAGGTATCTCTCTTCTGAACAAATAATGTTTTCCATAATTTAAATATAGAATATCCTTATACATCTTAGAGCTGTATAGATCTTTGTTCACATTTGCCTGAAGGTAAATTTTTCAGTGTGAAGTTTCTGATCAATTGGCAAGTGCGCAATGTAAATACTCTGTGAATTGACAAATTACCTTCTCAGAAAGTGAGTACCTATGTTTGTCAGTATTATAGGCCTAAAAGGATATATCAGTGTGACTTTAATGTTCTTATCTTTGATTACAGGTAAGGTTAAAAATTCTTTTTATATTCAGTGGCCATTGTATTTCTACTTTTGTAAATTTTTAACATTGTCCCACTTTTGTATTGGAGTCTTCAACAATTCTCATTGGTGTATTATAAAGTATTTTTTACTATGAGCCTTTTTGTCATTGTATTTAAAATATTTCCACAGCTCATAATTCATATTTTGGACAACATACATTACAAATAAAAATGAAAACATAAGTAAATGTAAGCATATATTTTAAATATATATGTTTATATACTCAAGATTGTCAATTTCACTATATAATTCTAACTTTAAGGTCATTCCTACTTATTGACTGATAGTTTCTTTAGTACTTTTTCAGGTTCATGTCTTATTTTGAAATCCTTAATTCATATAGCATTTATTTTCATTTAAGTTCCAAAGTTGTACTCTAACTATACATTCTCCAAGTGGTTAGTCATCTGTCCCAACACAACTTGTCACATAGTTTATTCTTTTTCCATCTATTTGACATGGGAAAATAATTTTTTCTCAACATTATATCAAAAGCCAGTCTCAAGTTATATTTATTAAACACTGGCTATGAGAACAAAAAATTTTCAGAAAAGCAGAAGTAGAAATTTTTTTGTGCTCACAGCCAGTGTTTAATAAATATAACTTGAGATTTTCTAGTTCTTCCTTTTCATATCTTGTCTTCTGGTGGTTTCCACTATGTCCAAGATTTTTTTTTTTCCTTTCTTCCAGAAGCATTTAAGTCCTTCTAACTTGATTAAATTGGTCTGGTATAGGATTATTTTTACATCACCTAGTATTCTGACCCTAACCAATCTTTAGAAAGTGGCTCTGAAATCAAATTCCCAATTAAATTTCAGGAGTTAGAGAAGGAAACAAATTAAAAATTGAATGTAAAAGCTGATCAGTCTTTGAGGTCCGTTCCAATTTGATAATTTGAGCATTTATCTGAATCACCACCTGGTTGAGTCAAATGATCCTGTGATAACTATTAATATTCAAACTCTGGCTTTGTTTTTCCTTTTTTTTTAAATGTATAGGTTAAAGGCTATAATTACACGTGGGAAGATGACCTCAATTACATAAAATTTCATCTAGCCACTAAAGCATTGTATAGGCAGGAAGGACACAGAGCAGGTTTTCTAATATCCAGCAGACTGGGTAAAGGAGCAGTCAGAGTTCTCAGTGGTTTTGCAGGTTTTTATTGGGATTACCAGGTACACAGCAGGCAGGGGCTCTGGGGGGCTGGTAGGCTGGCAGGCCTCCCAGCCCCCAGCAAGTCTTTATCTGGGCTTTCCAGCATTCTCTCGGCTTCTGCTTCTCTTGCTTCTCTCTCGGCTTCTGCTGCTGCTGGCGTCCATGTGATGCCGCCCTTAAAAGCCCACTCTTAGCCCAGGTGAATCCCATCTACCTATGCCCACACCCTACTCCAGGTGCCTGCCACCAGGCATGCATTCAGGACCGCAAGGATCCATCATCTATCCTGATGGCGGGAGGGCAGAAAAGTCTGATATTTTTCCTTACCCTACAAGCATGCATGCAGTTTTAAAAGTTTTGTTTGATTTTTCTAAAATGAAAATGATTTTTTTCTTCCCTGATTCTTAGAGGAATACATACTGCTACACTTCACATCAGATTTGAAAGCTGTATCTCATAGAGCAAAAACCACACTAACTCTGTCATTGACTTTGGTGCACATCCTCCAGACATTTTCCTTTGAGAACAGGCACACATTATATGTACATTTTCCCCCTTAAAAAGACAATCATATCCTACAGACTAGCCCAAAACTTGCTTCTAATCATTTAACAATAGATTGTGGCCAATGCATATGTCAAAGCAGAAACCCAGGTCACTATTTCTAAAAACTGCATGGTATCCAATCTTATGGTTTCATCATAATTTATTTAGTCAGTTGCTTGTTCTCAACATTTCACTTGAATCAAGTCTTGATTACAAGTAAGTTGGGATGAACATTGTTAGTCATTCATCTTGCACAAAGATTGGATATTTCCTTAAGATAAATACCTAATGCTGAAACTGTTGATTCAAGAGCGTGCTAAGTTTTGAGGGGTTTTGACATCTGTTTTGCCTGGAAATTTGAACCACTTCATGCTTCCTCAAGCTTTGTTTATTCCCCCATACTCCTGCCCAAACTAAGTACTGCTATTATTTTTAATCCTTGCCTATCTGACAGGCAAAATAAAGATGGTGATACTTTGTTTTTATTTGCATTTCTTTGATTACTAGTGAATCCAAATATTCCTTCTTATGTAGAAAAATGTTTTTGAAATAATGATTTTTTTTCTGAGAACATCACAAAAAATGAAATCATCTTCAGCAGGAGAACCTGAAATGGAACAGATGCTCAGAGAAATTTAATATAAGCAAATTGCCTATTTAGTGACAATAATCCCAATCATCTTTTAAAATTTATTGCCCAAATATACTGATTTACCAAAAAGCAAGGGTAAAATATGATTGTTTAAAAATTTCTTCTTTGAGTTTCTTTTTTGGAAAAAAATGAAATAGGAAAAAAATCATCAGACTGAAACCATAGGACATCACTATTGGACTCAGATCCTCAAATGGAGAGGAAGGGATGTAGGGTAAGGTAAAAAGTATTAGGCTTTTCTGCCCTCCCACCATCAGGATAGATGACGGAACCCGGCGGTCCTGAATGCAGGCCTGATGACGGGCACCTGGAGTAGGTTGTGGGAATATGTAGATGGGATTCACCTGGGCTGAGACTGGGCTTTTAAGGGCGGCGCCATGGGGACGCCAGCAGAAGCAGAGAAGCAGAAGCAGAACGAATGGAGAAAGGAGAACCACGAGAGAAGCAGGGAGAAAGCAGAAAGCCCAGGAAGAGTGAAGACTTGCTAGGCCTCCCGGCCCCCCAGCACCCCTGCCTACCGTGTGCCTGGTAAATCCCAATAAAAGCCTGCAAAAGCCACCGAGGGCTCCAGGACTCCTCCTTTACCCAGTCTGCTGGATCAGAAAACCTGCCCTGTGCCCCTTTCTGCCCCCTACAAGGGACCAGCTTGTGAATACCTGGGCAGGTGTGTGGTATAGTTTACCAAGAAATGTGAAAGACATCAAGGATTGAAAGACAAAGATTGAATTTAGTAGGACCCCGTGAAACTTGTTAATAGAAAATATATTTTATTGAACTTGTACATCAGTTTGGAAAGTTGTCTAAGTAGAATTTGGCAAATGGAAATCACTTCAGTAAACCAGGGAAACTCATAAATCCTCTTACTGAAAATCATTTGGAATTTTGCATCTGAAATCTTCTTAAAAGAAAACTCGTCTGTGGTGTCATCTCAGGTTTTTTTCATGTTCTTCCTCTTGTTATTTAAGATCCCTCGGGTGCAGGGAGATTCCACTGCTCTGTGGCTTAAGTATATAGATTTAACCCACACTTACTACTACCTCAGAACAGCCCCAGCACAATTCACTCCTCTCAATCACCTCTTTTTTAAATTATCCAATCTAAGGATAATTTCGAGCGAATTTATCCAGTATGTTTTCATGTTTAAGGTAGTGTGTTTTACAATTCCTCTTTGATGTCTTACTTCCGGAGCCTTGAATATGGTATTTGATTAACATCAATAAAATAAAAAGTGAAACTCCATCTTTGGAGGTGAGGCATGGTGTAAATACACAACTGTGCTAAGTTTGAAAGGGTTCATCCAAAACAAAACAGGTCAACGAGCCAGAGGCCTTCTTGAAAGTGTCCAGCAGCCCTGCGGTTTTCAATAATTGTTTTCCTTTGATTCAGTTTCATTTTCTTTCCCTCCTCTTTTGCACTTATGTGCCCTTTGCCCCCCACCTCCAGGCTCTCTGGTCATGCTGCAGTATACCCTGGGCTCCCTAACTATGCCCTGAAGATCACCCACATGTGCATCTGCTCACTCTGTTCTCTGCTAGGAAGGAGGTTGCCAACTGCCAGCTTATGGGCTGGAGCTAGCCCACAAGTATGGTTTATTTGGACTTCACTGTATTTTTCTTTTAAATTTGAGCCAACATTTAAAAAATCAAAAAATTCCACATGAAATTCTGGATGTCTGGTTTTGTTTGAACAATGGAAGCTCTGGCAATATTGTGTCTGCTTTTATTCAAGGTAGCAAGCAGCCACGATCGAGCGACACCATCCCCCCTAGATGGAGCGTGCATTTGTCAGTGACTTTGTCAAAAGAACAAACCTGGTCCCATTCAGTTACTTACATTATCTTCTTATTTCCTTAGTTCACTGTGTGACTAGGAAATACTGTTGATACAAAGAACAAAAAGACACAGGCTTTGCCCTCTGGAATATATGATCTAATTAGGAGGACAGGGTACATCGAATAAGACTAGAAGTGTCAAAAAGCCCCAAAGGTTATTGTGGTACTGTGAAATGTACTAGATAGGTCTGAGAAAAAAAATATAGAAATTAAGCATTACATAACTTTAGAGACAAGTTAGAGATAATAGGTTCATTGAATATTCACTATGTACCTAGCACTTTTCTAATGATTAACTTATTCGCACAATAATTCTATGAGTAGGTAATAGTCTCCGTTTACAGGTGAGGACACTGAGTCCGAGAAAAGTTAAGCTTGAGGCCTTGTAACTGGGGAAGCTGGACTTGGGGGAGGGGAGCAGTGATGTGCTAGACCCCGTTCTTACTTGCTCAAGAGAGAACTGCTAAATTTTTAAGTTTGAAATCATCAAAAATAAAATTTATAAACTTACAATTTAATAAATTAATGCTCGAAACGCATTACCTCCTAATTATTTAACCCGATTTTACTATTACCTGTGCTCTTGAGATTGTGTACCTGTTTGGTCTGTGTGGCAGGAATCACTTAAAGTAGTAAGTAAGCTGTTGCACACTCTTACAAACTCACATTAGGAGCTTGAAATTTGCTCCTAATTTGCTCCTTGAAATTTGGGTGTTGCAATACCGCAGAAATTGGCACACACTCTAAAGCAGGGCTTTGATTTTTTCCCCCGGGTTCCTGGGTTCCCTGGGGAAGACTGACGCTACCTTAGCTCCAAAATCCTCATTGATCTAAGTTAAACAGGTAACTCTACTGCTCTTCCCTTAGGCCTAGGACCCAAATCTGGCCAATGAGACATGAAAGTTTCACTGTTGGGGAGTTTCATGAACAGCTTTACTTGCCTTGCTTCTAAAGAAAAGACAAAGGGGTCGAGATGGACTTTCTCTGTTTTGGGCCATGTGATGTCTGGATGTGACTCAGCTGGATGGTCAGAAGTTATCTTTAACAATGTTAAGACAAGATAAATGTGCATTTTGTCTTTTATTTTTGTTTTTATTTTCATTTGAGTTGGGTGGGGGGAAATCTCATGTCCAGAGAAAAAAATTAATATGTATTTTTTATGTTTTCTCTTCCAGGGGAGACCCCGATAGATGTGACATCTGGGGAAATACTCCTCTACATTATGCAGCCTCCAATGGTCACACCCACTGTGTCTCCTTCCTAGTCAACTTTGGTGCCAACATCTTTGCCCTGGACAACGACTTACAGTCTCCACTGGATGCAGCTGCCAGCAGAGAGCAGAAAGAATGTGTTGCTCTCTTGGATAAGGCTGCCACTGCCCAGAATGTCATGAACCCCAAAAAGGTTGCCAGGCTGAAGGAGCAGGCTCAGAAGAATGCCCGGAGGCAGATCAAGGAGTGGGAGAGGCTCCAGGAGAAGCACCACAGTAAGATGGCCCGCACCTACAGCAAGGAGGACTCTGGGGCTCTGTCTTCCGCCAAGGGCACTTACTCCAAATCGTCCCTTTCAAATGCTGCTTCTTCCAGTGCATTTGGGTCACTGTCTAAAGGCATTAAAGACACCTTTAAAATAAAGTTCAAGAAAAGTAAAGACACAGCGGAGGAGCTAGGACAAGAGAGAAGTGGGCAGAGGAATGTGATGGAAATGTTCAGAGAAGAGGAGGAGGAGGAAGAGGATGAATACTCCAGGGTATTCAAAGGGAAGCTCCGGCTCTTAGAAGAGGAAGAGGAAGAGGCGGACAGAGATGCACACCAGGAACCCATTCTCAACCGTCCAGGTCTGGGAAGTATCATTTTTAGAAAGAATAAAATATTAAACCCAGAAGACATCTCAGAAAGCAAGAGGGAATTGGGATTTAAAATGCCCAGTGAATTCCTGCAGATTCAAGGAACAGCAAAGGCCGATGAAGCTGAGGCTGCTAACGATGGGGAGGAAAATGACCTTGCAGATGACCTGCCCTGGGATGAGTATGAAGTAGACTGGGAGGAAGATGTGGCTGATGCGACTGCCCTGGAAGTGTTCTTGCATGCTCATCACCTGGAAGAATTCCTGCCCATTTTCATGAGAGAGCAGATTGATCTCGAAGCATTGCTGCTTTGCTCTGATGAGGATCTTCAAAATATACAAATGCAGCTGGGGCCCAGGAAGAAAGTCCTTAATGCTGTAAGCAAAAGGAAGCAGGTGATGCAGTGTCCGGGGCAGCTGATTGACACCAAACTCTGATGGAGTGTGGGTCCACAGGGGGAACTGCAGCGGTGGGGCGATGCTGTGGCCTGCCAGAAGCACTCCAGGCAACACCCCCATTTCTAGCTGATGGGGTGAGATGTGGTTTCTAGGGTTTTGGAGTTGCCTGCCTGAGGAAGAGGCTCAAACTCTGCTCTGAGAAATACTCTACACCTGGCAAATAAACCACTATGGGAAACCCAAGGAGACCCAGAAATTTAAAAAATGGTGTTTGATGTCTTTTTGATCTTTTTGGATACAGAACGGGTTCATTGGATGACAGGAGGGAAAGCCATTTTTGCATTTCTAATTCTGCACTTAAAATTATAATCTCATCACACTAGCCTGAAGATTACTTTCTGATCCTCATAGCCTGGGGGTTGTGATTCCAGTGATGTTCCTAGGTCTCTGACTTTGCCTGTTGGTGTGGACTAGGGTTCTTCTCTTGGCCTGAGACTTGATGCCCAGCTTAAATGTGTCTGGCCCTTCAGCAGAGGTCTACAAGTAATTAAAAACAAAAATGGGTCTATCATTCTCCTGCCTGGGGACAGAGACAGAGTGGCAGGCAGGGGGAGTGAAGAGAGAAATAGCATCTGGGTACCCTACAGAATTGAGTGTGTCCCCCTTCCTCCCATTTCCCATTCACTTGTACTTACCAGATCTTTAAAGAGATGACTAAGGTCAAGTGAGGTCATAAGGGTGGGCCCTATTTCGATGTCACTGGTGTCCTTATAAAGAGGAGAGACACAAGAAGGGGGTCATCTGCCAGCCGAGGGGGAAACCTCAGGAGAAACCAAATCTCCCATCACTTTGATCTTGGACTTTCAGACTTCAGAACTGAGAAAATAAATATCTGTTGTTTAAACAATACAGTCTGCGGTGTTTCTCGTGGCAGCCCGAAGAGACTAACACAGTGCCTGAGTAGGAGGGTGGGGGAAGAGGGAAAGACCATGAAAGTAAAAAAGACTGACTTACTTGATGATTTTTCTAAGTATGATTTTTCTAAGAAAAGGAAAGAAATCTAGGTTCTTTGAAGGAAAGATCTTACTAGAAAAGTGAATTTTACATTTTCATGCTCACCCTCTGCACAGCTTTTATTTACTCCCATGCCACTGTCGCTGCATGTCTGAACACACGTAGGCTCAACAGTAGAAACTGGCGACACTGCAGCTGACATTATTTGAATGGCAATCCCATAATAACATCGAGACCCTGCAAAAGAGCTAGGCTTCATTGGATTTTTATGTGTTAGTCCACAGACACATCAAGTGGAATTTACCATTGATTATGTGCAGGATATAAAAACAGCTGTTTATCTTCAGCACGCTTCTTGAGTCACATCTGTTTGGGTTGCTTAAAGAGGCACTATGGGGGATATAAATTTTGAAAACACAGATGCTCTCAGCTCATGAACAATTGGCTCACTCCTCGTCAATGGGCAGATTCAGAAAGGTTGTCAGTCATCAAATACATTGCTTTGGGGAATGATTATGTTTACAAATATTGCATTTTGTTGTGATGGAATAAACGGAAGTTGTATTTGCTTTCAGCAATGTGCTGGAAAGCAATTGGCACATAGAAGGCACTCAGAAAAATGTGTAGCATCGAAGCCTGCCTCCCTTGCCTGCGCTCAATTTGCCCAATGACACTCAATGCTGGGATAGAAGGAAAGTATAAGCCACTAGAGGGCGTATTGTTAACAAAAAGGGCCCTTTCCAGAAGTGCTTTGTAGAATATCATGGTCAGAGGTAAAATGAGTAGGGAAAGCCCGCTCGTTGGACCTCTCCTATGCCCAGTTGCCTAGCTGAGAAGCCAGGTATTGCCTACTGCAATGTCCACTCCTTATGGACAAGGAGTTTTCTCTGTCCTTTATATACTGATATACCCCCTGGACCATGTGCCAGTCCATCACAGTACAGGGCTAGGGCCTTGTACTGAAAGTTCCTGTAACACCCAACATGGAACTGTAACTCTTTTTACATATCTGTCTTCCCTTCTGGACTGTGTGGTCTTTGGGGGCCAATTGTTGTTGTAGCTCAGTTGTCTATCACAGCATTATTGTAGGGGCTCTTAAGGAAAGAAAAAAGAGAAATCTGAATGAGTGAAGGCATTTTTAATAACCCCATCATTACACAGCCTTCTCTACAATCCATTAGTATTGTGACTAGTAAGAACCCCAGAAAAACTCCACAGTCCCTGAAGTGTGCAGAATCAGATCACATGGGGGGTATTACTCCAGAACCAGGGCCTCTTTGCAGACAGCCTAGCAAATAGGATAAACTTTTGGCTAAGTTACCTAGAGCATGAAAATGATCTTCCAGGAGGGGTTTGGGTAGGAAAACAAAGGAAAATAACAAGTGTTTCTTCACTGCTGACTTCTCTGATAATCAGCCTAGAGGGTGGGGGTAGATTTGTATGAGGCCTTTGGCAGGACAAGGACAACATTGCTCTGCTATGATTCAGGGGTCCTGGGGAAAGCATCTCTGGACCTCAGTTTCTCTACCTGTAAGTTGACCATGTTGGATCCCTAATAGCTCTTTTGACACTGATGCTATAGGGCAAGTAGACTTGCTTACCCAACATCCAGTTTGATAAGAAACACCTCTTTGATAAGAAACACCTTCCCTCTGGTCAGCTGGGTGGCCAGATGGGCTGATCACAGTCCTGACTTCAGGGGGCATGTGAGACAACTCCCTGCATAATGCATCAGCCAAGGAGTGGGCACATGGCCCTGGATTAGCCGAACAGATTATCTCTTCTCTTTTAGCCATGATATTAGGCTCAGGCCTGGGCATGTGACAGCTAGTCCAGTGAGTCTCAGTTCTGGGACCTAGTAAGTTAGAGAATCTCTGTTTCTGCTAAGCTTGCTGAAGAGGACAGATTCAGAAGCTGTAAGCTGGGGTCCTGGTGATACTTGGCACCCCCGCATACAGCTATAGCTGAAACCAGTTACCCATGTGCTTCCTAACTGCCAGAGTCAATGGTCTGTCTCCCTCATTCATTCATTCATTTAGTTTAGGGCATCTGAGTAGTGGCCTTTTCCACTTGTGGCCAAAGGTGTCCTGACCAATTTGGAAGCTCCATTGTTCCTTGAAATTTTAATTTTAAGAAGACAGAAACAAAAGGCTACGTATTGTATGATTCACTTTCTATGACTTATCCAGAAGAGGCAAATCCATAAAGACAGAAAGTAGATTAGTGGTTTTCAGGGGCTGGTGAGAAGGGGGGTGGGGAGTGACCGCTAATGGCTACTGGTTTCTTTTGCAGGATGATGAAAATGTTCTGAAATTAGACAGTGGCGATGGCTACGCAAATCTGTGGATTTACTAAACCCCACTGAATTGCACATTTGCAACTGGCACATAAATTGTAAATCAACTTACTAAAAAGGAAAAAATGGACAGCCATTGGAGTTCCCCCAGGGAATGAAAAGAAGCACTCGGTCCCCTCAGTTTTTTTGCTGTGACAGACAGAAGTTACTGGAGCAAACACTGCAGAGCTGGAAAATGTTTTATTTCTTGAAATTACAAAAGTTAGTGAAATACCAGGGGAAGGGAGGAATGCTATCATCTGGCATAACAGAAGGAGCTCATGGGGGTGCTCCCCAGCTACAAACACAAATGGTGATCTCACTGTTTAAGGTAAGACATAAGCACACAACTATAGCTCACTGGGGACTAGGATACCTCATTTGATCTAGAAATTAGGGGACAACCGTGGTATCAAGACTTGAGTGGTAGGATCCTCCTCAACACAAGGTTTTTTGTCTTATTTACCAGATGACCAGGAATCAAACACCAGCTTGGCTGCAACTGTATCTTCCACCGCCATTCCTGGAATGGATAGAAACTGGGTTCACCTTTTATCAGAATCACTTTTCCTGAAAAAAACCCAGACTCAGGACTGGCAGTTGCCTGTCATTTCCTGAAGTCCGGCAGAGTGGCAGGGTTGAGCAGAGGGGCAGACTGGAACCCTGGGAGCCCATCCTTTGTGGGGCTTCTACCTGCAGCAACTCAGGGGGCCACCGTGCTGCCCATAGAAGCCCTCCTCAAATCGGCAAGCAGGATGGTAAGGAAGGAGGGAGCAAAGATCGTGGGCAATGCTTCCTGTCTGGGTCTCTCTCAGATTGGTCCCCCAGTCATTTCCCTTGCGCTCCCTGTCTTTTCACATCTGTATCCTCCGCCTCCACCTCTGGGGGCATCTGAGTTTCTTTTAGACATACGTTTAAATGACTTACTGCCCACTCGTGCTACATGCAAATTGTTCTACATCTCATTTAATTTGCACAAAAATTCAAGGTAACAAGTGGTGGAGAAACTGAGGCTCGGAGAGGGGAGGCCAGGTGCCCAAAGTTGCATGTCCGGGGAGTGACAGAGAAGGGAATCCAATCCACGGCCGCCCAGTTCCAGAGTTCATAGAACATGTAAATAATTGATGGGAATGGTGGGTTTCACAATGATTCAGCGACAGAGCCCGGTGATTCATTCTGCCTCTACCAAGGGATAAAGCTGCTCTGGCCTCTGGGGAGACTTGAGCCGGGGAAACAAGGCCCTTACCCAGAGATTTGAACACCGTGGTCTTCTCACAGTGGGCTGGCTTCACGCCCTTTACCACTTCTCCCAGCTCAGCGAAGATCTCAGCCTGTAAATGAACTCATGTGATGTGGGCCCTGGAGCTCCTGTCTACTCAGGGCTGGCTGCTAAAGCCAGGACACGGTGGGGGTGGGGGCGCGGGTCCCTGAACTGAATAAGGGGTACATTTAAAAATCTTTTAAACCAGATGATGTCAGGGAGGATGCCGACCCCTTCAGCCCTTGCTGGGTGGCATCTGCCTGTGTGGCACTGTGAACACAGAGATGCAGCTCTGTGGCCAGGCCATGTTCTGCCAGGATATTGGGTGAGGAAATAGGCCTGTTCTTATCTGAACACTCATGGTGGCAGCTGCCCCCCTTCTTGCTTGTCTGTCCTGTGACAAAACAACAGGAGGCCAAGAAGTACTAACTATGGTCCAATCTTTTGGCCGCACTGGGAAGCTTTCCAGGTGGCAACAGGCTTCCATTTCCCAATCCTGTTGCTTTATGGGGCCGCCCAGCCCAGTGGAAAAGCCCAGCAAGCTTCTCTCCCCAGGGAAAGGGAACTGGGAAACACACATTGCCACCATCACAGCCACATTATTCTGAAAGGGGGTTGGAAAGGGTTGGGTGATGCTCCAGAGCTCCACCCTACAAGTGTGGGGTGTGTGTGGGGGGTGGGGGGCAGCAGCCCACAGGACAAGGGGCTCACCCCTGACAACAGGACATCTCCAGACTCTTTGAGGGCGGCCTCCTGGGAATCCACGTACAGCACAGCCTGTTTCATGAGCTCGTCATCCAGCTCTCGCCAGTCAGGTCTGCTGGCTCCAACGGCTAAGACACAAGGAAACAGGCCTAAGACTGGGAATGGTCGCCAACACAGGGGAGGGGGTGGGGAGCAGGGGTGACAGAGGTCATGTAGGGACATCCAGACTTGGAATGTATCTCCTCAGGCCAACTCCCTCCCAGCCAGCAACCATGAAGAGCCATTAGAGGAGTAATGCTTGGCCCTTTTCTACTTCCCATCTAGTCTCATTTTTAATGACTGTGAGGAATCTCAGCTCGCATGTATTGGGTGCCCACCATCTGCAATGTGGATCACACATGTAATCCATATTCCTCACAAGTACACTTCACATCTGATTCCCATTCAATAGACGCATAGAAGTGAGGCTCAAAGAAGTGAGGGGATTGGCCAAGGCTCGGTATCTAGTAAGCATATCTAGGGCTCTGAGAAAGCACACAGGAAGCATTTCTCCTCCAGTTATCGGGAGCGACTCCTCACAAAGACCCATAACAAAGACATCACTTGCCGCTTAGTCATACCAGACACTCCTGCATCTCTGTCTGCTTGTCAATCCTTCCCATCCCCCACCCCAGCCTCTTCTACTCTCCACTCATAACAGAAGGGCCCAGCATCAGGGGCCTGGAGAAGGCCCAATAAAGAGGAAACTGGCTCCATCTCAGCCTCAGGCTTTCACATCCTCTGGAGAGCCCAGAATCATCATAATGAATCCAGGAAATGAAGCCTCCTGGCACTGCCACTTAAGGTCACACAGAGGCTGCAACCTGCACAACCTGGAGGGCCAGGCAGGTAATGAACTGGGCAATGCTGGTCAGAGAGCCTGGACTGGAAACGGTGGAGACCGATGCCTACAGAAGAAAGCCAGGCCTACTAAAGCGGACAGTCGTCCAGCTCCAGCTAATTGTTGCCATGTGAGAATGCAGGTCCGCAGTGAGATACTCCTTTTATAAAAAAAGAAGCAGGAAATCTATTTGCATGTGTTATTTCTTGATTTTTAGAACACTCTCGGGTCCAAAGAAAACACATCTGCTGGCTGGGTCCAGCCCAGGGCCAGCTAGTCTTTGAACCACTATAAAGCCTTATGCCAATATAAGGCAGCATTCACAGACCCTCTGACACCACCGTCCAGTAATTTCCACTTGTTCCCTCTCCTGCTGTTCTCTCTCACTCTAATTTTCAAAGAGAGTGGTATAAAAATGTCCATCTCGAAGGTTGTTTGTGTCAGGACTTCTATAGAACAAAAGCGCTAACTAACGAGGCTCGTAAATAAATCATAAGCTGGTGGGAAAAACCCCAGCTTCTCAGGCCACACTCTTCCATTGCTCTGTTCCCCCCAGTTCTTCTGAGCAAGGCAAGTTCACAAAGGCTTGTATGAGGGCACTTGGGCACATGGAGGTGGTCCAGACTGGAGGGGCCTGACATAGACTGGGCTCTGGCCTCGCTTCAGTGGGGGCTAGAGTGAGTGAGGTCAGCCCCTGGCCTGTGGGGTCCAGGGCAGAATGAGAGAAGTGCAGGCATGCTGGCACCAGGTCAGCCCCTCAGTCAAGCTCTAAATTAAGTAAAATCTGTGGTAGTTGTTTCCCTGTCAGTTGCACTTGGAACACACTATTTTCTTGAAGTATATTTGACGCCTCTGTGAATATATAAACCAATTTTGTCCTTAGGCCAGGAATTATGAGGCGTCTTGATTCAAAACCAAGTCAGTCCTTCCTGGAGGGAGATGAAAAGTGTGAGAATAATCCTACGTGAGGGAGAATCTCCCTTGTTGGTTTTAAAGATGGAGGGGCCACGTGACAGGGAGGTTGTGGGGGACAGCCTCTAGGACACTTTCGTCTTACAATGTGAGGAACCTGCCACAACCACATGCACCTGGAAGGGGACTCGGTGCTCTAGACAAGGCTGCAGGCTGGACAACACCTTGATTTAATCCTGCATGAGCAGACGGCCCAGCTGACCCAGACTCCCGAGCCACAAAAACTCAGAGAATAAAATATGAGCTGTTTTAAGCTGAGAAAACCACCCAGTCAGTCTGGCTGAACATTCAGCTCTTATCTCTTTCACCAAGAATCCTTAATTTCCCGAGTTCTTTTAGAAAAATTCCTGCAGTTCATAAAGACTGACCTGACCCACCATTTACCTGCCAGCAAAGCCACCTCTTCTCTCCCCTGGGCCCCCGTCTTAGGACCAGTCCCACACAGGCTGAGATTCTCAATTACTTTGACCCATTCCTCAAACATGCCTTATTTTGTTTCTCTTATAGAACTTTGGCTGCAACTCTCTACTTCATCCTTTTGTTCACTTGTTTGTTGTCTATCTCGAGAGATTATGAGCACCCACAAAGCCGTGCCCTTGAGTGTGGGTACACTGTGCATGCCCAGTGTCTAGAACAGCACCTGGCATGTAGGGAATCCATAAACATTTGCAAAGAGACCCATAATTGTGGCACTTAGCTCTTGCCTGCTCTTCTGCCAATGGACAGTGATTTAGGTTTTGATTTCACACTATTATCTTATTACTAAAACACGGAGAACCCAGAGCATGGTTAAAAAATCTAGTCTTCATGCTCACCCTCCAGAATCCAGCCTTCTCATTGCAACATAATATGGAGTATTATTTATATAATTGGGCCTCAGTTCAAATCCCAGCTCTTCCCCTAAGATCTCTGACTTTAGGCAAGTTATTTAATGCCTTTATGCCTTGGTTGACCCACCTATAAAATGGGGGTCATGAAAATAATAGCTCCTACCTTATCAGGTTTTTAAAGATTAAATCATGTACTACACATAAAGGATTGAGAGCAGCACCTGAAATAGTAAGTACTGAATATAAACCAGCTCTTGCCATAACCCCCCCAGGACCAGTGGAGGATCTTCAGGGGCCCCACAACTCTTATATTTAGAACTCCCCCCTCATTCCATCACACATATTAAAAGGCATCCATGTATCATGCCAAATGTCTTTTGCATGGTAACTATTTCCAAGTGTTAACCATAATCAACTGAATTTATTAGTTTTAATTTGCAATTTTTGCATATTTAGATTCATTGCAGAGTGAATATTGTTTTTAGGGCTCATGTGTTTCTAATCCCCTTTAAGAAACTTGGGTATTGTGCATGAATGAGCCAGCACTGTCCCTTGGTCCAGTCTTGAGACTAGTCTGGCCTCCACTTACCCAAGGTTCATGCAGCCACTCTGCTTACCATTAATGTGAGCCCCTGGTTTCACCCATTCACCAAACAAAATGGGCTCTGTTGCCATGGTGACCGTGATGATCACATCTGCCCCAGCCACAGCCTCCTGGACTGATGAGCAGACCTGCACTTCGCCGTCCACAGTGTCTGCAAATTTCTTTGCATTTTCCTTGGTGCGGTTCCATATCCTCACCTTCATTGGGGAAAACAAGAGGGACATGGGTGCAATGATCGTTTTACTGTTTACATTTCAAGTCCAGGGAGGGGCCAAGGGAAAGTTGAGCCACTCAGGGTAAGGGCTGTGGTGATTGAAAACATTCCCCATAGAGAATAGACATTTGATCAAGGTACAGCATTAATCTGGGCAGACACCTGGCCAGATATTTGAAAGTGACCTTTCTCTATCTCTTTCTGGAAGGAGGGAATTTTTTCATTTCTAGCCTGGAACACAGTCTCAGGAGCTCACAAGCTACTACATAGCTTAATGATTAGCAGAGCAAGTTCAGGAACCAGGCAGGCTTGGCACCAATCCTTGCTCTGTCACTACTGCTCCTGAAGTTTTTTACCTATTTCAGCCTAGGTTTTCATGATTGTAAAATACAAATGGCGACCAGGCAATGAAAGATCTGAAGGGTTTGAAGAATGAATGAAGTAGCAGGTGAAAAGAACAAGAGAAATGAGCAGTTGGTGCAATCAGAACTCTGGAAGGGGCTGGGGGTGGGTTAGGGCCCCACAGGACTTCCCAGCTGGCTTAACAGATTTCTATGTTTGGGGAAGGTCCTAAAGAATCTCTCATAAAGAAATACACCAAGTACAGAAATAAATGTTCTAAGTAACCTCATCAACCAAGGTGAAAAATACATGTTCAGCCATAGGCAATGGTTAACCATCCCAGCCTTCTTAATAGCCAATTGTGCTAATATCGCACAAGAATTAGGTCATCGAGAAAGGTAACATGTTAATGAAAAGCCAATGGAAAAACAGGACATACGAGTGTGTATCTCTCACATGATTAAAACTGGTATAAAAGGCTGATGAGAGAAGACTGGAAAATATTAACTGCTCATCTTTGAAAACAGACAAAAGGCTGTTTTTCTTGTGTTTTCTTCCCTATAGTCTACATTTCCCAATGCAAAGGTATCATTTTTATCATTAAAAATCATATTTTATATCTGCCCTATACAAGAAATAAAAGCAGCACCAACTCTCCCAGCAGGAGGTGTAAGCCATGATGGGGGAGGTGGACCAACACCTAGGTTGACCGGAGGTAGGGGAGAGGACTTCGGTGTCCTGCCCTTTGGGGGGTCATTACCAGGCCCTGGATCCCTAACCCTGAACACTTAAAGACCCCTGGATTCAACTAAGAGAAGTAGACGGCTGGGCCCAAAGGACGACTGAATGTATACAATGGACTTAACAGTCTTCCACTGGGGAGGCTCACTGTGTGCTCAGGTGTACCTGTTAACTAAGAAACTGAAAAAAAACTGATTCATGCCCTTCCCCCCCGCAATTTTTGCTTCCAACAGGACTTCTGGGTGAGTCACAGATGTATAGTCTACATGTCATATTAGCCATGTTGCCAAGGTGCACAGACAAAAGTCATCGTCACCCTGACTTCTCCCCCAGGCCCTCCTCAGACTTACCTCCTTAAAAGAGAACTGCTCTGTAAAGATCTCATAGTGGCTGTAAGCCTGGACCCCAGCCCCAAGGATGCACAGCACTTCACTTCCAGGGGGTTTCAAGAACTATTTGAGAGAAATGAGGTGAAAAAGATCAGGGAGACGCCAGCAGCCAGGAAATGGCTGACTAGATGGAAGATACAGTTTGCTCTCAGGTAACATCTGCCCTTCCCTTCTTCCGCTCCCTCACCCTCTCTTGGGGGATAGAGGAGATTATCAGTCTGGTTTCTGTTTCCCTCTGTAGAGCAGGACGGAAGGAACAGCCTCTGTGGGGCCCCTGGTACGTGTGAGTCAATGCTTTACCCTCTGATCTCCTTTATTCCTGCAAAGGTCATCTAGCTGACCCAGCAAGCTAGATGCTCCTTTGAATTTTCTCTCTCTGGTGAAGAAACTGAAGTCTCAAGAGGATAAATAGCCAGTTCAGAGTCCTATAGCTGCTAAATAGCAGTATCTGAAGCCCACATTCTTTCTCCTGTGCTCCACATTTTAGGGATATGACAACACCCACTGCTCAGAGTCCTGGCTTTCCTCTAAAAGCTTCCTGGAATCCATGAGCCGTTGCAACTCAGGATTCTCAGCTACATTTCTAAGCTCCCATTTCTGAGCCACTGTGGGTGCCTTCTCGGTCTTTCCTCTTTGGAAAAGCACGTGGAGCTGGCATTTGTGGCGCCTGCTGAGGGTGTGTGTGTGTCTGTGCTTGGAGGGCGATTCAACAGTCAACTCTTCCAGGGGAGTCTTTCTGCCTTCTCTGAAAGAATTCACCAGTACATAGCTTTTATTTATTATAGATTTGTTTCTGGGTTTTGGGGTTCCTCATCCATAAATATGGCCATGAAAGAATTCAAAGCCATGTCTAGGCAAAGCAAAACAAAGCTTATTTAGATAATACACCCCAGAAGAGGTCTAGGTGGGCAGAGTCCAGGGAAGAAAAAGTGCAAAGAAAGGTGGGGTTCTCCTGGCTTAAATGGGCTACTCACTGCACCCCTTCCTGGGGTGTAATTTTGATTCTGTGCAGACAATCCTGGGGTGTTAGTTTTTTAGTTTCTAAGTGTTCCAGGGGTGTAGTTTTCTCATCCCCAGCTGCAGGTTGGGGATGGGGTCTGCCTTCCCCACTTTGCCACTTCCTGCTCTCCTTGGGCTTTATCAACCTGCCTGTAGGTTGGAGTGGCGTGTGCCTTTTCCCCTCTGAGCAGATCTTGGCTCTCCCAGGCTTCATTGGATCTGGCAAGAGTTTCCTGGGATCCTGGGTATGTTGGCTGTTAATTTTCTTTAGGCATCGCCCTCCCTGCTCTAACTGCCTAACAGATTTATTTTCTTGTGCTGGTCTGTAAGCTCCATGAGAACAGAGACAAAATGGGCACATAATCTGCTATTACCTAAAGAAATAGATCAGGGTTTTTCTACCTCCTCAACCTCAGCGTTGCTGACACCTCTTTGTTGGCTGGCCTGTGCATTATAGGCTGTTTAGCAGCATCCCTGGTATTACCCTTCAGATATTAGCATTATCCCTCTGTTGAACCTGGTTGGTGCAGACGGTTGAGCGCAGCACTGTGAAGCTGTCTGCAGCCTCTGCAGTGCTGGTTCCATCCCCGCCAGCCTCGGAGCAACCCACATGGTGCGGCAGACCTCTCCTGTCGCGCCCGCTGCTCCCTTCAGCAGTGTATTTCAATCAGTGTGCCTGTTCTGTTCCCTGCTCTTTCTCTGGTGAACCCTCTCACCCTCCCGTGCATCTGGACTGTACCCCGGCTCTTGTATAAATAAAACAAATCTTTAAAAAAAAAAAAACCTAGTTTCTGGAATTTTGATTCTGTGATTTTGGAAATCTGATTTTTAAAAAAATTCCCCAGGTGATGTGCTGCATAGCTTGGGCTGCAAATTACTGATTTGGACAAGAAGACTTCCAGCTACCTGGGCTTTGTGACTTCAGGAAACCCTAGACTCCATTTCCTTCTGAGCAAAATGAGACTATTAATATTACCTTTGCCTTCTTCACAGAAACCCGAAGATCCACTAAGATGTTGGCTTGGAAATTATTTTGTAAAAGACCAAAGTGCTTTACACAAGCAAGGCAGAATTGTCAGAGTAACTCAGTTCCTAAGTTACCAGCAAACGTTTCTCAAGGAGCTCCTTATTATTCCTGAGTTGAGTCTGGATGTAATTTTAAAAACCAGTTCATCTACTCCCTATGCAATTAACAGATTAATCCTTGCATTCTTTCCCCCATATCACGTGTTTAGGGGACCTTCACACTGGCAGCCTGAACACCTGGCCTCTGCTGCTCCACCTTTCCCCTCCATCCCATATTTTTTTTGTGTGGGATCCTCACCTGCAGCCAGAGAATGAACTGGTGCTGCAGAGGCTGCGGGCAGCCTCACAGCCCAGCGCTCAACCGCTGCACCACCAGGGGAGGGCCCCACATTTTTTTTTAAGCTCAGGTCTCATCAATCAGCATCCTGGGCCTCATACTGATACATTTAATGTGAACGATTCCATATACCAACTGGTGCCACAGATACTCAGTTTCCTAAGCCTCCTCTTCTTAATTCTAACCTCTAAAAATGCTGGTTTTACTTGTGGGATGCCCCGGTGCTGGGGGACATCACCACCCCATCCCTTGTGTTTCCTTCTCCCCACTTGGGCATGATTCTCTGCCTTCCCTCAGTCTTGACTCAAATGCCACCTTCTTGGTGAGGTCTTTTCTGGATAATTTAAAATGTCACCCCTCCCCAATATTGTCAAATCTGCTTTATTTTCATCCTTCTAACACACGATGTGTTTTCTCTTGTTATTTTTATAACAAATCCAAGCATCTTATTAAACTAAAAGAGGGCTGTTGGCAAATTATTTTTTAGAATCTCAAACCCTGCATTCTGCTTTTTATTTTATGGTCCTCTGCCTGTGGACTCTGTTTTGCTCAGTGTCATATTGCTAACATTTGAACAGTGTCCAGCTCCGCCAGTGCCCACTGCATCACCCCCAGGTCTAGCTTGGGGCTCTTTGTTTCACCCTCTGCTCCTTGAATGACGCTAGCTCTAGCCAGGAGGGCAGCCACATTGATTTACCAGGAGCAGAGTTTACAGCAGCAAGAAAGCAGTCCTGGGAGTTGGAGAGGTCAAGTTTTCAATTTCTGCCCTGCCAGTTAGTAGCTGTGTGATCCTGGTCCATTCACATAACCTCTCTGAGCCTCATTCCCTATCCATGGCAAATGGAGATAAAACTATCTACTTGGCAGGGTTGATGTGAAGATCAGGAATAACACAGCTAAGGTATCATGTTCATTAAATGACAGCTAGTAATTTTGTGAACTCTGTGTTCACCTGACACCCCATATTTGGCATATGGAGTTCCAGCTCTGTCCAAGGGAAGAGCAAAATAAGTTCCTCGTCTCCTAGGCTTTCCACCTTGAGATATCCTGCCCAAGCAGCTCACTTGCCAGCACAGGCAGCACCCATCTTACCTTGGTGGCAATGGCAGACACTGCAGCTGTTCTTTTTGCAGTTATGACATTTCCATCCATGACCTTGGAGGAAAGTAGAGAAAAGAAATAAGGGACACCCCTATCCGCTATTTCAGCAGGAAGAAGCAGCTCAAAAAGAGCAGCCTGGACGTATAGTAGCCCTACAAGGAGCACAGGCAGGTGGCCAATCTGGCTCCAGTTCATTCTTACAAGAAACACAACCTGGAACAAATATCTTAATCTCGAAGCACCGGTTTGTTCACCTGTGAAAACAAAGAGAATGCCAGCCATTCAGAGGGTTTGTGTGAGGATTAAAGGCACGGGCCATACAGGAAAATGTCCAGCACATAAGAAACCCTCAAGCATTATTCATGTGCTATGACACTCAGTGAAATAAGTCAGATGGAGAAAGACTTCAATTGCTAGACCAATAAATGGATACCAGAAGGGAAGGGGTATGGATAAATAGGAGTAAAGGGATCAAACATATGGCGAAGACTAGAATCGGACTTCTAGTGGTGGATTTAATATAGGCATTGGTTTATAATGATGCATACATGATACATGATTGCATGTAATGTTCTTCAACAAAAAATTATTTCACATAAGAGTTGCTCATTTTCTTTTCTTACCCCAGGATTTTCAAAACACCAAATTAAGGGGCAACTTGAGAAATTAAGAGTAAGCACTTGACATCTGTGTGAGGGGCCCTGAAACTCTATCTCCAGGGCCCTCCACTCCTGCTCACATGTGGGGAACTTGAAGTTGCCCAGACACACCCCTTACACCTGGCTAATAACAACCACCATCCTTTGCGCTGTTCTCCATTCATTTGAGTTGGCTGTCGCTTGATTTGTTTGCAGGTGAGGATGTGACTCACTTGGCTGTTGAGCAGATTGCAAGGCTCTAAGGGCTTATTATTTAGCTTCAAAGCTTCATCTGGTCCTACCTTCCTAGGGAAGCACTCTTGGGAAGCAGTATGGATGCCTTCTTGGATGAGCATAGGTTGGGAAGCGCTAGATACTCCTTCCATAGTGTAATGAATAGCTGGGTTTCTTGGGGAACCAGAAATTCAGGGAGGAGGGTCTAAGGATCCAGTCGAGGTTTGGATGAAATTAATGAGATTATCCCTGATGACAACTCAACTGGTCTCATAGAAAGCCCAGAGGGCACAGGAATTGAGTATAAATCCACAGTCAGACATTCCTGGGCCCTTCACGAGCCAGCATGTGACCTCAAGCAAATTGCCTCTTCTGAGCCTCATCAGAAATTGTCAGGAGATGCGTGTTTATTGTAATAAAAACTCCCCAGGAAGATGCCATGAGAAATGAATGGTAAGCGCCCAGTAGTGGCAGTTAAAAGGCAGCAGAACACAATGTGAAGGGGGATTTTCTGAGAAGGTTTGAAGTCCAGCCATGCTATTTATTAACCACCTGAACCTGGGTAAATTGGACATAGCTATTCTGTGGCTCAGTTTCCTCACTGCAAAATGTAGGTAATGATATTACTTGCCTCAGAGTGTCTGCAAGTATTAGAACTTAAAATATATGATGTTTTTTAGAAAAGTGCCTGACACACAAAAAAGTGCTCGATAAACGTGGGCTACTGTTATTGGTTGACACTGTCATTCGCTGTTAAAATGGATCACCAAGTGCCCCTCAGACAAGCTCCGGGGACTACAGAAGACTCCTTTTCTTCCATATTGCAGGGTCCCTAAGAGAAATTTCCTTGGTTACTGGGTTTGCTCAGACTGTGTATGTGGGATAAGAACTACTAAGGAATGCAAGATCATTACTTCCACAGTTAAAAAGCCTTGCAGCTGTAGTGGGCGCTGGTGCATTGTGCACAGTGGGGAAGTCCTGGAAACAGACACTCAGTCACATAACCTTCACTGTTACGGATTCAGTAACAGAAGAGAGGGGTCTGGGTAGTCACAATCAAAACTCCCCCTCCCAGCTCAGGAGATCTAACCTCTAAGCCCATCCCCTCCACCCCAGGCAGGGATTTGCTCACCGCCAGAAGGGAGCCATTGGTGGGTTCAAAGAGCAGCACAGTGGCCTGGTGGGAGGGGACGTTGGATGAGGCAGTGTGGCCCTCGTAGAAGGTGACCAGCTTGGTGGTCAGGGCGTCCTCTGCGGCACTGTAGGCAGGCATGACCCCCAGGAAACTACAAGAAGAGAGGGAGCAGCTTCAACTCTTCCCACCAACGCTGGGGGTGGGGCGCACCCCATCAACTGCCCAAACACCCTGTCTGTTTCCTCCATCCCGGGTCTGCTAGCCCTCCCTTCCCCTGCTCCGCCGCCCTTCCCTGGGGCAGTGTGAAGCAGCTGGCTCCGGATGAGCAAAACCACAACAGCCCATCATCCGCTAGCTGCATGCCCTTAGGTGAGTCACTTGACATTTCTGAGTCTCCCTTTTACCAGCAATGCAATAAAGGCATCCACACCTGCCTCTCTGGAAAGTGTATTGAACGAAACAAGGTAACTCCTGTTGGGCGTCCACTTGGCAGGACCGATGACACGTAATAGGTGGCAGCTGTTTTTAGCAGGGAGCCGGTGCTCGCCTTGCTTTCCCCCAGGCTGCCCCCCGCATCCTCCTCCTTCAGCTTTGCAGTTTCTCGGGCCCCCGGGCGCGCCTTCCTCACTCACCCCCTGTGCTTGGCCACTGGCACCACGGTGCGCACCGGCTGCATGACCCCTCCGTCCGGGCGGCTGGAGAAGTTGGCCAGAGCCACCTCCAGGGGCGCGATGAGCAGGCTGGAGCTGCGGAGATGTTGCTGCACCTCCGCTGCGCTCAGGAACGCTGGCACCCGACTCATGTCGCCTCCGGCCTTGCAAGCTCAGCTGGGGAACCACGCTGCGCCCGTGGAGCTGCGCCTTATGAGAGCGCGGCGCGGGCTGGGGTGCCGCCTGCTGTCACCGCTCAGCTGCGGGGGGGCGGAGCAGTGGTGCGCCCCGCCTCCTCCTTTCCCGGGGTGGGAAAGCTGGATGGGTTTCCCAAGATTGGAGCTGGGGCTGGGAGTTCAGTTTTCTTGGGTTCACTTTCTCAATCCCTATAATTAGCTGTAGCCACAGGCCTTGCAAAACGTGTTCGTGAAGGGCTTTGGCGTCCCCCACCCCCCAACTTCGCTATTTGCTCTTGGGTGGTCCTGCCTGGGAAAGAGGAGACTGGAGATGGGGGCACAGGATGGCAGCGCTCTCTTTTGGCTTAAATTATTGCCTGCTGCTAGGAGATCTTAGATGAAAGGAAATAGAGGGTTATTAAAATACATTTTGCTTTCAATTCTGTCCCCATCTGGAGTCTCTTATCCCAACCACCCTCCCACCTTTCTCTGGAAAGGAGTTGCATGCTCAGAGATGAAACATTTAGAAAGATGGGTCTTGCGCCAAAGTGTGAGATGAAACAGATGAACCGGAGTGCAGCCTGGGAGACAGATCAGGAGAATGCGGTGCTGAAGTTGTGCTGCCTGATATTTTGGTTGGGAGCTAATTAGAGCATTTCTTAGGAAATAGCCACATCATAATAAAAGACAGTGCATGGGTAAGTGTCAAAATATACACCAATGAAATAAGAAGTCCTATGTACTGTACTTAATACAGTGTGCAAAGTAGTTGTAATAAATGAACCTCTTACATGAGCAAATACAAGAGAAAAGGCTGTGGTGGTTGGCAAAAGTTAACTTCAGAAAAGTTGATTTGTGTTTGTTTGTTTCAGTTTACCACCTCTTAGAAATGCATGCCTAGGGCTACTGGAAATACAGAAATGTTTATGGCCCATTCATTGTGAAGTAATAATTATTATTAGGTAGCATTTAATGGGGTAAAAATAAAATAAAGGTCTCCCTCACTTTTAGAAATTCTGTATTACACCATTTTTGCTTTTAAAAAAGACCTGCGTTAGTACCTGTTCTCGATAACCTAGAGAAATCTGAAGGGGACTTTCAGTTTTACAACAAAAGGCAAAAATCATAGATAGTTGAAGCATTTGTTTGTTTTGCTGTATCCTCCTAGCTCCTACCCCAGCAGGGAGAGAGGACCCACTGAGCCCCTTCCCCAGGAACTGCTTCACATTAAATTAGAGTTAATTTAGGTTTTATGTGTCATTTCTTACTAGTTGCCAAGTTATTTTTTGGATCTGACGACACTCAAAAATTTAATACATAAATTAATCATAACTGTCCTTCACTTTATGCCATTTCAGCTTACGAAAGTTTTCACAGGAATGCTCCACATTCAGATGTAGGGGGAATCCACATAAAGTAAGCAGTTTGGTTCATTATTCTTGAGGAGAAAACAGCAAAACCAAATGCTCACCAACAAGAAGAGATATGAAATAAGAAAACCAGGGGTGTATTTGCTACCAACATGAATTAAAGATTTGAGTTCTAGTAAAATAGAAATAACTGAATTTATTTTTAGCAAATTCTGCAGGAACTGGACTGGTTTGAAAATTATCTTTTTAAGCTTTGTGTAGCATCATCCAGGTCTCACTAAAGAAATATGGGGAAAATTGGTGTTGATTGTATTAGTTCTGTTGGAACCAGAGTAACTGTTCCCAAAGCTCCAGTCTTTTCAAAATGAAAGTTATGTTAGCTTGGGTTTAGGATTTGTAACCCCTGGGCAGGTAGAAGGGAATTCTTAGGGGATTACATGTGCCAGGAGTCAAACTGCCAGTCTATGGAGGATTTCATGATATCTCCTTTATTATTTATTTAATATATTGTATTAAAAATTGTACCGCCTTCTAGCTTCTGTAGAAGCAAATTTAGCTTCATGAATATGAGGGTGCTATTTCCATCATTTTCAATTTGGGTCATATTACCCTGATGCTCAGTAAAGTTTAGCAGCCAAACATGATGATTTGGCTTTAGCCCAGGAGCCTGTGATCATCTTTGAAAAGAAGATACCATAAAGGAGTGGGGGGTGGGAAGAGCAGCTTCTTCCTCCAGCTTGCTGGTCACAGAAGTGGTTGTAGGGAGGTTGGTGGGTTGTTCCCAACCAACAGCACAAGTCTGGTGACCAACTGTAGAGCAATGATCTAGAATCTAGATTAGAAGCTGATTTTGTAGTGTGGAAAAACTAGTTGTACAACAGACACCTCCCTGCACTAAATAATCCAATGCGAGAGCAGATAACTGAAATTGTGGTGTCACCCTCCTTGGCTGGGGCTGTGGGTTAACACCTTTGGGGATATTGTGAATAAAAATCTTTCTATGCTTAGTTTACTCAGAGTTTCCAACGAAATGATTGTTGAAATTATTAGGTACATTTAGGGATTTACACAAATAATCACACTGGTTTCCTACTTTAACTCATTAATGCGATGCATTGTATGAACAGATAACCTAACATCCCAATTCATTACTAAATTTTCTTACTGGATATTCCCAATACATCACTTGCAGTTAGAAGATGAGGAGCTTTGTGCTTAGTGATACCTAAGCAAGGGCTCTGGGGTCAGCCAGCTTATATTTGAATCCTGGATATGTCACTTGCACGTGCTGTATGACCCTGGAGAAGAGACTTAACCCCGCTGATCCCGTTTTCTCAACTCTAAAATCAGTTAACAGTAGTAATATGAGAACCAATTTCTGGAATTGAGGCATAAATAAAACCGCTTTTCCAAGTGTTTAGCTGGTGGGTGTTGAACAAGAATTATGAATAAGTATATTAGTATTATTTGAAATTTTAGTAAAATAATGAAACTACTATAATAATAATGTTTTAAATAGAAAGAATGTTAATTAGCTTATTAGTAATAGAGGGGACAGTAACCAGGGGACAATAACCAGTCTCTCCCCAGGGACTCCCAAGACCTTGCCCTGGGACAAGACTAAAGGTTTGCAGGACCCTGGTACCCTCTGGTGTAAATGCCTTCTGCAAGTTCCCAGCTAAACCCTGATAGGTCCTGGGGAGAAAGTGGCTTATTGCATTTCCCTTAACTTCTTGACACTGTCATACTGCAGCTGACAATAGGCCAGGGCTGTCACTAGCCAGGTGAGAGTGTCCTCACCTCCAGCATAAAATTCAAGGGGCTCTCAAGATTTTTTTTTTAAGCTTTATTTATTTATTTATTTATTTATTTATTTAGTTAGTTAGTTAGTTAGTTATTCATTCATTCATTCATTCATTCATTTATATAAGCACTGGGCACAATCAGAAGCGCGGGAGGGTGAGAGAATTCACCAGAGCAAGAGCGGGGAACAGAACAGGCAGGTATACTGAAATACACTGCTGAGGGGAGCAGCGGGCGGCAGGAGAGGTCTGCGCGCCATGTGGGACCCTCGCCGGCGGCCGGGGATCGAACTGCTGCCGCAGAGGCTGCAGGCAGCTTCGCAACCCAGCGCTCAACCGCTGCACCACCAGGGGAGGCGCTCTCAAGATTTTTTAACGTAATATTGAAAAATGAAACACAAAAAAAATGAACAAAATATCAAAATCTTAATAAAGGCCGTGTTAGGATTACTGATTTTTCCTTTTGTTCTGGCCTAAAAAACTCCTCGTGATGCTTTGATATTTACATTTTTCATTTTGAAAAAATTTAAAATATTATTGCAGTATTCTTTTGATTCCGGAGTTGATTTCTCCACAACTGTTGCAACCAAGATCCCTGACTCCCAGTGTCGATCTTGGGCAGGTGGGGTAGGCCAGGCGGTGAAATAGTGCGGAATCCAAGGAAAGGCGGAATCACCCTTTGGCTGCTGGGCCGATGTGGCGGTGGGCGCATGCGCAGGGAAGGACTTCCGGGCATACCCGGCTTGCTTCCCGCCTTTTTGGGGTCCAAGGCCCCAGACGAGTCCGCGAGGCCGGGGGATGCTGCGGGGCAGTTGGGGAGAGTTGCAGGGAGGCCCCCAACCTCCTCGACCTGCGTTCCTCAGGTACTGAGGCCTGAGAGGTGAGTGCCTAAGGGCTCTGGCTCCCTGAGGCCAGGTCCTCTGCCCCCACAGGACCCGAAAGCGGACCCTACTGCCCCAACCCCAAAGAATATGAACCCTGAAAGATTCCCCTGGAGATCTAGGGTCGAATTTAAACTGGTGTTATCACATTTTGCCCTTTGTATCTCTTGGTTCTACCTTAGTGGCTAGAAAGGTTTGGGGAGATGCAGTCAACTTTGGTTTTAATTTTTAATTTGTAGAGTTGAGGTAAAATTCACCATCTTAAAATATTAGAATTCTGGGGCTTTTCTTATACTCACAGCGTTGTGCGACGGTCACCACGTATTCGAGAACATTTTTGTCATTCCTGAAATAAGCCCTGACCGCCTCATTCCCTGGTAGCTCCAGCCCCTGGCAACCACTAATCTGTTTTCTGTCGCTATGGATGTGCCAGTTCTGGGCATTTCGTATAAATAGAATCCCATCATATGTGGCCTTTGGTGTTTGCCTCCTTTCACTGAGCATAATGTTTTCAAGCTTCATGAGTGTTGTTGGTGTAACTGCCTCATCCCACTTTTGGATCGACCACATTTTGTTTATCCACTCATCAGTTGATCGACTATTAGATTGTCACCACTGTTAAGCTGGTCGGAACAATACTACTCTGAACGTTGGTGTACATGTTTTTCTGTAGACATCATTTTTTTTTTTCCTGTTCCCTTGAAAGAGGAGGGAATAGGAGGGTTATAAGGTAATGTATTTAACTTTTTGAAGCACTGCCAGACTGTTTTCCATAGTAACCGTACTGTTTTATATTCCCACCAGCAGTGTGTTAAGTGTTCCAGTTTTCTGTAAGCAAATAAACTTATTTGCTGTTTAAAAATTATTTAATTATATTTAGTTAATAAATAGTATGTCGTTGTGGTTTTCATTTGCATTTCCCTAATGACTAATGAGGTTGAGCGTGTTTTCATGTGCATTTTTTGCCATTTGTAAAATCATATTTTGGAGAAACGTCTACAGATTCTTTCATTATTTAATTGGTTTGTCATTTTGTTGTTTGTTTGTAAGAGTGCTTTATATATTCAGGATGTGTAACCCTTATCAGATATGTGATTTGAAAATATTTGATTCCATTCTTTGTCTTTTCACTTTCTGGATCATATGCTTATTGCTCAAAATATTATTTATTTTGATGAAGCCCAATTTATTTTCTCTTTTGGTGTCGTAAGTAAGAATAAATTGTTAAATCCAGGTTATGAGGATTTCCTGCTTTGTTTTCTTCTAAGAGTTTATTGTTTCACAAGAACAGACACATAGACCAATGGAATCGAATAGAAAATCCAGAAATAGGGCCTCCCCGGTGGCGCAGCGGTTGAACGCTGGGTTGCGAAGCTGCCAGCGGCCTCTGTGGCGTCGGTTCGATCCCCGGCTGCTCCCCGGCCACCAGAGGAGGGTCCCACATGGCGCGCGGACCTCCCCTGCCGCCCGCTGCTCCCCTCAGCAGTGTACTTCGGTCCTTCTGCCTGTTCTGCTCCCCGCTCTGGCTCTGGTGAGTTCTCTCACCCTCCCGCGCTTCTGACTGTGCCCAGTGCTTGTATAAACAAAACAAACAAACAAACAAATAAATAAATAAATAACATGCCTCTATTAAAAAATAAAAAGAAATGTTTAAAAAGTATATAAAAAAATTTAAAAAAATTAAAAAAATAAAATAAATAAAAATAAATAAATAAATAAATAAAAATCCAGAAATAAACCCACAGATTTATGGTCAACTAATCTTTGACAAAGGAGCAGAAAATATGCATTGGAGCAAAGAAAGTTTGTTCAATAAATGGTGCTGAGAAAACTGGGTCGCTACATGCAAAAGAATGAAGCTTGACTACTACCTAACACCATGCACAAACACCAACTCAAAATGGATTAAAGAACTAGACATAAGACCTGAAACCATAAAGTACATAGAAGGAAATATAGGCAAAACATTACGTGATATGCACATCAAAGACATCTTTACAGACACATCACCCAAAGCAGTGATAGTGAAGGCAAAGATAAACAGCTGGGACTACATCAAATTAAAGAGCTTCTGCACAGCAAAAGAGACAACAACAAAAACAAAGAGACTGAGAGAACATTTTTGCACACAACACTAATGATAAAAGACTGATCACAAAAATCTACAAAGAGCTGATGAGACTCAACAAAAACAAAGAAAATAATCCAGTCAAAAAATGGGCAGAAGAGCTAAAAAGAAACTTCTCTGAAGAGGAAATGCAAATGGCCAACGGGCATATGAAAAAATGTTCAACATCACTTGTCATCAGGGAAATGCAAATCAAAACTACAATGAGATACCATCTTACACCAGTGAGAATGGCACATATTAACAAAACTAGCAACAACAAATGTTGGTGAGGGTGTGGAGAAAAAGGAACTCTCCTGCATTGTTGGTGGGAGTGCAAACTGGTCCAACCACTATGGAGAGCTGTGTGGAGATTTCTGGACCTACTAAACATAGAGCTTCCATAGGATCCAGCAATTCCACTCCTAGGTATTTACCCAAAGGACACAGAAACATCAATTCCAAAGAGCACCTGCACCCCTATGTTTATAGCAGCACTGTGTACAATAGCTAAGCTTTGGAAACAACCCAAATGCCCAAAAATAGATGACTGGATCAAGAAGATGTGGTCCATATATACCATGGAATATTACTCAGCATTCAAAAAAGATAAACACATGCAATTTGCAGCAACATGGATGGCACTGGAAGGGATCATGCTCAGCTAAATAAGCCAGAAAGAAAAAGAAAAATACCGGATGGTCTCACTCCTAGCAGGAATCTAGAAAACTTAAATAAGGGACCAGGAAAAAGAATAACTATAAGAAAGAAAAAATATCAAAATCAACAAACAACTATGAACCAGAGACACTCTGTGGGGAGGTGGGGGGCAGGGAAAGGAGTGATTGGGGTCAAAATAAGGTGATTGTAATTGTATGGGGAATATAAAAATAAAATTAAAAAAAGTTTATTGTTTCAGCTCTTAAATTGTTTTGATCCCTTTTGAATTAATTTTTGTGTATATTAAATTTTATTGTCTATATGCAAGCATCTGCCTTTGCTCTTTTACATGTGGCTATATAATGTTTAAGCACTATTTGTTCAAAAGACTATTATTTTCTCACTTCATAAGCTTGATATTTTTGTTGAAAATCTGTTGACTATGGATTTATTTCTGGACTCTAAATTCTGTTGCACTTGATTTACATATCTCTGCTTATTCCATTGCCATACTGTTTTGATTGCTATCACTTTGTAGAAAGTACTGAAATCAGGAAGTGTGAGACCTCAAACTTTGCTCATTTTTAAGATTGTTTTGACTACTTCATGCCATATAAATTTAGGGTCAGTGTTTTTATTTCTGCAAAAAAAGCAATTGGGGATTTATTGACTCCAGATAAATTTGGGGAGTATTGCCATTGTGATATTAAATCTTCCAGTCTATGAATGGGAGTGTCTTTTCATTTATTTAGGTCTTTAGTGCCTTTTTTCCCTCCAATTTTATTGAGTATAATTGACAAATAAAGTTGTAGTATACTTAAAAAGCATACAACAAAATGATTTGTCATATGTAATGTGAAAGGATCATCACCTTCGAGTTAATTAACACATCACCTTACATAATTGCCCTTTATTTTTTCTTGGTGAGAACACTCTCTTAGCAAATTCCATTTACACAATACAGCATTAGCAAGTATAGTCACATTATCTATCAGACTGTCAGAACTTTTTCATCTTATAATTGAAAGTTTGTACTCTTACTAACCTGCCCTCATTACTCTTTGATGAGGATCCTCATCCCCTGACAACCTAGAAATTGCATTGATTCTGTAGCTGTCTTTGGGTGGTATGGACATTTTAACAACTCTTCTAACCCATGAATGCAGGATGTCTTTCCATTTATTTGTGCTTTCAATTTCATTAATATCAATATCTTAGTGTTTTCAGTGAGTAGACCTTTCATGTCCATGGTTGATTTTATTCCGAAGTATTTTCTTATTTTCAGTGTTATTTTAAGTTGGATTGTTTTCTTTCTCTTTATTGAACTTTTCCTTTTGTTGTATTATTTTCCTGATTTCATCGAATTGTTTAGCTGTATTCTCTCGAGCTCTCCCATCATCTTTAGAACCATTACTTTGAATTCTTTGTGTGGCAACTCAATTGTTTCCATTTGTTTGGGGTCAGTTACTAGAAGTTTGCTATAATCCTTTGGTGTTACCATGATTCTTTTGGGATTTCAAGGAGTTGCATGTTAGACTTCCGCTTTTTTGTTATCTCACATATTCCTGAGGCTCTGTTCATTCCCCGCCCCTGCCCCCCCCATCCCTGTTCTGTTCATTTTGGATAATTTTTATTGATCTATCTTCAAGCTTACTGATTCTTCCCTCTCCCACCTTCATTCTGCTATGAGTCCATCCAGTGAATGTTTCATTTTGGTTATTTTTGGTTCTAAAATTTCCCTTTCACTTTTATTTATATCTTCCATTTCTTTGATGATACTTTCTAATTTTAAAATTTATTTCAAGACTGTCTATGATTGCCTCTTTGAGCATTTTAATAGTAGCTGCTTTAAGTCGTTTTCAAATAACCCTAACATGTGCCTTTTCTTTTTTCTTATGCAAGGTGAGATTTTTGTAGTTTCTTATATGCTGAATGATTTGGATTGTATTCTGATAATTTGTATATCAAGCTATGAGAGTATAAATCCTTTTTAAAACCTATGCATGTTGATACTTTTGTTTATCAGGTAATTGACCTGGTTATGTGGTTGTCAGATGAGCAACTAAAATACAGAATACCCAATTGAATTTGAATTTCACATAAAGTATACAAAATGTTATAGTGGACATATGCCCCAAGCCAAAAAATAAATTGGTTATTTATTGGAGATTCAAAATTAACTGGGTATCCTGTATTTTATCTGGCAACCCTACTTGGTTAGATTTAAGCCAAAAGTTCCAGTCCACCTCTGTGGGCTATGATTCCAATGTCAATTTAGATTTCCTGTTCTGTATGTATTTTTACATAAATATGTGTGCTCCATATGTGTTTTTCTGGGTACAGTCGGTCAGCTCAGTTATCAAAGTGACTGGCATGCTAAGCAGAGTGACATCCACTTATGCTCATATCAGGGTTGAGCTCCTCTTGTTCTGTCTCCCCAGTTCCTTCAGGTTTTCTGGGGCATTCTCCTTTTATTGTCTTCTTCCAAAAAATGTCCACTTACTGTTAAGGAATACTTAAATTGTTTCTGGTGTTCTTCCTTGTTGTATTCCCTGGTTACTCTTCCTTGTTCATTCACTGAAAGGATGTACCACCTTTTAGTACTGATGCAACAC